AACTTCATTGATAAGAGTTCTCAAAAATCTCAAACTAAAATCATAACATAATACATTGATCATTAAACATAAAAAGATATAAAGCATTTATCCCTTTAGAAGAAATAAATAATCTAGGTTAGATAGATAGATACATATATATCTTATTTGAATATATAGACACTGCTTGTTTTATTCTTTGAAGTATAATAAAGTATTTTTTAAAAAAGTATATCATAAACATCATAATAAATAATATATTTATAACCCAATAAGTAATCACTGTTTTATTTTTATCATTAATCCATCATTAGTGATTAAATTGGTTCGAATTGAATTTTTTGTATCGTAAATGTTTCTGTTTGCTTTTTAAATATTGGTTAACCATTTCTTAGCAAACATGTCTAAAATTGCATTATAATGACCCATAACACCTAAGAACACGAATACATGCCAGATGTTATGAGAGTTACAAATGTAGTCGACCCACCATAAAGTTTTGAAGCTTTTTGAAGTGCAATCTTTACAGTGGTTGGTCTTGGTTGGTTCTTCTCTAAAATGTACGTGCTTGTGCTTAGTAATAATTGTAACATCGCTTGCTAACTGTTTACTATTTGGAATGCTCTTGTCAATAACAAAATCTGATCTGAATCTTTCTGGAATAAAAGAACCATAGAAGAAGACACCAATCAAATACCATACAATAGACTTGGATGTAACTGGGGAATATAACCAAGCAGCATATGCCATACCTTCTAAATAAGCCACATGGAAAAAAGCCAACCCACCTAATGCTGCCAATAAAATAAAGAATTTAATACGTAAAGGTCTTGCCTCAGGTGAATCGAACTTTGGTGACCAATTCAAGTACAGACCAAAACAACCAAATAGTAGAGATAATGACATATATACCGTCATAATAGAACGATGGTCATACAATGAAACAAACTCAGCTGTTAAAATCGATGCTGTAATTAAAATGGTAATACCGGAATAGTCAACGCAACAGTATTTTGGACGTAACTTAATCGAACAAGTACCGTTGAAAGTATGCCAAAATACTGAAGCTAACATACATTTAATACCAGCCAACAAGAACAGATACACAATATATTTGGCTGAAGGAGGAACTTCAGGACTTTGGACAATAAAAGATTTTGGGAATTCAAAAAGTACAATATATGCAAAATAAATAGCACCCAATAAATGAGACCAAATATTTGCAGTTTCATTGTGAAAACCGTACCAGTTAAATACAGACAACAACAATTTTGAATTCTTGTGATAAAATCTGTAACCATTGATAATGTAACGATTTTCTCTCCATGGGAAAGGCAGCTGATAATAATGTAAATGTTTATCCTGACCTAAATCATAAGCGATGCTGTGATTATATGACTTTATAACGTATGTTAAATCATTGTCATTTTCAGCCATTGCCTCAGATATCCACATATGCTCTTCATCAAGTAATTCGTGTATAGAATTTTTTGATGCAGGTTCCCTTGGAGTATTATCCAGAGAGTTTATGTTCTTATCCATATCAGTATTAATAACACTATTGGTTAACGTAATGTTTGAATCAGAGAACTGAGAGTACACGTCTGAATCCAATTTGGCAATAGTCTTCAGAGGAAAAGTAGAATCATTATTTAATGTGTCTTGGGATAACCTTGATAGCAATAACATTTCATCATCCACTACTTTGATACCTTTGACATTGCCATTTTTGGCACCAGTGCCTTTATTGGTATCAGCACTATTTTTGATATTACTTCTCCATAAATGCTTTTCTTTTACTCTGTTTAATCTATTCATTAAACTTGCAGATATAGTCGTACTTGAACCATTGGATCCATCATTATCAAGATTAGCGAATGTTTCATTAGTAACGGTAGAACCGCCACTGCCAATACTGATATATTCATTTGACTTCTTCTTCACTAAATCAATGGACTTTCTCTTCAATCTCGAAATCGAATCCAAGGAATATGAAGTTGAACTAATAACTGCATCAGCCATCTTCTTAGAATACGAAGAATTCAAACTGCCTTCATCATTTTCAGAAGTTAACATGCTGCTACATGCAGTGGAAGATTCCATAACGAATGTAATACCAGTTTGATATTTGTCCTACTTTTTTTTTGAGGACTTGATATAGGACACTATTAAGAAAGCTAACTCTTCAAACCTTTCTAATTTATTCTGTTCTATGTTAATTAACTGATGATCGATAATAGTACCAGTAAAAACAATAGCAATACAAATAGCAATGATAACACAACTTAATGAACGTATATGGTTTACTACTTTTCAACCGTGCTAGCTATTTATCCCAACAAAACGTGAAACTTCTTAAAACTTTTTTATTAGCTTTTTTTATTTTATAAAACCAAAGAATATTAATGAATATTATAATATATTAATGTTGCAACCTTAGATATTGCTAGTTAAATACCAAAATGAAGAAAGAGGACAGTACTTCCAAAATAATTTTCGATAAAGGTGAGAAGTAGAAAACTAATAACTAAAATAAAACTGGGGAAAGAAGGAGCACACCAAGGAGGAATAACTTAGATTTAGGTATCTGTGTTTATATATATGTGTGTTTATATATATATATATATATATTTGAAGTAGTGAAAAGAATGGGAAATTCGAATGAAGGCAATAAAAAAAAGAATTAATAACGTTTCGAAGGTGGGTGAGAGAGATTTGTCTTGAATAAATTTTTAGTCACTAATCAAGGAGAACCCATAATAGATCAAAGAAATGAAATAAAATTTCTAAGCTTTATAGTAATAATACAGGAGTGAGTTGATAATGAAAAAAAAAATATATATAAATAAAATAGGTAAACTTGTCAAAGTATGCAATAGAGAGAGTGAGAGAGAGAGAGAGGATCAATGAAAAGAAAAAAAAAAGTTCGATTTCATGAACTTTTACAGTCTTGTTAACGGGTATTAATCAACTAGTCCACTTGATAAAAACAGAAATAAATATGTAATGGCATGTAGTTGTCGTTATCAAAAAGAGCAAGTAAGGGAACAAACAGTAGTCGAAACATAAAAAAATTGAGATTCAAGTGGTGGTAATATCCAGTAGAATAGAGATAATATTTTTTTTATTTTATTTTATTTAGTTTGCAGTATTGATTGGTAATTGGTATGTGTTGTTTCTCCGTAGATGGAGCATTGGAGGATGGAGCATTGAAGGATAGGAACAAGTAACAGAAACATTTTTATCTGGTGTGAGGTGAAGTCTCGAAGAGAGATGGGACAGAAGGGAAGAAAAGGGAGAAAAGAGAAAACCTGTTTTTAAAAATCAATTCACTATGTTAGTTATTAGATCACAATATTTTACCAAATAAAATTCACTCCTTTTTCTGTAATTTAGAGAGGGAGATGGTGAAGGAGAGGGAGAGGGATAGACAGAAGAGATGAACAGTGAAAAATCCTAGTCTTGCTGTTCAATTCCCCCAACCTTTTCTTGAAGAGTAAGATTGAAAGCAGCGTAACGTGTATATTATTAAGAGAGAGATGAGGTGGACAAGAAACTGAAAAAAAAAATGGTAACTTGTTTTGTGATAACTAGCCAAGTTTAATAATGTTTTAAAGTGTGTAGAGAGTATCTCTGGCAGTCAGTGGAAGAGAGGCTATTCCTCAACATCAGCTAAATTTGACCAAAAATGACCACTGAACGAGGAAGAGTGTTCGAAATGATGATTGATTAATGCCATTGGTAAAAGAAAAGATGTGAAATGTAGTGGTTATAATATTTGTATTTTCAACAAAAAGAAAAGAAAAAAGGCAGTTTCTGCGGACTAGTCTTCGCAAAAAAAGAAAAAACATATGTGTCTCGAGGGAAGAAAGAGAAATGGCAAAAGACCTCAAGGCACTAAAGAAGGTGCAGGGGAGACAAAGAGATAGAGAGAGTTATATAATTTTATTGTGACAGGGATATTTTGAAAGTCGAGTAATACCAGTAACAGCTAAGTGCATGGTTGGACTGGCAGGTTCTGTTAGGAGGCAATACCAGAAAATAAGCTCAGAATCTGTAGTAATAAGTTCCAAGAAGAATGAATAAAGGATATGATATGATATGATGTGATGGGAATATATTATCACTGACTAAAATGAAATATGCGTATTGTAACAACCGAAACAGTTAAAATAGCGAGGGTAAAAGAAAAAAACAATAAGATCGAATACGTAATTGAGAGAGTTCAAATTAGTATACATCTGTGTTATTTCATAGTATGCAATTTTTTTTGCAAACATTCACTTCAGAAAATCCGGCTGGATGGGGTTATTACCAAAAATTGAAGAACAACTGAAAGAAACAGAACCCTCTTCCATCTCCATGACGTTTTTTTATCTATATGGGATGGATTGGGGTGGAATGGGATGCATTTACATAAAACATCAAACAATATTGATTTTGAGTAAGACTGCGGGTTTAATAAAAATCAGCAGCAACAGAATTAGAGGTATTGATGATAGGTTACGTATCTCTCTTTACCAATAGTAATAACAAGAGATCAATGACAGGCGCCATCTTAATTAAGTTACATGCGAGTATAGTTATGAAACAAGAACCATAGGACACAATTCTTTCATATATCCTGGGATATAGACAGCTCTTTATCTGTATTCTCCACAATAAATTAATCATTTTTTTGTTTTTGTTTTTCCTTAGTAAAACAAGATCGAAACGGCATTTTGCACCTTTGTCATACATTATTAGGAGTGATGGTATGTTATGTTAAAGGGATTTTTGATCGATAATGCAGAATAGAGACAGCCAAATAAGACGAAGCATAGGTGTTTTCTTTTTTATACTTTTTGAATTTTGAATTTTGAATTTTGAATATTGCAATTTCTTGAATGCATTTTACCTCTATATAAAAACCGAATGATCATTCATTCTACTAGTTAGTAGAATGGATAATAAAAAAACACAAGTACTAGAATCACAAAGGATACTATTACTACACATTTGGAATAGATGAATTGATATGAGTTCATACAAGATAAGTATCCCAACGATTTTGGGGATAAGGTGTTGATTTGTATGGTTAGTTAATCTTGTTTTACTTTGGCTTGCAATGAGGGTGACTAGATAGATACAGATACACAGTCCACTATATGGCTATACCCGACATCGAAGTTTCCTTATTCGACAGAGTTACATAAAAGCACATAGTTTTTAATTGTAGTGAGAGGAGAGGGAGAGGGAGATATTCTTGGGGAGAGGGTGGGTTAGTTCATTAAGATTGGAAGTTGACTATTTAAGTTTTGTAGTTATCGCATATACAATGGATAATTTTTAAAAGTGAGTTAATCGTACAGGTAGCAGACTTGACATAATATAGTAATAGAATCATGTGGAGTGAGAGAGAGAGAGAGATGCATGCCTATCATAGAAGCTAGACAAAAAGATTACAGGAAATTTATCCGGGTAACACACGTGGCTATACATAAGGAGAATGCGAAACAGTTACCCTGATTCGCACCATGTGTTTTCTTTTCTTTCTTTTTACCTTTTCTGCCCTCACAAAGGAAGTAGTTCGGCGGCTGAGACAAGTGAGGCGATTATATTTATTGTATACAAACAGAAACACTATGGGAGATGTAAAAACAAGATGGATATCGCTATACCAGTTATTTCCGTTACTTTTGCCATGTGTCACGTGACGCCGATGAAATGCGTCACGTGACATACCTGGATATCAATCAAGAACCCAACCCAGCCCCATCGGTGGCAGTTGCTCGTACATAGTGAACACATTCATTTTACGTTTTCTTTTTTTTTCTTTGCCCTTTCCCTTCCCCTTTCCTCTCGCTCTACAATATTTTGGCTGTCACTAACAAACCCAAAATTTCACCATACCAATGCCAACTCGTCTCTCTGTTCTACCACCCAGACCCAGACAAGGCAATATTTTATATACTGCCTTCCCTTTCCCTTCCAACACTCTCAGAACACACACACACATACATACATATACGTAATAAGACCTAAGGTAGGTACATCTCTTCACCTCTTCATCTCTTCATCTCTTCATCGTCTCTTCTCTTTGTCTCTTCTCTCTCGGCTTTACAGCCAGTAGTTACCGAAATATCGAAATACCAAATTACCAAATTACCAAATTACCAAATATCAATTTGGATTTCGAATTTTCATATTGATATTTTGACTAACTAGCATAATCAAGATAAAATATCAAGTTTGAAGCTAAGTGATGCCCTTTCAAAATATAATATATACTTTTTATTTACTTAATTGTCTTAATAACAATCATTCCAAAATAATTGGATATCCCACACTCACCCTAAATTATTATTTATATATACATATACATATTTCTACTTCGAATATTCTAATAATACTCTAAATTCTTTTATATTATTGTGTTCGTATCGTATTGTATATTTTATTTTATTTACAAGTGGTATACTCATCTATATCGATTCCACCAAAGAAAAAACTGATCCATACTTTGCTGTTGTTGTAACGGTTTTGTTCTGTTCTTCAAATAACTGATTTCCTCTTCTTTTTATTCCCCTTTGTTCATACACAACAGGAAATGGAGGAATTTGGTCACTTGAAAGCCGCCTTAAGAAGACAGTTGAAACTGATCCACAGAATAGATGAATTCTCAACTGTAAAGGACTTTAAAGAAAGAATATATTTAGATAAATATATGAAAAATTTCATCTATAATCTACTGTATTTCATTCTGTTAGATGATGGTAAAAATTTAAATTTGATCTTTGAATTAGAAAATACTTTCCAAAAAAATGATCTAGATCACGACAACAACAATAATAACGAGAATGAAATCATCTCGAAAAATTTCCCCAATTCAATTGATGATATATTCAATGATTTTAAAAATGATACCCAATTTTATAAAAAAGTAAAATCATTTAAACTAGAAAACAAATGTCATAAAGGAAGAAACTGTGGTAGAAAGTTTAGAAATGGTGAACCTATCTATAGATGCCAAGAATGTGGTTTCGATGAAACGTGTGTCCTATGTATCAACTGTTTCGAACCTGATGACCATAAAGATCATCACATATATATGGACATATGTAACAGTGACCTAAATACAGGCATCTGTGATTGTGGTGATACAGAAGCATGGAATACTAATCTGAATTGTAAAGCTGAAAATGATTCAAAATTAAATACCAATGATGAAAAACAGAAAAAATTACTGGATTTCTTTAACACTGATAAAAATTCTAAACTATTCGAAGTTGTATTGACTGAAATATTAGATTACTTTATAGACGTTTTCAATCAGAACATCGAACCATTATACACATTGCAAAGCGATGTTACCATTTTATTAAGAAATATTTATCACCAAAACTCTAAAATGAATAACATTAATAACGAACAAAATGACGACACCTCTACTAATGATGAAAACCATTCTCTAGCATATGAAAAGATGATAGAATTTATCAACGAATTATCATATAAGAATGAATATTTTAATGAAATAGATGAGCAAAGCGGCTTCACAGTAATTGTCTACAACGATGAATATCACAATTATTCACAAGCAACAACTGCATTGAGACAAGGTAAACCAGATAACAAGCATATTGATTTATTAACAGCTAGAATCGATGAAGAAGGTAAAACAGTTTTAAAATGTTCAGAAAAATTAGATAAATCATTAGTGGACAGTTTTTTTGCTGTTCAAACCAATGGCTTAACTGCATCAATAATACATTGGTCTGAATACATACATCAAAAGGCATGTAAATACATTATTTCATGGCTATCCCATTGTTTATCCATCGAACATCCATCTTTTCAAAATCTTTTTAGAAATACTTTATGCAAAGTATTATGTTCAGAGTATAAAGAAAAAAATACCAGAGATCTAACACCAATTATAGATAAATACTTTATGAAAGCGGCAAATTCTACAAAGGTTTCCAGATATAACGATTTATCAGTTCTAGACCCAAATATTAAAATCCCACAGTCTATTCAGAAATTATTAAATACAGAGAATTCAGAAATTCAGATACCGTTAGACTCTTTAAGTGAAACTAGCATACGAGGAAACATAAATTATACCAACTCAAGGTTACAATTTATTTTATATTTTGATAACAGATATTGGAAATCATTAAGAAAAAATGTCCAAAACTTAATTGTACCAACCTTAGCATCCGATATTGAATACAAAAAGATATTCAATGACCAATTTATTGAAATAATTAATCAAATTATGAATTCCGTGACATTCAGAGATAGAGAACCACAGTTAACTATATTAAGGGAGTGTATCGTTCAACTTTTAACATGCCCAACCAATGTCGAGTCAATTGTGTCAGACACTAAAAAGTTACAGAACATCCTTTGGACAATAATTGATATATTTAACAAGTTTACTAAACGAGAAAACGGATTATTAATTTGGCAAAGAGTGCAAAAGATAAACCCAACAAAGAGTTACACCTTTATTTTTAGGCAAGCTCTATACCTTATAGAAATCGTGCTGGGTAAAGTGAAGGATATATCCGTACTTCTTCTGCCTGAAAACTTTGTCACATTATTAAACTTCCTAAAATTGTTTAATGGAGCTTGGAAATTGAAAAGAAAAGAAGGTGAACATGTCGAGCACGAAGATCAACATTTTATTCCTTATTTACAATACACAACATATATTTACAACATCATCGAGGTCTATAATGTGATATTAAAAAAGCATGCAAATTCTACAGATAGTCAAAGAATGCTTATTGAAAGTATAAAAATATTATCTAATTATTTAGATAGAGCTGCAACACTAAATATGAACCACAGACCTGTCACATACGAAGGCAGAGAATACCAGATAATAAAATTTGATATTGACAAAGAACGCACATCATATATGAATCCACTCAATACTCTGTTATCTATTTTATTAGATAAAGTATCGATTCGAGATTTCTTAAATATTATGGAACAGTCAAAAGAGAATAATTTCATCAATATTTCAGATATTTCATTAAGAACAATTATCCTATGCTCCCAAATAGGTGTTGGTTTTTGGATTAGAAATGGTATGTCTGTTCTTCATCAAATTTCGTACTACAAAGGAAATTCAGAACTAGACTCATATTCAAGAGATATTTATATTGTTCAAATGACTTCAATTAAAGCATGTAGGAACAAGACCAATAGCTTACTTGACGACAGTACCCGTGAAGAATTAGACGCATTTGCATTGAACATTATAGATAGATGGGAGCTGTTAGAATGGTTTACTGGCAATAAGGAAATCAATGATACTGTGTATGAAGACAAGATATTGCCTATCATTCAACAATTTATTGCATTTTGTTACCATTTGATTACAGATCGACAATATTTCATTGGATTTAAAGACTTCGAAGAGCAAAAAATGTATAATATCGAAAATGCAATTATTTATAATCTTTATTCGAAGCCTTTATCATATTCTAAATTATTAAAGGCGATACCTGATTATTTAGTTCAACACAACAATAATCAAGATTTTGATATTGCTTTAGAAAAATTATCTGTTTTTGAAGAGCCTAAAGGGTTGACTGATAGTGGTGTCTACAGATTGAGCAAGAAGTATTATTCAAGAATTGACCCATTAAATATACTAAACATGGGAAATGATTTTGAAACTAGTGCTACTACTATAAAGAATTGTATATCTGGCAAAAGTAAGAAAAATCAGAAAATTATCCTAGATCCATATTTTCCATCTAATTGCGATAAATTATATGTAGGTCAATTTTCCAAAACCATGCCATTTACAAGATTTATTTATAAACTACTATCAGCAGCAATCGAAATGTCTGAGGGAAGTTACTTATATGAGTTGTTGCATCTAATCCATGCAATCTTTAAAGATGAACAGATATTGATGGAATCAAAAAAGATTATCCCAGATAGTTATTTAGAAGTTCCAATTTGTGAACTGTTAGTAAAAATATTCGACAGTCAATTCGAAAATAAGTTCTCTGATTCAATTGTAACCAAAGCAAACTTCTTATTCGAGGAGATGGTCTCGTGTGATCACGATAGAGTTTATGAGACTCTTACGAATACTTTAGGGAAGGATTTTGTTAGTTCTTTCAGAGAGAAAAATTTGAATAACAATAATGGATCTGATGAAATTTTGAATGAATTGGAAAAGAAGAAAATGTTAGCAAAAAAACGCCAACAGAAGTTATTGCAAAAATTCAATAATCAACAAAAAAAGTTCATGCAGGGCCACGAATCGGAACTGGTTGACAAAACAGACTCTACCTCAAAGTCTCCTTCAGCTAATCAAGACGAGAACATTATTGATGATGAAAAGATATCAATTGAAGAAGACTATACCTGTTCTTTATGTCAAGATCAGGTGGAAAATGATGCTTTTGTAGTTCCAGCTTATCACGATTACACACCTATATTTAGGGTAGGTGATATATTCGATATTGATGAGTTTGCAATGAAATGGAATGGCTTTGCTAACAATGAAAAGAAAGCTTATACCGATGAAAAGATATTGCGAAGCTTGAATATAGATGGAAAAAGAGGTTCAAGGAAGGTATTTGTTTCCTGTAATCATAGCGTTCATGGTAGTTGTTTCAAAAGATTTATTCAAAAGAAAAGGTTTTCTGTAGACGCCTTTATATGTCCATTATGTCAGACATATTCCAATTGTGTTATACCTGTGGTTAATTCTTCTAATACTAGCGATTTGACGTGGAGATCTATATTGACGGATAAACAGTCTTCAATAAATTCACTTGTCAAATTGATAGCTGGCGAATGTGTCGATACTACCAAAGATTGTGACACCAGCAACCCAATGTATGTTGTAGTGTTGTTCTCGACATTTCATTCGAATTCATTTGATGCTGACGTGAGAAAATCTTCGGGCTTTCAAAAGGCGGATGCTGCTTCTGTGCTTGGTGTTCATTGGGCTAATACAATTTCCATGCTTGAAATTGCTTCTCGTCTTGATAATAATCCATATGATTCTTATCTACAGGGAAGAGAACAAAAATATAGGACATTAAGAAATATCCTGGGCTTAATTTTGTTGATAAGACAGAAGTTTGGAGAACCCAATGCTGATTTCCTTCCATATGCAAAGAAAACTGACTCAAGTTGGACAAGTAATCAACCATTCCAATTCATTGTATACCAGTTGCTGTTTAACAAATCCCAGAAATCATTGCAAGACGTAATAAGTCATGTGGTTTATCAAGTATCTTCCGAAATTTTAAACAACTTTCTCGATGGTGTTTCTTTACCAGAAGTAGATATAATGTATTCTACAGCTATAGAAACAGGTGAAATTTATAGTATGCCAGACGATATGCGCGAATGTCTTTCGAGTCCAATTTACAAAGGAAATTCTAATGATATCAACCTACCAAACGAAGCGTATCATCTTGTTTACACCTGTTTAATAAGAAATATCTATCCGATATTACGTAAATGTTTGATCATGTTAAAGGTCTTACATGACTTCAGTCCAAGATCCGACAGCAATGATTTTTATAAGGATTGTTGCGATATTGTGGGTGAAGATAAAAATATTGATTTGGTTACATCTGTTGATAACGCAATTAAGATACTTACAGGTAAAGATTCGTTAAAATTGTTATTGAATCACTATGAGACACAAGAATATAACAAGAAAGTAGATGAAAAATTCTTAAATCATTTTTCATTTGAATATTGTGGTATTGTAAAATTAGTAAATCTGGCACAGAATTTAAACACATATGTTACCAATTCCAAGGACTTAAAGTTGCGCGAAGAGTTTTCCCTGTTCGATTCTAATATTGCGAATAGATTAGATTTCAAGATTTGCTTGACCTGTGGTGTCAAAGTCCATATGAGAGGTGATAATCATGAGATGTCTAAACATTTGCACAAATTTTGTTTTAGATCATATGGTGTGTTTTTGATACCTAATAAAAACGAAATATGTCTTATCTTCTTCTATCCCCCATCGACTGTTTATATCCCTGCTCCATATTTAAATTCCCACGGTGAGACTGGTAAAAATGCCATTAAAAGAGGTGATACAACAACATTGAATTTGAAGCGTTACGAATTTTTAAACAACTTATGGATAAACAATGAAATCCCCGGTTATATCAGTAGAATCATGGGTGATAATTTTAGATTAAATATATTAACCAATGGGTTTTTGTTTGCCTTTAATAGGCCGGTACGTCAAAGAAGAACGGATGATGATGATGAAAGCGATGAAGATGACGATATCAATATCGTTGATGATATGATATCAGAAGGAGAAAACGAGAGTGATTCCGAATCTGATGTGATCGATATAGCGAACAACCAGATGATTGAATTAAGAGACGATACGATGTTTGGGCTGAATGAGGAGGATGAAGACAACGAAGACGATGACGACGATACAGAAAACCACGATGATGCCAGATTTTTCCAAGTTTTTGAACCATTCAGAAACACAGTAATGACACAAGTTAGAGAAAATAATCAACTTACAGCACCCTTGATAGAATTGTTTGGACCTCGTTTCACAGTCCCAAGAAGAAACAATGCATTACAGATAGACGACAGTGATGAAGACAACAATATACAACAAGACGGTAACGATGACGACGACGATGACGACGACGTAGTCCAGGGACCAAATGACCCATTCATGGAGACAGATAACAATTAAGCATACGTTAACCAATGTTTTTGTTTTTTACAAAAACAAATACATATAAGCATATATAGAGTCTATATGATAGTTATAAAAGCCAAGTCTAATGAATCAGGTACCGACAACTTAAAACTTGAAACTTGAAACCAGAGATAAGAATCAAAGCAAGAAATGTATTCATTGCAACATCAACTGGAGTGGACAGATCAGTAATCATATTCATATTCATATTCATATTCATATTCATATTCATATTCATATTCATCATTAAGCAATGAAGTAAAATGCTTTACTACGAGCCAATGAGATGTTGGATACACACACATCTCAAAAACCTTTAAAGAATCTCCCCGTTTCGAAACCAAATCCATCAACTTTTTTTTTTCACCTCTTTTAGGCACACAGCAAAAATGTTCACCATCGACCGACCAACCAATATCAAATTTTTAAAACCGATACTTTAAGGTGAAGAAAGTGAAAAAATGGATAGAATTTGGGAGTTCAACAAGGATTTAAGATATATATAAACAATTCTTTGATTGTATTGTATTGCTACTGTTGGAGGGCTACTATTTATCTTTAGTTTGAGTCAGAGCAGTGTGTTCACATATCTATAATTTAATCTATTCAAAAAATGGTATGTTGTAATGTTTTATAAAGTTGATTCCAAGAGAGCTTACATGTTATTTACATTTGCAGTTGCATTTTGTGTAGATGGGATTTAAAACTGATCCAAGCATGGTGAGATGATTGATCTTTTGTCTCTGATGTACTTACGTCTTTTTGGTTTGAGATTCAGACGTGTTTAGCTCGTTGGGATTGTTACTTTTATTGATGTGTTTGTTATGTTTTTGTTTTTGTTTTTGCCTTTTTTACTAACTAGATGGAGTTGTTAAATGAAATATATAACCGTTGATATGTTTCATATTTAATTCAATTCAATCCAATTTATTGTAGTCATTCGCAACTATTTACAGAGTCTTTTTTAAGAGAAACGCAGTCTTTGTTGGTACCATCTTTGCTGCTGGTTTCGTTTTCCAACCTTTATTCGATTCAGGTATCACCTCTTGGTATGAAGCTCATAACAAAGGTAAACTATGGAAAGATGTTAAAGCTCAGTTACAATTAGTTGGTGATGAAGAAGCTGCTGATGACGAATAAACAGTTCAAAGTAAGAAATGAAAAAAAAAAAATCTCTGTTAATTCTGTCTAAACAAATTACACATTTCCACTGTTTATATTATCTTCTTCATATTCGTCAACGAACAATTATATTAAAACTTTAACAATGATATATGTTACTAGTCTAAGATTTATTGGTTAATTGATTAATGATATAATTAATTGATCAGTTAATCTATGTTTGTTTATATTTTTTTATCCCCCTATTTTTGCTATTGGTCCAAACCAATACTTACTTTATATATAGTACTTTTATTTTCTACTATTTATTCATTTATTTATTTATTCAACTTCCATATTCTAATAGGCATAGATTTTCTACTAAAAAGCGTACTCTTGAATCTATTTCGATATCCTTCATCTATAATTTATAATTCATAAAAGGATCAATCCTGAGATTCAATTTTCTACATACATAACAGTAGTATCTCATCTGCATGACCAACCAGTCATCATTACAATAACTATTGACTTAGTAGTGCTTTGTATTTTTGAAAATATCTATCTATGTACACATTAAAGATATAGAGAATATATATTGTTTATAAAGTTTGTTTGTTTGCATTGGGTGATTGGTATTATATATGTGTGATTCAGACGCATACGATCACCAAAATTTCCACCAACTCTTAGTATTTACAATTTCTTGAGTCTTTTGTTCACTTTTCTGTCTGATTTCTGCCAATTCTTTCCTTATCCTTTGTAACTCTTCTCTTTGAGCTACATCTGCTCTAGCCTTTTGGAACATTTCCTTTTGCTGTACAGTTTCTGTATCTTTCTCCCATGGTGACTTGATTGGACCTGTCTTCCAAATTGGTTGATCACTCTCAGCAGTGGTTTGAACAATTTTCATCAGTTCCTGTTGTTCAGCTTGACGCAACTTCCTTTCAGTTTCATATTGTAACCTTAATTCAGGAGACAAAGAGGCAATCAATTGCTCGTCAGTTGGAGTAGTGTATTTAAATAAAAGAGCACCGGAACCAATAATTACACCTCCAACTGCATAAACCTTTAACCAACGAACCCATAATGGAGACTCCATATTTGATCAAAAGCCTTTAAATATTGTATAGAATAAAATAATATTAAAATCAAGTATTGCTGATTTCCCTATCGAAAGAAGTTCGAGTAAAAAACAACTACCCAAAGAATCGATAATTATAAAATAGATTAGACAGTTTCCCAATCCAAATTATACTCTTCTTCCTTCTTGTTCTTGCTGTTTTTATATTCAGCCATATTGATCTTTAAATTCATCAATTTCATTAACCGATATTTTTTTTCAGTATGGGAGATGCCTTTGTAGAATGTCCCCCCCCTCTCATGTCTTCTCTAGTATGGGATAATGAGGCAGACCTCTGTAATAATCGATAAAATTATAAAATGTAGAAGGGTAAAGTTGGTATAAGAGTGTCATTACCATTCAAGATGTCAGTAATTTAGTGATGGTCACATAATATCTGCTTCAGCACCGATCAAATTTGTATAGTCTGGCAATTTTTTTTTGGATTATTGTATTCCAGATTTTTTGTAGAACAAGAATTTGGATTAGAGATGCTTTATTTATGTTTCATATTGTAAGAGATCATATCGTTTCTTTAATCTTTAGTAATTGATAATATTAAATAAATAAATGGTAGCAATTTATATAGTACAGTAATAATTCTTTTTTTTATTTGAGTCTATCATGCTTGAAACCTTAAGCTAACAATTCGTTGTACATGTATGGGGTGAAGACCTTGATAGCAGTTAATAGAATGGAGAAACCTTCTAAGAAACCAGCAATACCCTTTTCTTGAATGTTAATCCAGATGGCATAGAATGCAACAGAGAAGAAAACACGAGCTAGAACGAATGGCTTTGGCAAGACACCGGATAAGAAACGGATTGGAGTGTAGACACAGTCACCACCTCTTTGGAAGTATTTGAAACAACCCTTTTGTAAGACCTTCAAGTTTGGAGAGTCGGCAGCAAACAAAGAGTATAATGCGATGGATAAAGTGTTGATGACAGCACCGTAACTTCTCTTTTCGTAGTTGAAGTCTAAGATTTCATCCAAGACAGTTTCACGGTCAGCAAAGTCAATGTCACCAATCTTCTTCATTAATAGAACGACGTCGTTCAAACCAACGGTCATACCACCACCAGTCAATGGGTGTCTCATGTTCAAAGCATCACCAATGACACATAAACCTAAGATATCGTTAGCTCTGGCTGGCAAGTAAGAGTTTGGCATAGATTTGAACTTACCTTCAGCTAAAGCAGCATCGAAAGATGGACGCAATTTCTTTGGAATGTATGGTTGAACGTCTTTAACCATCCAAGATTTAATGTCAGATGGGATCTTTGGAGAGTTGTATGCACACAGGATTCTGGTTTCTTCTGGAGATAATTGGTAGACGATGATTGGCATGTGGTTGGTACCCAAGATAACATGACCGTGCATTGGAGCTGGCATGTTAGTGTTGTATAAAGCCATACCAACGAAGGAAGAGTTGACCTTTGGAACGTGATCAGGGTGTAATTCCTTTCTGAAGTGAGAGAAGATACCGTCACAGACGAAAGTTAAGTGAGCCTTGAAGACAACCTTACCACGGCCATCGATATCGACCTTGGCACCGTAAACTTCGTTTTTGTCATCTTTCATGATTTCGACAACGTTACCTTGTAAACGAGTGATGTTTGATTCTTTAGCAACGATCTTTCTCAAGTTGTCCAAGAATCTACCGTGTACGAAAGCAGCACCTCTTTCTCTTTCATCATATTCGAAATCTTTGATGTGAATAGTAGAATCTTCCAAGACTTTGTCGTTACCATCCTTAACGATGTCCTTTAATTTTTCAACAGCTGGGGAATCAGCCTTGTATGGATATGGAATATCGACTTCTTCACCGTTGTAAATAACGGTGTAACCGGTAACTGGCCAAGCTTCGATGTTGTTAATGGATTGAACCATACCTAAACTTCTCAAAGCTCTAATACCACCTGGTTGCATCAATTCACCGACAATTCTGTCTGGGTAGGACCAGTCTCTTTCAACAATCAAGACCTTCTTACCCTTTCTAGCCAAAGCGGTAGCAACACATGGACCAATGACACCAGCACCTACGACAATGGCATCGTAAGTGGTCTTATCATCAGCATTTAATAGTTCTGGAGCAACAACTTTATTTTCAGCCATATTTGTGAAATATTAATTATATCGATAATCTAATAATCTAATTTGATTATATTCCAATCTACAAACCTCTTGTGTCTTTTTATGATCCTTTGAAATATATTAATAACCGTTTTGTATTTTAAAACTAAACGATGTATATATATATAGCAACTATATGTTTGATCTAACAATTGATGATGATTGATGTTATACTATTACAATAGTAAAAAATAATATATATGTATAATAGTAAATATAAGAGACAAGTTCAACAATTATTGAAATTAAGGTTACTTGGAATCCAACAAGAAATGAGTTCATTGAAAAATGAAACCTATTTAAATGATCAATTAATCAAATCAAAAACTTTTTTTGTCTTCCAATTCATGTTTGATTTAACAAGAATCAGATACTATAACTAGTTACTAAAAGAAAAAAAAACTTGGGAAACGAGGGAAAATGAGCTTAAAGGTAAGAAATACATGCATGATGATGATAGATGGATGATACAGGCAAAGATTTTTTTTTTTCTTTTAATGAAATGAAGAGTATTAACACAAAAGACTACTTTAAATTCAATAAAATTGCAATTAATCGAGCAATATCCAATTAATATCACAGTACAAATGAATGTTTAAGAACGATGGGTTGTCATCGTCGTATTATGTCTCTCTTTCTCTTTAAACTAAGAAGTTTTACTTTTTACGTAGGTTCTTGCTAACAGGAAAGAAAAAAAAAAGCTATGAATGCTAGATGGATTGATAGTAGTGCTGGTGTTTTAGTATGGGAAGTTGTTATTCAATTCATTAATTCATTCATTGATGTTTTTGATTTTGAAAATTAAGTTATGGGAGAGAGTACAGTAACTGCCCTAATTATTATTGGTATAGTAGAGCGTTAATAGATATTCTTGTGAAATTTAGCAAGCAGACCCAGAACGAACGAAGGAACAAGTGCAGAGGTTAAAGAATGAAATACTGTATAACATAAAACAATAGGAACTAATTCAATGCTCTCTCTAGGTTAGTTCACGAGATGCTTGGTACTAGTAGGAAATAACACTGAAGTTGCATAAAATAAGAGGTAAAAAAAAAAAATTGTGGCCCTTGTACGAGCCATGAGCTCATCGTCGATTTTTGTCTACGGGGCTTTTTTACTTTTAACCGTATGATTGCAAAAATATTCAAGATTGAACTTTTGCTCAAGGTATTAATTTACTATTGGTATATGATGTTAGATAGATTCGATCAGATCATACAACCTTGATTGATTGATTGATTGATTGATTGAATTATGAGGACAATTGGTGTATCTTTAGAAGGAGAATTCACATATGCAACAAGGCGACAGGTAATGTTGCATGTTGTCTTTTAGTTATTTGCATTTTTATCTTGATGTTTGTGTTTTTTCAGTAAGTTGTATTAATTTTAGGTCGTCACAGTACGTAAAATTATAGTGATTGTTAAGTGCCAATATTTTTTTTACAGACTTCGTTTTGGTAATCAAACTCAAATAGATGACAAAAAAATGTATATTGAGTTGCTTGTTTGATGTTGCCGTTCCTTGTTATTTACCATCCTCCTCCAGCGGTACTTGTGTTCACTAGAAACAAGACAGTTACCTCTAATTGCAGCTTGCAACCATTTAGAGAAAGAAAAAAAATCATTTATACATAGCTAAAGGAAAATGGATTAATGAAAAATAAAATAAAATAATAAGCACACATAGATACTAACAGTAGTAGTTGCTCAGTCAGTCCAATCGATTCTTAGACTTCACTGACAACGTTAAGCTGGTATGCTCGAAAATGCTTTGAGTGACTGGTATAAACTTCTTGTGAACATATTCTCATTATGAAAAAAATAAGAAATTAACAAGAAAAAAAAAAAATAAGGAAAGGATTCCAAAGCATTGCAAAATAATTAATAGAAATCAAATATTCATATGACATGATACGAAGTTGACAGGATATTTTAACAGGCTTTACCAAGTTTAACCAGAAAAGAAATTCAGTTCATATTGCGGGATTACCTTCGGGTACTTGTCCAATAGACCAAACAATGCTAGATACCAAACCCAGAAGATCAGCCCCAATTAGAACTGTTCTTAACGTTTCTTCACCCAGACAGGTTTCAGCACAATTCAATACGACACAATATCTGATATAGTAGCATATTATAATATATTCAGTTTATAAAACAGTATCCAGCAATACAAAAAACTCCCTCTGTAACCTCATCACCATCTTGATTGAATAGGATATACCTTCATGTATTCTATTCTTTGTTTGTTCTCTTCAAAAATATTGCTCTCTGAAATAATAAAGTTACACAGAGCTCGACGCACAACGGTGAAACAGAAAACTGAATTTTGAGTAGAAAAAGAAACGAATTTGTGTCCTCGAGCGCAGACGTTGCCGTAGTCCGATGACATCGGTGAAAACTTAATAAAAAGAAACAACCTTTATTTCCTGTTATGGACTAGCGTGTGTTCTGCATTCGGTTCTGAGTGGAAATTACGCATTTCTGATGAAAAATCAAAAAAAAAAAGAAATTAAAAATGTTTTGCTAAACGAGCTGCAATTTCCGAATTGGGAATTATCTGTTTCGAAAACTGACCGGTAGAGGTTTTCCTATAATTGTATTCGATTTTGCTTAGTTTTGCCGCTGTAAATTCATCTTATTTGCTTGTTACTAGCTAATTCATATTTTGGACGTTGATCTTGTCAGTTTTTTTAATTGCTTGTAGATTAGTTGGTTATACTACGAGAAGAATTTAACCTTATTCGAGCAGAGATTCTTTTTTTAGCTTTTATTTTAACAGAGATAGAAAAAAGTTACTTAAACGAATTACGTCCAAAAATAAGATAGGATGGATAATATAATCAAAGAAGAAAATAGCTAGGAAAGGAGAACCTACACAACAATATCTACAAAATTAGAATGAACGGAACAATGTATTGGCAGCTTTCGTTTCGTTATGTTAACTTCGGTGTCCTTAAAGACTGACTGTCTCGTTTTGTTTATTTATTTTATTCGCTTTCGAAGAATTATCCCTAATGGGTTAGAACGACTTTCCTCGTTAACAGTGTCACAATATTTAAGAAGTATTTTGCGAATAGTGAGTGAGATTGCAAGAGACTGTGCTAAGAAAACTTAGAACAACGAGAAGAAATGAATATGATTAGATGTTAAATATTAAATGCATAACAAATTCTTATCTGTGGAACCTTTGACCATGAGTAGATGTAATGAGTTGAGATAAACTTCGATGAATTGAGGTGAGATGAGATGAGATGAGATAAGATGAGATGAGATGAGATAAGATGTGATGTAATTCCGTTTGGCCACTGTACTTTACAATTGTTATGTTGAAGCCTTTCTACAATAATTAAAAGAAATAAAAAAATAAAAATGTGCCAGAAAATATTCTAATTCTTGCAACCCAAACGACAAGATGTCAGATCTGGGACTCTTTCGTTTGAGAATTGTTATTCTGTAGACATATGTCAAAAATAATAAATAGAAAAATAGAATATATGATAATTCATATTCGTATCATAATACTATTCTAAGCCTCTCCATCTTTTCGAATTAACGTCAACCCCACTTCATTCAGATATTAATGCTTCGATATTAAATAATGATATCTTAGATTCGTTTAAGACATATCCAATATGAAATAAGGGTCGTTAAGATTCTTACTATTTACATAATCAAAATACATAGCTATCTTAAAATAAATATTGGTAACTAATTAAAGGTAGAAATAGTAGGAGTCAATCGAGTCGAATAATTTGCAGATATATTAATTGTCAAAAGATAGTGATATAATAAAGCATTAATGAAAGTCAAAACTGATAAAACATAATTCAACCCTATAAACTCTGTTTAAAGTGAATTTCTTCATAAATTAGCAAAATTGATAATAGTTTCTTTGTAGTGTTTGCAGAACTTTTCAAAGGTTTCTCTGTCATTAAATGCATCTCTAACGACACTAATTCCGATATTCAAACCGTTAACATTAGTTGAACATAAGCTTAATCCAAATGTAAACTTCATAGACCCGAAAGTTTGTGCGAATATTAAATCATTTAAATAGTATTCATTTCTAGTGTCTTGTGGGAAGAAACCAAGGTTACTCAAAATAACACCACCGCGCTTTTGGTTGACATAATCCTCTTTAATTAATTTATCAACATTTTTGTTCTTAACTATGAAGTCACTCATTAATAAACCAAATCCAACAAAGGTATCACCATTATGATAAGCTTTTTGATAGTTGGCATGATAATAATCTACCAATGACCAGAATGTCTCAGCTTCATCATTCTTAATGTTAAAAGAGGAAATTAAATTAAAATAATGGATACCACCAACATTAGACCCGTATTTGTAAGAATCTCTTAATTCAGCATCTTCTGGTAGATATTTTCTTGCGTTAACTGGCAAGACAGAATCTAAACCCCATTCAAGTAATGTCTTTTGAAAAATAGTACCAAATTGGTATAATGTAACGAACAGACATGTTTGTAAAAATGGCGTAAGAGTAACGCCATTGTGTGTGTTAGCTTTGATATGTTTTCTGATTTTACCAACTTCTTCGTTAGTGAAGTTTAAAATATAATCAAAGGTTTGCATATCTACCTTATCGACAGTTGTAGTCAAAGCACACGGGGACTTATAATTCAATTTGGTCCTAGCGATGTTTCCAATCATGAATTTTGGAAGCTGAGACAAAGACGGTCTGTATTCTACTCTTTCGGTAATTGGTTTAGGAAACTTACTGATATTTTTATGGTCTTTAGCATAATTAACTAAATTCATCCTTCCATTTACTTCAGTAACTGTTTCTGATGATTTATCATTCAATCCATTTACAATATCATGGAAGAAGTTCATTGAAGTCATACCATCAGCAGCACAATGGTTACTGATATAGACAAAAGCATGCCATTTCTTATCAGATTCTTTGGTTGGTAGACACAGTAATCTCCAATTTGGTTTGGTTTGATCACAGATAGGGATTGAGATGTCACCTATAATTTCAATCATTCTATTGGTATATTTATAACCATCACTTTTGTACTGATCCAACAATTTACCTACAATCGCTTCATATTCTGGTTGAGAGTTCAGTAAAATGTCTTCTAAATCTATGTTTTCCATCACTTTAATATAGTCATTAATTGGCTGAGGATTGTTTAAATACTCATCACTGGCATAATATTCTTCATGATGAGGATATTTTCTTGGCACGATGACATGCATTAAGATAGGGTATTTCAACAGCATTTGTCTAAAAGCAGTACCCAATTGGAACTTATCGATTGGTTCATTAATTTCACCATATACATTGAAATTCTTATAAAGGTTTTGTCTTTGTAATAAGGCAAAATAGTTCTCTAATTGACCCATTCTTCTGGCATGGCCTCTATCGACCAATTCTTGGGTGATAAATGGTGCATATTCCTCCATTATAGTATGTCTGTTACTGTGATAATTCTATAGTTAAAAGCTTATGATCTAATGTATGAACCGTTAAAAGTAAAAAGATATTCAAATATAAATATATTAGTTAGATCAATATAAATTTAAATGAATTGGATCCACAATTAGAAATTGGTAACTGTTAAAACCCAAAAATATGATACTGTTTTGACAATTGAATATATATACCTCTAAGAGAAGGAATTGGAACTTGAACCTCCAGTATTTCCAAAATGTACTACGTGACTTGTTTAAGATAGATAATGTAATTATGTAAACTAATGACAAATATTTTTTATTTTTTGATAAATTTCATCACTGAAAATATCTAACATACTATAAAATAAACGTAGTTTTGGTTACTATTCGTTAATGTACCATCAGAACAGACATTAAAGAAGACAACCTCTCGAAATAAGAAAAAAAGATTTTGATAGAAGAAGAAGTTGTCCATTTTTTGATCTCATCACATCATTCCATACTGGAAAATTTGCCTGTGATATATTCCAATGTTAATGAAAACCCGAAACTACTACACCTTTTACGGTTACCTCTTTAACTTACGTCATTATAGTATCAATTTAAATAGATCTATGTATTTTTAAGCAGTTTATAGTCTTTAGTCGATAGCATTAGATAAGTTCCATGAACTAAAATGTATACATGTCAGTATGGATAACGTGAATTGGAAAAATTTCCATTGTATCATGTCTTGTTTCAAGTAACTTGTAAAGTTTATTTTGTTTGAAGATTTTGACTTGGAGATAAAATCCTAGCTATTCTTGCATGTACAGACATGGATAGTTTCTTATATTTAGTTAAAATGGGTATAATTCAATAATAATATGCGAATTGATGTAGTAAGTTCTTCCAGTTGTAGGTGATTACCATGGCAGATTGTCTGGAGTTACGGTGAATAATTGATGTGTCATGTGATGTATATATAAAATACGACTTTTCTTTGAAGCAGTCTCAAGACATTCGGTTAACTAATTTGGATTACATTAGGCTTGCTTGTTTTTACATAAGCAGGTAGGTTAAATTGTTCTTATATCATTAAACTCATCGAATATAAATCATGAAATTCTTATATAAATAATAATTATAAGGAAATGGGGAGGGGAAGGGAAGGACAATTCGAATCTAGGATTGAACTTTTATTCTTGATTGACTATTAACTTTTTATCTTTGTAGAGGTGTGCTGGATAGGATTTAGCTACGATTTTCATAATTGTTCTTGTTATGGTTATTTCCGTGATTATGGTGGTGATTATAATGATTGTTGTTGTGATTATTTCCCCTATAGTGGCCACCAGTTGAATTTGCATTATTACCCATCATAGCTTGGAATGGAATACCGGTAGGGTATCCATATGCAGCTACTGGAGCACCAGGGATTCCATAAGCTGGACCAAATTGCTGAGAGGTGGCTTGTGGAGATACAGGACTTGTAGCATCATCGGTACCTCCCATGACACCCATCATCTGAGGCATTGATGGGTAGAATACTGGTTGAGGTTGGAATGGCATGTACATTCCCATCGCACCGTTCATCATTGGGTTACCTGATCCTGTATTCATTGGGTATCTCATCATGTTGCCCATTGACATTCCCATTTGCGAGTTAGCTAATGCAGCAGCATTCATCGAATTCATTTGACGCTGTTGTAATCTCATTTGGGCCTTTTGAGCAGAAACTCTTTCATCAGGGAACAGATTTTTGTATGATTGTTCAATAGTACTATCCCAGGTTGGGGCAGTAAAATATGGTTTTTCAATCATAAATCGTTCCATAGTCTTGGACTCAGATTTGTCAGAGTTTGACTTCAAATCATAAGCTTCTTTTGCCTTCTTGAACATGTTGAAGTTTTGAGTAAATAACGCTTTCTTGTTATTATTAGCTTGTGGAACCTTTGAACCAAAGAATGATGCTTGAGAATGTCTCTTGGAACCAGTTGAAGATCTACCTGAACCTGATTGTTGAGACTTGCCATCACGAGTCCTACTTTCGGATTTAGAAGTTGGTGCAGTCGATGAAGACGATTTTGTATGTTTCTCGTTAGATTCACCTTTAGAAGTTGATTTTTTAACGAAATCTTTCATATCTTCAGGAACTTCGTATGGAACTCTAAACTTCTGGGAAAATTTCTTTAGATCTTCGATCTGGGCATCTTTGCCTGATATTTTTGATGATTTGGCACCAGAACTCTTTTCATCACCCTTTGACTTTGTTTTTGAATCTGCTTTAGGTTCCGTCTTGGTTTCAATACTAGTTTCAACCTTAGTCTCAACCTCAGTTTCGACCTTAGCCTCGACCTTAGTTTCAACTTTAATCTCAGCCTTAGTCTCAGCCTTAGTCTCAGTCTTAGTCTCGGTTTTAGCATCTGCTTTTGGATTTGACTTGGTTAATGGGACATTTGAATCTGCGACTGTTGTGTTAGTGCTAGTACCTATAATATTCGAACTCTTGCTACTAGTAGTATTAGTAGTGGTAGATGAAATAATAGCAGGGTCATTATGATGTGGCTGGTTTCTCAAAGTTGGAGGAACATATTTTGCAGGTTTAGCTTCTGTTGGTTTTGATTTTGACTTCAATGCGGCTAACAACTCATTGCCTCTTCTATCAACACCTGAATATTTATCTTCTTCATCTAAACCAGAGTCGTCGACAATAATACCTCTATCTTCTGCAATATGAATATTGCCAGAAGTACCTTGAGATTCAATTTCTTTTGCAATTCTTTCTGCTTCCTTCAATCTTTTTTCAAAGTTTGGATCATTTTTATTGATTTTGGTAGTGTATAAATGTTCATCAAAGGTAGATTTAACACCAAATTTTTTTTCATTGACTGCAAATTGATCCCAATTTGAAGAAGATTCTTCCAAGGTCTGTTGTTCCAATGGTGCCATATCATCTACATCTGGAGTCCATTTTTGTAATTCACGCTCTCTTACGTTGTTACTAGCACGAGAAATATCGATATCGGTTCTGAAACCTTGTTTTATTTCTTCTTGGATTTCCTTCTTTGCAGATGCATCGATTTCAGCTTTCTTATTTTTTTCAAATTTATCATCCAAACTAAAATCTATATCATTTAATTCTAATTCGGCTACATCTTCACCACGGATTAATAAACTTTTACCCAATTTGTTCGAGATAACGTCGATGTCATCAGAAAATTCAGTGGAGATAACTTTTGGAAATTTCAAAACAATATCAATACCATCTTTAGATTCTGGATTACAAGAGACCAAAACACCAGAATATTTAATCCCGTTAGTGGTAGTAGTAGTAACATTGGAACCAATACTATTAATCAACAAATAATCCTGACGATCATTGAAGCTATTGGTAGTCTCGGCACTTTCAAAAAAGATGTTTGAACCATTTTGTTGATTAGAGGAACGATTACTAGAACCAAATCTATTTGGAGAACCATTCTCACGCTTCTTATTATGACCAAAGTTTCCCCTCATAATTTTTTTTATCCTTAATTAATGATCAAAGTATAACAATATATCTATATCAAAAAAAATTGATGATGGGGTTAGCAATTGTCGGTTTCTAATCCAAAGTATATGAATGAAATAAAATAAAATAAAATAAAATAAAAGAAACACGACAAGTATCCTCCACAAAGAGCCAACAATCCTCTAATCAATTAGTTTCCTAAGGGTATATAATAAGAATATATTCAACTAATTGTATAATTTGACCTAGGTAACTATCGTTAAAATATCATTATTTTTGTTAATTTTCTCTTTATAGCCAGACCAGCCTTAAAGTTTTGATATTCAAAAATATTTAAAGAATTACGTATGGAGTGATGAGTATACCAATTATATAAGGACCCTTATGATATCGATGGGTGATTACTAGTTATAGATTGAGTTGGTTCATTGACAAATGATCCTTCTTGATAGATATTCAGGTACTCGAGAAATGGAATATGATTTAGTCTATATAATAGTTTTAACTAATAAGTATATGCTGCATTCGTCCCCGATACCAGAAGGAGAATCTTACTCTTGAAATTCACGACTTAGCTCATTTACTTGAGTATACCTACAAGGTACTAACTTCAAATATAGTAATGGTATGGGCAATCTGGGAATCTAGGATGAAATTGGTAGTCACTCAATTGTATTTGAAGTCCCTTATATACCTTTGTTTTTGATATTGTGCCGCAGTAATACGAATATAATCTGCATTTTACCTTTAGATTACTGTCTCTGTAATAACTATAACAAGATGGTTTTCCTCTTTACCTCTTGAACTTTCAGCGTTCGACAACCGATAGCTGCTTGTATTAAATTGGGTAAGGTAACTTCATTGATGATCCTATGGATGTATCTAAACCCATAGGAGGCCTGGTAAATGTTCCATATTCATTTCATTTCATTAGATTGCCTATCTCTTTGGAATGAGTTTTATCTAGGAATTGTTCAATATTTTTGTATAATTCCTGTTTCGTATCTTTATAATCTGTCAATGACGGTAAATACAACGATACTGTTTCCAATTCAATATTCGATGATAGATTTTTATGCAATATATTAGTATTGTTTGTGTTGATATTCATATTCAACTCTTTTATTTCTTTGCTATGCATTTCTGTATTGTTTGAAGATACTTCGTCATTATTGTCTAGAAGACCATATGCATTTGTGATTGCCTTGTTTAAACTGGGGTGTAAGTCATTCTGTATCAGTCTTTCTTTTAACATCTTGTGGTTACTTCTCCTTAGGTTAACCAATAAATCCTTTGCATCTTGTAATTCTTTTTCCTCTTTGACCAATTCTATTTCAATCATCTCTGCGTTTGTTAATTCCTGTGTATATCTATTTTGGATAAATTTCCTTTTAGCAAAAATGTACTCTATATCTAAATCATGGTCTGCCAGTCTAGCTGGGAATTTAGATTTTCTTAATTTTTGTTTTATTTTTGCTATAATATCATTCATAACATCTTCCTTTTGTAGATAGACTTGTTTGATTTCCCTTTCATTACGATTCATTAGTCTTTCTAGATCAGTTCTATACTTTTCAAACACACTCTCTTGTGCAGATCTAAAATTTATATCTAATAATTCAATTATTGAATCAGTCATTGCAACGGTAGGTCTCTTCCAATTCTTAATTTGATAATTATTGGGTAATTTTTGTTGAAATTCCCTTCGAATGACTTCTTTAAACTCCCAGGGACGTACCTCATCATCAATATCATCTTGGCTTTCCACTCTAACTTGACTAAACCTTACCTCTTTCCTCTTAGGCATTGGATTCTCATTCACTGGTTCCTCATCAGACTCTTCGGAGTCTGAGTGGAATAACCTTTTAGCAATTCTACGATTCTCTATAGCAATATCTCGTTGGGCATCATCATCTCTTTCAAAAGTAATATCACTCATCTCTTCATCAGGACTACTACCTGCGTAAGACCGTTCAGAAGCATCATCGATACCATATTCTTCATCAGTATCATCTAGAATATTTCTTCTAGAAGACATTTCTATATAACCACACTATATATAAGAATAGCCACTGTCAAATACTAGAAATGTCAAACAATTACCTTATTCTAATTATCCTGTTATTCGATTCAAGAATCCTTTTACTCATCTCGAATCAGATAGGGCTGCCTGCCGTTTGTTATTGTTCTTATATCATTAGATCAAGATTGTTTATAAATTATTATCAAGAGGTCACATGACTGGAACTTTCAATGTGAAGATATCATGAAATGACGAATACAAGACAGTAATGAGCATCAAGAATAGCAAATGACGAATGCTGATATGGTGGGAAATTACTTATGAGAAAGAATTCAATTGGTTTGGTATTTATTAATTATCAAAGTTGATTCATGATTTATTTTCTAACCCTAGGAGTATATCGATAAGTAATATAGAAGAGGTATACATTCCATTCTAAAATATTGGTACTGTGAAAATTTATTAAATGAGGTAATTAATTATTTATTATATAAATTAGAGAAATGAATGAATGAAATGATAATGATAAAAAATGCGGGATTTTAATAAATGAAATCTTTTAATTTTAAAAAAAAAAAAATTCATTATATTTATTTTGATAATTCTGAAGCGGTTGAAGATGAGTTCAATTCTTCTTCTTTATAAGCTTCACCTTCTTTGCCAATGGAACCGTTTTCCTCGTCGGTTTGGGTAGTTTTTGTGGTGTCGATGGATGGAGAATAGGCATACTTTGATCTTTTTCTAATTCTAGCACCATATATGTAGAATAAGAATGGAATACCACAACAAGCCAAACCAATGAAAGCCATTAAAGTACTAGCCCATTCGTAACCTAGTCTGTGGTACATTTGAATGGTGAATAATGGACAAGCACCACCCCACATGGATCTGACGAATGTTTTAGCGGCTAAACCAGAGGCTGCATAATGTTGATATGAATCGACAATATAATTGTTAGCTGGGTTATACAGTAAGATGAAACCTAAACCACATGCAAAACCACTGAAACAAGGACCTGCCCAAGAGACATGAGGGAAAGAGGTCCAAGCGTAACAGAATAAACCAATAGGGACGAACCAACAACCAGCCATCATTGGGATTAATCTCAATTCAGCTGGAGGAATTTCACCACGGTCGATATAACGTTGAGCTCTTCTGTTATAATCGTTGTTAAAGACAGGAGATAGAGCGGTACCGACAAGAACACCTACACCGATTGGAATGAACATGATACTTGTTTTGATGTCACCCCAGCCTTTACCTTCGCTGTAGACCAATGGGTAGGCAAAGAAGAACATGTACAATAAACCGTAGATGACAGACATATATAAAGTGACTAGGAAGACAATTAATTCAGTTAATAAAATGAAAGGTCTTAGCAAACTATCTTTGGCGACTTCAGATAAGCTTCTAATTTTAATTTCTGAGATAGCTCTGTAAGAAGCATCACCAGTTAATTTTCTTAATTTTTTAGCACGTTTCTTCAAAATAGTTTGATGATGAGTTTCTGGTAAGAAAACAAAAGCGACAGCATATAAACAACCACTGAAGATGATCATGAATATGTAAACCCAACGCCAGCCACATTTAACAGATAACAAAGAACCGACAATTGGACCCATGACAGGACCTAAGAAAGGAGCAGCGGAAAAGATAGCCATTGCTACACCACGCTCTTTCACTCTCCAGATGTCACTCAAACTACCACCGATTAAACACATTGGGGCGGAGAAAGCCAAACCATCTAAGAATCTAAAAGCCAATAAAGTACCGATGTTTCTTGGTACAGCACAAGGAATAATGAAGATAACGGCGACTAATAAAGTGGTATGATAAATGGCATTTCTACCGAATTCTTCACTCAAAGGAGCGAAAATCATTGGACCGATACCGAAACCCCATACCATTAAAGATACAGTTAGACATATGACTTCAATGGAAACATTGAAATGTTTTGCTGGCGAATTGATATCACCTGTGACAATAGCAGACATCATAGCGACATCGAAACAGATGATACCTAATAAAATTGTGATATTCCATTTTTGTCTAGTGGTCCAAGTACGTGGATCATCTCTATCGTCATCTACAAATTGAACGATACGGAACCCAGTTTCTGAATCGACAGGATATTTCCATTTATCTTCGTCATAGTAGGTATTATCGATAGCAGGAATAATTTTCTCATCATCTTCTTTATCGATCATTTGTTCAATTGGACCAATACCATGAGTTGAAGATTCATAACGAGACAAAGTTCTCTCTATACCATCTTTGTGAGAAGCGATGATACTTAAAACTTCTTGTCTTTCTTCAGCCTGGGTCATATTAGTACGAGTTCTTGATAAGGCGATTGAAGGGCGGGAGATGACATCATCGTCAGTTAATTCTACTGGGAGATGGTCATTGTGACTATTGTTATTATCTTGTAATTGTTGTGGAACGTACTGTTCGACAGAGGAAGTGTCACTTTCGTAAGCTTCGCCTTTTGAATGTGACATGATTGTAGCACTCTTTTGAGTATTGACGTTGTTTGTGTATATTGGAAACTGAGAGGATAGGAATATATGAGAATGAGAATGAGAAAGAAAATGATGGATAGGAAACGAAAAAGGATGAAACTGGAATTGAACAAATATGGATACCCTTTATATATGTATGTTAAATGATGGATGGTAAAAAGAGGGATTATATTGCATGAATTGGATCTAATGGGTTCCTTAAATGGTGAAGATGTTGTTGTTGGGCATCACATTAGAGAAATAGTAGTTAGCCGACAGTGGATAGGTTCGATGAAGAAGGAAAGAAACAATAATAAGAATAAGAAAAATTTTTTTTCTTATTCTTATTCTTATTCTCCTTGACTTGTTGTAGTTGTTGTATGGTAAGGTGGGTGAATAGCGGCCTGAAAAATTAGGTTACTACTTAGCAGAGGTTACTTCTTTGCATCGGGATCACTGAGTAGATCAGATGAGCTTAGTTGTAGTCCGGGACGTGTCTGTGCCTAGTTGGCGGTCGAACAGGTATTTTTCTCTTACGACAACAAGAGCCGAACCGAACATCGGCTGTTAAATTAAATTCCATACAAAAAAAAGAAACACAGAAAAAGAAAAAAGGCCAAATGCTCACTAGATATTCGATTCGCGGTTGTGGGCGGTACAGCCGTTTCTCTCCGCGCAGACTCGCCGATGATCTGACCTTGACAACAGCGTTCTTCCTCTCTTTCGGGCATTTTTTTTTGGTGTCTCTCTCTTCTGCTTGTGTGAGGTGCATGACAAGGGAAAAACGGTTGTAAAGCTGGTATTGGGTCGCTAACAGCCGTCTCATCGCCCGCACACCGCACTGTGGTTCTTGCTACTAGTAACCGATAATACAACCAAAAAGACTGACTCGACCGTAATATATCGAATTAGGTATCCCTCTCCAGTGGGTAACAGCCGGTTTACTACAAATACAGACAGATAACACACACGCTTTCAATGAGGGTCACATGATCCTGTCAGTTCTTGCCTCTTTTGTCTAGAGTACCGCACTCCTAAACATGCTCTTTCTCTTGATTAGGAACTTGAATCATTCGGTAACTATGATCATATCTTCAAGAGATGGAATCGAGTCATTGCTTTTGCCAAACGGGATATTATATCTCTCACACTTCCTTATTCATCTTTACAGGCGATCACATACCGTTTGTAATCTCGTATTTAACATAACGTATAAGGAACCTGATTGGGAATCCAGATACCTTTTCCCTCTCATTTGAGCCATTAGTTATATTCACACAGACAATTCACAAAAAAGAAACCAACCAACGGCAGATATATATAAATATATATATAACATGTCTTGCAACTGTTCATAATTCTCTCGGTTGTCTGTCTCTACCGGCTGAGATACATCTTGCAAAGAACCGGGGATCTTAAGATATCTGAATACCATTTCCTGCCAAGACAACTAGGATGACCTTGTCTAGCAATTAATTGAGTGATTAATGTCTTCAAGTGCGTGTGTCTGTGCATGATCTATTCATATAGGCTCGTTTGGATGACCTGAAATGTAGGCGTATTCCATCAATTCAAGTATTCAGGGACTACTTTTTTAATCATCTTCACCTATCACTCCCTTAACGACAACCGGTTCTTATATGTACATACTTGGACTAGAATTTAATCGAAAACCTTCTTCACTTTTGGAGCTTACGGTTAGTACACGATTCTTCATATTATCGATATATTTTTTAAAACTGGATTGCATTGCATATGTAAAATTGACAGTGAAGTGGTATTTATGGACGGGATATCTTTCTGTCTTTTTAGGATTGTTCCACGAATAGGGGTATACTAGACAAGAGTAAATTGATAATGATTTTTCAAAACTTACTGTCATCAGCAAGTATCAGTAATTTTTCTGGTAATCCCAGGGGCCGCTACTGTTGATTTTGGCTGAGATGTAGGGTGAAATGACTAGTAGGCGTACTTTTCCATAATAGGATACATTGGATCTTCTACAGTTAACTATATCGTAGCTATATATTTCTTGATTCAATTTAGATGTAAATGAATTTGAATTTGATATATAGGTCGTAATATTTGTTGCCTTGGTTTATCGTCTTGGTATACTGACTTGTCATGACCAGTGTGTTCTTAAGTTATCTTTGGCTTGGATCCCGGTAGTACAAACAGTGTCTCTTTAACTTTTAATGGTAATATAACAATGATGGTAGGGTAAATGTTATTAAGCATGTGACTTAAAATTATATATAATTGCATACATTATATTGATTAAAAAGTTCAACGAATTTATAAGAGAACGACGTATCACCTCTTAAACTCATGTTACCATCGTTAATCTGAACAATACTTTGAGACGGCACAAGTGATCTATTGGATAATTGCCAATTCAGTGGTACAGATTACTAGTATAAAAACAATGATTATAACATATACAAGAAATGTAGAACAACACGAAACACCCTACTTCCTGACATGGTTGGTAAACTATATTCAGATTAAGATGTACAAATAGAACATTAATGTACAACTGAACATTTCAACTTGCAAAAGGATTACTAAATATTTACTCGTCTATGTTCTCGGAATAGTGTCTACCTTATTCTGTTCATTAAATTTTATGAATTGGAAGTAGTGTGTTTACACATGTTATGTAAAATTTTAAACTATAAATGATTAATTATTGAGTGAAAGTTTCCAGTTTCTCACTTAAAACTTTTGGCACATGACTGTCCATCTTCTTGTTGGGTATGTTTAGTTTCCCAAATTTCAACAAATAATACGGGCGTGTGGTCTAGTGGTATGATTCTCGCTTTGGGCGAATTCCGAGTTACACTTGGAATACAAATCATTCAAATATGCGAGAGGCCCTGGGTTCAATTCCCAGCTCGCCCCCATTTGTTTTTTAATTATTTTTTTCAGTGTTCTACAATGACAGAAGTTATGATGAATCTTAACTATAGTTACTGTATATCACCCTAAATTAAAAAAGAGAATAATGACTCCATTAGTAAAACTTAATTATTCATTATTTTTAATGCTTCAAAACTAAACATTATACATCACATATCTTACTGAAAGCAATGTATGAACGCTCTCTACCTCCATCCTGCCGTTGTTCAATTTTTATTTAAAATTTGTATTCTCATAGTTTATATATTTATATATTATTAAACTGTAAATTTAAGTATCAGTATCACCATATTCTAATTGTAATTCGAAAAAAAAATATAATAAACCAATATATGTTTATTATTATCCAAACAATTTTTCATTTTTTCATTTCATTAAAAATCTTCATCCAATGCCAATGCACCAGTTTCAACTTCAGTATTACTAGATTTTGCTATAACACTGGCTTTTTGGTAATCGGAAACTCTTTTTTCAAAGAAATTTGTCTTACCAGCTAATGAAATATTTTCCATAAAATCGAATGGATTTTCAACTTTGAAAACCTTTTCGTTACCGAATGCCACTAATAATCTATCAGCAACAAATTCGACATATTGGTTCATTAAGTCAGCATTCATACCTAGCAATGCTACTGGTAAGGCATCTGTGAAGTATCTCTTTTCGATTTCGACAGCTTCGGTGACAATCTTTTCGACGATAGCAGGGTCTGGTTTGTTTTTGATGTGGGAGAATAATAGACAGGCAAAATCGGTATGTAAACCTTCATCTCTACAGATCAGTTCATTTGAAAAAGTCAAACCTGGCATCAAACCTCTCTTCTTTAACCAAAAGATGGAGGCAAAAGAACCAGAGAAGAAAACACCTTCGATAGCAGCAAATGCTACCAATCTTTCAGCAAATAAAGCTTCACTATCGTTGATCCATCTCAAAGCCCATTCAGCTTTTTCTTTAATTTGTGGGATAGTCTCAATAGCATTGAATAGATATTGACTTTCCTTTGGGTCTTTAATGTAGGTGTCGATCAGTAAAGAGTAAGTTTCTGAATGGATATTTTCGATCATAATTTGGAAACCGTAGAAACATTTAGCTTCCAAGATTTGAGCCTCCACAGAGAAGTTTTCAGTTAAGTTTTCGTTAACAATACCATCTGAAGCAGCGAAGAAAGCCAAGACTCTTGAAATAAAGAATCTTTCATTTTCGTTCATTCTATTATTCCAATCGTGCAAGTCCTTGGACAAATCGATTTCTTCAGCTGTCCAAAATGAGGCTTCAGCTCTCTTATAAGCTTCATAAATGTCAGGGTATTGAATTGGGAAAAGTATTTTTCTATTTGGGTCAGCGACTAATAGAGGTTCTTCAGTTTCCTTTTCCTTCAATTCATGACGTTGGACTCTATGTTTAGCCATGAACTCTCTATGTTCTTCGGCAGCTTTACTCAATCTCAATTCAAAAGCTTCCTTATCATATTTATTTTCTTTTAAAGCCTCTAAAGTTTTACCTAAATTAGCTTGACCGTCCTTGATCTCTAAATCAGACAAAGCACTGGCTGCTACCTTTGATGGTGTTTCAGTATCCATATTTGAATCTAGTATAATGTATTGTAGTGTAGTGTAAGATATTAAATCTGAACAATTGAAAAGTACCTTAAATTTACCTTCCCTATTATTTCGTTCCTACTCTTACAGAACAAGGCCAAAAAAAGAATAAGAGTACCAAAATCAACTAACCTTAATCCAAAGGTAATATAAATACAATCTAAACAGAAACTTAAATTAGAATTAGAATTAGAATTAGAATTAGAATTAGAATAATCCTACAATGATCAAACTAAAAACCTAATCATACAAACTTACTATAAATACTAAAAGCTGCATTAAGACCTTCTTTGATCAAGTTATTTTTTTTCATTGTTGCTCGTTCTTTTTTCCCTTCCAGTACAATTTTTCATTTCCAATTTTTTTTTCACATCACCAACATTTTGGGTTGGTGAAGTTCTATTGAGCCAGGTGGAAGTGAAGGTGCAAGTGAAGGTGCAAGTGGAAGTGGAAATGGAAGGAACCAAGACCGATACATAGACACACAAGACTACCCAAGACAAGACAAGACAAATTACACTTTAGTCTTTGGTTCTTCTGAGGAAAAGCAATGTGGGAAATTTCCAAATTCACGAAAATACGATGTGGATGGATGCAACAAGCAACGACGGTCTAAAACACTCCCCCCATGGACTATCAAAGAGACAGCGAGGAAGTCCAAGAAACTATATTAATCAAAGTAATTTCTGCAGCAACAGCTGGGTATGTATCGATATCAATTTCATCAAGTCTCAGATTTAAACCTCTTTTGTAAGAAATTAGTAATTCATTTATTGTTCTAATGAGGAAGTGTTTGGCGTAACTGATGGAACTGGAACTGGAACTGGAACTGGAACTAGTACCTTATCCTGTTAAACTCGTGTCACTGATGGATTGAGTTCTCTGGTTCTTTGGTATCTTTAGTAAATATGTAAATGTCTGTGTGTGCTTTTTTAATTGGTCTTTCGTCTTGCATATTTCTTGATTCTTTCAGAACTTCGACCTGGACCTGGACTGGACCCTTTTGCTCCATCGTTCATCTTGATACAATGCAATTATGATCTATGGCTTTGTAAACTCAAAAAGCGTCAGTAGTGAAAACAGGATATAAAACTCACAATTGTAATGCAGGTATGAGTTCATTTACATATCATCTCTATATCTAATCTTGTTATAAAACCATGTATGTCTATATTAATTGTTCATAGTGGTTGGTCGATTCTAAACAAAATAAAAAAATTGATTATATATAGGTATATATAATAAATCTATATATCTTGACGTATATAAAATTAAATTAGTTTGTATGGCAAGGCAGGGGGGGGGGGGGGGGGGGGGGTCATAAAAGTTAATTATCTATTGGGAGGATAACCATATTTAAATTCAATAAAGAGATAGAAATATCCAGAACGATTAAATTAAAAGTCTTCGTTGAATGAAAATGTTGTGGTCTCAGCATCAGGTTTGGATGTCTTGGCAAACTCACTGGCCTTTTGTGCATCAGCAATTGTCTTGGCAAGTGAATTTGTATTACCTGGTAAGACAACATTTTCCATAAATTCATATGGATTGGTTGCATTATAATGTTTCTCATTACCAAATGCAACTAATATAGAGTCAGCAACATATTCAATGAATTGATTCATTTCATCAATCTTCAAATTGACTTTGATTATTGGCAATGCCTTTAATAATGATTTCTTTTCAATTTCAACAGCGTCGACGATAATTTTTTGAACGATTTCAGAGTCAATTTGATTCTTCAAATGAGCATACATCAAACAACAAAAGTCTACATGTAATCCACGATCTCTTAGCATATTATCAACACCTGTGACAAATCCTGGAATTAATCCACCTTTTTGGAATGATAATACTGAAACATAAGCACTCAATGAAAAAATACCTAAAACTGCAGCTTCTGCAATTAGTTTTTCACCAAATAAATTGTCTTCATTTTCAAACCAACTTTTAGCATATTCAATCTTTTCCTTAATGTTAGTCAAATCCTTTATTTCTTCAAACATAGAGGTACGCTTTTCATCGTCTTTAACTAATGAATCAATCAAGATACCATATACCTCTTGATGGATGTTGTCAACCATGATTTGGAAACCGTAGAAACATTTTGCTTCTGGAGTTTGACATTCAGCAGATAAATGTTCGGTTAAATTTTCTCTGTCCATATCATTAGAGGCAAACAGAGCTAACAATCTAATGAAATATTCCTTTTCATCTTTGGTGATCTTATCGTCATTCCAGTTTTGGATATCTTTTGAGAAATCAAGTTCTTCAGCAGTCCAGAATAAAGCTTCACGTTTCTTATAAGCATCGTAAATTTCATGGTACTTAATTGGGAATAAAACAAATCTACGTTTATTTTCAGTTAAAATAGATTCATCCTTTTGCAATTCTTTCAATTCATGACGTCTAGTCTTGTGTTCTTCCAAAAATTCACTTAAACCTTCATACATTTTCTTAAAGCTTTCTTAATTAATGTTCAATTGGGATTCTTGATTCAGTAGAATAGGGTCTCGAAATGTTTCCTCTTCCTTATAAATAGCCTAGTCGAATCAATTAATGATTATATTTTCTCCGTATGATCTAGTTGTAAGTAAAACGAGAATGATACAAAGAGAATTCTTAGAAATAACTACTAGTCAAATATAAAAAAAATCTATAATTAATTGATGTTCTTGGTTGTTTAATTGATGTAAATTTAACAATTCATCGATTAATTTCCAATTTAGCAAGCAAAAATGTAGTTGAAGTTTAAAAGAAGAAGTTTCTTGAGGTTTTATACGCGTTGCTACCGTTGCATGTGATGGATTTTTATATCGTTACCGATATAACGATGACAACGACTGTGAGATGATGATGATGATCGAGTAAGTGCTGGCTAATTGTAGTTTAATTTATTTCATTCATCCAAGTAAACTATATATTATATGAATTAAAGTATGACATTAATATTAAAAATATGTAATTATGAATAATTTGATTGAAAAAAAAAATCATTACTATACCATGGCCATGTAAGAAGATTTGTAAATGCATAGGAAGAGCCTTTAGTTGGGTGTAGAGGGTTTCATATCAAATGATGGTGTTAAACATGCTTAAATTGTGTTGATTTATTATTATTGTTGTTGTTGTCGTTGTTGTTGTTGTCGTTGTTGTTGTTGTCGTTGTTCTTATTCTTAGGTTTTAATGATGAAAAGAAGAGGAATGTTTGATTAATCTATTATTACTAAAATGCTGATATTTTTCTTGTCAATGTATCTAGTGAATCATTTCCATTCCCGTCATGTTCATTTTCTTCCTCTCCAGAATCAAATTTCGACCATCCTGTTAAATTCGTTACATAGTCACGGTGATAAAAAATAGGTTCAAATACACGTTCATTGTTTTCTTCAACAACTACTGTTGGAATATCATTCAACATTAAAAATCTTAATCTTGGGAATCTTTTCAAAAATGCTACATATGTTGTCTTGAACTGATGAATTAAGGCATGGTAACAACAAATAACATCATTTTCAGTTAATGCTGGATGTGGTAAAGAATAAGTTGCACGTTGTATGTCATTTAATATATCATCTATATCTGTTGACTTGATTTCCTCTTTTATAAGTTGGTTTCTACTTTGTCTGTAAATTAATAAATTTTCATTCATTTTCTTAACAAATTCTTTTAAATTCATAGGCTGTGTCCTTACACTTGGATAATAATCACAAGCTTTTGAATAAGGCAATAATGACAAATATCGCATCATTTTAAAGATATCCTTTGCTGCAATATCATTTACATCTTGGAAATAATAATCTTCAGGGAATAAGAAAATTTTTTTCTTTAATATCTCATTAAATACATGATCACAACTTTCACATTGACAATGTTGCGATAATATGAATTTATTACTTGCTTCATTTGATTCATTATCCTGTGATGCAGAATTATCCCTATCAATTACTTCTGCAATTGAAATAATTGAAGGATCTAAACCTTGAAATCTCATATCGATAAATTGCAAATTTTTACAAGACAACATCATTGTTAAAAAAATTTCAGGATTCGTGGACTCAGGTAGATAATCATCTAGGAAATCCATTTTTAATCTTTTCAATTTTGTTAATTTAGAAAAAAGTGGAACTAAAATTGAAGTATCTTGTTTTATTGAAATTAAGGATAAGTCTTCGATATAGGTAAATTCTTTAAAATCTTTGATCATTTCTATTTCTCTTTCCATTAAGTTTTCATTCCATGAGATGATGGTTAATACTTTTAATGACCTGACGTCAAAGATATTTGATAATTTCTCAAATTTATTTTTTCGTATTCTTTTCAAAAAGTATTTTGATTCGTAAAATTCACTTCTCCAATGTAGTTTCAAATCTACAATCTGTAATTTATTCTCCAAAGGATATAAGTAATTGAATAACTTTAGAGGATCGATAAATAAAGTCATATGAGATAATCTTGAGGAAATTCTTTGTCTCAAATACATTTGAGAATTTGGTATGTAATCATTCGGTACAGTCATTTCAGGTAATGAATTTGGAGGTGCTAAATCAAAACTTGTTACTTTTTCAGAAGAGATAGCACCGGTTGAGATTATGTCATTACAACCTGGGTCAGTGATGTTTTCCAATCTCTGTATAGATTTTCCGAAATTGCATAAAATTGATAATATCTTTCTTTGTAAATTTGAATCTAAATCCCAATTGATTCTAATCCATTGTACTGACTCTACACATAACTTTTTGTTTAGTAGTGTACTAATTAATAAGGATAGTTTATGGTTGGCAATTGCTCTCGATTCATCTTCGAATAAGAAAGACGGTATGTGTAATAAAGACCAGTTTATTGCTAAGTCCATGAAATCGCTTTTAACCACGTTAGAATCATTCAAGTAAATTCTTCTGTACAATAACTTTGTTGCGATTTTATTACACCTTTTGTTTAGGAGACATAGGCTCAATTTATCCGATTGTGGTAGATGTGAGAATAATTCTTGAATCAGCTCATCAGGTAAAGATTGTAGAGGGAAAGTGAAACTGTCCCTATCACAATCATCTAAATACTTCCTTTTCAAAGACATACGAGTATGATATTAGTCCAGATGTGATAATGAAACAGGGAAATAAAACAAAATGAAACAAAAAAGGGAGATAGATATTTTTCTTTTAAAGTCTGAAGAGTAGAATAAAACTTTTTCCAAAAATATATCAGCTAATAATGAAGTATGTTCCTTAGAAGATGATTAAACGACAAAATATTTTTTATTTTTTTCACAATTCAGTTTACTTGTTCCCTTTACTACAAAGTATAGGATATCGTAGTATGCATGTACAGACAGGGACAGAGATGGTAAGAGATGGATAAAGAGATAGAGTGAGAGAGAGAGAGACACACACACACACACACACACACAAAATCGAAGGGAAGAAAAAAGTACCTGGATATGAAATGTAAAACCCAGATAACCGACCAAAGGGATAAACAGAGGAACTAAAGGTGGAAACAAAAGAAGAACGACCACAACAGAATCAAATGGTCTTGGTAAAGGACTCCACTAAAATAAGCAACTTGGATAACCGACAGTAACCTGGCTCTCTATTCGAAGCTAAAGCAAAATCGATTTTGGAAACAGAAAAAATGATAACTAGAAAACAAATTACACTAGGGCAACAGGAAGGTTTTTTTCAATGTGTGAGAATCTAAACTTAAACCTACTACCTACACTGCAATGATGTGGCTAATCCAATGAACTGAAATCACTTGTCTCATCCGTTGTAGACCCAGTTAGTTCGATGGTTAAGTTATAATAGATAACCTTTAAATCAAGAAGATATTTTAAATTTGGTGCTGGTTGGGCAGAGAGGTCAAAAATTGAGGAAGAGGGCAGTTACCCGGCTGGGCTGGAGAGAAGTAGAGGCAGAGGCTGATGGACGCTGACAGAGAGAGAGAGAGAGGTTGTGTGTGTGTCACAGGCACAGCAACAACTTCTGAATATACAACTATATCTACATGTGCATCTACATCGATACCAGACTTTTGGGGACCTTATGGTCATCCCATCTGTTCCGAGTTCTTTTGCACATTTACAGTCGCCAATGAATGCATTCCATGCTGCAAGCCAGATATATAAGAAACACCCACAACAAATACATCGTTACTACAATTACAACCATATCTATAGATTTTTCTATAGATATGGTTGTAATTGTATATCACTAGATCGCTGGTTCCATCTTTTTACTTTAACGTCTGTTCCAGATCGCTATATTACGTCATCCCATCTCCCGAACGTTCAGAATGCTGCATCCAAATGATTTCGGAATTCAGGAGGAAAAGACAACCATCACTACCACCAGTTACTAAAAGAGGCTTATATACAGCTATCCTGTTCTTTAAACGTTTATAAACACTTGTATTTTAATATCTTACAAATACTCATCTTTAGGATACTGAAAAGGTCGAGTATTTCCTTTTAACTTTGTATTGGATCAGATATCTCTATTCTAGATAAAACAACACTTTTACTTTACCAAGGACTACAAAAATGTCAAACCAAGCACAAGAGAATAACAACGACGAAAGTGGCAGTCCAATCTTCTCAATAGATAAACATGATTTGGTATTGTTGATCATTGCTGTCTTTTTGCCTCCAGTTGCTGTTTGGAAGAGACGTGGATTTTTCAGCAAGGATTCGTTATTGAACGTATTACTATTTCTTTTATTCTTCTTCCCAGCAGTCATCCATGCTATGTTTGTCATCCATGAAACTTCTTTACAGAGAAGTCGTGGTCAATACCAACAAGTCAGCTCTAATGACAACAGCAATGTTGCTGTCGAAGAACAGAATGTTAATAAGCTAACTAATGTCCACGATTTGGAAGAAAACAGAGTGCCTCCTTTATATAACGACATCGTCAAGTCACCAATGAACGTATCTGATAATAAGATTCAAAATCCATAGGAAAGATGGTTCTATTTGATTTAATTTGATTTAATTTGATTTTACTTCATTCTAGTTAATTTTACATATACATCTATTCATTTTTTATAATACAAATATGCGATTTATCTTTTCATTCTGGTTCAACGACTGTCTCTCAACCGTAGATGATAGATGCGTAACTTATAAACTCTCTTTCATGACTAATTGGTTCTTGCAAAATGAACGTTAGTGTGTTTGATTTTTTTTATTTATTAATCGAGTTTTTATTGATTCAACTCTAGTGTATATAAATAGACGAATAGATAAAATATATAAGCGTTTTAGAAAGTTTGGAAGGGGGGTAGGTGAGTCTTGGGTTTCTTGATATATGGATTATAAAAATTCTTTGGCTTTTCTTCTGTATGCATGACAATCTCTTAACCATTGTCTATATTCCTTTAAGGAACCGATTTTTTCACCATAATAGTCTGGCACAGGATTACTGAAACTTTGTGAAGAAGCATCAACTCTGTTATGAATGATTTTTTTCAGGAATTCTTTATTCTTATTATTAAATGCAGTTAATTTACTTCTGTTTGACAATTGAAACAATTGAGAACCTAACAATGGGCCAAATAAGTAACCTAACGTACCGGATGCGATCAAACCTGCTGATATAACGACTAGCGGATCAAACCCCAATATAGTTTGGGTAGGATCGATCTGCATAGTTGATAAATAAGCCCAAGATACATTTGCACCAACCAAAGCAGTGAAAGCTGAAGAACCAACATTGATCTTTCTCTGCTTCTTTCTCAATTGGAAAAACTCAGTCCAAGTCAATAAATCATTCGATGAAGATGAAGATGAGGATGAAGATGTGACGGTTGAGTAGCTCATCGAACTTATTAGACAACGTCTAGTAGAACTACAAACAGAACGGTTAACAACAGATATCATTTCTCTTAAATTTTAATTGACACACTTTCTCTCTCTCTCTCTTTTGTCTGCTCCCCAGCACTCACACATATACAGATACAGACAGTAACCCATCAAGAAAGATTCTACCAAACAATAACCCTTCTAAAATACCATTCTATTCTTAAGTATACCTTTCCAGTTCATCGTTATTCAATTCGATTTCGATTCAAGTTGCTTTCGATTTCGATTTGGCTTTGGTTTAATTTTTCAACTTTGTATGGTGAGAAACGAGGAAAGCAAAGGGAAGGGAAGAAATAGAGGTTTTACACTGTGTAACAAATAGGAAACGTCAAAATGACGAAAACCCTCAATGACGACTGGTGACAGTATATTAATAATATATAATGCAATGGTTTCATTAATTTCGAATATGTGTTAAATATAAATAGGATATATAATAATGATTACTTTCAGTTAAGTTAAGTTAAGTTAATTGTAAGTGTAATTTAGTTTAAATATTACAATGAGTATATGTTTTTTGCTTGTATGAGATGTGAGGGTATTTCCACTTATATGGTGGAAGAGAACAGTTGAGATACTACTATTCTTGTTCATCTAAAGTCTTGAAGATGAATGGTTTTTGATCAGCTGGGAAGTGGATACCAGATTCTAATAATTTGACGTATGCTTTAGCGAAATCGTTGAAGAATAGATCTTGGTCGTTGGCATAAGCTTTGACCAACTTTAAGAACTTGTTGTCTTGTCTTAATGCGAAATCAGCTGGTAGCATCATGTAACCCTTTGGAGAATCGTATTGTTCGTTACCAGCTGCATTCTTTTGTAGTTTCCAGTTTTCATTTAGTAAGTTTACAAAGAATTCATTGGAGAAAACATTGCTAGCAGCACCCCATGGACCTTCAAATCCTGAGTTTTCCAAATGAGTCTTACCTAAACAATGGGCACCAATCAATGCAACAATTTCAGTATCATTGAAGCCAAATCTACCAAAGTAATTTCTAACATAGCTTGAGTCACCGGTAGCGTCTGGTAATCTACCGTTTTCTGGGGTTGTGTTTTCTGGTTGATCAACTCTACCTGGTCTCCATGGGATCTTTGGACCTTGTGCTTCTTGAACTGCAGTGACACCTGCTAAAGTGTATAAATCACCATGAGAAATCCATGAATGTTTCTTATAAATTGGAGCCAAGAATTCATCAGCTTGTTTCAAACCAGCATTAGATGGATCATTGATTTCCTTCTTGAATCTCATGGTACCACCAAATGAACCACCTGTCATATTGTTCTTATCGAAGGTACCAGAAGAGTGCCAAGCAATTCTAACCAAGATTGGACCGTAACCAATATAGTTATCGAATTCATCTTCTTCTCTGATTTTTTCTGCAATATCGTTATAGACATTTTGGTAATCTTTAATGCTCTTTGACTTATTTGGGATTGCGACGTTCAAACCTGCAACAGCAGAGGTCAAAACACCAACTTTCTTAGCATTACCACTGTTTCTGTTGAATGGATTGTTATCAGCATTGTAATTGAAGGATACTGCGGCAGTGGCAGTTGTGGCAGCAGCAGCAGCTAACCAGTAAGATCTTTTAGTGAATAGTCTAGTAGCCATTATTAATGTTATATGGGGACTGTGTTGGACTCAGATATGAGAATTGCAAAGTAGAAAAACCAAGAGTTCAGGATTCATACCACCCATTCAACAAGAAACATCACCAATTGAAATAACCAAGGTTTATATAGTTTTTAAATTTCAGATTGTAGTAGTGATCCTAAATGAATCCAACCCTTGAGAGTGGATACTATCTCTGGATAACTACCTCTGAGGTAGAGAATAGAAGAGACAGAGAAGTATAAAGGGAATCATGCAAAGAAAAAAAAAAAGAAGAGAAGTAATTACTAAGTTAATCAATCTAGACCATCAAATGGAAATAATCGGCAGTATCGGTTTTGGATAGACATCATCGCCATCATCATCATCATCATAGTCGTTCTTGATGGCTCTAACTTCAAACATTACATTACCTTTTCCTTTACCTTTACCTTAACATAAAATTAGAGACAGCCCTACTTTAGAGGTGATATAGGACCACACTAGAGTAGGCATCGAAGAGGTCGTCGCTATCGAACAAAGGATTGATGGTATGACACAGCATTTTATCGTTCTGTTGGGAACAACAATTTTAGAGAAGTGGAAGACCAGGACATGGGACTTGGGACAGGAACTGGAACTGGAACTGGCTTCTCTCTTGTCAGAGACATCCATCCCGTCCAGCTGCAAGAGTTCAAGTGGTCTTTACGATGGAGCTAATTGAATTGAGTTGAAATGGACTAGATTAGATTAGAATAGAATGATTACTAACCATAAGAGACAGAGAGACTCTAACGAAGTGCAAAGTTAATATCGATGATGCTGAGGGTAGGTTGGTGATGGGAAAGGAGATTGAGTGAGTGGTTGAGTGGTTGATTTTTGACAAATCAAATGAACTGGGTAAAGTCGAGAACCTTCCCTAGCTGGCTTGGGTCGTGGTCGTGGTCGTGGTCGCGTGGTCGTGGTCTTTCGTTGCAACCAGAGGAGGAAGGGGTTAGAGTTTTGCGTTGTTGGTGAACGGTTTTTTGATGATAAACGTGATGACGGATGAGTTGGGATTGCTGTTGTCGTTGGTTATCTGTGTGTATTCTTCCGTTACGGACGTACCAGTCAATTTTCATCTGATTCTTGAGGGTTTTTTCTTTCTGGCTGATGTGCTGTGCTGTGCTGTGCTGTGCTGTGCTGTGCCGTTTTATGTTCTTGTTGTGTTCTTGTTATGCTCTTGTTATGCTCTTGTATTGTATTGTATTGTATTGTATGTTGCAGGTAGAAACGCACACGAAAGAGACACAAAAAAAGAAACAATAGTGTGCTTTTCTTTTTCCTGTTCTTTTCGCTTTTCCCTTGTTGATCACGTGGGTGGGTGTCACGTGCTTGTGTATATCACGTGGTTGGATGATTTCCGATATGCTTTTCTGTTTTACCCAAAAATGAACAAGCTAAAATGTCAATTTCGACTTACAACACATTTTGACATATTTAAAAGAAGGGGTTCCTTTCAATCACCAATCAATTTTTGGTTGGCCTACAGACTTATATCTTATCATCTCTATCGATTACTACTACTCTCTACGTTGGAAATGCAACTGGATCCTCAAGAATGGTAGAATCTTCACAAAATGCTATTAATTTAATTAAAAAACAATCGGTTTCGATTAGCAAGTTCTTAGAAAATGACAAGTTGATGGAATCATTGAAATGTTATTCCCTTGTCTTGAACCAATTGAGGTTGGGCCATCTGAAGCCAAAACAGTACTATGAGCTATATCTAGCGGTTTTCGACTCTTTGTCCATTCTAAAAAGTTATCTTTATAGTAATTTTATTAGTATTGATAGTAATGCCAACAAGATCAACCAACTACAAGATCTGTATGAGTTAGTACAATACTCAGGCAACGTGCTGCCAAGACTGTATCTGATGATAACTGTCGGATCAGTAATACTGGCTTCAAACGACGAATCAACACCTTCTCGGGAATTATTGAAAGATATGATAGAAATGTCAAGAGGTATACAAAATCCAACAAGAGGCTTATTCTTACGCTATTATTTGTCACAGATGACAAATGACTATTTTAATAACAATCATCCGTCCACAAAGGAAGACCTACTCTTTGATTTAGAGTTTAATTTTAATAATTTCACAGAAATGAATAAGCTGTGGGTACGTCTACAACATCAGGGTCCTTTAAGAGAAAGGGATTTACGTTCACAAGAAAGAATTGATTTGAAAATTTTAATTGGTTCACAATTAGTTAAATTATCACAACTAATTGATGCAAATAACTGGGATATTTATAACGATGTTTTTTTGAAAAATTTCTTACTACAATTGATTCAATGTAATGATAAAATTTCACAAGAATATTTGTTCGATGTTTTATTCCAAATTTTCCCTTTAAATTTTCATCTGAAATCTTTAAATTCTTATTTGAAAACTTTACCAGATTTGAATTCTTCTGTTTCAATTGATTTGATATTTAAAAATTTAATTTCAAAATTTATCATCTCTAAAGATGAAATTGAAAAGAACTCATTGGATTTCACAATGGAATTATTCAACTTCGTTGATCAATTCTTATCTGAAAATAAGGATTACCCAATTGAAAACTTATGTTCTCTATTAAACTCTTTAATAGCGCTAAATTTAATTTATAAACCATCGGATTTTCATATCATTGATAAAATTTTTAATATTTTAAACTTACGTCTCGAGTTAAACCCAAAAAAAGAAAAAGATACCCATCTGATAGAATTCCTACTCTGTATAGGTTTAAACGAATATATTGATGATAAACCTAATTTTTATTATAATTTGATCAAATGTTGTGGGAATTTTATCAATGTTATTAATATATTGGATAACGATTCTTCTTTGAAAATCATTCTTCCAATATTAAATGAGTTATGTCAGTCAAATAAATTAGATAATATTATACCCTTGAATGACTCTAATGATTTTAATTTTTTGAGAAATTTTTTGAAATTTTTAAATCCAGTTTTATCATTAAATGATTTTGATATTTCAAATCCAATTATTGAACTATTACTAAAGTTCATAAATCAATTGCTCTTTGTCAATATAAATATAAAGCATTTGAGAAATTTAAAACAGTTGAATTTAAAAATTGAATTCATTCTAATTTTGAAAAATTGGTTTTCTGGTAATCCTAACTTAATTAGAATATTTTATCCACTTTTGATTACAAATTTTTGGAAATTGATCAGATATATTGATCATTTAAAATGTAAAATTAAAAATAATGAAAATATAACAGAATATTGTGAAAATCAATTGAAACAACTGTTCAAATATATTTCACGTTGTATTAATGACATATTCAATTATAACGATAAAACCGATATTGAATTGATAGATTTAATCTTTAAATTGTTCCTACAAACAGCTTCAATCTCAGATCAATTGATGTTAAATGAAGTATCTTACGATTTTTATTCACAATCAATTACACTCTATGAAGAATATATTGTTGATTCTACCCCGCAATTCCAAGCATTAATTTATTTAATACAATCATTACAAAAAACAAGATCGTTGTATTCAGAGGAAAATTATTATAACATTCTAATATTAAAGTGTATTTCCCATTCAACTAAATTGTTGAAGAAAAATGATCAATGTAGGGCAGTATACTATTGTTCACATTTATGGTGGCAAACAGAAATATCGTCAATTGGTGAAAATGAAGAGTTGACAAAGTTTGACAACAGAAATGGTAAAAGGGTGCTGGAGTGTTTACAACGATCTTTAAGAGTTGCGGATTCGATAATGGATAATGTTCTAAGTTGTGAATTAATGATTGAAATTTTAAACAGGTGTTTGTATTTTTTCATTCCTTCCAATTCAAATTATGATTCTACGATTTCAATAAATTATATTAATGGGTTGATAGAATTGATAAAAGTCAATTTGAATTCGTTGAAATTGCAAGAATCAACAATTGAGAATAATCAATTTGATAGCCGGATATCAGCCTCTTCGCCATCTTCAAGAGGTTTGGATATTGTTGAAGATTGTGTCATCTCTGTAGACGGTAACTTTATTGAATATAACAAGAATTTCAATAAGAATTCCGCTTCATTGAGTAAAACAAACCAATTGCTTCAAGTGCCTCTTTCTCATTTTAATAGAACTTGTGAATATATAATTGAACAACGAGATATTGATGAAAGGTTCACAATGATAATAATATGAGTATTCAAGTCTCGTTTGTTCAATCCTCCCCTCAAAATTAGTGCTGATTCGTGTATTAATCTTGAGGTGAAAGTGGAACCTAATGGATTAATTGGTGGTAACGTTATAACATAGAACGTATATAGATATAGATTTAGATATAGATATATGTTATGCATATGTATGAGAGATCATAATAAAGATTAATAAAAATTGCATTTTAAAAATTTAATTATATTTCCTGATTTAAAATTAGAAGTAACATTAGAGGTAGAAAGATTCAAGGTGCACAAGACAGTTGTTGTATGTAATTATTACGTTACACCTAATTAAAACGACGTAAATTAGCAAAACATTTACACATCTACGCCGAATTGGTGTGTATTGTGATATAAAATATAATGAGGATAAGAATTAATTGAGCCAGACATGCATGAATCAATTAATTAGGTATCATCATCATACCATACAAAACCATGCCATTCTATCGAACTTCATTATAATTCATCGAACAAACCACGTACGTAACCAGTAATGCATGGTTGGAAACATTACCTGTGGCTAGTTGATGTAGGTCTGAAACAAGTTATAGATCAGATCATGATTTAACATAATAAAATATACTATGATATGATATCCTAAGTATCAAAGTATGTATGTAGAAAATTGATTTTATTCCTAGCTAGCATAAACCGGGCTTGTACAAACAAAAATTCGTCTTTGGCTCTCTTTTATGGTTGATTTTAATATTTTTTTATTCTATTCTTATCTTATCTATCTTATCTCCACCCATGCATCCGGTGTTATTACCCAATCTGGAAATTGATATCTTAGGTTCGACTCAACACGAAATACTACTGGAAGCTCCATTACCCTGCCTGAATCCGAGATACTGCCGAAATCGCTCAGCTGACCTCCTCGCTTGGAGAAAACTATGCGTAGCAGAAGAACGGATATCGACAACACCGGTACTTAAGTAAAGAGATAAAAAAAAGAAAAGCCAAAAAGAGATATCATTCCCGGACAGAAACTCTGAGAGCATCTCTATGGAAAGTACCACACGAGCAAGAAGCCCATTCTACCACGTTGGTTTTTCTGCCTACAGAGTTTCTTTTTAAGCATCCGAAATTGGATACGGAATGCAGGCGTTTCCCGCCTCTCCGCTCCATTGTACTCTGAAACTATCCCCGTCCACAACGATACGTATCAGTATTCACACGTGCACAGACTGGCCCACACAACCAGGTTCCTACACTGGCTCCGGCTGCTTCTCTCTTGTGCTTCAGGACCCGCCGAGGGGGTGTAGCTCCCTCAGAGAAAAAATAAAACTAAGAAAAAGAAAAAAGGAAAAACAACCTGAAAAAGACGAAACAAAACCTTATTTGTCCACAAAAAAAAAAGAATGAACACAAAAAAATGAACACAAAAAAAAAGTAAAAGTTAAAAATAGCATAATAAAGCAAAAAAAAATATATATATATATTTCGAAATTGTGTGTACATGCTCATATTTTCTGCAGGATTTCTCTCAGAAATTGCGAGATCTGGCGTTAGAACCAAAAAAACGTAAAAAGAAAACATACATAAAACGCAACCATAATACTGAATTCAAGTGGGAAGGAATAAAAACTGGCTCTAATTGCAGGCAGCCCATTCAGATTGATGGTTTTTTCTTTCTTGCTAATTCAGCGTAGCTACTCATTTTTGATTTATATTTCTTCTTATAGAGAATTGATACACTGCTACATCCAATGGAATTACTAACAAATTGATAGAAAGGTGACGGGAAACACGAGAAGTTTATTTCATTATATTCCTACAAAAGATTCTCATATCTGTGTATCACTAAGCCCATATTAGGCTTATTGTAAATACTCATAATTGGTAAAATCGAGGTAAAAAAAAACTATAATTTAAATCTCTCTTCGGTTTGTTAAGCCTATACATAGGAACTATGCTTGAATTTGTACGATTAACAGTATTCTTTCCTAGCTCGGATTATATTTCTAAAAGAAGAATTAAACTGACTATTAGTAAACTTAGATTTGGCGTTTTAGTCGTGGAAGGAAATTAAAATCGTTTGCTATAATGACTACTTGTGTATCCAAGAGTTATTTTATTTTACCGTCTAATACAGTGAAGTAAGCTTCTCAAACTTGTTTTACAATTATTTATTTTTTTCACTTTCGAAAACGGTTCTAACGTAAGATTACTTACCTATCTCACAAGATTCTGTTGGAGGAGGGGGGGGAGAAAGAGAGAGAGGTACTGACTTGATCTTGGTTCACTATTGAATAGGAAGGAAGTAAACTAATGGGCGACAGCAGGACTGATCTTTCTCCCTCACGTAAGTTGATTTGATATTTCGGTTTTGGTGAGTGGTCAGTTACCTTAAATATCGTTTTTTCATCTTTCTACCAGGTCTCCCCAGCCATGTATCACAGTGTCTTTCCAACTACTAAATTTCCCATTATAGTAGCTTTTATTTTCTTGGGCCTGCTTCTACTTCAGGAAATCCTAACAAAACTAGGCTTTAATAGTACAATGCGGCAGTTACAAGAAGCATTAACACATAGTTACTGCTTTTGATAATAATATTTCACTTGAACTATTTTTTTATTGACCTGTTTCTCTTTGGTTCGAAAAGTTTTCATCCTCTCTATCTTGGATAGTATATAAATAGGTTGCTCACTCTAACCATCGACCAGATTTTAGTCTTATTCGTTATCGTAATATTTTACCTTTAATACATAATATAAATTTAAAAAAATATCAACACACTATCAGAGGGACAAGAGAAGTCTATTCTAATAATATAGTTAAATAAAGTTTTACGTTATAATACAATGCAATACAAGAAATTCGCTGCTGCTACCGTCGCTTCCCTAGCTGCCACTGTCTCTGCTGAAGGTTACACCCCAGGTGATGTTTGGTCAACTTTGACTCCATCCGGTACTTACAAGGGTGCTTACACTGACTATACCTCTACCTTTGGTATTGCTGTTCAACCAATCGCTTCATCTTCTTCTACTTCTGTTGCTAAGAGAGCTGTTTCTCAAATTGGTGATGGTCAAATTCAAGCTCCTACTACCACTACAACTACTGTCCAAAAGACTACTGCTGCCGCTGTTTCTCAAATTACTGATGGTCAAGTTCAAGCTACCACCAAGACCACCACCACCGTTCAAAAGACTACTCAAGCTGCTGTTTCTCAAATTACTGATGGTCAAGTTCAAGCTACCACCAAGACCACTACCACCGTTCAAAAGACTACCCAAGCTGCTGTCTCTCAAATAGGTGACGGTCAAATCCAAGCTACTACTGCCAAGAACACTGAAGCTGCTATTTCTCAAATTGGTGACGGTCAAGTTCAAGCTACTACCGCCAAGAACACTGAAGCTGCTGCTTCTCAAATCACAGATGGTCAAATCCAAGCTTCTACTAGAGTTACCTCTACCTTAGAACCAGCCTCTGGCTCTTCATCTGCTTCTTCTGCATCTGCTTCTTCTACTGGTCCATTGGAAATCAACAACGTTTCATGTGGTACCAACAGTACTTTATCCATGACTTTGAAGGGTGGTATCTTGACTGACTCCAATGGTAGAATTGGTTCCGTTGTTGCTAACAGACAATTCCAATTCGATGGTCCACCACCACAAGCTGGTGCCATCTATGCTGCTGGTTGGTTCATCACCCCAGAAGGTAACTTGGCTATTGGTTCTAACGATGTTTTCTACCAATGTTTGTCTGGTAACTTTCACAACTTATACGAAGAATCTATCGGTACTCAATGTGCCCCAGTCCCTTTGGAAATTGTCTCTTTGGTCAATGTTAACATACAGGTTATGGGGAAACATTTAATATTGGTCTGGTTAGAATAAAATAAGTTAAATACTTTTGGGATTTTGTACTTTTAAAATAGAAAGATACCTACGTTCGTGTTCATAAAGATTATTGATTTTTAATCGTATTTTAAAACATTTTTAATTGCACGTTATATATTTTAAAAAATGAGTTATTATAATTTTTTTATATAGAGATTAATTGTAAGTCAGATCTTGAACAGACTAGTAAATGAAAAATTCGAAAACTGGATAATGAAGGGCTTGACTGTATATAAGATGCTTTTAAAATTCCCTTCACGTTGTAAAGAAACTGAAGCAAAATATTAGTTCTTATGAGTATCTTTATTCCAAATATGGAGATTCAAGTTTATTTTATCTGAAGTGTGATGCTGGCAATATTGAAGTCCAGTTTCAAATAATGTTTCTTTATCTTTTTAACTACTATACACAAGAATATAAAAGTAAGTTCATAGGTAGCCAAATTAGATTCTGCTATTATTCTTAAATAAAATATTTAGATCATTCCAAACAGTCGAAATATATTTATTAAATTACTAATCTACTCATAATATATTAAGATACATTGGACGGTCTCTCGAATATATAGTGTGAGGTTTGTTTTTAAGAGCATTACTCTGAAAACTAGATTTTTGTTAAATAGCTTGATGACAGCCAATTAAAGTATATCCCTTGTAATGAGCATATAATAGAGACGGTTATAAATCGTTGTCTAATTCAAGTTGATGATATCTTGACATATTATATAATGAGTTATAGTAGTTTTAGCTTATATTTTAATGAGTAATTAAGACATTCATGATTGGAGTTAAATACAATTTGGTATACGGCTGCTTCTGATAGACTTATTAGATGTAATTACACTTATAAGGTCATACTGCCAAAAAATATGTTTTTTCTCGTGTCATAATTGTGATGAATCTTTAGAACAAACTTGTTTTTGGTTTGGAATCCAAAATGATAAGTGTTATCCACTTTTACCTTGGATCCCTTATTTTTGGATGAATGGATTGGATTGGATTGGATTGGATCAAGATGATCAAGATGATCAAGATTTAGCCCATTGTATTGGGAACAAGATCATTTTCTATTGTTTGATTATTAAGAATTGAGCCGGAAAGAATCCATACTTGTCGGATTTTCTTTCTAGACCATTTACAAATGTCAAATACTTTATTCCATCAAGTTCCACCAAGTCAGTCGGCTTAGTGTCGCTTGTAATTTCAAGAATCGCCGCGATCACAATTTTATCATCTAATTAATGATAGCTTATTGAATAATAATAAAGTAAAATTAATAAAAACCTGTCTATTAACGATTAATCAATATTTAAATATATTTAAAAAATTAGAATTATAATAAAAATAGAAAACTTGTAAAAATCCCTTAAACCTAAAACGAAGATTTAAAGGCTTTGATATCTGTAAGAACGAATGATATCACGTGTAATGAATTGAAAAATGCCAGAACCATAAAATGCATGATTATATTAGAAAGAAGTAGTGTTGATCATTTAACACTTGACCAAGTCAATAGCTTGTAAGTGAACTGGGGCACATTGAGAACCGATAGATTCATCGTATAAGTTGTAGAAGTTACCAGACAAACATTGGTAGAAAACATCGTTAGAACCAATAGCCAAGTTACCTTCTGGGGTGATGGACCAACCAGCAGCATAGATGGCACCAGCTTGTGGTGGTGGACCATCGAATTGGAATTGTCTGTTAGCAACAACGGAACCAATTCTACCCTTAGAATCGGTCAAGATACCACCCTTCAAAGTCATGGCCAAAGTACTGTCGGTTAAACAAGATTCAGCAGTGACTGGGTCGTTGGTAGAGGCAGCAGCAGAGGTGGAAGAAGCAGCGGCTTTAGAAGAGGTGGAAGTAGAAGCAGTGTTGGAAGAGGTTTGGGAAGTGGTAGCTTGGATTTGACCATCACCAATTTGAGAGACAGCAGCGGCAGTAGTCTTTTGAGCAGTGGCAGTTGTAGCTTGGATTTGACCGTCACCGATTTGAGAGACAGCAGCAGCGGTAGTCTTTTGAGTGGTGGTAGCAGTAGTAGCTTGGATTTGACCGTCACCAATTTGAGAAACAGCAGCGGCAGTAGTCTTCTTGACAGTAGAAGTAGTCAAAGTGGTAGCTTGGATTTGACCGTCACCGATTTGAGAGACAGCGGCAGCAGTAGTCTTCTTGACAGTAGCAGTAGAGGTGGTGGTAGTGGCTTGGATTTGACCGTCACCGATTTGGGAGATAGCAGCAGCGGTAGTCTTTTGAACAGTATTGGTAGTAGCTTGGATTTGACCGTCACCGATTTGAGAAACAACAGCTCTCTTAGCAACAGAAGAGGTAGTAGCAATTGGTTGAACGGCAATACCGAAAGAGGTAGCATAATCAGAAACACCATTCTTGTAAGTACCAGTTGGAGTTAGAGTTTCCCATGGTTCAGATGGAACGTAAGCAGCTAGAGCAGTGGAAGCAAAAGCGACAGAAGCTAAAGTTTTTTTGTATTGCATTGTTGTTGGAATATTTAAGTTATAGTAAAGAGGAAACTTGGTTTGATAAGTTGATCTTTTCTGGTTTCTTTATTATTGAGAGTAAAGGATAAACCAAATGGAATTGAGATTAATATCTTCAAAATACAGGTACCTTATATACAATTCAAAACTCGAATTTATTCTAATTATATCCCCTTAATTGAAGAATAATTTCATTAATAAAATGCTGGGATAAATAACTCATTGGGTTATTATGAATATACAATTCAGTTTACTCAGAAATTATATGGCAAACAATATTCGAAATTGGAAATTTGACTAGCAAAGGACAATGAAAGTTTTGACATTGTTGTTACGTACTGTACCTAGAAACAAAACTTAGATCTAAGACCTTTTTTTTACTGGTTCATGAGGTTTCCTAAACTGGACTAACAAGCACAAGAACATAGAGGTCAAACCCTAAAATGTTATAAAAAAGGCTGGTTTATAATTAAAAGTCACTTTTAATATAGGTTTAATTGCCCTGAATTGATTCTAAATAAGGAATCTAAATCTCTATCGAGAGAAAAAAAAAATTTTACGTTAATACTTCAAATATCTGCTACGTAAGTTTCTTATAAAATTAAGAATGCCATTTCGAAACTTTTGTCATAATTGTATATTCGGAAAAATATGATCATGATTACCCTTTTAGACGAAATACTGGCTAATTACTTCCTAATAAGGTAATCAGACAAGCAATATTTATTTTTTTCCTTTTTTTGAAAATTATTCTTGCCTATGTTAAAAAATACATCAAAAAATTAGCATACGTAATTGAAAAAAATTAAAAATTTTTGTTATTAGTTTACTGAGAATAGAATAGAATGTTTAATTTTGAGGGATAAGAAGTTGTGTATATGATGAGGTTATTTTTTTTTGGAGGTTTCAGCGGTAAACCCTAAAATTGGGTTACATCTCATTTGTATTTTCAGCTTATTTTAGCACAAAAAGATTAAATTTTGTGGGAATGTCGCTTTTTATTTTAATATCAATTATGAATTTGGAGGTGAATTTGCCATATTTGAAGATGTGTAAATATATCCATAATACTATTTTTGGTAACTAACTGAGAGAAAAATAATGATAATTATAGAAATATCCACTTAGTTTGTGTCTTCTCTACATTCAGTAGCGGCCTTTCATTCGATTATCGGTGATCTATACATGACTATGATACTTCTTTTTGGAGCTGGAAAAAACTTTGATTAGTATCGATAGATGGCTTAATTTTATTTTCAAAATTGATTATCTTAAACATTCGTAACATCTAAAAACTAAATTAAGGACAAAATTTTAAATAAAAAACTTAATTAAAATTGAACTGTATTATAGATTATTATAGATACATCGGCTCTTAGTAAAGAAAAGGACGTATTAATGTGTTACCAACTAATGCTTTTTAGGAAGTTCGAATAGAAATAGTCACGTGATAGTTTTTTGTTACCTTCAAAGCTTTAGTAATGAGCCAATATTAAGCTCAACTTAACGATACAATTTTATATATATTCATTTGATACCTTTTCTTGTGTTATAAATCAAAAATCAATTTAGTGACACCTTTCGATGGAGTCGTTAAACTTTATTTCTGTACCTATAGAGTGAAACACAAACACAAAAAGTCCATGGAAGAATCATTCAGAATCATGTATTTAAGATAAGTTAACCAACAGGTTAACTTGAACTTCAAATTCTGAACTTTAAATGTAATTCCTTATTGTTCTAGTAATTATCCAATACAATACTAAGGAAAATAAAGCCAAACTTCAAATTAAAATAATCATAATATAAAATGAAAATGCAATACAAAAAATCAATTATCTCTGCAACATTAGCATCGACTGCCCTTTCTGCATATGTTCCACATGAGCCCTGGGATACTTTGATTCCAACTGCAACCTATAAAGGCGGTATTAGTGATTATCCCTCGACCTTTGGGATTGCTGTCGTGCCAATAGTTGCAGCGGCAACATCCCAGCCAGTTGTGGGGGAAAGAGCATTTAAAAGAGAAATCAATGAAGAAAATATTAAAGATTTTGTGGGTGGAAACTTTGCTAAACCTGCTGAAGATCGCAAGTTAGTGGTTCCAGTATCACAAATTCCAGATGGCCAAATTCAGGCCACGACATTAACATCGACTATTATAATAAGAAAAACTATAGTTCCTGTCAGTCAAATTCATGATGGTCAAATTCAGGCAACTGCAACGACCCCTCAACCAAAGAAAACTGTCGTTCCCGTTACTCAAATCCATGATGGTCAGATTCAAGCTACTAATATTCCGACTGTGCAATTTAATAATGAGAACCGAGTAGGAATGGAAGCCCAAGAGCAAGAATTGGAAGAACAGGATGTAGACGACCAAAGTGTCGAGGAAGAGGATATAGCAGAACAAGATGTAGGTGAAGAAAGTATGTTTGAAGAATATGAACCTTTTGAAAAAAGATCAGATATTGATATTGAAGATATTACGGCAGCAGATGCTTGCTACTCTGAAGGTATATTAGCAATGACTTTGAAGGGTGGTATGCTAACTGATTCTAAGGGTAGGATTGGTTCTATTGTTGCTAATAGGCAATTCCAATTTGATGGTCCCCCACCACAAGCTGGTACGATATACGCTGCTGGTTGGAATTTAACTCCATCTGGCAATTTAGCCATTGGTGATAATGATGTATTTTATCAGTGCTTATCCGGTAATTTCTATAATTTATATGATCAATCTATTGGCGGGCAATGTTCACCAGTTTATCTGCAAAGTGTCAATTTAGTCAATTGTTAAAACTTCAAAAGATTATTATGACTAAATTTTTTTCAAAAACATCAATGGCACAATTTAGTAATTTTAAATGAGTTTCATTATTATTCTTCATTGATGCTATTGTGATATTTCCTTCATTTGTTATTTTACCGTATTTTGTTTTAGGTTATCTTCTTTAAAATTCAATTTAAATAAAAAAAACAGTTAATGAAATTGTTCATACTTTAAATAATGTAAACTTGAATATCTTTTTTTTAATGTTATCTAAATTTTTATATTTAGTTTTCTTGGTTGGCTTTGTACACAGATGTAAAATTAAATATTGGGATAACAAACATAAATAAAACGATTTAAAATGTTGTAGTAAATATAAAATTAAAATATAAGTATATTTGGATTCAAGTATTTATAAAATGGTCAACATCCCAAGTGCCTTTTCCTATGTTTAATTTATTAATTGTATAGATGTAATTGAAGCTGTTGCTACCTTAGTATCTTGAATGAAGAACAATTACAAAGTCAAAACTGGTATAGAACAACTAACTAACTTTAACCTTACACAAGAATATTTATAATTTAACCTAACAGTTTAAAAAATTTAATCAAGAACAATTTGATATTTTTGATTCAAAAGCTTTAAAAGTATAATTGGAATGACATTTCTGTATAACACAATTTCAATATTATAGTAGCAAGTAGTTACAATCAATTACAAAGTAAAAACCTAAGCTTTCTTATCAGAACAATCTCTAAAATATACCAACTCTATGGTTATATCTGAAAATAAAGAATTGGAATATTAATTATAGAGTAACTTTAATATTTGTTACATCTATCAAGGCAATTGAAAGTAAACCAAATCAAAACCTAATATTCAATAATTTTGGATACATAAAGCAACTATAAAGACTGACAATTGCTTATATATTTTGGTTAATGTGTTATAAAATATTGTATTGAGATAAGATAGGGTATCCAATTGGGTAGACTGACATACTACAAGATAGTTCAAAGGAGGACTGGCTATATTTTCAGTGCTAGCATCGACAAAAAGAATGAACTATTAGTAACAATAAAGAAGGGGAATCAATTGTGAATTTCTAATCAATTATTTGATCTAGATTACGTTTACATCAATTATTATAAATCTATGTAAATAGTTTCGAGCATAAACTAGCCAAGTATTTTATCGAACTTCATTACCAGGAGTTACTCCTACCAAACATTTTGGAGCGACCTAACATCAGTGTTTTATTGATAATAATTCCCGCAATTATATGGGTGAGCTAATAAATTAAATGGCATACTGCCTAAGGTGCCCATTGCTATCAATGACATCATTTAAGCTGAGCCTAAATGTACGTAATATTATCAACTATCAAACTATAATCCATTACGTTTACCTATAACTTCAAGGAATGAATATGTTTCTAAATTATAGGACAGGAGAGATTTATAGATAGATGTATTGAGAGAGGAAGTAAAGTTAGTAGCGGTAAAAATGATATCATCTCAACATTGATACTGAGTTATACATATATATATATTTATTCATCTTCATTATAAGGATGCAAGGTACTGTTAAGAAGCTTTCTTGAATTAAGTTTCTCGCAATTGGCAATTGTTTAAATGATTAGTAGCATACATTTATACAACCAAGAAAAGTTAGACCACCACGACAGCTATGAGGCAGAAATGGGGAGAGGACTTTATTTTGATGACGATAATTAAAATGCTAGTGAACGTTGAAATAAAGATTGCAAAGGGCTCTTACTAGGTAATTGACAGATATAGCAGTAAATAGTTAACATATTTAAATTATTAGACAAATTGTGCGATAACTTCTTAGATGAACAGTTACCATTGGCAATGATACTATAAGGCAGGGGATAAACGAGAAGGATGGATGCTAAAAGTAATAATCAAGATTAAATGAGGAAACTAAAGCTGCCAAGAAGGCTTCAAATAGGAAATTTGGCGAGAGTAAGATGTAAAAGAGGATTTAATTAATTAGTTAATTGCTTTTAGAGATTGAAATTTTAATTTATGGTACAAATCTTGTTTACGTAAACGATGTGGTTTCACTGAAAAGAGGAAAAGATTCGAACAGTTGCATATTGAATACTGACTAATTATTCTAAACAGTCTGGAATTCTAATTATCGCCAATCTGTTGTAATTAATTTCTAAATATCTGTACAGAGTAAAATTTTTGCAGCACAAACCTATATGCAATATTTTTCACACAATAATCAGGTCAAGACATGAAATAAAAATTTCTCTTTAAACTAGAACTATAGTTACAATTACAATTACAATTTTAATATTTTTGTCATCTTGTGTGACAGACAGAACAGACGTTATCAATTCATTACATTAGCCTTCCATCAACGTCTCAATTGGTATTTTTCCAATCCTAATAGATTGGGATTAATTCAAGTTTCTATATATGGGAAAGGTGAACTGGAGTGGGCATCCGTAACAAGTAACTAATTAGCTAATTTGGATACTACAAAAAGGGTTTTTTTCGAATTCATTCCTACTTCCACACACTTTTTCATTGATTTATTTCAATTACTTTGAAAAAAAAAATCACACAAAACATACAGAAAAGACAAGACTCGTTTCTGTTCTGTTGTATTGGTTTCATCTCAATGTAAAAACCCAGTTAACCTCAACTTACATATCCTTCTATCTCTTGACCCATATAAATCAAAATTTTTCAATGATGCTAGTACTTCCAGTGTAAGCCTGTTCTTGAAAATTTTGCTACTGTGTGTGTAGCCATTGCTATTAGTATTGCTGTTGAATTGTTGCCGTTGGGTCTTGTTGCTTCAAGTTAACCTGTTGCTGGCCATCACTTGGACCTGGAAAATAGCTGTTCTGTATGCCACACACAGACACAGGTTCTAGTTTCTCCTTCAACTGAGCTTTTTAACATGGACCAGTCCAGAGACACAGACATAGAGAGAGAAACAAGTCTCTCTCTCTCGCTCGCAACTTTTTTTCCATCACCAACTCTTGCTGTTGCTCTTGCTCGTACTTGTCAGTCGTACTTGTCGCACTTTTAAAAGCTAACTCAAGTGAAGTTGATGAATATTAGCTAGCCATCAGGGGGAAGAAAATTATTTACAAGAGAATTTTATCCATCTCTTTGTATGTCTTACGAGTGCAATGTTGTGCTACGCTATGCTATACTTATGCCTATGCTTATGCTCTACTCAGCAGAGAAGGGGAGGGGAGCATTACGTCCAAATTAGATTAAATTAGTTATTTCTTTCTACTTGCGATTCCAATACCACCAATACTAAAATTTCCTTTAGGTTTCCCATTTTTTTTTTATCGTTTCCTGTATTCTTGTAGAGTTACCTTTATTTTATTCCAGCTTAATTTCATTTCCTTACTGAGTGGAAAGAGAAGAGAGAGCATACAAAAGTGAAATAATTCTTACTTGAGTTCTCAAGTTGGGTTAGTTAGCCAGGGGTTTTTGATTTTTTTTCACTACTAGAGTTAATTGATTGATCGATAGCATTGAGAGTATTAAAATATTAAAATTTAATATTAAAGGTATAACTTGAGACTAGTATTCGAATTTGAAATTGAGTTTGAAATTGAGTTTGAGTTTGAGCTTGGGTTTGAATTCCAATTAAGTTAAAGTAACACCCTCGAATAATTTTTTTTTTAAGGAGAAGTAACAGGTTACTTTGTTTTAAAGAAAAAAAAAATCTTCTGGTTATTTTAAGCTACTCTAGAAGGCATTCAAAAAGTCAATACATATCGATATTGATATAACAACTGTATTGTAACTACTCCTTCAATTCCAATTCGATCGAAGGTAAATAAAAAGATATATATATCTATATATATATATCACAGCTATACTACTATTGTGTTCAATCTTTTTATCATTAATTGACCTGATTGGCAAACATATTAAGGATCCCTCTACAAGACTTAGTTGTGTGCTTATATTACACTTCAAACTTAACCTAGAGACACTTTATATATATTAACCTAGACGAAAATTTTTTTCATAGGTGTCTTTTTTCTTCTAACCCTGAAAGGAAGTATAGAGGAGAGTATCGAAGTTAATCTTAACGACAAGAACAAGAACAACTACAACATATTTTATTTTATTTTATTTTCACATTTCCATTTACCTGTTACACTACAATCCAGCAAACACACCTCTCCTAGCTGATTGATCTAAAGTTCACATTCGAAACAGAAAACTAACTCCACAACCTTATACCAGACTGCAACAGATACATATATATATACACACATCTTCCGAATTGTATCATAAGAAACATATAGTCTAGGTTTTATTCTGTTTCCTACACTTGGTTTTTTTATTTATTTGTTAACTGCAACATTGTGTTATGTACGTTGACCCCCAGAGGAACAACGAAATCAGATCCTTAGGAATACCAAATAGAAAGGGAAATATGGCTTCAAACGGTAACAGTAGATATACAGACGTGATCTCTTCAGAAACGAAGGATTTAAGGAATGAAACATTGTTGACAAAGGCCACTCCAGCTGCAAATTCGACAAATACAGGCAACGATGACGACGATGACGAGGATAAAGATGATGACAAAGAGATCGAGGAAAATGTACGAACTCTTCAGAGAAGAAATGAAGTTGACGATGATAGAAATTCATCAATAGCTATCCAAGGAAGAACTACTAGTGGGAAATATAGTTTAAGAGATTTCCAAATTCTAAGAACCCTAGGAACTGGTTCCTTTGGTAGAGTTCATCTAGTGCGTTCAAACCATAATGGAAGATTTTATGCATTAAAAGTACTTAAAAAACATACAGTGGTAAAATTGAAACAAGTGGAGCATACTAATGATGAAAGAAAAATGCTATCAGTGGTTAGCCATCCATTTTTAATCCGTATGTGGGGGACATTCCAAGATTCGGAACAAGTCTTTATGGTTATGGATTATATAGAAGGTGGTGAATTATTCTCTCTATTACGTAAATCCCAAAGGTTTCCAAACCCAGTAGCCAAATTCTATGCTGCTGAAGTTTGCTTAGCTTTGGAATATCTTCATAGCATGGATATCATTTACAGAGATTTAAAGCCTGAAAATATTCTTTTAGATAAAAATGGTCATATCAAGATAACTGATTTTGGATTCGCTAAATATGTTCCAGATGTCACTTATACATTGTGTGGTACCCCTGATTACATTGCTCCTGAGGTAGTTAGTACTAAACCTTATAATAAATCTGTAGATTGGTGGAGTTTCGGTATATTGATTTATGAAATGTTGGCTGGTTATACTGCATTTTATGATTCAAACACAATGAAAACATATGAAAATATCTTAAATGCCCCATTAAAGTTCCCACCATTTTTCCATCCAGATGTTCAAGACTTACTGTCAAAATTAATTACAAGAGATTTGAGTAAGAGATTGGGTAACTTACAAGGTGGCAGTGAGGATGTCAAAAATCATCCTTGGTTCAGCGAGGTAATATGGGAGAAATTATTATCTAGAAATATAGAAACACCATACGAGCCTCCAATTAGACAAGGAAGAGGAGATACCTCGCAATTCGAAAGGTATCCAGAAGAAGAAATAAATTATGGTGTTCAAGGAGAAGACCCTTACCATGCCCTATTCCAAGGTTTTTAAAAGAAAATCATCCAATTGCTATTAAAAGTAACTTGAAATAGAATTATCAATAACTCTATTTCATCAGAGCTCTAAAAATAGTTTCTTTACAAGGAAACTAACAATATAGAGATGGAATTGGTAACAAATTAATACCTCCAACTACTACAAAAAGTGAAACACACATGAAATGATGTGAACGAACAAAAAGATATTTAACGATTCATTTTTTTTTACTACATAATATATAGACTTTCTAATAATTGTAATATTCAAGAAATTACGAGTTATTCTATACCAATTGAACAAAAGTAACGTAACGTAACCCATCAGTTCTTTTGTCCACCTAAAACCACGTCAAATAGAAATCTACTAAATGCATTATAATCAATTGAGTTCCACACATCATGGTATTCATCAAAAAAATTACACTACAACAAACAGAAACACTAATCAAAAGTTCAAACCCCATGACAAGAATAGAATAATGCAACTTGTTTTATAATTATATAACACTATAACACTATTTGCTGTCGTCGTCATTGTAATCTCAACTCGAAATTTACCCTGCTGAAACCACCGGCCTGATCCATTAGTTCTTTCAAAAGCGACTTGTACAAATGAAATTGGATGGGATAATTGAAAAAAAATGTATTAAACTTGATTAAAATGTATACTAAGTTAAAGCTATAATTGGATTAGATTAGAGTAAAGTTTTTGATTTGAGAACTTATTTTAGTTCATTTGATAAGTAGATAATCTGGCAATTATTCTATCTTCTTAATAATAGAGTTGTGAAGGTTCCCATCAAACCCCAGAATAAAGGATGAGTGCAAAACAAATAAGTTTTTTGAATAAGATTAGTTTCAAGACTAAGAAACCGCAAATTTTAATAGATTCTGCTAAATATTCTGGTTTAAGGCTGACTTTTCAATACCAGAATCACAATGGTCATATGGGAGCTCGTAAATTTTGGCATGAATATTTGCCAACTTTAAAGTTTTACAATCCAGCTTTACAAGTCGATGTTTTAAGAGTTAGGAATAATGACAAGTCCAATGTTAGAGTTCCATGTAAACTAGAGGTTATTTCTAAAGATGGAGAAGTTTTGAAAACTATTAATATGAAAAACCAAAAACATACTAGTATAATGGATCGATTGTTGGAGGAGGTTGAGCATAAACCAGTTCCAACAAAAGATTTAATAGAAATATAAATATATATTCAACCAATACATTAAAGGACCTCGAACTCTGTTAATAGATATGACTTTCATCATATCAGCCTGTATATAAGCATATAGAATAATAAATAGTATATAACTTTGATATTCTAACTTTCAGACGAATTCATAACCAGCTTTTGCATTTTCTTTTGGAAAATATGGAGATACCCAAATATTATTGAGATCTTGTTTAACCATGCATTGATTTGTGCCTCAATTGTAATAAGGATGGCAAATGTATCATACTTGAATTATTAAAGAAGGTATCTGCCAAACCTTAGATCGGTAATTAACTAATTAAATATACGATTTTATTTCTAAATATGTATGTACACGAAAATTTGTCATATATATATATATACAAATATATGCTAAGAATTATTGAAAGGGTTAGATGTAATAAGGATTTGTAGTGGATGTGGAAAATTCTAAATGTCCTCTGGAAAAGAATTCAAACCACTCTGCTGGCCAAGGAACAAATCTTATTATAACCTAATGCTTTTAATTCTCTTCCCACAACACCGTCGTTAGCCATAATTCTCGTACCCAGTGGCTCACCAGTAGTTTTATTGATTAAAACACAAGCATTATCACCAAAACTAGCGACAGAACCATCTGGTCTAACCATGTTTCTTTGTTTAGTACGTACCACTACAGCACGAACAATATCACCTTTTTTAACTCTATTGGTATTGGATGTACCAACGATATTTTGTGTTAGAGGTCTTGCCTTTTGAACAACACAGACAATCTTGTCACCAATCCTAGCTGGTGATTGTGGAGAACCCTTTCTTAGAACTTTGATACATTCAACCAATTGAGCACCAGAGTTATCTATAACCTTAATCATAGACTTTAGATATAACATTTTTGCAGCGTTTTTATCGTATAATAACGTAATACTCTTGAATCTAAGCAGTTAATCTACCCACACAATCTGCAACTAAGCCAACTGGATACCTTGTTAATCTGTAATCCACAACTGAAGTGTTCTATATTCTTATACAAATCTTATAGTACTTGACTGAAATATCAATTTTATTTCAGTTCATTGAAAGGAAGAAAATAAAATTTCGATTAGACATCAGTAAAATATTCACGTCACGTGACTTCTAATTATATATATAACACATCCATACATAGTTATTACATTTATCGATGGATGATGTGCTCAAGATGGCAGAATCTATCCATATGTACATACATATTCAATTGTGAATTAATAATATAATTATTTATTTTATGACAGTTAAAAAAATACTTGATTCTTTGCAATTGCTCTTACATCTCAACCATTTTATATCATTGATTGAAACAAAAGAACCTCATCGCAGGAACAAGTGTAATATAAATAGGAAGTAGTTTCTGGACAACTCAAACTATGACTGTGGGATCGTTAACTGGATCTTGGTGTCAGAGATGAATAGACGTTAAAGAATATAAACATTGAGGGGGGAGGGGGGGGGGTGTGAGTTAAAATGAATATACATATATAATAAAAATCTGTTTTATTTTTGGGTTTCGTTTCTAAAAAAATCTTTCTTTCTTTCTTTTAAATATTTACTTTCTTGCAGTTAGAAAGAGGATCAAACGTTAACTCTTTCCAATTCTTCTCTTCCGTCCTTGGTATACAAGTATTCATTGTAATCTCTACTGTTGGTCCACCAGTAATAGTAGATACCAGCAGGTATCAAAACGTACAAAGCTTGAGATTTGACTCTTCTAGCAGTGTTGAAGATTGCATTGTAAAAAGAACCATTCAATGGCTTTTGAGCATATGGAGAAACGGCATATGAGGTGATACCCTTTTGCTTTGGGGAACCTAAACTACCCCACCAACCCATATAAGTTTTAGCACCTGGAGGACTCATTGTATATTATATTATGAAAAAGATTTCTGGTATGTTGGCTATTGTAATCGAATGATAACACTAAAAGTACTATTCAATTTTATTATCTTTGGTGTTTTTAGTGCAGATAGATAGTGTAGCTTAGCTTACTATATTTGACTTTGGTATTAGATAGAAAACTCAATTATAACCAAACGAATTCCAAAAATATGATAAAGCAACCGATCAACCATATAGAAGAATCACAGATACAATAGTCTCTTTCTTATATAGCAAGAGTGAGTTGTGTATCTTATGGTTGATTGGGTGAGTGAGTGTATTTGGGAAAAACTACTGGGCACTGGGCCCCTTCCCATAGCCAAACAGTTAAAACCGAAAATTTTTAATAAACGTATCGGGTATCGCTCTACACGAGCAGCTATTTGATTGGTTTACGCATACCTCAAATTATCCGGGTAAACAAGATATGCTCTGTTCTGTCCTGATAGGATCACGTGATGCAGTGAGACGTTCCATTTGGAGTGCAGTGCTGCTGTATTCCAGACTTTGTATCGTTTAATACTCTATCTTAAGATCCAGATAAGCAATCAATTACCCACACACATACACACAGAAAACGGTTTCCTTACAATATCTCTATTCTTTGACGACAGCCTAGTTGAAGTGGTAGCGCCTGTGATCAATTTACAGGCGGCGTTATCTATTCGTAACACACACACACATACACAAATGCTATAAGCTCTTGACCCAGCAACTATATAGATAGTCAACCATTGAATTAGCGACATTCATTAGTTCATTGATCCATTGATTGCAGCCATCGAGGTTATATACTTGCTTGATGGGCTTCTTCTGATATTAGATCTACTATATCTATCGTGGAAAAATATTTATACTTATATGTAGATATATATATTATATTATATTTATACATCCTATATGTATAGATTGTGCGGTATACGGTGCAATTAATCAACAACCCATTGATAGCACCACTTCCTGAGCATTTGTTAGTTTATAACCAGAAAAAAGAAAGTGGCATTCAAAAATAATTGGTGACATAAAATGTAAAAGATGGGAAAATAATAAATGATGGAAGAGAAAGCAATTTGAATCATTTGCTTCTCTTATAAACTTTGTTCAAGAAAGCAGTTAGAACTTCACCTTTGAAGCCACGAGATTCATCAACTTGAGCAATCTTGGCTCTCAAATCTTCAGCAACTTTTTCTTCGTATTCATGGTAGTATTTGTCAATACCCATTTCATTGAATAATTTCTTACATTTAGCTTCCATTTCAGAATTCTTTCTACCGTAGTTTTCATCTAATAGTTTTCTTTGTTCAGGAGTAGCTAATTGCAAAGCTTTGTTAACAACCCAAGAACACTTGTTATCTTGGATATCGGTACCAATCTTACCAATTTGTTCAGGAGTACCGAAACAGTCTAAGTAATCATCTTGAATTTGGAAGTATTCACCTAATGGGATTAGAACATCTTGAGCTTGTTTCAAATCCTTTGGATCATGGTTACCAGCAACGTACATAGCCAATGCAACTGGTAAATAGAAAGAGTAATATGCAGTCTTGAAGATAACGATGAAAGAATGTTTTTCTAAAGAAAATTTACTTAAATCGACGGATTCTTCTGGAGCAGTGATCAAATCTAATAATTGACCCATTTCAGTTTGGAAAGTAACATCATGGAACAATTCAATCAAATCGATATAATAAGACTCACTTCTGAAGTATTTCTTCAACAATTCATAAATAGCAGCTTCTAACATGAAAGCATCGTTGATGGCAATTTCACCAACATCTTCGACACGATACCAACAAGGTTGACCTCTTCTAGTGATTGATTTATCCATCATGTCATCAGCAACCAAGAAGTAAGCTTGCAATAATTCAACACACCAACCCAAAACGGCAACCCTTCTGTATTCATCCTTAGATAAATCGTCAACAGAGTTGTAACCTTTCAAGATAGCATAAGTGTCGACAACAGACAAACCTCTGTTCAATTTACCACCTGGAGTGTTGTAGTTTAAATTCTTTTCATACCATTGAATAGCTTCTTCCGGCATACCATACTTGACCAAGACTTGTTTCAATTCTTCAACTAAAGTTGGGAATTCATCAACGAACTTTGATCTAATAGCTTCTTTTGATGACATTTTTGAATGTAGATATACGATATGAGAACTAGATGTCTTGACACACTTGAACTTGAATTGAATAGTAAAAAACTAGAACAGAATAACTAAATAGAAAAGATAAGAAACTGGAGAGCCTACAAATCAGTATATCCTAACAAGAAACATCAATTACAAATGATATAAACCCTTTATATATATATGTGTGTGTGTATACGTTGTTACAAAATACCATCAATACCAATAATTTCAAAAAAGCTTAAACATAGCTATATTAACAGAGAAGAGATACTAAGATGAAAGTGTAAGAACTTCTTGCTAATGCTAATTTCGGTTGCAATAAGAATTCGAGTTGAATTGAAGTGGAAAGGAACCAAATGAAATTTTGGATAACAAGAAAAGTTTCATCGATTTCTTCTCGCTGTTGAACGTTCGTTGTCTTGAATCTGGTAATGATGAATTGGCAAAATGCGGTAAATTTCCAAGCCAGTGAGTGGACAACATGTTGTAGCTACAACTACAACTGCAGGTGGAAAGAAGAAATTAGTTGTTCTAGATCAATGGTAAGAATTAGTCTATAGAAAATGGATGCAAGAGAAGCGAGAAAGATGAGATACCTTCTATGTAATGAGTAAGTAAGTGTATATAACACACATCTAGAAAGCGATATCTCTCTCTCTCTCTCTGTTCGATGAGTTTGTTGCACTAAGCAGCAGTTACGAGGTCAAATCTGAGCTTAAATCTGAAGTTGAGCTTGGATCTGAATTGGAAATTCTCATTGATAAGGTTCAGAAGTTGTCTTGTTGCGAGGGTTTTTGTCTGCAATGTGGTATTTCAAACGGTCGTTCCTCTTGCTGTTACTGCCATTATCTTGTTTGTTCGGTTTACCACTGAGTAATGAACGGTATGGTATAGTAGTGAAATTTGCCTATTCTGAGTAACCGTAAGAGCTTATGGTCTTAGAAGGTTAAGCTAGTTATGAATAACGGTTGTATTGTGTCCCAATGGTTTACAGGACATCTCTTGGTATATGAAAGTTAGGTAACAATGGTTTCTAATATCTCCCTGTGTGTGTGTTTGGGTATACATCAAATACATCTTACCGTTATGTAAAGAAAACACGTGATATAAACGTGACTCGTGCATATTCTTACAAGACTCAGCCTTTTAAAGAAGAGCAAACTTAAACGCAATGAAGTAAAATGCACCTGATTTATAAAGGTTTCAAAGCAAGAAACCTATATTACTTTGATCACAAATCATCAAGTGTATCTAGAAACTGCACTTCATTGTCGGTTATCCATTTGGGAACTCATTATCCTCTATTATTCCTTTCTTTTTTTGGGTTAGGCTAAATTGATTGTCCTAATTGAAAAGCATCGTTTTAACTTCAAAGGTCTAAATTGTAGGTTAAAGAGGTTTAGTCTCTCTCGAAAAAAGCTATATCAAATTCTGATTTGTTCCATTAGTGTCCAATAATTGCTGCTATTGATTCAATTGTCCTTTTTTTCCCACCTTTTCTTACCTTTTGCATTATCAATTATCAATTCCAATTTTTATTATAACATCTGGATCAAGTTAGAAAATACCAATGCCTGATTATAGATTGCTACCAGAAACTCTGGCTGAAAATATTACACATTTTGATCCAAATGAAATTTTCGAAAACTTACATACTGCTTTACACGATGAAGGTAATGATCAGGTCGAAGTGGTAGAGCAATTCAAATATGAGCAAGAATTAGATAAATCATTGCTTTCCTTATCATCTGTCGTCGGTTTAGGTTTTGGTTTAATGAGCCCTGTCCTAGGTATGTGCACCAGTATGTCCATCGGTTTGAAAAATGGTGGCCCTTTGACTATTATCATGGGTTTCTTACTTTCAGGCATCAGTATTTGGTTCTGTTCATTATCACTAGGTGAAGTCGTATCAAAATTCCCAATGGAATTGCATGGTAGCAGCGCGTTATTAGCTCCTGATAGTTTGAAATTAATTTGTTCATGGTATACTGGTTGGCTAATGCTAATTGGAAATTGGACTATGAGTACTAGTATCACTTATGCAGGCGCCCAATTAACTATTTCTCTAATATTAATGAATAATTCAGATCTAATTTCAGAGGCAAATTTAATTTTTTTTACTGTCATCGTATTTTATATGGTCGTCACAATCGTAGGATTAGTTAATTTGAAATTTTCAAGATTTATAGAGATTATAAACAAAATTTGTGTCCTATGGATCATCTATGCAATCATATTTATAGATATCCTACTTTTGATTTTCCATTCTGGGAAATTCAGATCTCTAAAATACGCACTATTCCATTTTGATAATCACCTTTCTGGATATGGAAGCGGTGTATTATCCTTCATTATTGGATTCCAACAATCCAATTTCACTTTACAAGGTTTTAGCATGTTGCCTGCATTGTCTGAAGAAGTTAAAAGACCAGAAAATGATATTCCTCGTGGTATGTCAAACGCCGTATTACTTTCAACTTTGTCAGGTGTGATATTTTTAATCCCAATATTGATAATTTTACCTGATATAGATACACTTTTCACTGGGCATAAAATACTACCAATTGTCAATATTTTCACTAAATCAACAAATTCAACGGTGGTTTCAATTTTTTTGGTATTAATGATTTTGGGAAATCTATTTTTTTCAGGAATTGGTTCTATAACCACTTCGTCACGTTCTGTTTATAGTTTCAGTCGTGATCGCGGCATTCCATACCACAATTTGTGGACATATGTTGATCCATCTTCTGTTTCAAAAGTTCCAAAATATTCTATTTGGTTAAGCATGGCGATATCTTATTTTCTAGGGTTATTAGCATTATTCTCTACAGCTGCATTTAATGCCTTTATTGGAGCTGCGGTGTTATGTCTGTGTTCGGCGACTGTAATTCCTTTAATTTTAGTATTATTTTCAAGAAGGCGTGTTATCCGTAATGCACCAGTCAAAATGAAATACAAGCTAGGTTGGATTGTGAACATAATTTCAGTTCTTTGGTTACTGTTGTCCATGGTGTCAGTGTGTTTCCCTCCCCAAATACCAGTCACCTTCCAAACTATGAATTATGCGTTAATTGTCTACATCTTTTGTTTGATATCAATTACTGTATTATATTTTAAATGGGGTAAGTACAATTTCCAATTGCCATCTGTAGACGAAATGAACAAGCCAAGAAAGTTAAAGAACGAATCAATCAACACCACCACCGCCGTCAACGGCAATAACGTTTCAGGATATGTACCATTACAAGATCTAGATTCTGACTCAAACACAGAAAGATTAGAGCCTGCGACGAGTAACCCATTCGATGATGATTCAGCTACAGCAATAGATAAAGATAGAGATACAATCAACTCTGAACAAAACAGCAGAGAACTAGACTTAGAATTAGCTACAACTGAACCGAATCCATTCGAAGAGGATGAAAGAAACAAATGAATACCAAGATTTCATTCCCCCTCCCCCTCCCCCCATTCGAAAGAGAACCAAACCCTTTTTCCTATATCACCACACCTAGTGACTGACAGCATACCATTTTCCACCCCCCGCCCATCCTCATCAAGGTAGAAGACTATAATATATACAACATCGTCCTATTAGCATTAATAAAATTTTAATTATTACGTTTACAACTAAATTATAACCTAGATCCTTGAGACCCACCCAATTGAGTACAAGTCCAACCCAACTTGTTTTCAACCACCAAAACCACCCCTTCGTAGTAACCATAGAAGTAAAGCACCTTATTACATAATAGTCTTTTCCAACATTGGTCAATGCCTGTCTTTCCTTTCCTTTCCTTTCCTTTCCTTTCCTTAACAGCCAAATGACAACTTTTTCTGGTAACTGAATGGACCAGAGCAACGAGGAAAATATCAAAAGGGGAAAGGAAAGGAAAGGAAATGTCCACTGACAAAAGAAGAATAGCACAGCATAGCACAGAATTGAATCAAAAGTGATCATGAAAAAAATCAGAAAATGAAAAATATTCGAGCCGAATTGAATAAAATTTCAATATTGTAGCAGCAGCAGTAGTAGTAGTAGTTATAATAATAATGTAATAAATTACTTCTAATTAAAGGCACTTTTATATTATATATCCAGTGTTTGTTTAAGTTTTAATTATTTGAAAGGGGGATAATGTGACTGGACCCATTGGTTTGAATATTTTGTGTTTGGATCAAGTTCATCGATAGGTTGGCCAATTTATATCCTTGCTTTGTGGGGGGAGAGTGAATCGGATAAAACAGGCAACGTATATATATTATTTTGCTTTGACTCTTTCGTTTTAGGTTCAGATGGGTTTAAGAGGTGTCTGTTACACAGGGATTAAAGATTAAAGATTTTGGAGGTAAAAAAAAATTGATTAAAGAACGTTGCAGTAGATTGTTTTGGGTTTGCATCGTTTGGGTTTTATTTTAGCTAGAGTTTTCCAGGTTTTTTATACTTCACTGTTAGGCATATTTATATTCTTTTTTATTTTATTTTATTTTTTTTTTTGTATCAGCAGTCACTGTTTGTGGTACTATTGCCAGATTATTAAGAAGGCATATTCATATATACAATAGGAAACTAGACCTTTATTGCTAGTTCATTTGATTTTCTTCTTCTTTATTATATTTGGCTAGGAAGAATCATACATTGCTTCTGCCTCTAAGATAACACGTCCAGATATAATAACAAGATAAAACAAAATAAGATAAAATTAATATAAAACAGAAAAAAAAAGACATTAGTGCTCTGGATAGAGTAACTATTTTTAAAAAAATATACAATATACCATTTAATCATTAGTTGACATTGCTTTCAACTCATCAGTTCAGGGACTTTTTTTCACCAACCTACTTCTTCCTCAAAGAAGCTACTTTTATTTATTTCCATACCTCAATACCAATTGTTATTTCAAACCTATATTTGTGTCAGGATAAGAGATATTTTTGTTTTATGAAGCTTAAGAAGTATATACCACTGTTTTAAAAACTTTTCATTTGATTTTAAGGAAAGCAATGCTCGCAAATTTATTTGGGAAAAATGGGCTTAATGGGTCTACAGCCTCATTAAGCGACTCTGATTCAGGGTCCTCGTCACAATATAATTCAAAACCTTCGTCTCAGTATGGCAGCCCAACTTCTATCAACTTCAAAGACGACACGTCGTCTATTCTACGTCCAATATCTGGCAATATCCTGGATCATATGTCTGATGATTTAAAATCAAAATTATTTGCAACAAAGGACCTCATATCTGACATATCACTTGCATATTACGACCCAAAATCAACTAACAGTAATATCAATATTTCACCAGATTCGTTTAGGTTACTATTGACAGAGGAGACAGGACAAATGGTATGTAGAAATAATTACCGGGTCGTACTGGATTATGTGACTCCAAAGGGTTCCTATATCGAACAGATAAGACCAAGTGAATTAAAAGAATATATTTTTGGTTCCCCAGTTAGGTCTTCAGATTCTTTGGAAGTGGACAAAATAAGAGTAATCCCCAATTCAAATATTTTAATAATATCAAGGACATTTCATGTCAGCTCGAAAATCAACAGACTAGCCATTTGTCTATGTCTCCCATCATATTATTTACCAGTGGTAATGGAAGCATGGAGACAAGTTTCAACATGGTTAGATAATACCCAAGCATCTATTATATCAATTATCTCGAGATTGAAAAAACCTCCAAGTACTTTACACCTTCAATGCGATAAAGAATTATCATGTTTACTACCTGCTGATGCTAGGTTTCAATTTGTTTCAGAATTTGAATCAATAATACTTGCTTTACAAAGAAAAATTGTTCCTTGTTTAAGATCAATTTCAGAGATACCAAGATTATTTTTATACCCAACGACATTAATGAAATTTGTGGAATTATGGTTTAAAGATGTGTTCAATTGGATGGAATTAAAAGATGGCCCACGAATGAACTTCTTATCAACATTATTAGCAATAATTATAGTCAATTTTAAAGAGGAGTTGAAATCTTCCGAAAGCACTAGGATCGCCATCATGTCAGGTAACATGGTAGTATCGAATAAACTAATTAATATAATTTCAGGTATTTTAGAGCCAAAGTATAAGGGTCCTCTTTTGCATACAGATGAGGATAATGAACTAAGCACAAAGCTTGAACAATTAGATAGCATAGATACAGTTAACACATCCAGCACAGAAATTCACATGATCAAAAAGACAAATTCTAATAGCAGCATTTCAGTTTCACCTGCATCTACAAAATATCAAAACTCAAATAAAGGTTGGGAGATTCCTCGTAGGCGTAGTGCTCATAGTGTGGCATCGATTTCTTCTGGCGAGTCACTAGCGGAAGTAATACAACCTTCATCACTAAAAAGTGGCAGCAATTCATTACATCAACTTTATGCATCACTCTCAAATAACTATGGTACATCCTACGGTTCTTGGTTTAATAAGAGACCGAACATAAGTCAATTTATGCAATATAGTTCTCCTTCAAATTCAAATGAATCATGGGATCGTGCCGCAAGTATCCATAGGACTAATAGTGGAAATTCTATTCAACAATTAAGGGCAGGGTTTGGTATAACACCACAACAATCACCATCAATCAGTGAATATGATGAATACCCATGGTTTGGAACACCAAATTCTCCTCATGTTGAAAATAGCGCTACTGCTACAACTTCAAATACTACAGTATCTAGTGCTTCGGTGCCATGGACGACTAAAAGCATCACCGAGCCTAATAGGATGTATAATGTGCATATTGAAAGGGACTTTCAAAGAATATCACAAACAGAATTACTAGATGATGCATTTGATAAAATATGTAAACCAGGAAGGAAATTAGAGTGTGGACTGACTGTGACACCTGGTAATATGATTCATGCTGGAGTATTGGAGATTGAGATTCTCAATCAAGATTGTGTTGAGAAGTCTAGTGAATTGCTACCAAGATATACTAGCTATTTAAGGAATTATAACAGTTGGTTTAAATTACAAGCATTTCCTGCTAACAACGAATCTGAATCCAAAGTGATAACTTCAATGAAGAAAGACTTGAGTGTATATTCATATTCGAAGGCGCTGTTAATATCTCTTTCTACACGGGATATTAAAGAAGTAACCATTAAGAAGGAATACAAAAATAATACCCAAGATACCAATTCATTTAAATTAATCCAAAAAACTGCACGAATGTTTCATAATGGGAAACCGCAAGCCAATCTATCTTTAGAATTGAACAATTGCATATTACTTATCGAGAGTACACTAAAAAGGGCATCTGAATTGTTAAAACCAATCCAGTCATCAGCCGACACTTCGACGGCTATGACACAAGAGGCTCGCCAAGAAGAACTATTAAAGTTGTTCAAAAGTATAATCTATTTCAAAGATACCAAGACATGAAACAAATAAAAAGGGAAGGAGCTAAAATTTCTAAGCCATATTTCCCCATCTCACAGACATATTGAACATTTAAAGCCAATAACCATACACATATAGATAAAATTCAAGAGGTCAATACAATATTAAATACCAATCAATATTGTTGCTGTACTTGGCGAATTTTTAACTTTAAAATATTTAATTAATAATAAATAGTATAAACAACTAATGCATAGACAAATATAATTCAAACTACTTTTGCAGGTTGAGCTGAGCCTTGGCTGATTTGCCCTTACTTGATTGAATGGGTCTTCTGCTTGGCAAGTAAAGCTCCATCAAATTTCCAAAACCACTCCTAACAATGTAGACAAATCCACATCCAGATTCTTCAATTCTAATCCCAATTATTTGGAATAGATACCATATGAGACAACACTCTAAAGCAAAACCAATTGGCCCATGAATTTTTAAAGATGTGTGTATAAGCACCCATTTTTATCAGTATGAATTTTTAACAAAACTCTCGATTGTTATAGCATTATACTTGGAATTTACTCTTGAAAAATCAGAAGAGCATCATCAACAACTGTGCCAAGCCATGGATGGCACTGGAGTGGAGAGAAAAGCAATTCAATGAATACCCAAAGGAAACCAGTGACAAAGAAAATTTATTACAAAAGAAAACGCAAGATTATGCAAGTAAAAACTTCTCTCTTGGTGTTGTATTCACACAAGAAATAACCTCACTGTCATTAGCCATTTTTTTTATTCATGAATGATCAAGAACTTTTAGAGGCAGTAGGAAAAACTTTTCAGTAGTCAGATAACAAGCTGAAAGTAGAGAACCAGATATCAGAGAGACCAAAGAGCAGTTGAGGTTTCGAAAACACTGACCAGAACAAGAACAAGAACACTGAAATAGTGCAACACCGGGATAAAACGGTTATTTAGAGGAAGGATATTAATGTTCGACAGTTTAAGCCAGCAAAATTTGACCTATAGACATTTGTTCATCACTTACTAGTTTATTCCATCTATGTACAATTCTCCTATATATGACCATAAAAGATACCTATACTTGCAATAATTCCTTTCGATGGGACATAAAAGAAGGAAACCTAAGACAAAAAGACGGTTAGATCCCTTTACCACTAGTATTTTTTGGTGTTCGACTTGATGCAATTTAATACATCAATTTTTCCAGTACTAGACAACGGCTTGTAGGAACTCGACCTCAAAACACCAAAAGTGAACTAGTACGTATTAATGCAATAGAAGGCAATAATGATATCACTCTCATATTTCTCTCTCTTTCAGTTATCTTGTTGTACCAGATAAGTGAAATACACGGTAATCGAAAATGTAGAGCTTGTTCGTCATCTCTTATAACCCATTTCATTTAATCAATTGTATTGTACTGATTAATCCACGTAAATATATGGTCCTAGTAACCAGATGGTGAGATACCATTTATTGTTCCTGGCTTTCTTTTTTCATTTTTTTTCTTCTTCTGGTCATTTGCATTTCTTTTCTGATTCTTGTCAATAATCCATCCATCTCTGTATCTTCACTATGGAAAAATATTATATATACTCATCCTGATGGAAGGTTTGATGGTATAATTAGAAATGGAATCAATTCATTCACCCCCACTGCCACCTCCCAATGTTCATTCGATTGACTTTTACTTAGTTTTGAATTCATATATAAGTGCTTTATATATCTACTAATTTGAAGTTATACGGTGACCACGACTGCGATAACAACGACGACCACGACCACGACTACAAATAACGATAGTTGGCAGTTGTTATAATCACTTATCAAGACAAGTTTTTTTCCTCTAGTGATATTCAATCAGATTCAAATCTACCTTTACCATTCGATCTCATCAGGTGCCTGTTTAGATCGATTCAACCATAATATATATACAGATCTCTAGATATATATATTAAAGTCAGTGTGTCTGATAAAGAAAAAAATAATTTTGCTAAAGTTTAAGTAACCAAAAATGATCAATAATACTTTCAATCGTTTATGCATGTTCATTGCAATTTTTTTGCAATTGGTTAATGTTAATGCTGCAACAAGTCAAGCTTATAGAAAGATATCGTTCACTAACGTAGGTTTCTCCGGTACCTATAATCCAGTGTCCAAATTAAATAATATCGATAAGGATACCTGTTCTTGTGAAGTAGGTAGTCCAGTATCATTTGGCGGTGCCAATGCTCCTTTGGCTGATTACGTTTCTGTCCACTTCCGTGGTCCATTGACTTTAAAACAATTTGCATTTTACTCTTCAAGTTCCTTTGTTATTAATATTAATAGAAGTTCAGTCAGCTGGGATCGTATGGCTTATTACGATGCTTCATCTCAAACTTCTCAAAATATTACTTTCTTAACAAAAGCTGGTGATTCTTCTCCATGTTTGGGTAAAGCTTTATCTTATGCTTCTAAAAACGGTACTGGCTACTCTTCCGCTTCTACTATTTTAGAACAAGACAATTACATTTCTTCTGATCAAGAATATACCATCTACTCCAACGTTTCTTGTCCATCATCAGGTTCTAGCAAAGGTTGTGGTGTTTACCGTAGTGGTATCCCTGCTTATTACGGGTTTGGTGGTGTTACCAAAATGTTCTTATTCGAATTTGAAATGCCAACTGAAACTCAAACTAACAGTACTTCTTTCGAATACTACGATCTTCCAGCTATCTGGTTATTGAATGACCAAATCGCAAGAACTTCTCAATACCCATCAAATACAAACTGTTCTTGTTGGTCAAGTGGTTGTGGTGAATTTGATATTTTCGAAATTATGAATGGTACTGAAAGAAATAACTTATATTCTACTTTCCACACCTACCAAGGTATTGCTGATTTAGGTACTGGTATTCAAGCTGATGGTCATTTCTCAAGAAACACTACTAATACTATGAAAGGTGGTGTCGTTTTTGATTCAAATGGTGATGTCATCTCTTTCTTGTCACCAGATATTGAGTTCAACACTACTTACGCAGCAGAAAAAGTTATTGCATTAGTTTCTGGTATCCCTAACTCTGACACTTATTCAACTCAGTTAGCAGTAATCTCAACTAGTTCAGCTACTGCCACTAAATCCAAATCTAGCGGCTCTACTTTGGGCAAAGTTAATTCATTCTGGTATTATTTTATTACTGCATTTACCGCAATTATTCATACTTTTATGATATAGACTGCATTGTAATTTTAGAGACATTTTATTTTATACACTCACTATTCAAGGACTTTGTTTTATGTATATTAAATTGAATAAAATATAGTATATATATGTGTATATTCATTTTGAATTAATTGATAAGTTATCATTTATATTGTTACTTAAACCAGTTTTGCAAATTGGAAAAAATTATTGAATAAATATATGTATATATACAAAGAAGACAACAGTTGTCAGATACTTCAATAAAGTCTTTAGTCTATCTCTTGATTCTAATCGATCTACTCATTGTTATACAAGCATTTACAGGTATTTGAGACGTTTAGAATGTAGACCACGTGATGTTACACGAAACGAAGTTTACGCGTTTTTAACTTTACTAATTTAAAAAGAGGAAGTTTGATGTATTTTAACCAAAAACATAGAACTTTAAATGGAAAGAAGCATTATAGAAATCAATAAAAACATATCTTACAAACATATTAATACAAATACAATCATTACAACATGGCTAGTGAAACCCCAAGATTAGATCCTCGTGAAATTGCAGAAAATGTATCACCAGTATTCAGACTAATTGCTCAAGTCAAATCTCAACCTAGTGAGTCTTCTTTGGTTTTAAGTTCACCATCTGAAGGAGGTGAAATGATTACTTTGAGCAACGTAAGAGTATCTATGAATAGAGAGTTCGATACAGATGCTTGGTACGAATTTGTTTGCAGATCAAGCGATAGTGGTGAAGTCGGTTTTTTAGTACTAGATGCTGTTCCATGCATTCTAGAAGAGAATGAACAGATTAGTATTGATGGTATAGTAGCATTACAACAATTGACCAAAAAATTCCCTGAAATATATTAAAAAACAAAGTATAGATAAATAAAAGATTGTCAAATTCACTTTGTATTATATATATATATTTTTTTATTCTTCTTATTGACAGATGAAAGAACTGATATAAGAGATAGTTTTTGCGGAGGAACCAAGAGCATATTGTCCATCAAAAGTTTCATGATCCTGATTTTAAGAGGTTACCTTTTTGGTGTTGTAGTGGCTTCAATTTACTTGCAAATAAATTGTCTGACAGAGCTTACTGTGATTTTTTTCCTGTAATCAGATATGAATAACCTTCTAGTGGGATGAATTCATTCCTATAAATAATCATATATACATATACATATACATATACATATACATATACATATATACATAAAGTAATTTAACAAAATGATCTGATGCCAAGAAAGTATTCAACGCTTTAATTAGGGTCTAGTCGGTGTGCCTGTAGCTTTCAGTTTAAGCCTTTAATTTGAAACTCATCTGATACGATGCCAAGGTTCCTACAAATTACGTGTCATGGACTATTATAAAATGATAAACGGCAGCTACTAAATGGGATATAAAAGAAACTGTTCATCTATTGGATAAAGTGTCTTTTATTTTAATCAAGCCAGACATCTAATCGATACTACTTTGGGATCTCTATTTTAAGATTCTGTACATCCCAAAGAATACCTATCGTTAAATCCATATCAACTATTAAGGATGGATACTTCAGTATATAACCATGCTTTAGAGCTATGGACTAAAGCTGACTTATCAGGTTTACAAAAGCAGTTAGATGATGATGTATTGGAAGTCAAAGAAAAGGAGACAAATTCATTGGGTTCTAGAAAAATCCTGGCAGCTGAAACCAAGAAGTTTAAAAAATTGCCAACAGATGAAAAACTTGGTCAAGTTAATAAGATTATTAAACAATACCAACAAGAGATCGATGACCTTACTAAGAGATCTCAATTCTGTGAATCTATTTTAATCAATATTTATGCAAAACTATCAGAAACCCCAGATCCCAAGCCTTTGTTACAGAACTCAATTGATAAATTTCAAAATATTGAAGATTCAGCTGTATTGAAAGAAAAAGTGGATGATTTGCAAGACAAGTTAGCAAAATATGCTGATTATGAAAGTTTGAAATCTAGGTTATTGGATTTGGAACAAAGTTCTGCTGAAGTTTTATCCAAAAGATTATCAGCTCAAGAGAAGGAATTGACCTCTGTTTGGGAAGCCAAACAAAAAAATTGGAATGAGAAGGAGAGTGAAATTACAAAGCAATTGGAAATTCTAAAGGCTAATAACAAAGTTTTAGAGACAAAGATATCAAAACAAATTGATTTGGACGAAGGACAAGATTCACAAGATCAATCCACTTCCAGTGATGGTTCCAAATTTGTTAATGTATCGGAAAGTAATTTTTTGATTCAAGAGTTAGAATCTGCCCAATCTAGAGTATTCCAATTAGAAAAGAGAAATGAAGAGTTAACCAGCTCATTAGCCAAAGCTACTAACTCTGCAGAAAAAGAATCTGAATTGTTAGCTAAAGAAGTTAAGATTAGTCAACTGGAAAGTGAAAATGCACTTTTGAGTGCATCAGTTGAACGTGAACGTGCATCTCATGAAAAGGTTCAAACTACTTCAGATGAAAAATACAAATTGTCCAAAGCAGAATTAGAATCTTATAAATCTGAATTGGAGACAGTCAGAAGGAAGTTAAATAATTTCTCTGACTATAATCAAATAAAAGACGAATTAACTGCATTGAAAAAAATTGAATTTGGTGTAGAAGATGCTACTTCAGATGATGAATTAGAATTAGATCAAGATAATTTGAATAAGAATAAAATGGAGAATACTTTGATTTCAGCAAATAAGAAATTACAATCAAACTTGGCAGAATTACGTGCAAAGGATGTTGGGAAAACTGAAGAGATAAAAGCGTTGAAAGATTCAATTTCAAAATTAAATGCAAATATTGCTGACTTAGAAAAGTTAAATGCAAAGCTAGAAATTGATCTAGAAAAAGTTGAAGATATTGATCAAAAATTCAATGATGCTGCCAGTATGAGGTCTGGAGCTACGAGACAAATACACAATAGAGTTGGCGGTGGCGGTAAGTTATCTCCAACAAGTTCCATTGTCGGTATTCCTGAAGAATCCGAATTACCTTCATTAGTAAATAATAACTCTATTTTACCAATAGTTACAAAGCAAAGAGATAGATTCCGTACTAGAAACATGGAACTTGAAAAGCAACTAAGACAGTTCAATACAGAGAAGGCCAAATTGAGAGCTGAATTAAGCAAATTACAAGCAGATAACCAAAAGTTAAGTGATCGCTCTCGTTTTACATCCTCATATAAGGGTTCTTCCTCTAGCTCAGAAATTAATTATGCAGACGCTGACGTTGAGGCTCAGATATCCAAGAATTTTGAAGACTCATTAAACCCATTAATAGATGTTAAAAAAAAGGAATCAGAATATTATAAAACTCACAGATTGCCAATTACTGAAAGGTTATTCATGAAATTTGCCAATATTGTATCATCAAGCAGAACTTCAAGAGCGATCTTTATTTTCTATTCCTTAGGGATTCATGGTGTGCTGATTGTATTGTTAATGTATTTTGCAAATTCTAATCCTTATACACCAAGTGATTTGATCAACACTTCAAATGGTATCTCCAGTGGTCTGGAGCAAGCTGGAAACATAGATATTGGCAGTGCTAATGCGGTTGGCGCCGGTGCTGTTGCAGGTTCAGGTTCAGGTGCAGGTGTTGCTGCTGGAATGGCTGGTAAGGCTGCAGGTAGTATTGCCGGTTCCAATGCAGTTGGTGTTAATGCCGGCCAAGCTGTTGGGCGAAATGTTGTAGTTTAGATATAAACCATTAAACTCTTATGAATAATAAAATATAAAGCATTCTATATCTCGTTAGCAATATTTTTGTAGATTATAAATTCTTCTAACAGATTTTTAAGATTCATCATACTCTTTGTATATCAATGTAAGGAACCGAAATAACAAAATTATTAGTAACCCCTGATCCTTTATTAGTAGCCTTTTAGGCTACATTTTACTTTTTTATATAACAGAAGTAGTAAAAATATAAAATTTATGAATAAAGTTTTATTAATTGCGTTGTTAAATTACACAAATTTATTTCTAGACACCTAATAAACCGAATTATATATGCAGTAAATAGGATGGTAAAATGGAAGCTTCAATTACATATACATTAGATTAAAATAGGAAATGATTAAATACTGAGTTGATTAAAAAATTTTCCTACTTAAGCAGTGATACGCTTTTGGGCAGCAATTCTACCTCTTTGTCTGGAGGAGAATCTGATCATCTTCTTTTCAGTAGCCTTTTGAACAGCTTCTTCTCTTTCAGTCAAAACCAATTCAATGTGAGATGGAGAAGATTCGTACTTGTTAATTCTACCGTGAGCTCTGAAAGTTCTTCTTCTTTGCTTTGGAGCTTGGTTAACTTGAATGTGAGAGACGTACAATTTAGTAGCATCTAAACCTTTAGCCTGTAAAATAAAAATAAAACAATATAAAATTGCATTTAATTATGTTAGTAACGTGATATTATATCTCTTTGGGTCCAATCTTGGTATAATGAAATAATAATCGTTTCTCCAATTTCAATTTCAATTCTTAATAATGAAATGAATCAAAACAGATCACAGAATATCAATGATCTCCTTGTATTTAAATGTTCTACTTTTATAAGTTCCTAATCATTGTTAAGTATTTCCTCGAAATTGGGCTTCTGGATTATCAATGTTTTTTCATCATCCTGCATGAGTTGGAATATTATTTGTTATAATCTTGACTGTAAAATCATAAATAGTAAAATTAAAATTAACATACTTCAGCGTTGGCAGCAGCATTTTGCAACAAACCTTGGACGAACTTAACAGACTTAGCTGGCCATCTAGCCTTGGTAACACCGAATTCTTTACCTTGAGCAGTTCTACCAATAGAAGAGTTAAATCTTCTGAATGGGATAGCTCTTTGGTGGTCCAAAACTTGTTCCAAGTACTTTTGAGCTCTTTCTAATTCCCAACCGCTAATAGCTTGAGCAGTTTCTCTGGTGTTCTTGAAAGAAACACGTAAGTAAGAGCCACGAGCAGAAGCAGACTTAGCTGGGTTAGTGGAGGTAGCACCGTATCTAGCCATGTTTTATTAACAGTTCTTGTGGGTTTGCTGATGATTTTTAAAAATAATTAAACAAGAATATACTTCAAATTTAAACCTCTTAATATATATATGAGAGCATTGATATAATACTTGATATATAGTATCACATATAAAATTCAAGATTACAATTACAATTGCATTACAGAGAAAGAGAAAGAGATGGTGAGTATCGAAATGATGATGAGAAACGGTAGAATTGAAGTTGAAGGTGATGGTGGTGGTGGTGGTGAGGACAATGAGGATAGTAGTACAATATCTAAGTTTTACCATCAGTCTGTGTGTGTATGGTAGAATAGTTCTTGAAACAAACAAAATGAAATTGTATTGGCAATGGTAAGCTAAGGTTTGAGCATGATCAGTAAGAAAGTTTAGTATGGGTACTGGATTAAAATTATCCAATTGACAAACACCAGTAGAGAGGGAAGTGAAAAATTCAGACAAAACCTGACAATAATTAGTTTGAGTGAAAGTTTCAGTTGTGATTGCGTCGGTTTGTTTGCGTGGGTAAGAGGAAAAAAAACGTGAAGCAGCCGAGAGAAACAGAGAGGCGTGTCCGAGACTTCGGGTAGGCAGAAGGGTAGAGTTAATCCTGTCTACGGTTTAGACGGAAAGGCTTGGTACGGTCAGCCTGGAAAGAGATTGAAGTTGAGTGTAGGCAGAAAATTAAAATGAAGTTTGTTTCTAGTTACAGGAGAAGATTGGAATGGGGATTGTGATTAGATGGAGGGCAAGATATGTCTAGTCGAATGATTCTGTTCCTGGTCTGCATGATTTTGTTAACTGTTGCAGGAAACTGAATGCCGGCGTTGGTTGGGACAAGACAAACAAATGTGCGTGCAGATGCAAGCATAATCGCACAACTTATATTTTCGAAATTTTAGATTTCATTTTTTTTTGTTTTACGTTTTTGTTTTTTTGGCAGTTGGATTTATTTTAAAAACAGTTTGACGGTGCTCTGAAATGTACAGGTGCACAGTCACTTTTATGATAATTTTCTGAAAAGTTTTCCAGTTGGTATTGCAAGCTCAAGCAGAGTTACTGCGATGTATCCAAGAGAAAAATGTACTAAATATGTGTTTGTGGTATGGTATATGGCTGTCTTTTACTATGCGTGTAAAATGATTAAAGTGGTTCTTGTATTAGAGGTTGGATACTTCTTAAGAGTATATCAGTTACAGAGGGAAGATATGGTCAACAAGACGTGATATATTCATTAACAATGTATCCATGGCAAGTACAGGTGAATGGCTCTTATGCACAATAAGAAATTCTGATACATATTTCTCTTATCTTGTGAAATTTACTATGTTTCTTTTTTAGTCGAAACTCGAGTACCTACGTGTGCACGTGATTCAACAATTTAGTTATAGTTTAATATCTGAAAGTAGGATATGTAATTTCATCTCATCCCATCTCATTCCACCCTATCCCATCCGTATTCATTCTCTTGTACATCCGACACTAGATAATAGAAATGGAGCAACTACCATACCCATCTCATTCAACAAACGAATGACGAATCAGAATACTCAGCTATACCTAGGAATTAATTAATAATACTCTAAAAACCAAACGGCATAAATTGCCATACCGGGTTATACCTAACAAGAAACAATCTGCAAAGTAATATACTCTTAGGTGCTATCTAGCCTCGAAAACTCCTTTCCACTACCTTATTTCAAGGAAGTTCTTATAGCTTGGAAAATATACGATGACGACAATAATCTTTTTTTTTTTTAAACCATTTCGAAATCTATCTACTGAAATCATGCACTTTACCTAACATTCAACCTCTCTCTCTATCTCTCTCTCTCTCTCTCAATCACCGAGTTAAGATTCTAGTGCTACAATGATATCTACTTTCTACAAAGCATAATATTAAATATACACATAATTTGAGGAATTTATTTTTATTTAAGTTAACCATCGATCTCTTTCTGATGTCTTGTCTTCCGGTAAAAGTACGAAGTCGTACCACAACTTCCTGCTAGTATTAACATTCATTCTGGTCTTGCAGTTTCTTATCATTTACAGAGAGATGTCCTTACTGCTACAGCCAAGAGTCTGGATAATACTACAAACCTGAACTAAATATATTTGGATTACCTCGAATTCATAATGGTCTAGGCATCTCCAGTTATTAAGTAAGATTTAATTTCATCGTAAAATATCTGACTTGCGGTTAGAATGCAATTTTCAACATTATTATACCCACACATATTTCCTATTAATCAACACTGCTTTAGGTTCCTGACCTATTTTTACTACACTCTTACATATATACTTCAATTCCTCTTATTGCACTCATGCTGATGTTGACAATAATAGCAGTATTGATATTTATCATATAAATAGAATTGATTAAGCTAATTGGTGTCTGTGTCTTATCTTGCCCATCACAAACTATCCAATAAATTATTTGAATTCGAATTCGAAATCGAAATTACATAACTCTTTATTTTGTATTTATAATAAAGGTCCCAAGAATAGTAACATCATTGTAATAGAAGCTATACCCATTAAACAAATATTAATCTACTTATTTGTTCGTATCCGAGTGTTTTTGAAACTTCTAACAGATTTATAAAGCTTTTTGTTCAATTTTTACTGTTTTACTCCTAATTTAAAGGTTCCTAATTGCAACAAGGATATTTTCATTTATTATCATCTACAAATTTCGATATATCTATTAGATTTGTTGCTGTCGTTTCGTTATTCGAATAGTTTAAATCGTATCTTTTCTACAACATTTTAGCTTTTTTTAAAAGAGGATACCTTAACTTTAATCGAAGCTTTAAGCTCAACATATAATTCAATCGTCATAATCTTCATATACTTTTAATTTTGCATCAATTATTTGTTATTTTTGTCACTGGATCCTGTTTGTAAATATTAACTACAATTTTAATCCATTAGAATCCTGACATATATTAACTATATTTCACCTTTAAATTTTTTTCCAACCATATTTACATCTTTATATTAATAATAGTAATAATGTTAAAGATGAGATTATTATTAACTTGGGTGCTACTAGTGCTACCATTGGTCAATGCTTTAAAGTGTGCCAACAATAGAGTTTTAAGAAAGTATCATATTGACAAGCATTCTGCAAAGAAGAGTGTAGCAAGAGATACTCCTCCAAGTAAAACTACTGAAAAATGGTATGTTAACCCTTGTGAAGAACATCCTGCTGATGATATTTATGATGGTTGCGATAAATCTGATGATATTTGTGGTATCGTAATGGTCGACCTACCTGTATTCAATAAAGACCCTTTTGTAATTAAAAGAATTGAAGCTACCGATATGGCTAGTTTCACAGCTACTGAAGAAAGCAATGCATTGGTTTTAAGATATACTGGTATCAGTTGGGGACAAAACATGGTCGCTGCAAATATTAGATACTTCTGTGACAAAAATTCAAATGAAGATGAAATTACTTCAAGTATTTGGGCTAACAATGACATTTCCATCATTATTAAAGGTCCTTCTGGTTGTAAAAAGGATAGCAGCGAACTTGAGGATGGTGATGTTGAAGAATCTAGTGGTTTATCATGGTTCACTTGGTTATTTATTTATGCTATCTTTTTCACTGTTGTATATTTAGTCGTTACCTCATACACCCAAACAAGAGGTGGAAGTATCGATGACTTCCGTCATGACTTTGTTGAACGTGCAAAACAATTCTTCACTTCTTTACCTGCATTCGTTAGAGAAGTTGTATCAAAAGTTTTAGGTAGTGCTCCTAATGCCGCTGAAAGAGGAGGTTACAGTGCTGTTTAAGAGGTCAATTCTCATCTGCCTTCATTATTTCCAAGAATATATCTTCAATTAAGTTAACTTAGATTTAATTAAAATAATTTCATCGAAATCATCTTAATAGATTAATGATGTAACATAGTTTCAATTTTCATTTCGTTCTTATCCAATTATCAATTACTAATATTTACTAGTTGTAGCACTTATTGAATCCATAATATTAGGTACTCTTTAATTTCCCAGAATTCCATTTTATATGGTACTTTCAAGAGAGTCCACTTTTCATCCTTTTGGTGTTAATTTTAGTAAATGTTAAATGTATCCATTATTTATTTCTATTTTCATTAGATATATTAAATATACGTCTATAAAATTGAAAGTATTTTATTAAATTTTTTAGTTCTATATGTTATTTTATTTATTGAAATTATTTCTGGGTCATTATTGCCTTCAAACCATCAACTGTCTTCTCAAGTGTAGTATCCAAATAGTCTCTCTTTATATTTAATGCCTTCTTTTGTTCTTTTAAGGTGCCAACATCTTCTTTCAAATCAGTGACATATTTAGATTTATCTTGAAGCACAAATGCTTTCCCACATGCTTTCCATATCTGATCGTTTGGATATGACTCTAATTCCTTTGTTGTAACTTCAGCCAATTTCTCTTGGGTTTCTAAATGCATTAACTGTTGAGAAACTGTATCTAGTTGAATCTTGACATTTCTTAAATTGGTTGTCAATTCTTGAGCTATTTGCTGATTAGACATTACGAAAACACCTTTAACTTCCTATTAGAACGCAATGGAGATACTCTTTGCCACCGATATCCGTTATTAGCTCTATTCGTTTAATAAACCATCAGTTCTTTATAAATCATTTATCATTTAATATTTCAATTTGATTTCTTAATTTTCCATGTTGAAGTTTTTAGAGCGTTGCTACTGGAAACGACAGTTAATCAGACTGAGTTATCTTTGGAAGAATATCAATATACTCTGAAGATATCTAATTATTCTTTAAAATACATATCTATATTCATCTAGGTATATATACTATTCAAATTGAGTTTCTCTTAGGCCTATTTAAGATTAATAAAAAGATAATTAAATGGATATAGATTCAAGGGCAAAACAAATATAAAATGATTAGATTAATGCTTTCCCAATTTATTAGATAAATGTGACAATGTGGAAACAATAGAATAAAAGAAAACAAAGATAGGTAATATTTTATTTTTAAATTGAAATAAAATTTAATAATGCATGTAATAATTAATTATGGATTGATTTTATAATATTAATGATAGTTATTTTTTCTCTTTTGTGATGAATACTATTTTTTAACTAATTCATAATATTCATTAATATCTTTTACACAAGAACCTCTCTGATCACAGCCTTTAAATGATATTATTAAATCTCCCTCAGTGTATTCAAATACATTATCCATTTTATTCTTAATTTCTGGATTGTAAACACTTGAAAATAATTTTGGATAGACAATAGCAGTTCTTGCTAAAAAGGAACTATGCCATTGGAATATATGTCCCACACTTTGTTCAAAAGTATTCCAGTTATAATTTCTAATTAATGGTTCACCTAAGAATTCGAAAAATCTCTTACCAAAGCTATCAGTAGACGTAACGAAACATGACATATCTAAGTTACCATCTTTACCTTGTGGGATTAGTAGTTTAACGTTTTCAACCTTTACGTTATGATAAGTCTTGATATTACTATTAGCAACAACAGGAATATCTCTACGGATTGCCATATCGACAACCTTTGGATCTAGAACGTGTTTTTGAATAGAGATGTTCATATCCATGAACAGAGCTCTTTGGTCGACAAACACAACGTGCTTAGCACTTGGAAATGCATGCATAGCGGCCCGAACTACTAATGGCTTAATGTAATCGTAACCAGATTGTAAATTTTGTGCTTCTAACATTGGTAAGAATTCTTGAATCCAACGTATATAAACACCATATTTATGTCTTTCAGCATAATCGACCCTATTTTGGATGATCTTGACTAAAGTGGCTCTATCATATTTCTCAAAATCTATTAAAGTTACTACAACTACTTCAGGACCATTTTCTTTACGGTAAACCAATTTACCATGATCTAAAAATGATCTCTTCACTAATAAAACTTGGTCGGTAGTTTTTTTAACTTCTTCGTCAGACAATGGCTTATCATCAGGCTTGATAACATAACGATTATCACCATTGCTTTGAAGTCTTAAAATATACAAACCTCTAATACCAATTTCTTTTAGAACCTTAGCATGATCGACGTGTGGATAAATAAGTGGACTTGAAGCTTGTATTTCATTGATATAAACACCTCTAGCTGCAGGATAATTAGACTTCTTGATAGTAATTGAAGTAGAAGCTGGTGGTCCACCACTGAATAAACTTGAAAAGATATAGAATAATAATAAGAACCCTGTAATCAAAGAAACAATCTTTACATTTAATCTCTTTTGTAAAGTGTTGCTGTAGCCATAAACTGGATCACCATTCAGAAAAGAAGTAAGATCACTAGACCACGATCTCTGGTGTTTAGAAGGAACCTTTAGATTCGATTTGGGCTTCATAACCATTGTTGTTAAACTTCGAAAAAAAAATTTTAATATATATAGTATTGCTATTTTTTATAATCCTTAAACCCAGGAAATCAGAAGTGTAAAAATTGGAAAGTCAATGTATATATATATGCCAATGGGTCTACTAACCCAATCTACTCTCAATGATCCTATCTGACCCGTCTACCTTGCTTTAAAGCTGCTTGATCATTCTAGGTATTACGTATGATATAATTTTGATATCTTTAAAAGGTTTCGATCTCGATTCAAAAATCGATATTTAACACACAAGAAAATGAGGGTAACAGGGAACGGGATATAACAAGAACTCAAGACCAGCGACGATGGAATTTGGTAGTTATAACAAGAGATTCAGATCGATCTAGGTCTACCAATTATCAATTGATCTATTAGTTATTTCTATAATTGTTGGATGTTCAGAAATTATTTTTTTGATCAAGTCTGAGACGATAGATATAGCATTAAAACATACCTAACTATGTAAAAAGCAATTATATATATTGATATATATGATAAACTAGTAAATGTAAGTTGATTCCAAGGTGTTGTCCGAAAGGTTATGAGCCCTGTAATTATTTAGGAAACTATTAATTGTAGTCTTACCTTTAATACAATTTGAGAAACAATTTATTTGGTAAGAATGTTTAAAATTCATTAGAGAATCCCAGGCCTCATCCACTTTTGAACAATACTGGCAAGCATGGCCCAACTTTCATTGACTTGTTAGAACAGTTAGACTTTCCCACGAATTGATAAGACCATTTGGCCTTTATCATTTCGTGAAGTCTTTAGAGTTTAATTGACACTATAGTAACCATAATGCACTCACTCAGTCGTTGAAGTCGATCAGATATGATCAATTGACTTGGTTATTTAACAAAAGGAACCAACATTAAAACCCAAAATGAGAAGAAAAAAAACTGAATAGATAGTTGTCAATCAAACACTTAATTATTTATATTCATTCGAAATGATCAATGTTCAAATTGATCGTCATAGAAATGACGTCATTTTGACAAACTGATGTCACTTAAGAAAAGATAATGACAGATCAAAATGGTTAAAATCGAACTTAATAAGGATCCGAAAATTGAAATACAACATAGTAATTTACAACTACGTACATGAATGTTATTAATATATATGTATCTATACTGGTATTTATTTTGTTTATTGTTTCATTCTTAAAATTAAGTATGTGTCAAAAAGAGGCAGAACATTCAAATCACTTGGCTTGATTCTTCAGTGTAACGATCTCTGAAGACATTTTCAAGATCTTCATCGTCATCTTCCTCTTCTTCGTTATGGTCTTCTACAATCATATCGTTTGCATCAACATATGGCATTTGCCTCTTTTGGTTCAATTCTCTGATTTGGAATTTTCTAATCAAAATTGAAACAATACCACTACTTACTGAGGTCGCAATTAATGCATAACAACCTTTTCTGAAATGAGGGACAGTATTTGCTGCGTAAAATAATAGAGACCACCAAGCATTAACTGCACCAGAGAACATATTCATCGAAGCCAAGACAATTGCACGCTCTTGCAGATCGTCATGACATACAACGTTAGCCCAAGCAAAGAATACTGCTTGACCAGCGTATGCTACACCACCTAGATATTGGGCAGTAAACATCAAAGCTTCATTTAGAGGGTCGATTCTAATCATTATCGCCACAGCGCACATGACGACAGCAATGACTATAGCGACATGCCAATGTCTTGATCTCTTAATTTTACTTAAATAAAAGGCAGCTGCAAAAGTTGAAACGATACCAACCGCGTAAATACCTGATGGGAAGTTATTTCTATTTGATAGGGAATAATTTCTATCTTTTAACCATAATGCAAAAAGACCATTTGAAGCAAAACTTAAATTTTCACCACCCAATACCCAAACAAATGAAAATAACCACCAGTGCCATCTTCTCAATACTCTTGGAACGACAGACCAATCTAATTTAGTACTCTCATCCCTTGCTGGTAATCTTCTTCTGGCGTACTGTAATTCTTCTTTAGTGAAGATTACTTTTGTCATCGAGAATTTACTATTAATACTTGACTTATCAGGAACACCAGGGAAGAATATCAAACCGTATAATGCAATTGGGATAGTAATGCAGAAATCAATAATGAATAACCATCTCCAACCAGGTAAACCTTGACGACCATTTAAACTTTTATGAATAGCTACTTGCATGAAACCACTAAATGTGGAACCAATTAAACCACTACTTGTAAAGATGGCACTTCTGATGGGCAATTCATTTTCTTTATACCATGAACCCAAGATCAAATGGGTACCCGAGAAAGTACAACTTTCAAATAAAGCTTGGAAGAATCTAATTACACAACATTGTTGATAGGATGTAACCTTATACATACCTAAAGTCAATAAACCCCATGAGAAAGTACAAAAACTTAGCCATAACCTTGGAGGCACAATCAATAGCATTAAATTATTTGGAAGCATACCAACGACGTAACCTACAGTGAAACAAGTATTTGTTATTGATATATCATTACCTGTCATATTAAGGTCTTCTTTCATACCTGAGACATAGGCATTGGTGAAACCAACACGATCAACGTAATTGATCCAGTATTGTAGACAAACAAAGGATAAAACGAATAAATCAATCTTAAACAATACAAATCTTTTATTAATCTTATGTTCTTTGAAAGAGCCATCATCATTTTCTGATCTGGTCTCTCTTACTGAAATATTATCTTTATGAATAATATTGAACTCCTTTTCGGAGTCTAGAGTCTTAACAGCATTATCCATGATTCTGAATGGATGCAAGGTCACAGCCAGTCGATGCTATAGATGTATAACCAAAGTAAATTAACCGAATTCGTATATTCAAAGCCATCTCAGCTCATCTCATCGCATCTCATCTCTTATATATATTAGAAAGCTAAAAAGAAAAGCAACCTTTTCGAAATTACATATCACCATGAAAAGTCGTGCCTTAGAATGAAAAGAATTCGAATAAGAGCAAGAACAAGAGCAAGAACAAGTACAAGAACAAGAACAACAGCGACTATAGTATTTGATTTCGAAAGGATCAGTAAAACATTTTGCACTAACCATTTTTAGTAAACTGGTTTGATGAAATTAATGACCTACTAGTGCTAAAACTACCAGTACGACACCACTTCCCAACTGTCCCAACTGTTGTATATGAAGTTGAATGGACTTATATGTATGTATTAATCAATATATACAATTGTTGCCGTATGGGTGACAGCTTTAACTCTTTTCTTCTCTGTATGAAAAGTTATGAAGCTGTCAGAGTCATCATCATCCAATGGATGGGTATGTACAAATTGGTTGGTTTCCCTCCCTCTATAGCGTTATAGTTTGTCTGTTTCTGGACGTCTTGTTAATTTAACGTAATTGTTGCTACTCGAGTGACACTTCTGGATACCAAGTTCACTATTAAGTCCCAGATTTGGGTTCCTTTAGAGCAGTTATTAAGAGAGGGTTAGAGGGAGGGAGTGTTTTGGGGAGATAGGTAGGAGGGAGGAGGTTGTCGGGTTCATTCATATGCAGTTGGGATGTTGTAGTTATAGCTATAGTTAGAGTTCTTAATTCATATTTTTTTTCTTGCCTCTAAGCCTATTCCATTCATTCATTATGTTTCTTCTTGTATCGATTAGGATTGAAATTCGCAATTGGTCCCTTCTACATCAGCAATCTTGATATTTCTTTGATGGTTGCAGCAATTAAACCGTAAATTCTTTTAAAATTATATTGTATGTAAGGTATTTATGTTTTTTTATTTATGTGTTTATATACACTTGTGGTTATAACTATTGAGATTCATTTATATTTGATAAAACTAGCTCCCTTATAATAAATTATTCAGAAGTTGGTTCATCTGTTTTACCATTTTTCAATAGGTTGAAGTCTCTTTGAACTAGACTCAATGAGTAGCCTTTAGAGCCATCTTCTCTTTCAAAATTGTAGTTGGAGGCATCAGCTTCAATGTAAACCAAAGCACTATTTATAAAGTTGTCAAATAAATAATTTTGTTAGTATTAGTTTTATGTATAAGTAAACAGAGGAAGTATTAAAAAAAAAGAAGTGGAACATACCCTTTTCTAACGTATTGTTGTAAAAAGTTCATTTGTGCTTCATTGAAAACAGTAACATTAAACCAATTGGTTTGGCCATCTCTTCTTGGTTGTGATGCAATGCTATATCTTACAAACTTTACATCATTTTGTGAAGTGTGTTGAGTGAATTCACTACCAATACGTCCCACAATTGACATTTTAGCAAAGTTTAACTTTCTAGCAGTGGCATGGAATGAACGAACTTGTTGGCGTAACATGGTTAATATAGATTTCAGTAGGCTTGTTTAGTTTCCTTGTTTCAGAAGAACAGTATGTACTCATACAAACCAAACAAGAAGAATATACAAAGGTTAAAAAAAAAACATCTTATATAAACAAAAGATGGAGAAATACATGTAACTACAACTACAATTCAATCATTACAATTGGTCGACAAACGGATGTGTTTGTTATTTCATCTATCCCATCACCATCCACTGAATTATGTCAAAACCTTTGATGTTTCTCGTGTTCCATTCCATCTAGTTTTAATTTCGAAATTTAATCAATTTTACGTAAGTGAGTACTTAATTTCTTAAAGGCATTCAAGTATCGATAACCCACCTGACAGCACAATTGGGTATCGATTAGTTGATCCTTGTACACTTGGTAACAAGCATAGTCCAACCACTTATTCAATACTACTATATATAAACCAACTGTGTACTTACAGATATATATAAATAGATACTTAGATAGATACTTACATGTGCTCTTAGCAATAACCAACATAATGCATGTCACACACTACCCTTACACGTTATGTTAAACCAATAGTATGCAGAATACAATACTATTAGTTTTACACTACAATAAAATACATCTAAATCTACATATAATGCTTTAATTACATTGAAGATATGTGTTGAACAATGGTGTATTATGAATAAACCATCTCATTTTTCTGTTAAACAACTGTCCACACTTCTTTTCCTTGAAATAAGAAATGAAAGCTATACTTATTTGGTATATAACGACTGATGTATGTATATGGCAATGTATCGTTATTTCTTCTTCCCAACAATAATTTGAGACACACCAAAACACTCTGACCCCATTTTGCGGTTGGTTGAATGTTATCACTTCTTAGATAACTGATAAACCTTTCTGTCGAGGTTTACCAGTATTTATATCACTGGTGGAGTACAGGGTAGTATTAACCTGAACTGTATGTATTGTACCTTAAACTTAAGCTAGTTTTGAAGTCGATTTGGAATTCCTATTCGTATTCGAAATCGAAATCGAAATCGGAAGAAAGCCTTACCTTAAACTTTACCTTTAAATTTAGTTACTATATATATATATATACATCTGATAGTTAAATTTATTGGACTTATTACTGACCTTTGATATATTTATTGTTGGGTTTGTTTGTTACAATATTGGTGAAGGTGTATGATTATATATAATTTAGATATTTAATTTGTTACCTTTACTTTCCTTTCAAGTAATACATTGTGATGTCATTTAATAATTTTATTACCTATACTGCCCCTAAATCTTTGGATTATAGTAATAGTGCTAATAATGATGTTAACTCAGTGGTTAACGTCTCTACAAAGGATGATTTGGACTATCATCGTGTGGATTCATTAGCTAATATCAGGGTTTTAAATAACCCGCAGGTTTTCAATAGTCTTGGGAATATACATACTGTTACTGTCAAGAGTAATAGTGGTGGTACCGATAACGATAACGATTATGATTCGAATCCAATTTCAAGTAGTAATCAAAATTTAAGCACAAATAGATTCACATTTGAGGAAGTTCATTCTGAAGAATTTGCAATTTTATCAACTTCGTTCTCAAGCTCAAGTGAATCAATATTACCAATAGAAAATGTAAATTTAAGTATAAATATTCAGAGTAATAATAGCGCAAATTCTTTACATATTACAAACTCCCAAAGGATTGACGATTGGAGTTTGAAAAATGAATTGACAAGTTTATCTGACGACAAACTTGCAGAATATAATAGTGATACTTATTCGAATTCTAATAGAATTCATGACGCAATTTCAAATTGGAATACAAATCCAGATTTGATAATTTTGAAAAATTTATTAAAGGATAGCTCCTCAGGCCAGTTCGAAAATACAGCAAATATACAACATCATAATCATCAACAACAGCCCCATCATCGTTATGGTTTAGATATTTTGCATGCTTTGACTTATAATGAATTACTAACGACAAAAAGATTTATTAGAGAATTACTGCCATTTTTAAAAAATAGCCGTAGAGTTCATATTCCAGAATCATACCCAAATAGATATGATAATATTCCTTCAGTTTTCTCACAAGAAGATATTATCTTAGCATGCTCATCAGAATTAAACACTAGTTTCGATTTAAATGATTTCGAGCCCCTAGTTGCAGATTGGTCTGCTCATAGCTTCGCTACAATACAATTGGATCAAGATGGTTCATCAAACTCAGCAAATGGAAGTTCTTGGGTTTATTGGCCTTTACTACCTAGAATGGGGGAAAATGAATTATGACCAACGTGAAATAGATTTATTTTACTTCCACAATTATTAATAGACTTCTCCATCTATAATGGCATCTCGACATATTTCAATGGAAATATTATTTTATCGTTACACTATATATATATACTTATATATTATATACTACAATATTTAGATGTACGAATTACGGCAATAATTCATCAAATATATTCAATTTTAATCTTTTTTTACAGAAAACATTTATTCATCACTTGATCGTCTCTAAATCAAAACTTTTAGGCAATTACAGATCAATGATCTAACATCATATATTAACCAGATAATCCAAAATAATTACCTGCGGTCAAAGTCTTATTAGTTTGTATTAATTTCCAAGAACCTCCAAATGGATCTTCTTCACTTGATTCTTGAGAATGTAAAGCTATTGGAACGTTGGAAGTAGCCAATTCAGTATCGGAACCTTGAATACTGAATTTGGCAATGACACCCTTTTCAGTTTCATGGGCAAGTCCACTTGTTACAAATCTAGCAATCAATCTTTCTGAACCATTCTTATCTAACACCAATGGTTCTGAAAACTTCCATGTAATTCTCTTACGTTCTTTGCTAAAGGAACCTTGTGGTTTGGATAAGGCATTGGTTGTTTCAGCTCCATCAATCGCAACATATACTGCAAAATCATGTAATACTAAACGTTGTACACTTTCTGGTAAAGTTGGTGAAAGTTTTACAGTTAAAACCACACTAGCTTGGTGGGGTTCAAACTTCCATACAGGATGAACCACTATTGGGGCATTTGGATGCTTTACAGAATACTTAATCGCACCCAATGTTCTGGAATCAATGAATTGTGGGTTGACCTTAAATTCTTCTGGGGAAACTTGTTCCATGAAGGCATTGTTCAAAATAACTTTATCAAATGACTTCCCATTATCGATTCTTAAGTTTAATCCGATTGGTAAACCGGTGGATGAGTTTGGATCTTTTACATAATTTAGTGCAATTTCACCAATCAAATGTGAATCACTTAAGACACCGTCCTTAAAGGTGGCATTAATAACTTCAGCAACACTGGCATTCAAACCAAATGAAGTATTTGTAGAACCCATATGCTGAAATAAAGATTGACCACTCATTAAAGTAGATGTACCCGTTGATTGAGGATCTAAGGTTCTCATACCAGATGTATTCTGGGAAAGTAAAACAGAAACTGGACGATCAGTAGGTTGAGTCATTGGAGCTTGGGTTTGCTCTTCAGCTATGCCATTAAGTGGAGTACCAGAAGGATTTGGTATTTGTCTCGTTTGCTTCCTAGATGGAGGTGCTACAGGAGCTTGAATATGGAATGATCTAGCATCAGTTTCAACTGCTGGAGAACTTGCTGAAGAATTTACAGGGGCAGGAATCTGTTTTGGAGGAGAGTTTGGTTGAGGTGGCAATGCTTTAGATAATTGCGCTTGTAATGGTGGTTGTGACATGGACATTGTGTTCACGTTTTCATTTCGAGACACCTCTGGCATATTGTTCATATTTGATACATAATTTGGCTCATTAGGTTGGTACATACCACCACGCATATTTGGAGATGTTGGAGAAGAGCCGCCTTGCATATAACTACTATTTTGTTGAACAGTTTCATAACCAGTAGCTGTGCTGACAGTACGGCTTGAATTAGGCTGTGATTGTGGTTGTGATTGTGGATATGCTTGAGCTTGAGGGAATGGTGGATGTGGCTGTGATTGGCCTGTGGATTGGCGCGAGATGGAAGCTTTACTTCCAGTTTCTGGGTGGCTACTTTCTGAAATTGTGTCATACTGTTTGTTGCTGAATGTTTGAGATTTTTTTGACTTCAATTTATTACGACTGAATATAGATCCAACCTTGGATCTTAAACGCCCTGGACTTTTCTTAGATTTCAAAGAGGCATTGTTATTTGAGTCTGAAAACTCGTTGTTCATTAAATCATGATGCAAAACAGTAGAAGATGAAGTAAAACGTTGGCCAATATTTCCCAAGGTACTCTTTCTTTTTTCCTTTTTTTCGTTGTTATTAACATTATTTGGGGTTGATGCATCTTGCTGTTGTGGCGCACTAACCAATTGAAAGTTGTAATTTGCAGCATCTCTGGCAAATCTTTCAATTTCGGATTCTGGTCTAAATGATAAGATTGTATTCATATCAGATTCACACTGTCTTGTAGATGACAATAAATAATCACTGTATCCAGTCTGGAACTTTAGCAAACTATCTCTAATTGTTGCTAAACGATCATGATCAATGTTTTCAAAAAGTTCGAATAAATATGGAGCTTCTGTACTCCATTGAGTGTTTACCTCATCAACCTTTGAACCGCGTTCGCCATGTTGCTTGTAATAATCAATTTTTGAAGCAACTTGGGTCAATCTAGAATGTAGCTTTCTACTTTCACTCCATCTGCCATCAGATTCAGTAGCATTTTTCAAATTCGAAACAATATCATGTTGCAACATTAGTTGAAATTGTGTAGTAGCATTCATATCTGACTTCAATTCACCAAGTAAAGTATCCCACAATTGATTCAACTCACCAACGGAGTTGAAGCTAAAGTTTGCCAATTCCTCTCTAGTTAGAACTTGGTTCTCTATCATTTGCTTCTTCAACAATTGGTCCAGGTTATCATTTTGGGCAACAATCTTGCGTAACTGTTGAACATAATTCTGTTTCAAATCAGCAATATCTTTTAATAACAAGTAAAAATTCTTATTTATCAGTTTGGCTTGAGAAAGTCTAATTCTAATAGCCTCTGTAGACTCAAAAGGCTCTTTAGCCGTCAATAAATTTGACGAATAAGTGGTTCTTTCAGTAGACATTATTATCCCTACCTGTAATAAAGAATGTATCAATTATTTCTACGCAAAGAAATAAATAAATTTTTAAAAGGAAGCAATAAGCAGTTTTAAAATCACACTAGATCCTAATCCACTTCCTGAAACTTAAATTACAACTACGATCATGTATATATATAGCTACAAAGATAATATTACTAAATATTATTTCCTCCTTTTATCTACCAGATATTCGAACCTTCTTAATTTTTCATTATGACGATAAATTTAATATCTCACAGTATGGCAACAAAAGAACCGTCGTTAGGTATAATAAATTGGTTCCAGTATTATCGAATGTCAGGAACTGGTAATGATGGGGTTTCATTAAGTTAATTGTTATCGGTGTATTTTGGTTGAGTTTTTAAAATTATGAAATGATTTATTCCTAAAAATTAAATTATAAAATACATAGAGTTAACAAATTAATTTATACTAGGATTACGGATAACAATATTTAATAAAACGTTCAATGGAATTCATTAATCTTTCTTTTTGTCTTTTGGTTTGACAGCTTCTTCGTGGGTTTCTTCTAAGAATGCCACACGACTACTTAAGTAATTACACATATCTTTCCATTCTGGTTGACTCATTTTTGGTTTATAGTATGAAAATTCAATAACGTTATCTGAACAGAAAGTATCTCTGAATAATGTGAATGTATCTAATTCTAGATCCCAACCTTTTAATAATTCGAATCTACCGAATCCTCTGAAATGCTTACCGTCCCTCATATATCTTTTTTCCTTAGCTAAAACAAATGGATCAAATTTATAGAAACTGACGTGAACAAACATGGCATCGATATCCTTACCATTAGATGGCTTCATCAATTCTTTTTCAAAGCTTTTCTCAGAAGAGTATTCTGGATCGTATTGAGATAGCTTGGCATAATTACGGGAGACATAAGATTTAGCTGCTTGATATTGTTTGTAATCTTGGTCAAAATCATGTTGGTATAAACCAATACCTCTGAAACCCTCTTTCGCATCATTGTACCCATCGAATTTCAAGTTAGTCTTAACTTGGTAGTATGGCAAACCAAATTTGTGTGCGGCAGCAATGAAAGTTTCTTTGTCACCTTCACCAGCACCACCTTGACTGAAAATTCTATAGTACCAATCAGGACCGTAGAAATTATAGTAAGTTGCCAATAATAAAGTCTTGAAGTGTCTAACTTTATCAACGACCAATTGACCAGACTCAGTGGTTAAATCAGGAAGAGTACCTTCGAAATCGTGGAATGGAACTTTTCTTGTTCTATAGTCATTACCTGGGTTTTCAACATTATCATAACGAGAAACTGGAGATAAATCATCGACCATGTTACGAACTCTCTTTTCTAAGTTGTAAGGAACACCTGCAACAGAATAGTAAATTGGAGCAGTGACACGTCTCCAGATATCTGGCCATAGAATCAAACCATTTTCACGGTAAGCAACAGTATCGAATACTTTATCTAAAGACTTCAATGCTAGATTATCAGAATCGATATACATTACATTTCTGAAACTTGAGAAAAGAATTGAAAATACCTTATATTGGAAACGACTAATTTTAATAGGATATTTACCAGTAAATTCCTTTGGCAATACGTCTTTGAAATAAACACACTTAGCATTTAATGGAGGCAAAAATTTATCACAAAATTCTTTATCCTCTGGAGAGGCAAGTGGCATTAAAATTTCAACCGGTAAATGAGTACCTTTAGCTCTCAAAGTTTTGATCATTGATAAGATATAAACAGAGAACTTACCACCACCAATAGCTACAATACCTTTATCATTAGGCCACATAGACTTGGCAGCACTATTTGATAATTGGAAAGATTTTTCAACATGTTCTGTAAATAATTCATGGGAATTGTGTAGATCGTCATATTGAGATTGGGTTAAATTGTAACAATTTGACAAAGATTCATAACTTGTTAATAAATGATCTTCTTTAGAAGAATAAGATGCGATATCTTTCAAATTACATTTATCTTCATCACGGAAGTTAGCATCCTTTGGTGGACGAACAGGCTTACTAGCAGCCAAAGCATCAAATAACTTATAGTAAAAATCTTTGCTATTTTTAATGGTGTGGTTTGGTATATAACCGTTTTGTCTCCCTACACCATTAGTACCAGGAGGAGGGTATTTTAAACCACCATTAGGAGAACTTGCGTTACCACTTGGAAGTAAAATTAATGCAAATATACAACATGTGAAAACGGCAGCAATAATACCACTTTTCTTATTCAGTTTACCACCTGCAAACAAAGAACGAACATTGGCAGGTATAGTAATTCTTACCATTATAATTGCATATATATATATATGTACTATGGTCTCTTTCTAATAAGCTCACTTACTGTTGTTGTGTTGTACTCTTTTCTATGTATGTGAGAACCACTCGAAATTCGCCAAGAAACAAAGCAATCAAGAAAGGTAATTTTCCAGTTGGACCCTCTTAACTCTCTTCCTCAGATCAAAGATACCAATAGTAGATTAATATCTGAAACTAATTCAGATAATATATGAAAATGAATTGGACGTATAGACCTTGCAAAGACTAGTTATTAGAGAGAACTTAAAAATGCATCAACAAAAAAAAATATTCAAATACTACTACCTTTTTAAAACGTAAAAACGTAAATTATAACAGGATACGTGTAAGTTTTAAATAGTAGAAGTAAGTATTACTTGTATTCAATCAAAGAACTAGATCGAACAATTATTCATTCCTTCAGTATATTTCATTCATTAGAGGTAACAAATCAGCCTAAGATGTAAAAAATTCGTTAGTTTCCGAGACGATGAAAAATTTCGATTTTTGGTAATTCATCAGTTAGGTTGTTGGCGCTAGCATGTATGTAAAAGTAAAGAGTGAAGATGATGATGAAGAGAATATCATTTCAGTTCACAATGGAGAAGGTTCCAAATGGATGTGATGTCACAATGTCATAAATTCGAATTGTATTTTAATTAATCTGTTTATGATGGTTGTGGTTCAACTGGATTGATAGTCTTGGTTCTAGCTAAGCTTAAGTTATAAATTTTTAAACTTGTGTTGTATTAGAGATCTTATAAAAACATGCACAAATAATATATAGGATACATATGTGTATATATGTATATACGTATGTGATTGTGTATGTAGAGTGATAAGTGTTGATATGCAATTGATATCTCGACCTATAATCTTCTACCTCTTCTACCACCCTTCTTTCTGGTGGAATCGGATGGAACTGGGGTAACATCTTCGATTCTACCAATTCTCAAACCGGATCTAGCCAAAGCTCTCAAAGCAGCTTGACCACCTGGACCTGGGGTCTTGGATCTGGTACCACCAGTAGCTCTGATTTTGACGTGAACAGCAGTAATACCGACTTCCTTACACTTAACAGCAACATCTTGGGCAGCTAACATGGCAGCGTATGGAGAGGATTCATCTCTGTCGGCCTTAACCTTCATACCACCAGTAACTCTGGCAATGGTTTCCTTACCAGATAAATCGGTAACATGAACGAAAGTATCGTTGAAAGAAGCAAAGATTCTAGCAACACCAAAGACTTGGGAAGAGTCACGAGCTTGAGCCATCTTGATATTAGTATTGGTTATGTAGGTTACTTATAAATAACAAATACCAACAAGAAGATATAGAAACTAATATACAAATAAGACATCAAGACGTACTAAGTTTAATATACCATCATCACAGACCCTTTTGAAGCAATATCAAAAATTTGATATATATCAAGATAGAATTGCTATAGATAGTAGTCGTAGAACAGATAGATAATATTAGAATTCTACATGTTACTACATCTTAGTTTCTTACAACAACTATCGCCAACAACACTTCAATTCACTTCAAAAGTTGAATGTACCTACAGTATATCGATTATTATTGCATTGCATCGTTAATGTTAACGATAACGTTAACGTCAAGGTTAGTTTTGCTGTTAGTATTACAAGTTGGGCAATTATTGCAATAGTAGTTGAAGTTGAAATGGTTTGAATTAGATTGGATTGGATTGAAACTTTTCGATGAGATGGAGTTTGTTTGCTTGGTTGTGTGCGTTTGGTTGGTTGTGTTTATTTGTAAAGTTGGGTTCGTAAGTTCCATTTTCTGTACAAAGTCAGTACAAATTGGAAACTGGACAGAATCGGTTTTAATTTTTCAAGGTTCGGTCAAGTTATTGCAAGTTTAGCAGACCTAAAATAAATGGATTACAGTGAAGTAAGAGAGTAGAATATTCATGATGTGGTGTATAGGTGTGTTGTGTTGTGGATGTAAGGGTGTACGTGTATATGAACAGTCACTTCCCACTTCCCAATATCTGGTTCTCGAATTTTGTTTGATCCTCTCCGTCTCAAGTTAAGCCATCGTTCTTCATAGTTAAGAACATTAAATTACGCATACGCATAGGTCAGGTGCATACAACTCATCAAGACCAACGTTAGGTGTATATGTACACATATATATGCCAAGATAGCTGTCGCTGATTAAGGGAAAAGCAGGTGTATAAGCAGATGTAGATGTGAGATCCGTCTGAGATGTACAATTACAATAACTTAGAAAACAAAATTTCTCTTGTAAAGGTAACTTATTATCAAAGATCTGTTGTTCTCGAACAGAGTTGTAGAGAAGAATATGCCTAGGATGTCGCTATTCCACTACAATAATACTCGTCCTTGGAATGTACGGTGTATTTAAAAACTACTAAATAAAAACACAAACTAAAAAACACAATTTAATACAAAAAGTATCATTAAAGTGTTGATAAACTAACTTGATGCATCTCATCCTTTTTATACTGATAAAAGTTCCCATAATACGAAAATATTCAAATAGTTGGTGTGTATTCCGGGTAACACGTGATCTTTTCTTGCCAATATGGTTATGGTAATGGTTCTTCCGCAAGCGTATTAACCCATACGAACCCAATTCACATAGTTAAGAATGATGATTATTATAAAAGTAAGATCGAAGTGCTACTGAATTAAGGTCCTTTAGTGATTTGAAATGTAACATTTGTAGCATAGTATATCATAATATCAATAATGAAGTTGTTGATTTTGTGTTTGTTGTATTACACTCAGCTAGTGATATGTAATGTTGTATCTTTCACTGGTAAATATTCTTTACATCCAAAAAATTTAACTATTGATGATATTTCAAGGGTAGACTTTCGAATTTATCAAATTGGTAATTATACAAATAAACCATTCTCGCAATCAACAAAGGTCAATTCCATCGATGGTCTCTTCACTTTTAATAACTTACCTTTAAACAGAGGTAACAATGTCACTACAGATTTCGTTATTTATTCAACTTCGTTGGATTATAATTTAAAACCAGTAAGAATATTACTTACATATACCTCTTGGGATGATGAAGCTAACAACCATACAGTCAAAGCTTATTCTAATTTCGTAGGGAGAGAATATTTCCCAGACAAAGATATTATATTCCCCGATAAACTAGAAGAATTATCAATGGACCCTTATTTAGAAGTCACTTATTTCAACAAAGCTCCTTATAGATTATACTACCAAGAACGTAACGAAGGTATCCTATCAACAGGTATCATAGGAAACATATTGAGTTCTCGTTGGAAAACTGCAGGTGTAATTACAATGATTTTGTTAATTATATTCCCCTATGTTGTTGAAAGACTGGATCCGGAAACTTCACAATTATTAAGAGAAGAAGTACAAAGAAAACAGAGAGAAAAGTATCAAATACAACAATAGTTCCACTCTGCATTGCTTAATTGAACCACCCACTAACTGTCTCGATATTTAGAATAGTTTCTATAATACATACTCTTACTAAAATCATCTTCTTTCCTTTATATACTGCATTGCGTATCTGGTACTTTTTTCAATATTAATCTTATAGTGCGTATCACGTGACCTCGGCAGTGGCGCTTATACGGATTTCAAAAATCATAAAGGGAATTTCAAATTCGAGTTGAGTTTTTGGCTATATTAACAACTACAATATAAAATAAACTTGGAGATAGACTTGGGATTGAACTACTCATGTCAACAAGGCCAAGTAGCCATCATAGAGGTTTAGATTGTTATTGTTTTTGTTTTTATTCCAAGAGACACTAGTTGCATTTGTTTCTTTTCTAATTATAAATACCATCAAGAGGAGGCAAAATATAAAAAATAATAAACAAGCTAAAAACTATAAATAAATAAATATAAAATTTGTGTTCTAGGTTTAAAAAGAAGTGGTTAATAGAGGACTGGTTATTATATATGGAATGGTGTTATGGTGACTGATTCAATGGAAATCGGTGGATTTTTATCTAGCATTATTAATATTGATCAAATTGGACAAGATGATGAGGAAGATCACCAGCAAAAGGAGTTAAATATCATTTGGAATGATCTAATTGAAAATTTTGAAACTAAAATTGTGAAAACATCAGAATTAATTAAAGATATTGAAAGTTATGTCGATTGGGAGTTGACTACAACTTTCAGTCTTTCTAACATTGATGATAATTTTATTATAAATGATTCAAATATTCAACAATGGCTGGAATTTATAGTAAAAGGTGATGAAAAATTTAATAGCTTACAATATTCCATTGCTTTGCAAATTATAATTTCTTTATCAAATATTTCTCTATTCAATAAACAGAAATTTGCATCTTGGGCTAAGTCTTTAAAGGAATCTCTATTGGATACTTTATTGGAAAATGATAAAGATTTAACTATTTTAACTTTATGGAAAAAAATATTGTTGGTTATTTATTCCATTGATTGTACGCCAACTGATTTATTGAATTTGTATAAAAACTTTGAAGAAAACCATTTCATTCCAGAGATTTTAAATGAGTTGGCCAAGCAATCCCATGATCAATTATCTCAGAGTTATCTTCAATTCGAAAATTATTATAAATCTTATAAATTGAAAAGTTTAAAAACAAAAATTGAAAATGATTTAACATTCCAGATCTACCTAGAGTTGAATGATATCACCTCAAATAGAATTATGACTATAGGTCGTTCATTATTTCTTGAGGTTACAGATGGTCAATTATGTTTATCTAACGATGAATATATAATTGGAATGTTCCAGAATTTTGAGTTCAAGCCATTAGTTTTCTATTGCATTACACTTACTGTAAATAGCAATGATATTGCACTGTTTGTCAATGGTCAATATGTTAATACGGTCTCGTTATTTGAAAATTTCATATTGAGCTTAAGTGTAATTGAATTAGGATCGATGATATGTTCATTTAGACTATACAGATTCCAATTGTTAAATGCTGTTCTTTCTGAATTAGAAGTGAAAGTTCTATACCATGTGGGAAGCAATTATAAAATAACAAAGGAGAATACAGGTCATGAAATTTTAGGTATAAGAAGGGCATTTGGTGATTCTTTTTTACAACAGATATTCCAAAGCATAACGGCAAGAGAAATAATATCGCTTACAGAAGGAATATCAAAGATCAGAAATTTAAAATCCGATGCATTATTAATCGATTTCAATCCATACATTGAATTGAATTCCGTCGATCACAATAATTTTCTTTTCCTTGAAAATAAAGAGCATGATTCGATTGAAAACAGTACAATTCTAATCAAAGGAAATGTTTACTACTATAAGAGTTCAACATTGTCTGACATTTTTGAAACTTTTAACAGCTTCAGATTTGTCTTATCGAAACTAGAGGTATGTGATGATTATAATAAGTTGTATGAATATGTATTCCACATGGTTCAACTTTGGAGCAACTATCAACTAAGAGTTTGGTTTGAATCGAAATTTGGATATCAACTCTTAAGTCACATTTTGACAAATAAAGTAATCTACAAGCATAAAAAAGCATTGCCAATTCAATTCCTAAATTTATTTCTAGAGTACTCCGGATGGGAGTTATCAGATATTACTAAATCCATTATCAAAGATCAGAGGTCTTACGAAAATTTAGTGTTAAATATAAATTTATGGTATTTGGATGTAGAAGACAATGAACAGTTACCATCAGAAATAGAAATTATTAGGTTTTTATTTTTTCAAATTTCAAATTTATTGGAAACTTCAAAATATAAGCGATTCAATTCAAGAGTACTAATGAGATCAAATATAATTCAAAAATTTTGCAATTATCAGCACTACCTGACAGTAAATATGATTTCCAATGATATTGTTTCAGAACTAAATTATGACTTAGTCAATGTGTATGTCACCTTATTAAAAAACGATTTCACAAAGCAGAATGTTCAATGGTTATTTAATTACTCATATTATGAGTTAAAGTGTGGAAATTATTCTAATTGCAATGTTTTATTAACAGCAATTGATACCCTAATTCTAGAAACTCTGGACAATAATAGGATGGATACCCTTCAAGTCTTTAATGAGTCATTGTCCATTAAATTTCTTCTAATGGCTATAGATGAAATTGTAACGGTAAAAAAAAGTCCTCTAATTTTGTTAAATATTCTTTTAAAAATATTTTCTATTAATACAAATGGTTACCAAAAATTTCTTGATAATTCTGGTATGAATTTATTGCTCGATATTTTGAAGGGTGCTAATGTAGCAGATTATGAAGAAATAGTATACATGTTGTACAAATATTCATTGGGGGAATTTGACTATACAACTGGTAGCATTCAATGTGAAAATTTTGATAAGATCGAATTGTTGAATGAGAACATAGTGATTAATAAATATCTTCTTAATTTGTCGGTATGTCTTCTGGAATGGTCTGTGATTAATGACATTAGGAGTGGTTTTCAAATTGATCTTAATACATTTATTATTTCCTTTATGAATAAGCTAAGTGTTATGTCATCAAATAAAAAGAATAGTTCTGTCTTTGATACTAGGAAAAATAAACTATTAACATGTTTGTTGGATTTACTAGTCACTCTAACGAAGCATCAAAATGGTTCGATTTATTTGGAATCTGCTTTAATAATTAAACAATTTCTAGCCGATAATATAATATATCAAGCAAAGTATTTGAATACAAATGAATTCGGGAAATACATTAATTCTATTACCGAAAGTGATGATTCATCCAATTCTTTCATTATTTTCTCTGAAGACCAATATATTTATATTCAGTTTTTGTTTGTAAAGGAAATACTACCAGTCATAACTTCAGATCTATCAGGCTTAAAAACTGAGTTAGCCTTTAAATTCAGGTCATATCCATATATGGTTTCAAATTTATTATCTATATACAATTATTCTATGGATAAATTTGCAACTGTAGAGCTTCCACTTTCATTTTACCTTTCAACATTTTCTGTCCTAATGGAAAGTATCAAGGCGATTGAGATAAGTGATCATGATATCATTAAGAATGTATCAAAGGCAAACTTATTGAATATTTTTAACCTTATAACGCTTAGATTAGTTCATCTTTTATTTGTTGAGAATTTCAGGTTCGATGAAAAATCAACTCAGGACTTATTAAATGCAATTGTTAAAAATGCGCATATCCTTTTCAAATCAAATAACAGTGTCTTTGATAAGGATATGACCTGGATATTGATGTTATTTTTAATCTCAGAGTCAAGTTGTTCTACCTCTGGTGAAGCTATGTTAGCCTGTTTAAGAAATATTTTAATTTACAATAAGTCAAATCAGAAATACATATCAGAAGTGATGAATATACAAGGGAAAATTGAATTGTCAAGTTTGATTGAATCTTTGGAAACATCAAATTCAAATGAGACATTAGCTTTAATTGAAAAAAGTAAAAGACATATAGTAAATTTGGATCAAAGGGATAAGCTGATAAATTATATAACAAAACGGTTAGAGAACGGAATGAGTATAGGGAAGTTCAACTCATTCGATGAAATAAGTATTGAAGAATTGAAACAGTTGCGTATGGATAGAGATGATAGTAAAATTGAAAAGATTCATGGACTATTTAGAAATGACAATTATGAGATCAGCAACAAAGTATATAAACTTGGAAACAAACAATTTTCCAATTTTATTACAGATATTGAAGAGGAAAATTTGATTTTTGATAATGAATACGAATATCTAACTTTTCAAAATAATCAAATTCTCTCCCTGCAATTGAATCAAAATATATCACTTGAATGGACTGTGCAGCCTGTTGAAGACTTCGAAAGATCTAGAAGAAAGCTGTTGCCTTCACAATTGAGAAAGTGTATAGGAGAGAGTAGTATAAAGGATGATTCATCAGTACCAGATGAACAGCTTAACAATTCTAAGAAAGGTATAGGAGCTAGTAGCATGTTATCATATGATTTAATGTCAGATTTAGATCTCTCTGGTCTATCAGATGCTGATAATTCGGATGAAAACAGAAAAGTATTAAAACTTTTGAAAGAAAACGATTTAATCAAGAAAATTTGGAACTGTAGCCGCATTGTTGGTTTAGACATAAAAGAGGGAGTTTTGATACTTGGAGAAAATTACCTGTATTTTGTTGATAACTATTATTTTTCTAAAGATGGTAAAAAAGTAGTTAATTTATCAGATGTTCCACTGCATTTAAGAGATACTAATATGACATTAATTGGTGGAGATATATCAAAGTCTAGATTCTCCAACGTGGAACACAAGGTTTTCAACTGGGATTTGACACAGATAACACATGTCACTAAAAGACCTTTTTTATTGAGAGATATTGCAATGGAAGTTTTATTTAGTAGAGGTTCAAACTTTTTATTTTCCTTTAATACTAAATCAATAAGAGAGAATGTGTATCTTCAATTGTCGAAGGTCTCGAATAACTCAAATATTGACCCCTTATTGGATTGTACATTAGTAGAACTGAACTCAAGAAGCCACGGCATATCTCTGATGAATGGTATTTCAAAGGCAAGCCTTAAAACTAAATTTCTTAATGCTTTATCTTCTTCTTCTAATTTTGATGAATACGAAGCTACAAAATTGTGGCAGAATGGTGAAATATCCAATTTCTGTTATCTAATGATATTAAATACGTTAGCAGGTCGTACTTTTAATGATTTGACACAGTATCCTGTTTTTCCTTGGATTATAGCAGACCAAGAAAGTGAATTTTTGGATTTAGCTAATCCGAAAACATTTAGAGATCTATCCAAACCAATGGGCGGTCAAACCACCAAGAGGGCAGAACAATTTAAGGAAAGATATGAATCACTTTGTCAGTTTGATGAACAACCAACTCCTCCCTTTCATTATGGTACGCATTATTCATCGGCTATGATCGTTTCATCATATCTAATAAGATTAAAACCATTTGTGGATTCATTTTTACTTTTACAAGATGGAAGATTCGGCCATGCTGACAGATTGTTTTCATCTATACCAAGAGCATGGAAGTCTTCTGCAGTTGAAAGTACAACGGATGTTAGAGAACTAATTCCTGAGTTTTTCTTTTTACCAGAATTTCTAATTAATACAAACCATTATGATTTTGGCAAAGATCAAAATGGAAATACCGTTAGTAATGTTAAATTGCCATTATGGGCAAATGGTGATCCACTTATATATATCGCCAAAAATAGAGAAGCATTGGAAACTGAATATGTGTCCGAACACTTGCATGAGTGGATTGATTTGATATTTGGTTATAAGCAAAAGGGAGAAAAATCTGTTGATTCTTTGAATGTTTTTAATAATCTTAGTTATCCTGGAGCTGTTGATTTGGAAAACATAAATGATGAAAATGAGAGAAGAGCTATTACGGCTATTATTCATAATTTTGGACAAACACCATTACAGTTGTTTTCTGAACCACATCCTAGAAGAAATGTGTTGAAATATCAATCTATTAAAAATTGCATCAAAAATATATGTGATGATCCTTATTGCATAGAACTCGAACAATTATCGAAGAAATCAATTGATTTGATTTTCTTCACAGATAATACTACTTATAAGGCAGATTCAAGCAATGATGCTGTGAATTTGAAGTGTAATTTAGTTATTAATTCACGTCAATTTTTTGAAATTGAGTTTGAAAAATTTGGTATCGAAGTAAGAAAATTAAAACGGTTGATCAAATTTGATAATACAATTGTTATATCTGTGGAATTTGGTGAAGCAAATATCATGGTTACAGGCGATAAGAATGGAATGATTAAAATTTGGAAAATAAAATCGAAAGAATTGAATAATAGTTCAACATTTGAATACGATTCCCTAGGATCAATGCACGGGCATTTATTTGGTATTAAAGAAATGAAGATATACAATGAATACCAAGTTCTGGTGTCCTTGGACTACTCAGGAGTAGTATATTTATGGGATTTATCTAATTTCCAAATTATTCGTAAACTGGCTGATCACGTATCCCAAATAGCAGTTTCTCAAGTAGACGGGAATATAATTACAGTTAATGAGGATAACAATGTGGCAATATATAATTTGAATGGTATGTTGTATTGTGAAAGGTTGTTTAAGGGATCTAAGATAACATCAATAGCATTTTTTGACTTTTCTTCTATTAGTTTAGGTAATTTGAGACATGCTTACTGGAAAGAAAAGGAGGCATTTGCCATTGGATATAATGATGGGAGTATTGATATGTTTATATTGGAATTATCTTCTTTAAGTCAATGGGATGTTCTATTGGTTAAATCCTTGAAATCTAAAAATCAGGATCCAATTACTTCATTAAAATTCCAATTAAATGATTTGAAATTGAAAAGAGAAGTTGGAAATGAAATAAATATTCAACTATTCGCTGGAGATAATCGAGGTAAATTGTATAAATGGGGATCAAAATAGTGATGGTATTTATACTTACTGCATAGAAGTGGGGACAATATGACGTACACAGAACAATTGTGTACCAACAAATTCTTATATATATATTTATATTAATCTAGATATATATATTGCATGCTAATAATTAATAATTCGGAATGAGGTTATCGGGAGGAAACTATTAAAAGAATTCCTGATTTTTTAATTCTTACATTCCTGATATTTAAAAAGTCATTTATTATGAATCAATTTCTTGCCATTAGATGTTAATCTTTCATAGAGAAATAATCCAAATGCATTCAATAGTAGACCAAAGATTTGGTTTAATGTTATTTGCCTTCCAGTAAATATCCAACTTACTGAAATGATGGCAATTCTTTTCATTAAATTTGCAATTGAGTAAGTTAAAGTTGATAATTCACCAAGTAAATGGAAAGTTATCATTGCTTGCATGAAATGGAATGTACCATTTAGTAAAAGCAATTGCCAAGGTATATCTTTTATAACTGTAGTCTTATCACCTGATAAATATGCTAAAACAATTGGCAATTCGAATAGTAAGAACCAGCCAAATGATAGAAGGAATCCCACAGTAGATATATAAATCATTAATGTTAGCTTATCATATTTTGTTTCTTTCACTGGTGTATGATTTGGAAATGGGGAGTTTTCTTTTATGGAATCTGTGCTATGAACTTTTGGTAAAATAGTAGTTGGATCTGATCTATAAGTAAAAACTTTTTTACCATATAAATTTTGGAATACGAATATGAACATTGAAATGACAGCGCAAACAATACCAAATAACGAGAAATCCCTTACCTTTGATGCAGAATTTTTGGAATTACTATCTTCACCGACAATGATCCAAACACCGACAATCAAAGAGGCTAAACTGCCAAAGATACCTGAGCTCAATTGAAGGGTGCTTATACCTATAGCTTTTTGGATCAATAAGATGAAAACAGGTGAAAGAGTTTTAATACTTGCAACAGTTGATACCGGTACCAACGAAGTTGCCTTATGTCCAAAGAATTTACCAACGAATTGGAATAAACCTAAGGGTAAAACAGTTTTGAATACGTGTTTTGAAGGTTTTGTAATTATCGATGATTGATGGTCACCATTTGAGAAATTATTTGAATATTTTGGGAAAGTACCTTCAGGAAATATACTATAAAATCTTGGAAACTTGTTTGCTATAAAACATACGATTACTGCCAATAAAGCAGTATATATAAATTGGAACTCACCCAAAAATAAAGGTAAAGGGCACAATGTCAATATTTTTTTAGTTACTTGCGAACCAAATGATGATATTATGTACCAACAAAAACATAATATCACTATATGAGTGTATGTTGCCAAAGTATTATAAAGCCTACGTGGCATAGCAAATATTTTAAAACGTTCACCTTCCTCTTCCCTAAAAAAATGATCCAGTAAATAAATAAGACAGAACCAAAATAATTCAAAAATTCAATTGGAACTGTAATGCTTGAAAATGTTACTCTATTCAATCTTAACCGTTTCAAACTTCAAACCTTTTGAACCAAATCAAAATACCTTTAACTGTAAAAGTGTGTCCTTTTTTGATTCTATTCTTATAACCATTTTTTTTTTTCACCAATTTTTTTCCAGACTCAGGTACGTGCTTAAGCTATTTTTAAGTGGGAAGTCTTGCAAGGTGACAGCAATTAAAAGATGCATGATTATATTAGTTATGATGATCTATAAACTATATTATATATTAAGATTTGGTGGTAATGCTAAATTAGAATGAGGGGTGGTGGTAATTGTACTGGATGAATATTTTTTTTTGTTATCTTTTTTTGCAGTTCAATTTACCATGAAAGGTTTCAATAGATCAATTTTCTCTATCTCTATATTAAGTTCTTTATTGTCTATTGTTGATTTTATTGCTTTCATTTTATGTCTTGTCTTCCCTTGAGCTCTAGTTGAGAAGATAGAGGCTACACCGCATGTCTCCAAGGCGTTGCAACTCTCCATGAATTCATCTCTTTTCAAAGGAGTAAGAGTATCTTTTTTTTTCAGTAAAGTTGAATAATAGTCGTAAGCCTCATCGACTGAACAATGAGCTTGAAAGATGGATGATTTTTCTCTGTGGACCAATGAACATAGGACGATTTTCTGTTGTAAATTTAATTTATTGACACGTGATTTGGTTGCAGAGGCATTCATGATTGAAGAGAATACTTTTGCAACGTGCTGTAGGCCAACTTTTTTGATTTGATTTGAAGAAGATTTGTTTAAATTTCTGCTTGAAAGCAAACCACCATTTGTTGCTATCATTTCTAATTGTAAAACCTCTATACTGTTTCTTAGCACGTCGAATAATTTTCTCAAATCACCTGCGTTACCAGAACATTTTTTAGCAGCGAATTTGATTGCCATTGGATTGAATATAGGTTCTTCGTTTTCATAATATTTAATCTTTGACAAACGATCGGAGATGATTTCGAACATTTCTTCAGCAGAGTATGGTTTAAACAATAGAGTGCGTGGTAATAAATCTTTTCTTAAATTGAGACGGGCCAAGAGTCTATCCTTCATATCTAAACTGTTGGCGATGCCTATGAGGATGAAATTCAAATCTGGGACTTTTGCCAATAGGAACAATTCGAAGATTTTCTTAGTAGCGGTGACATCCGAGATTGAATTATTTGAAGCCAGTTTATCAATTTCGTCAAGCACCACGAGGAATGAAGTATCGTGGGAGTACAGTTTGAAGAAGTCTTGTAGATGGGACATGGTTGATACGATTGAGCTTGGTAAATGGGAGTTGAAAGAGTTGTAAATTTTGTTAAAAATCGAGCTTTCTTCATTGAGCGCGATACAATTGATGACCACGGTTGCGACTTTCTTGACAGTACCGTTTGGCAGGGTGTAGTAGGATAAGTTTGATAAGGAGATGTTATTTTTTTTAGGAGATAGTTTTGAAGTGGTGGTGGTGTTGGATTGGTCGAAGTTTGGGATTGGAATTGGTTGGAAGTTATCTCTTATTATTGCTTGCACTTGAGCTGTTTTCCCTGTGCCTGGAGGGCCGGTGATGTATAAGGAATCGCTATTTCCTGATTGTATAGCATTGTCGAGGAATTCGATGAGAGTTGAGTGGTGGGACTGTCTTGTGACTAGGGAGCCTTGGGAGGTGGTGTTGATGGCGGTTGATCTCTGTAGGACGGCTTTTGTTCTTGAGTATAAGCTTTGGTCGAAGGATAGTTTTTGTTTGACGGGGGACTGGTCTGGGGTGATAGGCAGAGTGTACTTTCTCTTTTTGACTGGGGTATCAGTGACTGGGCAGGGTCTTTTCATTTTGTATGGGGGATTGGGGTTGGGAGGATTGGAGATGGGAAGATACCAGTGAGATAATATACATGTGTGTATATATATGTATGTATATATACTAATAGAAAAGAAGAGATGCGATGGGTGAAGAGATTTGATACGTAAAGAGATGTGATGTGTGATAAGTTTTGTATGTATCACCCAGCCATTTGAATTTAGGTGTGCGATCAGAGAGAGAGAGAGAGATCAAAAAGCAGATTTAATATTTTTCCCGATCGGGTAATGGAGCGAGGGCGAGAGCGAGAGCGTTTTTCTTATTCTGCGGGCTGAGATCTTTGCCCTAAACGGGACAAGTAATTATCACGTGCGTTGCACGTGATACAGAAAGAGATACAGATACAGATATGGCGAAGTAATCACTTGAAGATGTTTAGATCGGATCAGGTTGGATCAGAGATTGAAGTTGAAGTTGAAGTTGAAGTTGAAGTTGAAGTTGAAGTTGAAGTTGAAGTTGGACTGGGCAATGGATGAGGCATATATGTTTAAAAGTGTTGAACAAGACCAGACCATCGGACGCAATGCGGTTAAGAGAAGAGCAGAGCAGAGCATCACACCGTTGTGAGTTCGAGTGACACCATTTTAAGTAGTTTGGATGGATGGTTCCAGTTGAGTAGAGTTGAGTTGAGTTCACTCTGGATTGAGTCCTGTCCCGATGACCTCTTCTCTCAGTAGGTACACCAACAGAGACACAAAGAGCCCAGACACTAACACTAACACTAACACTAACACACCACCTCATCGCTGCCCACGACCACACCCAACAGATTCCACCTGACGTGTCGGGGATTGCTACCGGTGCGGTTCTCGCCGTGTGGCGGGACATGGGTTTTCAGGCCCTGTGGTGCGTGTACACTTGTGTCTGGTCTGTCCCTCTTGCTCCCGTCCGCTGGTCCCGTCGCCTTCGCTGGGCAAGGGCAGGAGAGACACACGGAGACCAGACACGTCAAGGCGAGTTGCTGTTGCTGTTGCTGTAACGTTTTGGTTTTGGTTTTGGTGTCTTTGCTATGCTATGCTGTGCTTTGCTTTCGCTCAGGCTCTACCTCTACCTCTACCTCCCCATCGACGCTTCCACGGACAAATCGGAATGCCCATGCCCACCCTCCCTTTGCTATCACTTCACCTCTCAATCCCAATCTTCCAACAACACCAACACCAACAAACTCCATCCCATTTTATATCTTATATAAAAAGGACCCACTCTTCCCCATCTCTTGTCATCCCTTTCATTCCTGGTTCCAACCTCTTGTACTCTCATCACCCACCCATACACTCACTCTCACTCTCACTCCCACCTACCATGAGTGCTAACGATACGCTGGTCGATTCTGCCACCGCAACTGCAGCTTCCTTCGCTGCCTCATCCACAGACATCTTCAACTCAAACAGTTGGAACTTCGTCCCAACTGTAGATAGACCCTTCTTCAACATCTACCTATGGGACCACTTTGACCGTATCGCCACTTGGGTATCAAACGGCAAATTCATCCCTTCACAATTCACCTTCGAACAAGGCAAAGGCTTACCACTAAGTGAATTGAACTCTGCTCTGATCGCCATCGCCCTATACTATGTCATCATCCTGGGTGGTAGCAAAGTTATGCAAAAAAGACAAAACCCCGTCTCTTTCAACTACATCTTCCAATTGCATAACCTTTTTTTGACTTTTGCCTCTTTCACCCTTTTGATCCTGATGGTAGAACAACTATTCCCAATCATCTACAGAAATGGTATCTTCTACGCCATTTGCAACTACGGAAGTTGGACCCAACCAATGGTAACCTTATACTATTTGAACTATTTGGTCAAATATTATGAATTCATAGACACTTTCTTTTTGGTTTTGAAGAAGAAAAACTTGACTTTCTTACACACTTACCACCACGGTGCAACCGCCTTATTGTGCTACACCCAAATCGTAGGTGCCACCATCGTCTCATGGGTACCAATCACTTTGAATTTGGCCGTCCACTGTCTAATGTACTGGTATTATTTCTTAGCCGCAAGAGGTATCAGAGTCTGGTGGAAAGAATGGGTTACAAGATTCCAAATCATTCAATTCATCTTGGACGTTGCTTTCATCTACTTCATCGCATACCAAAAAATAGCTCAAGAATACATCACTGTTTTGCCTATGTGTGGTGAATGTGTAGGTTCAACCACCGCTGCTTTGTCCGGTGCCTCAATCATCACCTCTTACTTATTCTTGTTCTGCGCTTTCTACATTGAAGTTTACAAACGTTCTGGCGCCAAGAAGAGAGCTTCTGCTGCCGAAAAGAAGGACTCTTCTTCTGCTTCCGCTGCCTCAACTGCTACCTCTGCTCAAGATTCAGATCTAAGAAAAAGAAAGTAATAGCTATATTGTAAATATTTCTAGCAAGTATATACATATTCTAATATTCATATACTATTCAACATTTCAACGACAAACTCTTATCCTATATCGCATTCTAGATAAAAAATAAATACATGCAAAAACTCCTCCACCCAATATCATCGTCCATTATCAAGCATCACTTGGCTATAGAATTCAGGTCTTGTCCATCGGAGCTTGCTCTGCCCCCTCCCCCCATAGCGCTGCTTTTAGCCATGGCAACCATCGTTACTCTGCATGACAATTATTTTTAATGTTGATCTAGTTTCGCACTTGTGCGCTAAACAGGATTTCTCAATATTTATATAAACATATCGTCATCCTATTCTAATTCCAATTTGTCTATAACTACTACTGATTTATTTCTTGTCCCAGACTTCTTTCAAATCTTTACTTCTAATCTGTGAAATTGCAATCGCATTTTTGATCTCTTCAATTCCTACTGTACTCCCTCCTCCAATAATTTCAACACTCTTCAACCTTCCTTCACCAGATATTATGCACATCGTGCTCTGGACACTGCTCTCTTCACTCTCTTCGTCGATATCAGTAATTAAAACTTTTGTCTTCTCGTCTCCTTCTTCTTCATCTTCCACAGCAACTACACCATAATTTGATGCATATGATATCATTTCATCATTCAATTGTAATGGTTCATTCTCTGTCTCATGGCATAACATGTTATAAGTCTCTTTAACAGCAGCACTACGGCCTCTTGACCTTACCATTTTTTTTAATCTCATAGCTCTATCATCAATGAAAACTTTTGGCAGTCTAGTGTTCTTCAATGCGTATATCAACGAATTCCAACACATATCAAATATTGGTCCTGTTCTACTAAATACATCAATCTTTGCATATAATATAAATGACCAATGTCTTTTTGAATTCAATTCTTCCAAAATATCATTGTCGTTATCTTCAGGGTATTTTATTGAAACTGTTCCTTCTGAATCAATTGTTCGTATCCCACATTTAATCTTTAAATTGTCCTTCGAAAGTATACCTGATTGTAATAAGCAATCATGTAATTTTTGAGATACATTCATCTCTTCATCACTTGGAGGAGCTCCACCACGGCCTCTTTCAACTTCTACAACTGGATAAACAGTCGAATACTTTGAAATGGTATCACGCTCACCACACATTTCAATTAATTCTCTTTCACCATAATCAATCAGTGAATCTTGAACATCACTTTCAATTATTCCCGCGGTTATCGAAGTCATTACTATAGTCCTTCCACATTTCAATATATTGGACCCAATCACAGTGTTGTCCTTGTCATTAATTGGTATGTTGTCATTACTATACCTAGATATCAAATTGTTCTCGATATTTACTTCTCTAAACTCTTGTAAGCCCTTCAATGATGGTCTTAAAGATAATGATAAATGCCTTTGTAATGACAATTCTGGAGAAATTCTAGAGAGAACCTCTGGAGGAAACGTTAAAGGTATAACATCAATAGCATCCAAACTCTCACTCATTATCATAATATATAGGCTTTCCTTGTTCCAATCCTGTATCGAGGTCTTTTTCTGTTTGATATATGAGGTTGACTTTGCCCTTTTTTAAGCATCAAAATTGTTTTAATGTTCGGTTTAGATTTCAAATTTTAAAGTAGAAATTTTTTCACTTTTATCATAGTAGAATATTGATAAAGAAGCCATTTGAAACCTTTAAAAGCTCAATTGATGCCAATTATTAATATCCTATTTATTTTATTATAAATTTAGAATGATATATCCAATTTAAATCAAGTAGAATATAAAAATTTAGATGCCTATTTCTTTCCGTGTGCAGAATTGGCTTTAATAGCCAATAAATTACTTGATCATTTGATTAAAAAGCTTCATATAGTTACATTGGTCAATGCTTCCTGTTTTATAATGGTTTAAATATAGTTATTCTTCTGCAGCTCTAGTTTTACTGTGTTACTTTTAGTTGCCAATAGAAAAAGGTAATTAGAATAAAACTTATGTCAGACCTGGTCCAAAAATGATAATTCTTTGAGTTTTTAGAATATTCGTGAATGGATTAATAGATAGGTATAATTATCTAGTATTTCCTTCCATTAGCTTATAATTTTTTAAACTTGTTTTTGGAATCACGCTATAAAAAGTTCTCTCTTTTTAGTTCGAAAAGGTATATCGATGTCAATAGAAAATGAAACTTCTAGATCTTCCTTTCATAATAGCAGAATAAGTATTGTCCTAATTACGAGGTATTTTTCTGTCTCATTTCAAAAATTAATTTTTAAATCATATGCTTTTTCTAAAGAAACACTTAATCCTAGACAATTTTGAAGCTTTTTTATTCTGTCACTAATAAGTAAAAGAAATCGAAGCTACAAATACAGGTAGCTTCCCAGTTTTTGAAGTTTGATTTTTTATTTTCTATTGCCTCCATTAGACAGTATTTAGAAGTCATCGTCGATTTTTTTTCAATTGTTCACATTTATCTAGATCAACGTAATTGTCACTAATTTTCAAATTTATTATCCGAAATAGAAATCAGCCAATTCTTCACTTTCAATCAATCAATGAAGTTTATTAAAAAATTAGGCAATCATTGAATTTCACATCTATTTTAAAATGTTTACTATTTTTTGATACAACTAAAAATTGATAAAAACTAGGAAGTGCCTTGATTAAATTGTAGGATTATTATAATTGAAATAGTTAACAGATCTTGATGAACATTGTAGATCTAGGTTGATTTTTAAAGGTATTGGATGTGATTCACAAACAGGGATAGTTAAATTATAATGTTTAAATTATAATATTTAAATTCAGGTATGAAGTCATGATAATTGTTATATATGGGTTGCTTTCATAATAATTCTTAACTTCAAAATTATTGAGTTTTAAGACGAAAAACTTTTGCTAGAGGATCACTTGGAAATAAAAAAAGAATAAAACTTTTATCAAAAGCCCGATTAATTTCGTGGTTATCAAAAAATTGTTCTTTGGAGTACATATTTTCTAAAGCGAGAAACATCTTAAAACGCCTTTACTTTAAAACCAAACAATCCTAGAAATTTAGTTGTTGTTTCTTTGGTGTTTATTAATTGATAATTCTAGCTTTTCAGCTCATATTTTTATATTCAAAACATCAACTGTCTCTCGATAGGTTCCTTCAATCAAGATATTTATATTTTCACACTTCAACTTCATAAAGATAATTAATTTAATATTAATTAATTATTTGCCAAAAATAATGTAACTAAAAGCACCATTTTTTGTACTTTTCCAATTTATTGATTAAATTTTTGTTGTAATGTATGATATCACTTTCATCCACTTTGGTTGATTAATATTTTGGCTAATTATTGTATAGATAAGCATACGAAGCTAGCGAAAATAGGTAAACATTAACATAGGCTCCAATAGTACTTTGTAAAAATTAAAGTTGAATTATAAAATACAACTTACATTTGATTGATTTAAATTGTATATGTTATATTTTTTGTTCAATGATGTTAAGATCGAACTGAAAAATGTTAAAATATTCCATATTTATTAAGGTTGTCAATATATCAAGTTAGAAAATCAACATAGTGATCGTCGCAGAAATTATACGTTTTTGACTTTATTTTTTTAAGAGATAAGCTTCTATGGCCAAGTTGGTAAGGCGCCACACTAGTAATGTGGAGATCATCAGTTCGACTCTGGTTGGAAGCATTTTGACTTTTTTAGTAGTTTATTGGGAGAGACTGTTATATTTTTAAAAAACTTGTTGTAGATATTGTAGACACCTATCTATTCAAATTAGTTACATCAAAGTGATTTGTACTCGTCTCATTTCTGTTTTCTTCCAAGTCATTTACAATTTACATAGATATTTTTGAAACTGTGACATTGACCTTATATATTTAATATTGTTACTAGAAAACTAAACTAAAACATGATCTTTTACTATTGCTTAACAATAGTAACTATATTAAATTAATTTCTTAAATATCTACCTTGTTTTATTTTAATACTTTGTTGTTTTTGTCGGAATTGTAAGAGCTTCAAGCTTTACTGGGAGTAGATATACGTTAAATAGACATGTTAACGTATTATTGAGGTCAGTGAGTGTAACTCGCTCTCCGTCCTGTAACATAGTAGTCTATATTACATATAATTTTATATATTAGAGAAATCTATATATTGACCTTGTGCTAAGAGCAGCAATAGTGACATAAACTTTATCCTTAAGTGTTCAGGTTAAAGTTACAGCAGTTTTACATCAATTATTGTTTTATTACTCTTGTATTTAACCTTGTTGCATTCTTGTCTGTTATATTCTGCTAATTAAGAAATTTTTATTATAGATAAACTGTTTTTATTTAATGTGTACTAAAATATTTCGGTATTTATACGTTAAATATTTTAAAAAATATCCTAAGTTATCTAGGAAATTGGTAATTCATTTTGTATATTCTTGTTGTAACTAATTGTATTATGATTCAGAATTTTTTTACGTTTAATAATAATTAAATTTTATATAGAGGATCTTAATTTTATGGTTTCAAGTAAGTAATGTTCTTAAACTGTGATTATTATTGTTATGACAATTATTTTAATTTAGGCAATTAGGATTCTGTGCATATACAACTGGTTATATTTAAAATATTATTTCTCTATTAAGATGTTAATGCTATCGTTCTAACAGATTTTCAACAGTTTTGAATAATAAAAGATTTGTTTATATTTTTGTTTGAAAAGTTAATGTTTAGTTAAAGGTATAAAGGAAAGTAATAATATTAATAATTAAGTGATAAAATAAACATTAATAATTGACCAAAACTTCAATTTTATATATTATATAAAAATTACATACGTAAGTGGGGAATAAGTAAATAGTTATGTATTTGTTCTTTTTTAATGTTTAAATTAACAGTTATTTAAATATATTTAACATAAATCTAAATTTTCTAAAATTAGTAATTATTATTGTTTTTATATATATCTAGTAGTTTCAATATTGCTAATGAATACCAAAGCTTGTATATATTAATAAAATGTTTTTACAGGTATGTTTATAATACTTGTATAAGTCATTACTAACAAAAAAAGGTATAATGTTCTTCAACATTATTAAAAAATAAAGAACTCCTCATAGGGGGCTCGAACCCCTGACATTTCGGTATCCTTGGTTTAAACTTGGAATTGTTTAAAAGCCGAACGCTCTACCAACTGAGCTAACAAGGATGAGTTCTTCAAGAATTTTTGAAAATAATTCGGTACCTGATTAAGAGAAAAGAAAGAAAAATCCCATATTCTTACATATATATTCCATCTATAAGCTTAACATCTCATCATAATGATTAATCAGTATTTCCTGTACTATCAGTGAGTACTGAAAGGTGATTTGTCTTTCCGCTGGTCGGTTTTGGACTGAAAATGGTTTTAAATTAATTACAGATTAATTGTAAATTAGAAAGATTAATACTATTGGTCTTTATTAGCGTACCAAACAATTCTACAAATATTTCCATGTCATTTGAATCACTATTATTTTTGATAACAGCTATAATTACTAGTATTGGATATGGTATGTAGCAGATTAGACGCTAAATGTTACCATATGAAGATGAGTGATTATTAAAACAAGTTTAGACATCAAACAGAACATTTTATACCCAATTAAATTTAAAAGTTGTTGAAGTTTCATTAGTCTCCTTTTTTCACAGGCAGTTTCAACAAGTTATTGTAAAGGCTTCGTTTTTCTATCTTTTAAAAGATATAAAATATTAAAAAATTGATTTAAAAGTATATTTTAAAATGTACAGATAAGATACTTACATTCAAAAGATTAGTAAGAGAAGACGAAGTTAAAGGGTTCCATAATAATGGAAGGACTACTAAAAGTTGAAACTATTGTTAATAAAATTGCCAGTTGTTTGAATACTACTGATTATCTTAATTTTCAAAGATTGAATAAAGACCTTTATAACAAAACTTTATCAGGTAAAAATGATCAGTTATATTGGAGTAGTAAATTGGTTTTAATGGGTTTAAAAGCTCAAGATGCATCTACAGTTGGTGATTCTAATAAAAGTCTTAAAACTGAAGAACGCAGTTCTGAGTCAGATCTTAGAAGTGATACAATTTTTGATACAATTAAGGAATTTACCAAAGATGAAAGTAAGAATGTATATAGGTCATATTTTAATTGTTTTAACATCTATTGTGTTAAATTACTACATGGTAATATGTCAGGTTTGTTTGTAAATGAGTTTGAACAAGATCCATTGATTCAAGGTAAAATTATTCAGAATTTATTTCTTTATAATGAGAGTAATAGTAGTTGTTTCGTGGAATATTCCAATATTAAAAGTCAATTGACTATATTGAAAGATATATTTGTAAATAGTGCTTTAAAGGAAGCTGAGATATCTTACAATGAAGGAAATTTTGTAAACGTTGGAAAATTTATTAGAGTTCTTTTAATTTTAAAAGAAAATAGCACAGCTTTAGAGTTTATTAGATCAAAATACGATATTGAAGCTGATGTTTCAATTGATGAAAAGATATTTACTGATGAAGTTATAGAAGGTAATGAGAATATTGAAAATAGCTTGGTTGAAGTTGAAATAAATGCAGAAACTCCAGAAATAGGGGTAGATCTAAATTTATCTCAGTTGGAGAAACAATTAAGTATAATCCAAAAATATTTCAATGATAAAATTGAAATTATTGATACTGTTTTTGAAGATAAATATACTATAGTTTTAACGTTTGCAGAAAATTTAATGCAACGTGTTGTTGAGTTAATCTCATCTTTAATTACTGTTAAGGAAAGTAGATTAAAAAATTTACCTGTAATTTACCAAAATATAAAGAAGTATTTGGTTGATGACATTAAGACATCTGTTAATGGAGGTGAAGAATTTAGGAAATTAGTTCTAGAGTTTTTAAATCTTTACATTATGGACAAGGTTTTATTGTATTTTGAATTTATCCCCAATTATTTGCATTCAAGGTTTGATAATATGATTAGTGGTAGTGTTGATAACAGAAATAAGAAAGAAAAGTTGGAAAGTGAAAATATTATTAATGTTCTAAAAAATGAAGAGCAAGAGACTAAAGAGGTAATTGAAGAAAAGCATGATTTATTGAGAACTTTTAATAAGATGTTTAAAATCAATAGTAGTGATAAGCAAAAAGCAGAGGAAAAGCTAAAATTTCAATATAACCTTAACGTTTTAAGCAGTAAATTAGTTAATATGAACTCTTTAGTCGATTTGGACCTGTGTGTTAAGATTATTCAAGAAGGTAAAGAATCAATTGAAGATATGTATGTTTTTCATGATATTGAAGTTGTTAATGCGTCTCTCAGTAATAATTCTCAGAAAGTCTTTAGAGTTGTTGTCGAAGCGGTAGGTGTAAAGCATTTAAAACCAGCGTTTAAAGTAGCGTTGGAACTATTTCGCAACTATAATGAGTATGATCCTAATGATATTTCTTATTCTAAATCTGATTTAAATAATAAAATAAATCCTCTTTTGGAATTTTTGCAGCTAATTAGTATCGGAGATCTTGTCCTTCAAATGGTAAGTATATTATACAAAAAAGAGATACGAGATAAGAGTTTTGTAAAACAAGAAGAGGACTTTCTAAATAGTACAGTTCATTGCAAGAAGAATCTTGAGTTAATGGTTGATGATTTTGTTGGGGAAGGATTAAATATTGGTCTAGGAAATATAATGAAGGAAGTAAGGAGGATTTTATTGGATGAAGAGCAGAGGGATTACATTCAAGCAAATGGAATTGGAGGGGAGATCAGTGAAAGTTGTGGGTCTCAAGAAGTAGTGAAGGTGATTCGAAAGCATTGTAGGTTGTTAAAAGGAGCTACGGACAAAGGAACACTTGAAGTTTTCCAGCAAGAGATAGGAGAACGATTATTTCGAGAGGTAGTTGAGATGATCAAAAACAGTGTAATTAGTACGGATGGAGCAGTTTATTTAATCAGTGATTTGAACTATTACTTTGAGTTTGTTAGTAGTGAACTTCGACAAAGGCGATTGGAGCCGCTATTTGGAGGACTTAAAAGTGTGGGACAGATATTTATTGTATCAGGAAAGGATTCGAAGGATCTGGGAAAGATGATAGGAGAGGTTGGTATGTTTGGTGGAATATTTAGTCAAGAAGAGATATATGAGTTTGTGCAACGTCGAGAGGACTGGGTAAAGGTTCGAAAGGAGGTTGAGAAGGCAATGTATGGATTTGGAGCAAAAGATTGTTCTGTTATGTAAAGAATGATATAATAGAGTGAGAATAGATATTTGTAAGTGTGATTTAAAGTAAAGAGTAATATATAGTAGTGGAGTAAGTATATGGTAGTGGAGTAAGTATATAGTACTAGAGTAAGTATATGGTACTGGAGTAAGTATATGGTACTAGGATAATATGAAGTGGATTTTAAGTAAGAAATAAATATATAATACTGAGATAAGTATATAGTACTAGGATAAGTATATAGTACTAGGATAAGAATATACTACTAAAATAAGAATATAGTGCTGGGATAAGTATATAGTACTAGGATAAGCATATACTACTAAAATAAGTATATAGTACTAGGATAAGCATATAGAGCTTGGATAAATATATAGTACTAGAATGAGAATATAGCACTAGGATAATATGAAGTGGATTTTAATTAAAAAATAATTATATAGAGCTGGGATAAATATATAGTACTGGAATAAGTATATAGTACTAGAATAAGAATATAGTGCTGGGATAAGTATATAGTACTAGGATAAGCATATAATACTGAGTTAAGTATATAGTACTAGAATAAGAATATAGTTCTGGGATAATATGAAGTGGATTTTAATCAAAAAATAATTATATAGTACTAGGATAAGAATATAGTACTGGAATAAAAAGATACTACTGTAATAAAAAGATACTATTAGAACAGTTTGATATATGTTTTAATTAATCTATATGTGATACATCCCAGTCCATTCTAAAAAAGTATATAAATGATGCATTAAATAACATCTATGGCAAACATCCAAATGAAAGCACCACGAATATGACTGAAGAAGACATTGAATTCTTGGAACTTACTTTAGAATCATTACAGAATGCTTGCAAAGATATACTCTCATTGAATGTATGTGTTGTGTTTTAATTCTTTTTTGTATATTTACTAACAAGAATAACAACAGATTTATAACGAATCCTCGAGTGACCATCGAAAAAAGTTTTTACCAAAGGAAGCACGTTTGTTTTTGGAACGAGTGTTTGAGAAGAAGCAGTCTTTAAATTCAAAAGAACGGGATGCTATAGCCAAAAAGTGTGGTCTAACTCCTCTACAAGTCAGAGTTTGGGTATGTATTGATCTTGTTTACAAACTAAAAAAACTATACTAACCTCCCCATAGTTCATCAACAAACGAATGCGTTCCAAATAGACACATCATTGGAAGAGTTTAATTTTGTCAAGCCCAAGTGTGGGTTTGTGGAGTGGGTAGGGCAAACATATGAGCGGGAGATGATGTGGTGTAATTAGATACGTGCGTGCTTTTTCAAAAAATGTTGCATTTCGTCAGTATCGACATCTTGTGGATCCTCGGAGGAAATGGCCTGCAACAATCCATCAAGCATAGCATCAACTTTATGCTCGTCAATTTTTAAACACAGAGACAAGACTCTTCTAAACTTGCTTTCTAAATCTGTCTGTTTTCGCTTTATGCTTTCCAACGTATCCTCTAGCTCCTCTTCGTCCTTCTTATATGCTTCAATACGCTCTCTCATCTCCTTTATACCTAGTTTACTATCTTCTATATTTACCTCTTTATGTTCATATATTTTATCCTTTTCAATTCCTTTTGAAACTTCATTAATTAAAATTTCACTACTTACAGCCCCTGTTCTACCATCAACGACTTCGATCTCACTTCTGATATTGTTCAATTGTTCTTGCAACAAGCTTGTTTCATCTGCTACTTGTCTCGCCTTCGCTAGCGATTCCCTCGCTTCCGCTAATTTTTGTCTTTTCATATCCAACTCTTGATACAGATCTTGAACTTTTTTCTGATTCTTCTCTGTTTCAACCTCATGCTCTTGTGACAAGTTGCCGATTAAGTTTTGGATCTCATTTAAAATGTTACCACTCTGATTACTACAGGTCTCATCATTGGTAGCATTAAATCCACTAACAGAATTTCTACCACCACTAATAGCATCATTATTACTAACACCACCACCACCGCTTGAATTTTTTAAATTACCTTGATAAACTGAGAAATCATATGCTCTCAATCCAGCGTTATTAGCCATCATCGTATCCGCTCCATACTCCATCAAAGTATCAACCATCTGTACACTACCTAATCTTGCTGCGATATTTACACATGTATCCCCTTTATCATCCTTACGGTTCAACATGTTCTCAATCAACCACTTCAAATCAAGGTTCTTCATCTTCCCTTTATCTCCATTCACAACCCAACCCATAAGGACATCCAAATAGTAACTGCTGACAATACTATATCCAGATTGCCCTGATAATGCTGATATGTGATGTAAAATACTACGCTGGTGATGATCCATAACCAACATGCACGGATACAAATACACTAACATTTTCTCAAACGTACCATGTTCATAGTTGTTAACACATTTCACAGCTTTCACTAATGGTGATTCACCTTGATTGTCACCAACTAGTACATCGGCACCATGTGCAATCAAATCACGAACTAGTTCAACGTTAGCTACAGAAGCCACCCAATGCAATGGCGTATTTCCATGTTCATCAACCTTAACATTAAAATTCAACTTGACTCCAGGATACTCACAATCTAACTCTCCAACAACCTTTGAGAACTCAACTTTACCTAACATATCATCTTCTCCATTTGGTGTCAATACCCTTTGTAAAAAGCTTTCTAATTTCAACTTCTCCTTTTCACTAGATGGCAAAGATGCTTCTTTGGCAAACCTCAGCTTAACATCATTACCACTGATATCAACACTACCCTCAACATTATTGCTACCATTGTAATTAGTAAATACTTTAGCAACTTCTTGATGAATTCCTCCTCTTTTAAAGACTTCCTCAGCTATATCACCACTGATCCAAGTTTCTCCATTTTCCATCATTTCACCTTGAGAGGTAACCAAATTCAAGACTCTACCTGCTTCATCGTCACCATTCCCTTGCATAGTTTCTAATAGTTCAACCAATGGTTTTAAGTGAAACTTATTATTATCAACGTCTTTAACAAATACAATTGCTTTATCTTTGTAGTAAACGGTACCTTGAACAACACTCATAATTGATGATTGACGATACAAACCTAGTATATTAATGAAGAGTTATCCAATAGTCCAATAAGTATCAAACAGAAGATTTCTTTAACATTGAATCTTCTTTAATATCCATCATTAGATCAATATTTTGTTATTATTTGTATATAATTTCGTTAGGGACGACGATGCCTATAATTTCATTAACCCAAAAGGGTATAGCAACTAAAACGTTTAAAAACTACTTTTCACTTTCGAAATATGAAACAAAATAGTTTACAGTAAATAAAAAGATAAGAACATAGATTAGGAATAAAGGATAAAAATTTAGAATAGAACAATTATATAATTATCTAATGACAAGAGGTTTCAAGCTTTTCATAGACACCAATATTGCCTACAATATAATTGTAGTATCCCATATAGAATTCTTAGAAAAAATACAAAATAAATATATGTTGATTGGTGTCTATTAATAGCTAAGTAATGTTGATAATTACCTGAAATAGGGACTCAGAAGATAACAATGTATCTTCTGAACTACTTACACCTAAAGTTATAATATTTCACCTAATTTATTCATTTCTTGTTAAATAATTTTTCTTAACATTACCAAAACCCGTTCGCTTGCAAAAATTTATATTCAATGCCTCTATGGACATAACAAATATCAATATTTTCGATTACCATAATAAAGAGGTGCAACTTTGTTCCTTATAATTAACAATAAAGTATACCATTCAAATCTATAAAATATTCTAGATTGATTGGTGTTATTTTTGTTAATATATGATAAAACTACATTAATACAGCGTCACTTGCTCATTCATTAATTTCAAAAACCGGTCTCATTTTTCTCAATTATCCTCCCACTATAAACCAACTAAATTTTAATCATTACAAAAAAATGTTATAAAATTTAACAAAAACCCTATAGATACTAAAACTGAATATTAGATTTAATGTAGTTATATTTTTTTCAAATTTAACCTACTCTTTCATATTTAATCAAATGTTCAATATGTTGTTGACACTATAAATTTTTAAAGACTTATCGAAATTTTAAATCACTTAATATAATATTAAACAAATAAAATGCATTAAATATTTAAAACAAAAAATAATAGTAACCTTATATTACAACAATTATTTAACTTTAACAAAAATTCAAAACACATAAACAAAAATTAATCTTTATCCATCAATAATTGAGAAAAAAATAAAAAATATAACTTTAGAATAGTTATATATTCACTAATAAATAGAAGAGAATTAAACCTTCTTATATAATATGTAAAACCAGTCATGGGCTTCCTAAATAAATGAATCTATGTAAAAAAATACAATAAAATAAAAAATTCTCGATATATATTAAAAAGGGTTATAAATTAGAAGTAACTTCAATCTAATAAAACTAAAGGCTACTTAAATTTGCAGAAGATAATATAAAAATAACATTACATAGGATAATAAATTCAGAAATATCATCAAAGAGAAATATCAGACAAAACATTGATAAACATTATAAGAGCCATCACAAATAGCTCAATAACAATAAGGTATAATAATAATATAATCTTCAAAATACAAAACATTGTTTATCAATTAGTTTACTCTTTTGACAACATTATAACTAAAATAGACTATTTATCTAATAAAAAAAAACTCTAAAAGATAACATAAGCCAAATTAACCTTCATTTAAAACAGTTAAGTATAACAAACTTTTAAACTTTACCATTTCAATTTATACAAACACCATATAATAAACAGAATTATATAGAACCGATTATTTCAGAAGTGTCACAAATATTTCTCTGTCACTAGAATTAACGATAATATTAAGTTAATACAAAGCCTAAAGTCACAATAAAGATTAAGTTTAAAAATAAAGTAAAAAAAATGTAAATGACAACAAAATTTAAGTCCAAGTATTAGTTAACGTTATGCAAATTCTTTTCAAAAATGTTTCAAAGTAAAAATCATAAACCAAAGTAAATAGTAAAAATATCCATAAAGAAAAGGCTAGAAATATCAAAATCTTTTAAAAATATGTTAAGGCTAATAATATGAGAAACAATTAAATAATAAATCTTGACATAACTAAATTTTTTTCAATAAATAAATATTGTTAGAATTATGAGCTGAGGTAAAGTCGTACTCATTACTTCAATATTAATAAGGGAGAAAACTATATAATATCATTATAAATAAGTGGTAAAGAAATGTTTCTAATACGAAAATACTTACTTCTAACGTGTCAAGAATATCTAAACATTGTATATAAAGTCTGATAAAATCTTAATTGATACTTATCATAAGTACCATATTTCCGTATGTATATTTTGTATTTTGATACACCGGATCAAAATATACTAAATAATAATGTTCTTAGAAATAAATAATAAATCTAACAATATGCAAGATTCTGTAAAGAAACAACAATCATATGAATCTAAAAAAATATTCTCTAAAACTACCAACTACATGGATAATCTTGGCCATAAATAAACAACCATCAAGACCAATCAGCTAAAAACACCGTGGTTGAAAAACAATTTTTACATAAATCACATTTCATCAAATACCTTTTGTCATTGATATATTTTTATATATATAATATACAATTGCGACATTACTAAAATAATATTCTAGATGTTTGTAAGGGCTGTAGGTTTTATATATGTAAACCTCCACCTACATTGATTATTTAAAGGAAACCTATGTAAAAAATAACAGTTATATAAAAATACTCTAAGCTTGATTGTATAACTTCTAATAATATTATAACATAATATTATCTATTACAAATAATAACTTTAATTCACATTTAACTAATTACAAATATAAAAGAAGTTAGCTTATTTTATTGCTAATAAGAAAATTTACATTATATGCAATAATGTACCTTATACATTATATTACTTATGTAATAGAAATATATTCACTAATGGTTTAGTATCTCACTGATTAAGTGTTTTGTTTTAAAACTTAGAGCTTTCCCTATTAACCATTTTGTAAAACTGCTATATATTACTTTTAAAGTGCAAAATATAAATATAGGAAAAAAATTCTAAATATAACATATAAAAAAAATAATAATATTACGTTAAATAATGTCCTTCTATTAATTAAATACTATCTATAATACACTACTTAACAAATTTGATTCAGTTAAATAAAACTATATCAAAATACCTTAATGAATGATATTTTTAAATACAAGTTAAAACTCAATATTACATGCAAAACTATTTGGCTAAAACACCTTCTTTCCTTAGTACTTTTTCAACTTCAGATGTTAATCTTTTCAATGTTTTACTAGACCCAGATTTCTTTCTAAATCCAATTACACTATGCTTACCTTCTGAAAAAACAACCATATCTACAAATGTTGACCTCAATGATAATATATTATCACTGGATAAACGAACACTAATAGAAAAAGCTTCTTTATTACTTTTAATTTCTTTTAATCCATAATCTTTCCAACCTTTTAATAAATTGAATAAACCGTTGTATAGTTGGGTTACAGACACATTAGAAAACAACTTAACGTCATAACCAGTTGTATCATTTTGGACTGTTAAACCTTTAGATATTTTTCTGAAAAAAGATGTGCTTCTTGGTTTATCTGAAGAATGCTTAGCATTATTATTTTGTACTACATTCGTTTTCTTAGTATCCCTTGTTTTTGGAACGACATCATTCAATGGTGGCTTTGGTTCCACATTCTTTTCCTTTAATGTCTCTTCAGATTTATTTTCTTTTATACTAGGAACAGGTTTACTTTCATTTCCTTCTGATCCACTTTTAGAACTATAAATACCCAAACCATCCGAAACTTTATCATCTCCTAAGGGTGGTAAAGTTGGTAGTTTAACTTCATTAACATTTCCAGCTGTATCAAATCTGTCAGCATAATTTAATTTAATATTAGCGCCTTGTGAAAGGTTATTTTCATTTTCTATTTCTTTCTCCTCTTCATATTTATTGTTCTCAATTTCAGTTCCCACTGTTTCGAATTGGAATTCTGGTTCTTCAGATACCTCAACATTATTAGAACCTTCGTTGACACCAATGTCAACACCTCCTTCCTTCAAAACATTTGCTAAATTAGTATATGACTGAGTAGAAGAATAAATTGAAAGGACTGATAACCTTTTATTCGAATCTGTAAATAATTTAGATTTTCTAGTAAACTGAGGAACTTGAATGTCTGATATTTTTCTAGGCTCTACTTCCTCACTATCATCTTTCAAAGCACCAAAAGCGGTTGCATTTTTAGGTAAAACTTGGGTTTCATATTGTTCATTAGTTTCTGAAACTATTCTTCCCGATACATCACGATCCTCTTTTTGACTTTTCCTCATTCTTTTAACCTCAGCATCCTTTTTAACTTGTTTCAATTCTTTATCAATGTTGAATGATGAGCCCAAAAACTTAGAACGTCTAATTGTCTCCAAGATGACTTTCTGAGAATCGATGGTTTTGTCTAATTCATCTTCAACAATTTCTTCCATTTGTACAGGTTTATTACTACCGCATTTAATACCGGGATCTAACTTTGAAACTGGTCTTGTTTGCAAAGAAAATGAACGTTGACCTGATGCATCTTCTTCAGATTTAGCTTCATTTCCATTCTCTACTGGTGAAGATATGGACCTAACATTTTTATGAACAACTTCATCTTCTTGGAAATTTTTAGTATCCTGTTGCAGCTCTTTAGTTATCTGAGTTTCCTCTTCTTCTAATCTCCTTTGAAGTTCCTCTCGTTCTCTTGCAATTGCGGCTAATTCTACTTCCTTTTGCCTTTTTTGTCTTTCTTCACGCTCTTTATTTTCCCTAACTTTCCTTTCCAATTCTTCTTTTTCCTTTCTAATTTGTTCATATTTCTCATGTTCAAATATTTCATCAATTAAAGTTGCAAAATCAGAACTAACTCTTTTAGTTTCTTTCTCTATGAATTCCCAATCATCATCTTCGGATAGTTTAGCATATGTAGATATAATCTTGGTTGTGATTGAACCACGTTTAGCATTAGGAAGAACTGATAACCTTTTACTAATTCTTGAGGCTCTTTTAGCATTAGCATGTGATGATGTAGAATTTCCATAATCCTTTAACATATCTACAGGAATTGGGGGTGGATTTGAAGATGTTTCAAGGTTTTGTACTGACATACGTTTATTTCTTGGAGCAGGAGTTGGTGAGCCGCTATTACTTTGAGGAAGTATTTTAGATCCCTTATTTGACGACAAGCTCATCGATATCCTTTTGGAAGAACCTGGTGTGGTATTACTACTTGAAGGAACACTAATTACATCCTTACCATTTTGAATAGTAGATAGTCTATTTAATGAGACTGGTCTTTTATGAGAAGAGGAAACACTAATTACAGAATTTCTATTTTTCTTCTTTTGAGGCGTGGTTGTGTTAATATTACCAGACTTAAGATTATTATTTGAAATAATAGATTGTCTCTTTTTAATTTGACTATTTTTCAAAGCTTCTTGTTCTGAATCAACTTTGAAGCGATATAACAATGCATAAAGAGTTTTCTCTGCGTTAGCGCCTGGCTCTCTCAATTTTTTTGCGATGTCATCTTCATTTCTACCATGCCATAACACAACTAAGTTTTGTAAAATTGTCTTATCAATTGTCGCGTCCCCACCATCATTTCCTATTAATGGATTCAAGTAAGTATCCTCTCTTGGTAAATTTCTAATAGTTTTAGAATCTTTAATGCTTGGATATTTTTGCAACAATGGATGTTTTAAGATTTCTCTAGATTTAATTCTCTTCTCCGGATCTACCACAAGAATTTTATATAATAAATCTTGAGCTTCTTTAGATATCTCATCATCACCTGGCATTTCGAATTCACCCTTTTGGACTTTCAATAATAAGTTTCTAATATTACCATCTTCTTCATCAAATGGCAATCTACCAGTTAACAATGCAAATAAAATAACACCACATGACCACACATCAGTTTCTAAACCATGATAAGGTAAACCTGATACGATTTCTGGTGCAGCATAATGTGGAGAACCACATGAAGTTTCTAATAACTTATCTTCAGTTTCTAAAGCAGCCATACCAAAATCTGCAATTTTTATATTTAATTTATGATCTAATAAAATATTTTCTGGTTTCAAATCACGATGGACAATACCTAAAGCATGACAATAAGACATACCAATTATAATTTGTCTGAAAAACCTTATAGCTTCATTTTCAGGCAATGGTCCCTTTTCAACTAATAAGTTGAAAAGTTCACCTTTTTCTGCATATTCCAAAACCATATATAAATTATTGTTTGTTTCCCAAACATCATATAATCTTAAAACATTTGGATGATTTAATAGTTTCATAATAATAATTTCCCTTTCAATTCCATAACTCAAGGAATCTGGCGTTGAAGAAACCATTGAACTATTATTACCCATACTACTAAAAACAGATTTCGATATAACTTTAATAGCAGCTTGTTGATTAGTAGATTCATTGTAGGCCAATTGAACTTTACCGGTACTACCTAACCCCAAAGTCTCACCTAATTTCCAAGGCCCTATCGTATCACCTTTGACACTGATATTTCCTTTATTAGAAGAAATCATCACTGGAAATAATATGTATATATATAATTGAGACTTTTTAAAACTAAACTTGATACAAAAACGAGTGACTACAAGTAAATAACTATTTTTATAATAATTACTGTTAAACTGGATAAAAAAAAATAACGAGATATAAACTGAATCTCTTCTTCACGTCTCAATCAAAGCAACTATGCAATCAATTAATTTAATTTGATTATTTTTATTAAATCTTTAAATCTTCCCTGGTCAGATAAATATAGCAAAAACCAACTACTTCAATTAAAAGAAATAGTCAAGTCTGAAGTATGATATATATGAAAGATCTAATTAATAAATGAACCACGTAAAATAAATATCTTATTTAAATCGATGGATGACAATAAAAATATTATTAACAATTAAATAAAACTGAAAAAAAAGATCGAGACAGCAAACTAAATGAAGTACTCCAATGCAAGAAGGGAAATTAAATTACCAAAAAGATAAAAATTTTTCGATTTATATTAGTTAAAAAGAGATTAATAGTATATTTCGATTTCGAATTACGGGTTTCTCCTCTAATTTGACGTTATTTGAATAGAGTTTAATAGACCTTTTACTGGAAATTTAATCAAAAATCAAAGTTATTACACGAAAAAAAACGCCAAATCTTTAAGGATCAGAAAAACATTAAAAAAAAACGCGTAAATTAATTCGATTTCGGAAATTTCCCGATTTGGTTAAATACATTCGATGTTAAAAAATACATCAACCCGTCAATGATGATATATGGTTTCTGGGAGGTTTCGAAACTTTTCTTTGGTTAGAAAAAAAACATAAGTTCTCGGTTCGAATCCTGCGGGAGACAGTTGGTGGCGGTTATTACTTCTCTACAACTTTTTAGACAGCTTAATAATAGTAATACAGTTATAAGCATTCATTTCTAATAAACTATTTAAGTATATTATGAGTGATATGAAAAGCTATACGTTATATGTAAAAGTGGGGGAGCATTTCCATGCTTATATGGGAGGTGATCAGGAAGGGTATACGAGGTATTGTAATACACCCAAAACAAACAATAAAATTAATAATAATAATAATAATAATAATAAAAATTAACAATAAAAATTCAACAGCGTAGAAAGTAATTTAAGGTTAGTTACGTTCTATGCACTAGATTGAAGAAGCACCACCGATTTGTTCTCTGTGGGCTTCAATAATATCATTATCTTCCATGTCTAAGTCATCTGGGGTTTGATCACTCTGTAGTCTTACACCATCGTACAAAAATCTTAAAGAATCGACATCTTTACCTTGCCTTTTAGCAAATGCTTCCATTAATCTCTTCAATGGAGTGGTTCTCTTGATCTTAAAGAAAATTTCAGAGGAACCGTCAGAAACTTTCAAATTAATGTGAGTTTCTGAACCACCAGTAACATCTGGTTTAGTTTCTGGCTTAGTTTCTGTTGGTGTACCTGCTTCAGACATTCTGTTTTCCTTTTATTGGCTATATGTTGTACAATTATCGTATAGTCACAAACACTGAAATAATAAGACGTGTAAGATATAAGTATAATTGCTTAAAACATAATTTATAATATTTAAATAAATCTAACTTTAAGGCAACAATAACTAGTTAGCATAATTAGATAATTAATTGATCAAATTGTTAACTTCAGACAAGACCTGGAAAACCACGAGACAACAATATACTGGGATCATTAAATACGTGACGTATAAAAAGACAATATATCACGTGCTACAAAAATGACAACAGATTGCAACCAGTGTGTTAAAGGACTATACTGTTTCATGCACCTTACTCCATTCCCCCAAGATCAATTATATAAGTTATAAATACTACTTTCAACTCGTTAAAAATTCTGTCAGCATACATATCAATATGCATATAAGAAACGTAGTAGACCATACATGTGAGGTATAAAACGCAATACTTGCCTTCTATACAAGACATATGCCGTTATATAAAAATAAATGCCTCTCAAATGGCAATGAATGCAGTCATAGTTTGGTCAAAAAAGAGCCGTTATCGGTAACTACAGAAGGGTTACTGGTAGAAGAATAAAAGAAACGGCACCAACGTTATGCAATATTTCGAAACTAGCTGCGTTAAGCTCTTGCAAGTAACTACACACATCTAACCCTCTTATAAATAGTTTTCAGAGAAGAGAAGAACGTCCAAACCCAACTACTTCAAGACCATGCAGAAATATACCTAGAATGAACATTTTACACGTTGGAAAGGTGAACCAGCAGGCTATCTGATGCATTTTACTAATTGCAATTATAAGAAATAAGCTTTGTGAAAAGTTCGAATTAAAAAATCAACAACCACAATTCTACAAAGGAGATATGTCAGATTAGAGAGCTCCCATCACCAACAAGAGAGAGAGAGAGCTTTGGTGCAACTGAATGGCTCTCATTCCTTAAAAGGGCTCTCTTATAACTGACCTTTTATGCTTAGACTTTTTATCATTTTTTGGCCCACAGTTTCGCTGCATTTAATAATGGCAGGGCCTCCCAATTTATCAAAAAACCGTTGTAGATTAAAATTAATGAAAAATTTATTTTATTATTTCATTGGTAATATAACTACTATTTTTTCTATGGTTGAATTTACTCCCTCTCAACCAACTAAACTAAGATGAAGAAGATGATTTGTACAGTATATTCTTCTTTAAAACATGAATCCCTCACGCAAATTACCATACTGTGATTTGATTCAACTTTAATCAAGCCTATCTCTCTCTGAGCAAACACAAGCCTCTATTAACAGTTACATCACTTGTACTGAAAAAACTTGAAAATAATTCTTTTTTAGATTCTTTCTCTTTAACACAGCAGCTGTCACTGGAAATTCCCAATAAAGGGGACTAACATAAAAGCGCTTCCCTCTCTTTAATCCATTCCTCCCTTTCTGAATCAGTTTAAATGTGATTATGGGTCTATCATCATATCCTAATCCTTCTATATGTACATTGAACATTACCTTGCATTTTTTCACTCTCCCTCTTTCCCTGGCTTCAAGACCCCTCTGCCTCTATGTGCAATGTGTAAAAACTGAAATATATACGGAAGGAAAGCTACACGATAGAGATAGATAGGATAGTTCATCTAAAAGAATAGAAATCATTATCGATCAAGTGAGAACTACATTGGGCCTATTGTTTTAAACAAAGATTCTAAATTTAAATTTAGCAATCAAAAAATCTAGGTAACTTGCCATTTTTTTTTCTTTCTTTCTTTCCTCTTTACCAAAAAGAACAAGATACATTTAGTTACATTTACAGTTTGGCTAAAATCATGACGATGATGCTGATATCCTCCAGCCCTGGCTGGCGTAACCAACCAATCTCGCACCTCCTCCCTCCCCTCAACGATAAGCTTAATAAACTTCAAACTATGATTTATTTCCAGGTTATCAAATCAATCAAATCAATAATCTACAATAGATAGATGAATAAGATTATAAACCTTCTTACACAGTAAAATTGAACATTACTCTCTCTGTCTCTAAATAAAATGTAGTAATTAAACTAAACGCTCCTTTCTGGTCCTTGTCTTTAATCAAAGATTGCAAATTTCATTGTTCTTAAACTGTGTATGTCTAAGTCTCTCTGCCATCAACATTAAATCAATCGCCGTTGTAAAGAGAAATAAGGCCAACCTCTTCCTCTTCTTGTTCGTTTCGAACTTCGAATTAGTCTTGTTCAACTACTTCGAAACTTTTTTATTTTTTTTTTTTGCTTAGTACCTTTAGTAGTAGGAGCGATGGTTACTAAAGGTATATTGTATTGTATTGTCTTGTCAATTTCGAAAGTTCTTTAATTGCTAATTATGTATTGCTTACACTATTCATCTCTGGTTTTTTTTCTTTAATCATTTTGACTAGTTCTGCTGTTGATTAGTATTACATTTCTATTACATATGCTATCAGAATACTATATGTATATAAGGGGAATATATTTTGTGAAGAAATATTAATTTCTCTACAAAGTGTCAATTCAAGTTATTGATTTCGTTTGGTTTACCTTGGTCGTTCAGATTAGATTATTGTATTTTAATCTAGTATAGATTAAAATTGTTATCAGCAATGAGTAATAATTATAATTCGAATTTAGGAAATAGCTCTTCGAATGGGGACTCCTATGAGTTGTCAGACGTTAAGAAACCTGATGGTAAAAATTCTTACATCAGTGATTTAGAGACAAATGACAATGAAGTGGAATACATCTCCACTGATTTAAATGACAAATATGGCTCATCTTCTATAAATGAGTCTCCTGCCAAGAAGAAATCAAACCTGAGAAGGTTCGTGGATTCTTTCAAGAGAGCTGAACATATGATCCCTGCTGATGATAAAATTAATGAAATGACTACAGCTGAACCAGAAGCTGAAATGGCTTCGGTTGAGGATAATTTGAAGCAAACTATCAAGCCAAGACATGTTATTATGATCTCCTTGGGTACTGGTATCGGTACTGGTCTTTTGGTAGGTAACGGTTCTGCTCTAGTTAAAGCTGGTCCTGCTGGTTTGGTTACTGGTTATGCTATTATGGGTACCTGTGTCTACTGTATTATTCAATCTGCTGGTGAAATGGCTGTCGTTTATAGTAAATTAAATGGTGGGTTTAATGCTTATCCTACCATGTTGGTTGAACCTGGTTTTTGGGTTTGCTGTCGCTTGGGTGTATTGTTTACAATGGTTGACTGTTTGTCCTTTGGAATTGGTTACTGCTTCGATGACTATTAAATATTGGACGACGAGAGTTGATCCCGATGTTTTCGTAGTGATCTTTTATGTATTAATTATTGTCATCAACGTCTTTGGTGCAAGAGGTTATGCAGAAGCAGAGTTCTTCTTCAATTGTTGTAAAGTTTTAATGATGGCAGGTTTCTTCATCTTAGGTATTATCATTAACGTAGGTGGTGCAGGTAACGACGGTTATTTAGGTAATATCTATTGGCGTAATCCTGGTGCTTTCAGAGGTGACAAGGGAATTGACCATTTCAAAGGTGTTGTTGCAACTTTAGTCACTGCTGCATTTGCCTTTGGTGGTACCGAATTCATTGCTTTGACTGCTGCAGAACAATCTAACCCAAGAAAGGCTATCCCATCTGCTGCGAAGAAAGTCTTATACAGAATTGTTCTAGTTTATTTGACCTCTATCATTTTAATTGGTTTCCTTGTTCCTTTTACTTCTCCAGAATTGTTAGGGTCAGGTTCCGCTGCGACAGCCGCTTCTCCTTATGTCATCGCTGTTGCTTCCCATGGGGTCAGAGTTGTCCCACACTTCATCAATGCCGTCATCTTACTGTCTGTTTTATCTGTCGGTAACTCAGCTTTCTATTCCAGTTCCCGTCTATTGCTTTCATTATCAAAGCAAGGTTACGCTCCTAAATGGTTCGATTATGTCGACAGAGAGGGTAGACCTTCAAGAGCAATGATCGTTTCCGCACTATTTGGTGTCATTGCATTCTGTGCTACTTCTCCAAAAGAAACTGAAGTCTTCACATGGTTATTAGCTATTTCTGGTTTATCTCAAATATTTACATGGATCTCAATTTGTTTGTCACATATTAGATTTAGAGCTGCAATGAAAGCCCAAGGCAGGTCAATGGGTGAAGTTGGTTTTAAGGCTCAAACTGGTATCTGGGGTTCCTACTACAGTATTTTTTTAATGATTTTAACGTTAATTGGTCAATTCTGGGTCGCTATTGCGCCAATTGGTACCGCTGAGTTAAGTGCACGAAACTTCTTTGAAAACTATTTAGCTATGCCAATTTTGATTGGATTTTATTTTGGCTACAAGATATGGAAAAAGGATTGGACATTATATATTAAAGCTGAAGATATTGATTTAATCAGTCACAGACAGATATTCGACGAGGAATTGTTGAAGCAAGAAGATTATGAATTGAAAGAAAAACTAAAGAATGGTCCAGTCTGGCGTAGAATAGTAGCATTCTGGTGTTAAGCATAAATAATTTAAGGTTGTATTAATTTTATCACATTTCAAAATTAAAATCTAATAATCATAAGTGATTTAAAATAATTGTAAAATAATTATTGTTCATATATTCCATTTCGTTTATATGTTAAAGGAAATTTGCATTTAGTAGATTGATTTAATATAATTTTATTTAACTATATAGATGGTGTAAATTTTTAAAAGGCATTTTCAAAAATAATTTTAATTTATTTAATATTGTAGAATAACGATCAAATATAATATTCTTATAATACAAGTATTTTTAATTTGGTCTTTGAACAAAATTTCCTGCAAAATTAAAGTTGCCTCCGTTATTATTGCCTTGATTGTAACTATTTTGATTATTAGCTTGTGATTGATGCTTCCCTCCTTCGAAATATGATGAAGCCATGTTAGATAAGGTACTGAATTTCCCTTGAGAACTATTAGATCCATTATACTGCTGATTGTTATTTTGAGAGCTATTCATATAGCTGCTTGCAGCAGACGAAAGCATATCCATATATCCACTTTCTTTCTTGGTATTGTTTGAGTTTGAATAGTTTTGATTGTAATTATTATTGTTGTAACCTTGGTTCATGTTACTATTCCCGTGGTTGTTATTACCATGGGAATTGCTGTCCTCCATATATGAGGATGCCATTGACGACAATTTGCTAAACATTCCTTCCTCCTGATTCTTTGGTGGTTTTTGGTAGTTATTATTGTGATTATTATTGTAGTTATTATTATTGTAGTTATTATTGTAATCATTATTGTAGTTATTATTGTAGTTATTATTCTGATTATTATTATTTTGATAATTATTATTGTAGTTGTTATCTTGATAATTGTTGGAACTATTATTATAATTAGAGTGTTGATTATAACTTTGCTGTTGATTACCATGTGAGTTGTTATATTGATTAGAAGCATAGTTATTATTATGATTCATATTCTGATTAGAGTTACCATGGTTCCCCATGAACGAAGAAGCCATGCTAGAAAGAGCAGAAAATGATCCATAACCACCAGAATTTTGATTATTCTGTTGATTTTGATAATTATTATTAGAATTATTATATTTATTATTATTGTTACCAGAACCAAAAAATTGTGAGGCCAATGAAGCTAAACCATTACTGCTCATCTGATTTTGATGATTATTAGAAGTGCCATAAGAACCACTATTGAACAAAGAAGCAACAGAACCTAAATTAAAACCATTAGAGTTATTTTTTGAATTACTAGAAGAGAAAACAGTTGCTAATAATGCCAATTTACCCATCTGAGTCTTACTTGAACCATTACTACTACTCATCATTGTACTTAAAAATGCATCACCAACGCCACGTTGGTTCTGAGAATCGTCTGCATTACCCCTAACGTGCTGACCAATATCACGAATCATACTTTCAATGGCAGACATCTGCTTCTGATCTGGATTTGAAGAAGCAGCAGCAGTTAACGAAGCAACAGCTTCTTCATGATTCCCATCATTATAATGACGTTGAGCTTGATTAATATAAGAATCAGTATCCATGATAAAATCACTGTGTATTGCTTTAATATCTAGATTCAGACTTGAGTAACTTCTAAATATCTACAATAGACAACAAATTTCAATGCAATAAGAACTGAAACTTCTCTACACACACACATACATACATATATTTATATAACAATTTACTTATAAAGGGTGTTTGAAATCAAAGAGTTTGTCTAGACAACATTACAACAATGGAATCAATCCAACAAAGACAAAACAGACAAAGGAAAACTTGGATCCATGCATGTTTAAGCCTTCTTCCTTATTTGCATAACCTCAAATAAAAATATAAATTTGATCCAACCCATAACCCACAACACCCATCAAGAATCGAAAATTCGAATCGAAATAAGACCATTCAAGAGCAATGATGTCATAATTAGTTTCTTTTATAAGAACATTACATCATCCATTGTCTTGATCTCTCGTAAAGATGACCAAATTGCTCTGAGATGAACGTAAACTATACTGTAATGGTCCAGATGAATGTATAAAAATAAGTTTGATTAAAGAGCAAACATATATAAAATCTAAAAAAGTTTATAAACTAATAATGATGATAATGATATTATAATCGTTATTATTATTATACTTATCATTGAAGAACTGCTGAGGTTTTGACATTTTAAAGAACCAAGCCAATTTAATACAATGTAACATTAATCAGCTCGAGTCTTATACGGTGAGATCAAAATCAACATCTACTATATTCAAGTCTAATAACGACGTTTGGTTTCGTCTCTATACTTACCATTTGATGAAGTAGTTGTGTTTGAAGATGTCATGTCATTACTAGCATAAGACTGAGTGTTGCTGTTTGCACTCATCTTGTTTGATGTTTCGTAACCAGAAGAACCTGCCATTTTAGCAGAGGTATAACCACTATCTCTTGAAGTACTAGTAGTGTTATTAGCATTGTAAGTAGTCTTTGTTGGACTAGCTGTAGAGGTGTAGTCTTCTGTGTAATTACCTATTGAAGAAGAATTCTTCTTGGAACCATGAGAAGAGTTGTGGTGATGACTGTTATCCTTGGTGGAAACATTTAAGGTCTTCTTTGGAGAGATAGAATGAATTTCACTCGAATTCTTGTTAGTACTGCTATAATCAGATTTTGTAGAGGTACTAATTGGCTTAGAAGTGGTATTGGATGATGAATTTACAGATTCAACCTTTTCAGAGACTCTAGATGATTGATAAGATTTATCAACTGGTTTACCTGAAGTGGAATAACTGGAACTCGAATTCACGCCTGTAGAATTAGAGACTGGAATTGTGGAAGTAGCAGGACTAGCAGTATATGAATTCTTCTTAGACTCAGTAGTATATTTAGAAGAGTTCTTATTTGTTTCATATTTATTAGTGTCTTTCTTCAAATTAGTAGATTCAAATGAACTCGTTTGGTTAACACTTGATTTAGAAGGAGATTTGTTATGTCCTGTTTCTTTAACCTTAGTGGATGAATAGGTTTCTTCTCTTTGAGATGTTGTAGTGCCTTTAGAATAATTATCCTTCAAATTATCACTCTTACAAGAAGTGTCTACAGTGTCACGAACGGTTTCTTTGCCAGTGTTGTGACTTTTTGATTGGGTTGTGGTATTCTTCAAATCCCCAGCTCTTGAAGAGCTGCTAGTGGTATTGGAAGAATGATTAGCAGAAACAGATTTACTGTCGTTGCTAGAATAATTGGAAGCATTATTAGTATTAAAAGGCTTGTCAGCACTGGTGGACGAATAGGAAGTATTAGCAGGAGAACCATATTTATCAGAATTATTAGATGAATAGGTACTGCCAGAACTAGACACAGGTTTACTAGAAGAACGAGATGAATCGTTGCTAGAATTTTTAGTAATGGTATCGTTCTTTGAAGAATTGTATCTTTGTCCCTGGGTGTTGTCAGCAGTAGTTGACTTGGAATTAAAATTGTTTGGCTGGGGGTTGCTAGAAGAGCTTTCTTTTCTTTCGTCTTTAGAATTGTTGTATGTGGATTCAAGTTTTGGAGAACTTTGTTGCTTTACATTTCTATCAGTAGTAGAGTCAATGGTTGATCTACTGGTAGAAGATACAGAGGTCTTTGGTTCTTTTGTTGTGGAATCCAATTTAGCAGAACTGGAATAATCTTCTCTTGAAGGTTTAGAAAAAGAGTTTTCAATTTCCTTTTTGTTTTCTGTCATTGTATTCTTAACTTGATCTTTGGTAGAAGATATAGCCTCTTTGCTGCGAGAAGTCGCGTCTGCTACTGTTTTACCAAATGAACTTTGTTCTTCATGTTCATTAGATCTAGTGAATTCAGTGGTATTTTTGGAATCTGTAGTAGATCTGGTAGACTCGGTGGTGTCGTTCTTGGCACCACCAAAGAAACCAGTTCTTTCTTTATTATAATCAGCCTTGACAGCTTCAGCAGTCTCAGAGATATCCTTCTTTAGATTTTCAAAAAATCCAATGTTTTCTTTGTCATCCTTGTCATCCTTGGTGTCCTTGGTATCCTTGGTATCCTTGGTGTCCTTGGTGTCCTTGGTGTCCTTATCATTCTTTTCGTCATTAGCAACCTTGGCATCCTTGACATTCTTGTCATCTTTGGTATCCTTAGTGTCATCAGTAGATCTGGTAGATTCGGTGGTGTCGTTCTTAGAGCCAAAGAAGCCAGTACTTTCCTTCTTATCTTTGGTATTATCAGTGGATCTAGTAGATTCGGTGGTGTCATTCTTAGCACTACCAAAGAAACCAGTTCTTTCTTTATTATAATCAGCCTTGACAGCTTCAGCAGTCTCAGAGATATCCTTCTTTAGATTTTCAAAAAATCCAGTGTTTTCTTTGTCATCCTTGTCATCCTTGGTGTCCTTGTCATCCTTGGTGTCCTTGGTATCCTTGGTGTCCTTGGTGTCCTTGGTGTCCTTATCATTCTTTTCGTCATTAGCAACCTTGGCATCCTTGACATTCTTGTCATCTTTGGTATCCTTAGTGTCATCAGTAGATCTGGTAGATTCGGTGGTGTCGTTCTTAGAGCCAAAGAAGCCAGTACTTTCCTTCTTATCTTTGGTATTATCAGTGGATCTAGTAGATTCGGTGGTGTCATTCTTAGCACTACCAAAGAAACCAGTTCTTTCTTTATTATAATCAGCCTTGACAGCTTCAGCAGTCTCAGAGATATCCTTCTTTAAATTTTCAAAAAATCCCATACTTTCCTTGTCATCCTTGGCATCTTTAGCGTCATTAGTAGATCTAGTTGACTCAGTAGTGTCGTTCTTAGCACTACCAAAGAAACCAGTACTCTGTTTACTTTCACTAGTGGATCTGGTACTCTCTTGGTTGTAACTAGAGTCACCTTTAATGACACCTGCAATGGAAGAAGCCAATGATCTCACACTAAAGCCACTAGAAGCCTTTTCAGTAGTATCAACAGTAGCTGACATTTTTTCCAAAGTAGATAATTGAGCCTGCTTACTGCGGTCTTTACCTTGAGTCAATTGATCTAACATTTTCTTTACAGAAGAATTAACATTATCACCAATAGACTCTATCAATTCATTTATCAACTCATCAATTTCTTCTGATTGCTTTTCTGTAGGAGAGGAATTAACAGCCATAATCAAAGTCTGAATGGCGTCTGAGTTATTCCCATTCTTAATTCCACATCTAACATGAGTAATATACTCTTCAGTACTCATATTTACAAATTTATAGGCTATTTAGCTTGTATAGTCTTATATATGCCTATCACTAAAAGATATATATAGACAATTAACTTTATATATACTTCTATATAATTCAAGCATTCTAATAAAACAAAAATTAAAAACTAAAAATCCACCAGAAAAATAAAACCAATCCCACAATAAAACAACCCCAAATTCTCCATTTGCACCATCATCCCAACCCATTTATATACAATATTTCCAAGATATCAACCCATTTGCCATACTTTTGAAACATTACAGACACCTTTTAACCATCTTAATTGCTTAATTCGAATTCGAAATATCCCAAACATTTTTGACCTTTCGATAAATTCTTCAATAGAAAAAGCCTATAACAAACCAAGATCATGATCATGATCGTGATGAGATAGCTTTAGGAAAGAGGTGGAATCAACAGATATAGAGGTAATATAAAGGGCAATTGTAGATCATTGTCTGCAGGTTAATATATATTTTAGGGAGTAGGCATTTTGGATCGAGATTTATTTTTATCTATTATTATTATTTTCGAGTTCTTCCAATACGTTTTTTAAAACTTATAACTCAATAATATTATTTAAAGTGGGAAAAAACAAACCCAGTTCGAGGTGTTAGTTATTGTTGAAAGAGTTTTAAGAAGACTACGAGCAGGATTGATCTTTTCAGGCAGTTAGTTCGATTGTGATGGAAACTTATCAGAACAAGATTGGATGCTTTATACATATTCCAAATGTGGGACGAGGACAGTTAAAGTATGTGGGAGAAGTTGACAATAAACCTGGGATATATGCAGGGATTGATTTATTGGCAAATATAGGTAAGAATAATGGTAGTTATCAAGGTAAAAAATATTTCGAAACTGAATATCCTCAGAGTGGGTTATTTATCCAATTACAAAAGGTTGCTTCTTTAATTGAAAGTACTTCGACGAATGGATCGAGAAGATCGACCATAGCTCCAATTGAATTACCACCTGGTTCAAACACTGATGCCAATTATATTGGATCGAGGATCGAAAGCGTTGGGAGTACCACTAGTACCGTAGTAAGACAACCACATATGATATCTCTTGATGAAAAATCACCTACACCTTCAAGAAATGGTATTAATGATAAAAATTCCATTATAGGTAATTCTTCCAGGAGTATAAGTGGTACCGAAATGTTGGAAGACCACATGGATATTGATCCACCTTCGTCAGCTGATGTAAACGATAATGCTAATAAGTTGATTCGTGAGTATGAGATAAAGATCGATAAACAGCAGAGACAGTTGATACTGTATAAAAAATTATTGGATGATCAAAGGGTTGTGTTGGAAGAATTACAACCAACTATTGATGGCTATGAATTGAATTTACAAAATGCAGAGAATGAAATTAAAAAGTTAAGAGATCAACTAAACGAAGAAAAGGAACAAAGAAATAAACAAAAAGAGTTTTTAGAGGCAGAACATGAACAATTGCTTGCTGTAGTCGATCAGTTACATGAAGAAATAAAAGAAAATGAAAGAAGAGTAATCGCTTCAAAATCATCACCTTCTAATAACAATAATACAAATCAAACAACAAACACAACCCAATCAATTGATTATGAAGCTATGCAAAATGAATTAGAGATGCTACAAAATTATAAGAAAGAAACAGAAACCTCTAAAATTAAATGGGATAAAGAAAGAGAACAATTGAAAATGCATAATGATTCTTTAAGCAAAGAATATCAACTTTTGACTAAAGAATTATTTCAATTGCAAAATTCTCAAACAGAAAATAACAATAATGACAGTGCCAACGACAAAGAAACGATACTCAATTTACAAAACGAAATATCATACCTTAAGAGTAAAATTAAGACTGATTCAAATATAGATGATGAAATTTCAGAAAATGCTAAAATAATTGAACCACCATTAAAAAACGGCAAGAACGATACTGAATCATCATGGTGTGCTCTATGTGAACAAAACGGTCATTCTAGCATCGATTGCCAATATAATAATTCTTAAATTTTCAAATAAGAACTCACACTTAACCTTAATGCATTCTGCCAGTTTTGGTTCCAATTCACCTACAAAGCATAGTTAATTCCTCCTCAATAACGATTTCTTGAATAACAAACAAACTAACATAGAATATAGATAAACTCATATAATGTAACAATACTCATCGTCATGACAACTTGTTGTTATATTGGCAACATAATTTCAGCCTCTGACTCTGGATACGTTATAAATTATTACTACAGAGTGACTCATTTGACACTGCGATACCCAGATCTTTTGCAAATAAGGTAAAGGGAGCTATTACTCATCATCATCATGATTATCAGGTTGATATATTTATAAGAAACCTATCCTTCTTCACCTCAAGATGGCAAATATTATAAGAATTCTTTTTAGATTTTGCTATTAGCTTTGATTCCATCAAGTAGTAATATTTCAAGAGCAGCCAGCAAGATATTACAACAAACGCAATAAGGGATAACCTTTTATGCAAGTGAGAGTTAAATAGAGACATAGATATAAAAGAGATAATCAAGGTTAAGTTATAGGATAATGGTATTCCCAGTTTTACCAAGGTACACTTCTGATCCAATTCAAGTTATCAGTGAAAGACCATTTTTATTGATTACTGGTCAAGCTTTGATCGATGCAAATAAGGTTAAGAAAGATGAAATTATCGAATTTATTCGTAAATATGGTGGCTATTTGAAATTCACAGCAGTTTATGTTGAGTCTGATGAGTTATTAAGTGGTGACGATATCGTAGATTTGTTGAATAATGGTGTTACAAATATTTTCACTTCTAATGCTAGTTTTCATCAATTTTTAATCAATGAGTACAATATCCCTCAAAATAGAGTTGTAGTAAGTGCTGATGGTACTTATACTGTTAAGGTTGGGATTGTAGATACTTTCACTGATGGACGTATCGTTAATATTGAAGATTTAGATGCTCAATCCATTTCCAAGAGCTTAATTTCTTCCCTAAAGACCGACAGACCTGATCGTTTATTTCCTACTTTGGTGGTAGATACTGCTGAACGTTGTTTAGGTTTAGTATATTCTTCACAAGAATCAATCCAGTTAGCTATCGAGAGACAAGTAGGTGTATATTTCTCTCGTTCACGTAATCAGATTTGGGTAAAAGGTGAAACTTCAGGTAATACTCAAAAATTGATTAATATTCAGTTGGATTGCGACGGTGATGCATTGAAATATGTAGTAATACAAGGAGGTGCCCAATCAAGTTTCTGTCACTTGAATACTGAATCATGCTTCGGCCAGTTGAAATATGGTTTAACTAGTTTAGAAACTTTTATTAATCAAAGGAAGTTAAACGCTCCTGCTGAATCTTACACCAAAAGATTATTCAATGATTCTAAATTGTTAAATGCTAAAATTAAGGAAGAAGCTGAAGAATTGACGGAAGCACAATCAAAAGATGAAGTTGCATGGGAAGCTGCCGATTTACTCTACTTCACTATCACTAAATTGGTAGCAGAAGGTGTTACATTGCAAGACGTCGAGAATAACTTGGAATTAAAGCACCTGAAGGTAACAAGAAGAAAGGGTGATGCCAAGCCTAAATTCATTGAAGATGACAGCAAAAGCTCAATCTCTGAACCAAAAGAAATCAACTCCACTGAAGATAAACCTATTCACTTAAAGGTGATAAGTTCCAAGGATAAGACCGCAGTAGAAGTTGCAGTTTCCAGACCAATTCAGAAAACATCTGAAATAATGCACTTAGTCAATCCAATTGTCGAGAACGTCAAAAATAAAGGTGACAAAGCTTTGATAGATTATACAGCTAAGTTTGACGGCGTACAACTTACAGCCTCTGTTCTTGAAGCTCCATTCCCAGAAGAATATTTTGAAGGTCTAACTGAAGAAATGAAACAATCTTTAGACTTATCAATGGAAAATGTTAGAAAGTTCCACAGTGCTCAATTACAAAAAGAAACAATGGTTGTTGAGACACAACCTGGTGTTGTATGCTCAAGATTCTCTAGACCTATTGAGAAGGTTGGTTTATATATCCCTGGTGGTACTGCAATTTTGCCAAGTACAGCATTAATGCTTGGTGTTCCAGCGCAAGTTGCTGGCTGTAAAGATATTGTCTTTGCGTCACCACCTCGTAAATCAGATGGTAAAGTTTCTCCAGAAGTAGTATATGTTGCTTCTAAAGTAGGTGCATCAAAGATTGTATTGGCAGGTGGTGCTCAAGCGGTTGCTGCCATGGCTTATGGTACTGAAACTGTCCCAAAGGTTGATAAAATTTTGGGTCCTGGTAACCAATTTGTTACAGCCGCAAAAATGTATGTCCAAAACGATACCCAGGCCTTGTGTTCAATTGACATGCCAGCTGGACCAAGTGAAGTATTAGTTATTTGTGATGAAAACGCTGACGTCGATTTTGTTGCCAGTGACCTGCTATCACAAGCTGAGCATGGTACTGACTCCCAGGTCATTTTAGTGGGTGTGAACTTGTCTGATGAGAAGATACAACAGATACAAAATGCTGTCCACAACCAAGCGATGGAACTACCTCGTGTAGATATTGTAAGAAAGTGTATAGCACACAGTTCTATTATTAATTCGGATTCATATGATGAAGCTTTTGAAGTTTCCAACAAATATGCACCAGAACATTTAATTTTACAAATTGAGGATGCACAGAGCTATATCAACCAAGTCGACCACGCAGGTAGTGTATTTGTTGGTGCTTACACTCCAGAATCATGTGGTGATTACTCCAGTGGTACTAACCACACTTTACCAACCTACGGTTATGCTAGGCAATACAGTGGTGTTAACACTTCAACTTTCCAAAAATTTATTACTGCTCAAAAGATCTCTCCAGAAGGTTTGAAAAGCATCGGCAAAGCTGTTATGTGTGTTGCCAAAGTTGAAGGTCTAGATGGTCATAGAAATGCAGTCAAAATTAGAATGCAAAAATTGGGCCAAATTCCTCAAGGATTTATCTAATTTTATAGAGAATATATCCAATCAAATTCAGTCAAATCAAGGAAATATTATTATAAAAGTCTTTGAGTACTCTGCATATATTTGTATATAATTATAGTGAATATAATTAGAATTTTGTTTTACAGACATTATTTAAACCAATTAGCTGCTGTCAAGCTTAATCATTTTTATTAGTCGCGTTGAAATGGAATTTCAGCATCAAGAACACTACCACTTTTAAATGCTACACACAGCAGAATGTGATTTCAAGATAAGAACAGCACCTCTAAAGATCAATATTTAGTCTGTAAGATATTTCAGATTTGTGCAATTATCCAAGATACTGCAGTGAAGGTTGTGAATTTAATCTTGGTGGGATAATTCTTATAGGATCGCAACATATTTGACTCCTACTACGTGAGATATATATATATCTATTAAAGGGAAACTGAAAGATGCAACTGACAAGAAGTAGTTTATACAAGGGTTCATCTCAACTGTTAAAGGCTACAAATAGAGGCACTAGAGCTGCTCAACCATTGTTGCCTCCATTGCAACTTTATAGAAGAATCCTCAGGGAACATAAGCATTTACCAACAGCCCAAAGAGAGCTAGGTGATCAATACGTTAAAAATGAATTTAAACTTCACAAGGACATTGACAATCCATTGCACATTGTCGGATTCTTAACAAGCTGGCAAGATTACCTTCGTATGATAAGCAGAGATGGCTGGAAAGAAGAAAGGCTATCTGCTGCTGTACTAGAGAAGATGTCACCAGAACAAGTTACTCAATTATATGAATTAATGAAAGAAACTGAAAATATACGTAATGGAACCATGAAAAAAGGAGAAAATGGAGAAGAAATTATAAAAATTTAATCCATATATATAATATAACCAATCCGTTCGATTAAAAACAATGTCCATTATTGTCCTTCATGTAATTATTTAAGTTTGTCTTGAAATTTCGACCTCAATCAAATCAAGTTCTTTCAGTTTCTTGATTGCAACAGAAATAAAAAAACCATCAATCAATCAACATGAAATGCCCAAAGAATCAATGACCATTTCATGGACTGTGTATAACCAAATCATATGTAGTTTCTTTACATTAATACCATCAACCTCTCCCTTTATATATGGTACTCTTCCAGTGCTGTCCATGCTTGACCTTATGGATATTCGAAATATTATCACACTCGACGAAATTAATTTTTCAATATCGACATTGATGAGATGAGATGAGATGGTTAAAGAAAGACGATACACTCTAATTGAATTGAACTATTTAATGGACGATAGTAAGGTTATTAGTACTGATCGAGGCTATATATCTACATTAGATCCGTAGCTAAGGGGGTTTATATTTGTTATTTGTTATGCCTGACAAGAACAGTGATCCTGTGAAGGTTGAGTCCATGAAAAATGGGTTTCTGGTGATGCCTTTCAAATTGCCAACCCATAAAGCTTTTGAAAAGAATAATAAGGATATTAATTCGAATGGGTATCATTATACTTTTTTGAAGAAACATGAAAGCAAGAATGAGGATGAGCAGAATTCTGTCTTTGTCGTTAATTTACCAATTTTGGCAAACATCGAAAGTGTTAAAAAAGTAGTCAATGAAATTTGTACTAGGTATGATACTGTATCCTATGTGGAGGAACTTTTATATAATGATGAATTTGGTTTACAAGAAATTGATTTATCTAAGCTGACCTCAGATTTGATGTCTACGGGAAGCAAAGAGGAATCTAGATTTACCCCAAGAAACACATTATTGATTAAATTTGTTGACGATTCAAGCTGTAAGAATTTCATTAGTGCATTGAAGAAATATACCAAAGAAGTAAATGAAAAAGATGATAAATACATAGAATGGGAATACACTATTCCGAGTGTAGCGACTTTTACAAATTTTTATAAACCATTGGATACCGAATACTTAAAGGAAGATATCAGCAATCACATGGAATTATTTGAAGTCAGGGAGATGCAAGCAAAGGAAGATATTCAAAGTTCAATAGTGGACGAAGATGGGTTCACATTAGTTGTCGGAAAGAATACAAAGAATTTGAACTCAATAAGAAAGAAGATTTTGAACAAAAACCCATTATTAAAACATGGTACCAAGATTAAGGGTCCATCAATGGTCGATAAGAAGATCAAAGAAGATTTCTACAGATTCCAAGTAAGAGAACGTAAGAAGCAAGAAATCAACCAATTGTTAAGCAAGTTCAAAGAAGACCAAGAAAAGATCAAGGAAATGAAGATGAAAAAGAAATTCAACCCATACAAATAATAAACAAACATTAATCAACACATAAGTCAAATTAATTGTACAATAATATATAATATATAGAGAGATATTAAGAAGTAGAAAATATAATTACATATATATCACAAGACGCCAAACTTAGTAGATACTTTAACTTAGATCATATTATCGTCACCAAATGGATTCGACCCACCACTGCTTCTATAATTGCTTTTATTCGTCTGTTTATTAAAAACGTTATCATTATTATTATTATTATTATTATTATCTCTGGAGAATGTTGATTCGTCGTCAGTTTCATAATAGGAAGATTCACCATCTTCATTGTCATCAAATCCATAATCGTCATTTGAATTGTCGTACTTATTTTTATCATATTCATCAATACCACTTTGTGCGTCATACTTCTTTAGGGACGTGACAATTTCATCGTTAGCATGAATTAATCCACCAAGCAAGTCACCAGATTGAATAATCTGTAAATATTTCAATATTTTTCTTCTGATTTCTCTGGCTTTAATGAAACAGGCAGTGGATTGTTCATCATCAATTGAGTACACTCCAGGTTTCAATCTTAACAATGCATTATTTAAAGCAATCGATACTGACAAAGCATCTGCGATTAATTCCTTAATTTTTGGAATCTCTTTATTGACATCAAATACAGTTCTTCTTGAGGAAGTTGAAGCGGACTTTTTAACTGAATTATAAAGATCCTGCAAACCAATATAACAATAGCTATCCGTCAATCCATTTTCTTTAATATAACTGTACCAATTATAAACAAATCTGGCATAATTTTTATTAATGGTGGCAGACTGCTTTAAAACCAATAATAGTTTGCTATCATTATAAATTACTTCAAATTTGATACCATTAGTGATAAAACAATCTAATATATTAAAACAATTACGTTTTACCTCTGATTTATCACTATATTTTAACAATTTTCTTAATTTCCTTGCTGCTTCAGCTTGATTCTCATTATACTCTTCCTTGTATCTACTTCTGATCTCATCAATTAGATCATAAATCCTAATTTCCAAATCATTGTCATTACGAGTTTTAACCAACGAATCAATTGTGTCAGACACAACAGTATGTGGATGCTCAGTTAGGAACCCCATATTGGCAGACCTGCTCTTGTTCAATCACTCACCTCACCGTAAATGCTAGAAGTGATATCAACTTTTTTGGCAGACTCTCAAATTAAATCACTAATTTATAATTTACAATCAAACTAAACCAAACTATACCAAACTAAACCAGACATTATAACCTAATTCCATTCAATTCAATTCAACTCAACTCAATTCAAAGAAACCACCTTCATGAAACCTTTCTTGGCTGCATTTCTCTTGATGCAAGTTCGAAACCATCTCTTTAGCCTGATCCCATCCCATTCCATACCTACTGCCATAGTTATCTGACGGGCCAGCTGGCATGCAGAGGGGAAAGGAGAGTCAGTTCGGGTGAGGGGTGAGGGTGAGGGGGGAACATTTTTCAGTTTCGAAACTGATCTGTCACGTGAGCTGTTGAATTAATGTATGAGGGGAATTTGAACAGAACCATACAATACCATACCACACTGCAGCATGCTATACTTATACTATTCCATACCATACTATACTATATCATGACATAGAGTATTGTAGCATGCTCTACCATCGACACCAGTGAACGTAATCAATACATCTTACTCACTGCAACGTCCTCATGGCTGTTTGTAGTGGTGATACGACCATAGTTAAACGACGATACAGGTGGGAGGAAGAAGTAACTCACAATAATTTCTCCAGATGTAATGCAAATAGGTCAGTCAGTAGTTCCTAATCGTTAGGTTTAACTTGGCTTGGCTTGGATTCGGATTTATATTATTTTTTCTATTTCTATTTATGTCCCTATCACTGTCTCTACTAGTATTACTAATTTCTTTGCTTTACTAAACTGATTATTTCCTATGGAATATTTCCAATAGAAAAAAAATGCTGTCCTTACCATACGTCCTAAACTTAAAATTATCCTTCCAACCCCTCCTTGTCTTTCTTTATGCCTCAATTCCCTCAGGTGTGACTTATCTTACCTCATCATACCATCATCTACATCTAACCCATTCCTATCCCCTCGAAACAAGTTGCACGTAGAACTTATATTCCCACTTTTAATTATAAACTCTTACTAACCAACTGACTGACCCCACAACATCCAAAAAGACACTCTTCAAATGAACTCTAAGGTGTTCTTCCTTCTCTGTAAAGTTCTCCAGATGCACAGTCTCAGAACCATGAACAACATACCCACTTACATGCAGAAACTCACTTCATTCAAAAGGAATTAATAAACATTTCCTATCCAATGAGGGTTCAACTTGTAATTACCTAACCATTAGGAAGGAACGAGGTTTCGTTAATAAGTTTTCTTGGGCATCACATCTCTAAATGATTAATTGGTAGTTAACCCCGATCTATTTAACAATTTTATAATTCTCAACCTTTTCCTAACCAATCGTATATAAACCTGGTCAATAATTTTAATTCTGAATACAATTCCAATTTAAATTATCTCAATTGTTTCTTTTATTGAATACAACTCAAACAACTAACTAACTACAATTAAACTTTGTATCAGAGTATTATTATATATTTACAACTACAAGAACAAGAACTATTAAAAACAGCATTCCAATAACAATATGGTCAGTCAAGCAACCATCGAAAAAGTTAAAACAATGATTGGTGAAAAACCAGTGTTCGTTGCAGCCAAGTCGTACTGTCCTCATTGCAGAGCAACAAGAGAAACCCTATTTGAAGAGTACAACCTACCAAGGGAAAAGGCTTTAGTTTTAGAATTAGATTTGATGACAGATGGTGCTGAAATTCAAGAAGCCCTTGCTGAAATAACTCATCAAGATACTGTGCCAAACATCTTCATCTATGGCCAACATGTTGGTGGTAATTCAGATTTGCAAGCATTGAAGAAGGATGGTCAATTGAAGGAAATGTTAGACCCTGTCTGCCAATAAAATATTATGATTCCTGAAGAATAGTAATTTAAAAAACATCAGATAACAATTGTTTATCATATGCATTAATTTCCATTTGACTAGTCTGTCTGTATAATTTATTTATGATTTTTAGGTAAAACCAAAACCAAAAGTAAAATAAAATAAAATTATTTTCATATCATTTAATTTGATTAATCTTATCTCATTTATTTATTATCTCTAATCCAATATAGTACAACAACAATAACTTGTACAGTTTAAAAAAAACGACATAGTTCCTGCGTTTTGGAATTTTCATAAAATGGGTTAAAATGTATTTTGGAAGGCATCATAGGCCTTGCCATACCATCTACAACCACCAAATTCAGTTTGTAAAACTAGCTCTTTCTTGGGACGTCCATTGACACTTCCACTATTATTGTTTTGGAACTTCCTTCTTTTGGCTTCATCGATACAGAGACCATATGACATAGGAACAATCTTTGCTTCTTCTTTATCTCTCTTCAGCAGATCACGTACCTTCTTTTGCATACTTGCTATATCATCTATACCTCTGGCTTTTCTAAAACTTGCACTTGTTAAATGCAATAATAATTTTAAAGTATAATTTGCGTCATTGCCAGCATTATGCAAGAAAGCATGGGGTATTTTCAATAATCTCAATATTTTTCCTAACGAACAACCTTCTTCAGTAATATTTTTTTTATATATCTGTTCTGTATCCATAACATACACGCCTTTTATTACACTGATCATATTGGTATACTCCAATTCTGGAAGTCTAATTCCAAGATTCTTCATCCAATTTATATCACCTTTGATATTATGACCCACTATCGCACGCTTCCAGGATTGCTGTTCCAAGTTGCCAGGTATCAAGTAATAATTGACCAACGATTGAATGAAATCAACAGTCTGTTGGAGGTTCATCACAATACTTTCACCATTCAAATAACAATTTTTAAAATCACAAACATATTTCTTATTTGTCAAACTTAAGGATTCCTCAACTATCAAATGAAAATTACGAATCAAAGGAACAATATTCTCCCCAAATAGGTTTTCTCTTGGATCATAAATAGAAATACCGATTTCAGTAACGACATCATTATCAAACTCATACGCTTCAACATCAAATGAAAATAATATACATTGATTAGCACTTATCATCTTCACAATCCCTTCAATATACTCAAACCCTCCACTCCCAGGAGCACAACGAACCACAGGGAAATGTTCACGTTTAATACTCCTTAGAGCTTCTTCGTAATTCCTCTTAATCATCATCACCTCATCGGAAGAGCCTTTAACTTTCTTATCCTTCAAAATCTCTAAAATATTCGGATATTGCTTACAGAATTTATTTGAATACATCTCATCCAACTTAGAGTACTTTTCATCCAACTTTTCACAACTCTCCCTATTCATCTTCCTATACCTTTCACGTATAGAATCCAAATAAAGATCAGTCGCACCCATAGCATTGCCATTAGACATTTTCGAATAGCGAAGCTCTTGCAACGCCTTGAAATACGGAAATTTACTAACCCAAGTATCCGAACCAACAACATTATTCTTCAACCGACTCCTAGCCTTCTTGTAGACCTGAACTCCAGACTTTACATTTCCTGGCAAACCTCTGACATCAATATTTTGTCCAAAACTGCTGCCAGCACCTATATCACCATTTGACTGCCTAAAATTACGCTTAATACCTCTACTCATAGCCCTTCCAACAGAGATCTGAGACATCCACCAAAATAAACAACTAGAATCTTCCTTGACCACTTCTGACCCCCTCCTCCAAATAAAACTGATGTGGCATCGCTAACCTTTAATTGAAGCTATCATTTAAATCCATCTGGTTCCTCTTATATTAAAATTTCGATATCTTGCTGTTAGTTATGAGATGTACAGGTGTAGATATCAACTTTTTTCATTCTCGAAATCGAAATTTTCTACCCAAGCAATATGAAAAATTTTTCTAAATTATTTCAAATTTGATGGTTTAAGAGGCATTTAAATAGTGGAAGAAAGTGAGATGAGGTTAGTTTCTGGTGGATTATTGTTTGATTTTTGGGTTCTAGAAGGTATTTAAGTTATCAGGTTGGGGATTTGGCAAACATTATCTGGTGATTTCTGGTGTCCAAAGAGTAAAAATATCAAAAAATAGAATAGATCGAAGTAGAAGCAACAATGTCAGCAGAGGAAATTGTTAGTACGGAAGTAGCTGTTGATGAGGTTTCTGAAGGTGAGACTGGTTTAGTTAAGGAAACTGATGCTAAGGCTAAATCATTGGTTCCTGCACCTGTTCCAACTAAATCGCCTTGGAAAGCTGTTAGTTCTGATATTCCAGTTCAAGAGATATCACTTGAGTCGAAGAAGAGTTTAAAGCCAAAGAAAAAGAACAATAGCGGTTCTTCCAGTTCGATTAAATTAAATTCTTCGACGAAATGGGTTCCAATCAAGGCTTCCATTGTTGTCTCAAGTGATAAAAATGACAATAATGGCAAGAGAAATAACTCAAAAAATAATTCTAGTAAAGGTGGTAAGAAGAAACAGTTAAATGGGAAATCACAACAACATCCAAGTAAATCTCAAAATGGTAAGAACGAAAAGAAAAACGAACCCGTAATATCTAGTAATGACACTTCTAAAAAGGATGAACATGATAAATCCACTCAAAGAAGAAAAAATAACAAGAACAATCAAAGGAAAAAACACGATAACAATTCTGTAAATGAAAAATATAACAATAACAATAATTCTAAAAACAATCATAATCAAAATCATCAACAAAAACAAAATAGATACCACGACTATGCTTCTCATTATAATTCTCATCAAATGTATCAACCATACTATTCAATTCAGCCATTGATCGCAGCTGTAAATAACGTGGCAAGCCAAATTGAATATTACTTCTCTAAGGAAAACTTGGAAAAAGACGCTTTCTTAAGATCAAAGATTTTAAATGATGGTTATGTCGCATTATCTCTAATCTCTAAGTTTTATAGAGTTGTAAATATGTCATTCGGTGGTGACACCAACGTCATTTTGGCTGCATTAAGTGAAATCATCAATAATGAAAATGCTACCGTCGAAGTTGCTATTGGTTCCATTGAAGAGTCAAAAGCTGAATCTGCATTGGATATGTATTTCATCCGTTCAAAGGAATGGGTGGATTATGTTCCAGTTGAAGTTACTGAAAAAGTTACTATCAATTCCACTTTATCTGGAAGTGATCTAGATCAATACAGAATCACTATACCCCAAATTCAAAATTTTTCACAACAACATACCCAAGATACACAACAACATACCCAAGATACACAACAAGAAGAGCAAAATTAATTAATTTTGAAAATGTTCACTTGATAGAAAATATATATTTTTTTTTAAAACAGTCAGTAAGGCAAGATGCATCAAGAATGGTTAACTGCTTCAAAGTAAATAGCAAACCTTTCATAATCGTTCAGATGATAGAAGAAACGAATCAAGACTCTATTATGCATTATGGGAAAACAAATTTGAATTACAAATTAATAAAAGACAAAATGTGACGAAATTTTTTTATGTAATATGTTAACAGTATCATTATTATTGAACGTTATCTAATAGTATTTATGAGTTTTTTTATCTAAAGAAATAAGCTTATTCTATACTTAATTAATTCATTCATTCTCTAACCACTCTCCAAATCTTAATTAAACCATCATCACCCCCAGAGGCAAATAACCCTTTATCAGCGGGACTCCAGGTGACCACATTACAATTTTTTTCAAATTTCTTCAAATCTCTATTTGAACTATGTCTTTCAGCACCATGTCCAGCTAATACACCAACAATGTTACCACCTACCCTGTTCCAAATATAAATCTTACCATCTTCAGAACCACTTGCAATCAAATGATTATTATATCCAAAACAGGATCTAAGAATAAATTGTTCTTGTTTCTGACCATAAAACTTTTGAATTAAAAAGTTTTCTTTAAAATTCCACAATTGCAATTCACTTGATTGCAAACTTACTAGTACCAAAGGTGCTAATGGTGAATTAATATTACGTATCTGTGGTAATGAGATGCAAGTCATCTTTTTTCTAATATCCAATCTACCTATTCTTGGCATTTCATATTTATCTAAAAGTAATTCAATACCTTCATATGAACCTATTTTTGGGAAATCACTTACGTCATAAACATCAATATTACCATGATGTGTCATCAACAATAGATACTTATCATCATAAGAAATCTTTAAATCATGAACACGAGGAAATTCTTCTGTCGATGGCTGTGTTACACTGAAATCTCCAGTGTATGATGCTACAGAAACTGAACCTGGCATTCTAAATATGATCGATTTTCTTTGCATGTCATAGATTACCACATCACGATCTGGAGACCCAATTGCAAATCTGCCGCTCTGATCAGAAGTGTGAAACCAATCACAACACCAGATTCTTGGAGGATTACTGCTATTATTTGGTCCTGACGAGGAATTTGACGAGCTGCTATGTTCTGAACTAGAACCTGGAATATTATTAGTTGGAATATAGAAAGAATCAATAGGATTTATTAACTGAGCAGCAAATGGTTCGCTTACATTTTCAGTAACTTCAACCATTTCACCTTCAGCGTGAATATCATAAATATTAGCCAGTTGATTGAATGGACAGGAAACTATATATTTACCATCTGGTGAGAAGGAGAGATATAGGATACATTGGTCATTCCCTCCCAATATCTTGTAGACTTCAAAATTATTCCTTACATCGTATATTATAATTTTTCTGTCATTTTTATCATCTGCTGAAGCACTGGCCAAATAGTTACCATCAGGTGAAAATTGAAGATACCAGATTTCATCTAAATTTTGTTCCAAAGTCATTACTTCCTTAAATTTAACTTGTTGAACATTTGTAGCAAGATCTTGTAAAAGATTGACTTTATGTGTCTTCTGATGGGCTGAATCAATTTCACTATCGTCAATCTCTTCATCATCATCGTCATCATCCACAATATTCAGGATATTTTGTGATCTTTGATATTTAACAGCTTGCTTTAGTAACGAGATCAATCTTCCCTTTGGCACGAGGTCATCTGGATTAATATAGTCTGAAATTTCATCAATTAAGTTTTGTCTTCCTTTGTGTCGAGATCTCTGACATAGAGCAGACGTTGATGCCGTAGACTCAGGGCTAGTTAATATAATTGACATCTCTTTTAATAAACCCTCAGGAGAGAATTGGTTTTCTTCTTTGACATAATTATTTTCCATCGAAAGCAATCTATCCCATAGCTGAGCAAAATTACGTAAAATATGCCTTAAGAATAAGACACCAGATGTTAAATCCCTTTCAATTAATACCAGCTCTAAGAAAATTTGACGGTTAACCAAAACCATAATCTCCAAGACACTTCTTAAGTAATATATATCCTCTTGCTTTGCTAGAATATCAATATTGTCGAAAATTGTTTCAAAAACTGATTCAATTTTCTTCAGTTGTCTCTCCATATGCTCCATTATGGAAGCAGTTCTTAATACATTGTTCCCAACACCATTAGTTTGCTTTACATAATCTTTTAAAACCGTTGATTTAAATTTCAAAGGAAGTTGAGAAAGCAATTCCAAATCAATTTCTTGATAATTACCACAGGTAATCAAGTTAGAAAGTTTTTGAACAACTGTCGATTCCACTTGTATACCACCAGACTCTTCTTGTAAAGCCATTGCTGACGAAGTATAACCCAATTCAAACAAAGAATTAAGAAGTATTTTTGTCAATTGAGTTTTATCAAACATAGCTGGAGTTCCATCAATATCCTGACTTCTATTATTAATACCATCGTTATTATGATTATTGCTATTACCACTTACTAAACTAGTACCATTGTTATTAGTAGAAGCCATTTTAGTAGCATCACCCCTACTACTAACAGAACTTCTAGTTCTCCTCTTCTTGCTAGTTTCAGAAGACGGCTTCCCATTAATAGGCATTGGAGTCTCAATCAAATCCTGAGATAAAGGCATTTATAATAGCTTTGAAACCTTTTAAACCCAATTATCCTCTTTCTTCAACCTCTGCCCAGTCTTTTCCTTGATATTCTCCAAGGATAACCTAATAAATCAAAAAGAATCCAAACCAAAACCAAACAAACAACTATATAACCTATAAGCTATCAACCTTCAACCATTCAATACACCCAAATGATATAGCTAGCCTGTTTACCACCCTGTTTTTGTCTTTTAAAAGAGACATGTGAGCATTAAAACTTTGATTTAAGTATCTTATATAGCTTTCTCTTTCGCCCTTTAACATAATATACAATTTCTCTCTATAGCAAACAAGAGCTATAAACCCATCACCACACATAAATTGCATATTTAAGAGTTAAGAAGTGTTGGCTTGTATGGAGGATGAACCACAACAGAGTTGGACAATCGTGGATTGTATAAACAGTGATAGCTTTGGGATAATTGAAGTATTCGTAACACATTTACACAGGTCTATATCATTAGATAGAATTAAATAACTAAATATTTAAAATGGAATGGAATGGGAAGATAGTGAGATGAGATTAGACTGGAGGAGGAGGAGATCATATTCCAGCAAGTTGTGCTCGCATATATATACGATCTCCATCTGTTGTTATATCTCTTGTTTGATAGTCTTTCTTAGGCGACTAGGGCACACAATGCTGCACCGACACCTGAACCGTCTTTTGCAATACGCAAATGGACTTTACGTTCACCATCTGGTCCAATTGGCGACAATGCCAATGCATGTCTCATCATTGATCTGAAACCTGGGTAATATTCAACCACTGAACCATCACAGCCGACCTCGACTTCACCATGGTATCTCTTGTGCAACGAATTGGTTTTAATCAAGATTGCAGCTATTGGGATGGCAGTCAAATAAGCAGATCTACGAGAGATGGCTCTAACCAATTTTTGGATTTGTTCTCTTTCTATTGGAGAAGTTGGTAGTCTTAAACTTTGTAATAGAGACAATTCTGTTTCACGTAATCCAGTAGAATCATCAATTTCAATGTGAGACAAAACTTCACTTGACAATTCGAAAGGAGTTTTCAATCTATGAGGTAGTTGGTTATAACTACGATATTGGTTTAAGATCAAACCACGTTTGTGAAGATCAACGATGATATTTCTTAAGATTTCACCCAGGTACATACCTGAAATACGTTTCTCGAATAAGTGGAAGCCTGGATTAGTAGAGAATTTTTGATCAATGTCAATATCATATTGGGTGGTTGGCAAATGTCTACATTCATTGTCGAAGGAACCCCATTCAGTGTTGATAATCATGTGAGTTTTACCACTTGCAATCAATTTCTCTCTTACATCCTGAGGTAATTTCTTAATGTTTTCGATTTCTTCCATATAACAACCGTTTGTACCAGTACCAAAGATACAGCCAATGACAGGTTCAGAGACGTCACCAGAAGCCAATGAATTTGAAGAACCTGAACCATAGCAATGAGATAGGAAAGTACCTACTGTATCGTTGGTTAAAGCCACAATCTTAATTCTTTTTAGACCTTCTTTTTCCAATTGCTCTTGGAACAATTGGACGACATCTTTGCCTATAGTGTCGCTAATGTTAAAACCTTTGGTCCATCTAATCAAAGTACCACTGCATAGAGAAGTTTGGTTGACAGGATACGAGAAAGTGAACCCCATTTTTAATTCCTCTTCACCGTCTGGGTTACTGAAGATCGTTGGATAGTATCTTTTCAAGAAGACACCAGTACGTTTTGCCAAGTAGGCAAACAGTTCTTCAGAGCTAACGTTTTCATCATCTAGCAAATATTCAGGAATCTTATTCTTCATATTTTTCAAAGTAAAGGTTTGGTCACCATTTAATACCACTGAACAGACTCTGAAGTTGGTACCACCCAAATCAGCAGCTAGGAATAAACCCTTTTCAGTACCATTTGGCTTACCGGTAACATAAGAAGGGATCATTGGCAATCTTGAAGATTGAGTACCTTCAGTTTCACCTTCAGGTAAAGGTTCCAAACCACTATTCATCGATTCGATGAAGTAATCGGTCAATTCCTGCATCTTGGTTTCAGTAACTGTGAACTGTTGACAGATGCTGTCGACTTCCTTTGACAAAGTTTCAGCAATGTTCTTGTGTAGTTCATCAAACGACATGGTGAGGCTAGTGTAATGATAATGTTATATAATATAGATCAGATACTATAGGAAACTAGTATTCTATAGCTTATTTGAGTTTTGATGTATGAGGGTAGGGCAAGGCAAGGCACCAACTAGGAAATGGATTCCAGATACAATATAGAACATTTGTCCACTTATATATATATATATGTGTTCATGTGTAAGAGAGTATATGGCAGTGAATGAAAAGGAGGTTACGATTGGGTTACTCTATCGAAGACAAATTCATATGTTCTAAGCACTACGTCATGGGCAAGTATTCAACCAAGAAGAGTAGTACTATTAACAAACGACGGGAGACGATGGTGAAATACTCTGGGGGAGGGGAGAGGGGGAAGAGTGGGAGACCATAGAGAAACTAGGAAATATCCACTACTACCACCAGTGCCATTGCTACAAGACAAGACGAGACGAGACAACACACATCCATTCATCTATTAAACAACTCACACCAGGGGCTGGGGACTGGGGACTGGGGACTGGGAGACAGATCAACGATACAAGAAATACCAACCACCAACAAACCAGCCAGCCAGACCTAGATATACAAACCAATTCCATACCATCCACTCTTTTTAACCTTTCATCTCTTGTTCTTGTTCTTGTTCTTGTTCTTGTTCTGGTGCTCAAGAGAAACGACAAAGACAAGACGTTTTGGGAAATATCAGTTTCGTTTCGAAGTTATCTTAGTTTGATCAGTTCGAACTGAAGCTATTCATTCTTATTTCGAATCGAATAGCACTGTAGTTTGTGATAATTAGATCAGAGCACTGGTGTTTGTATTTTAAATTGCACTTGTCGAGATAGTGTTCTTGTATTTTGTTGATCTTGTTCTCTTCTCGTTCTCTACTTTAGAAGTCTCTTCTGATATAAATACTCTAGGTTAATAACGTTATGTTCAGAATTGCTAAGAATCTAGTGAAAACTTTGGAACAAAGTGTGCAAGACTTCTCGTTGTCTCAGAGTTCTGATCAACTCGACGCTTTCTTTCAATCGATACCACCTAATTTACTGTTGGCTCAATTCCAACAACACCAGAATCAAAATGGTAATGAACAAGAGTGTAATAACGAGGTAGACTACTCGATCAGGAAGAACTACAACGATACCGTCTCTGGTTTGAGGATCGTGTACGTCGATGAAACTCAATTGCAATTGCAATCTTATTTCGATTATATAGTGGGTATCAACGATGATCCTTTGCCTTTTATAAGCAATCAACATGGTTACGTTTATCCAGATTACAACAAGATTGCTTCTTTGTTCAATGAAAAATGTAATGATTACATCAAGTTAAACGTTTGGTCTGCAAAAGGTGGTGTGTTCAGAGATGTCTACATGTCGGTCCCACAGAAGGACCCTTCCAACTTGGAAGACGTTTCTTTGGAGAAACAAGAAAATAATGTCTCTCATCAATTCCAACCTTTAGGTTTTAAAGTCCAATGGTCTCCATTGATTGCATCAACCTTCACTTATCATATTTTGAACTTAAACATCAACCAGGGTCCTGCCCAATTGAGTGGTTTGATCCCTGATGAAGATTATATCATTGGTTGCCAAGACGGTTTGTTGGCAACTGGTGGTGAGACTCTATTGCAGGATATCGTAAGATCAAGAGCAAATCACGATCTGGTGTTATACGTTTATAACAAAGTGGAAGACTGCGTCAGACCAATCACTGTAAATATAGGAGGTGATGGAAGATTAGGCTGCAACGTAGGTTATGGGTTCCTACATAGAATCCCAACGGTAACCAAAAATCAGCAAAACCAAAATCAACATGAACAACAGCATCAGCAGCACCAGCAACCAGCTGTTCCTGAAATTCCACCACAATCAGAATCTGCATTCACTCCAAAAAATTTAAACTCAGCACCTCCAATCACCCATAAGAAGAAGACCAAACAACAACAGTCTGGTACAAGTACAATGGGCTCATACTTTGATGAAGGTAAAGATGTCTCTGCTGTGATATCATCTGATTCATCCATACCACCTCCACCTGTAAAGAATTAGTGCCTTGAGTTAACTGTCACCATAAAACTAAATAACGTACTAGATAAATTAATATATAATCATCGTCATCGTCATCGTCATCGTCACCCGCATCACCATAAACCTGAACTTCAGTTGCTGTCATTGATCTTTTTACTGTCACTGACTGTTACCTCAATGGCCAATGGTATGTCTATTGGTGTGATATGTTATATGTTATATATGGTTATTTTCATGTGTTACGTATGCGGTGCACGGGCGTACTATACTACGTGTTCATTAAAAATTCGAAACTTCTTTCTTTAAAGCAAAAGCTCTATTAATTGAAAATAAGATAAACTTAAAAGATTCTAAACTGTGTCTGGAAGTGGATCAGAAGGCTAATAAGTAGGTCAATTGTTCTGTGGAGGTCTTTGAAGCAATTGTGGTATCAAGGTTTGTTTTCCCCCCGCTGGTAGAGAGTTATTCAGATCTGAACTTGGCTTTGGATAGATTTTTAGCTATTCTTATTAAATTATAGTTAAAAGAGAACAAAAAGAACAAAAGGAAGGCAATTAAAACAGGACAATGGTTAGTGCTAAAACATTTTCAGTGTTCGCTGTTTTATTCTCGTCGTATGCTTCAGCTGCTGCTTTGCAAGCTAAGATTTCTGACGAAATTATCTTACAATTGAATGATAATAATTTCGATGATGCTATCAATAATAATAGGTTGCTTCTAGCAGAGTTTTATGCTCCTTGGTCAATCCATGCAAAGACTATGTCGACAAGATTACTAGCTGCTGCTAAGGAGTTGAAGAAAATTGATATCGTAGTCGGTCAAATTGATTGTACTGAAAGTATTGAATTATGTGCCAAATACAATATCGATGCTTATCCATTAATGAAAATTTTTAACAATAAAAATTTGACTCATCCAATTGAGTATTCAGGTAATTCAAATGCTCCAATTATTATCTCTACTGTGCTTAGAAATGATCCTCGTGCCGTTAAAGACGTTACAATGGAACAAGTCTTGCAAGATATCGTATTACATGGTGAAAAACCTGTCGTTGTCATGAATCGTGATGCTGCTTTCTTTAAAGATTATGAAAATGTAGCTAATCAATTAAAAGATGATATGATTTTCCTAAGATTCCCAAGAGAAGATAAAAGTAACTTCTCTATTTATGTTAAAAAGGGTTACGCTGAAAACGGTCAACCACAAGTTTCTGAAATTAGTAACGATGAAAGTATTGATTATTTCATTAATGATAGTACCGCTTTCCACAAATGGTTATTGCAAGAAACTATTCCAGATTATAATAAGTTGACTTCCGAAAACTATGATAAATATAATCTATTGCAACGTCCTGTAGCTGAATTCTTTTTCACTACAGAAGAAGAATTGGCTGAGTACGAACCAACATTAAAGGAATTGGCCGAAAAGGAAGGTGGTAAACTGCCATTTGTAGTTGTCAATGCCACAGAATTTAAGAAACCTTTTGATGTTTTGAATATTAATGCTAAATTCCCATTCTTTGTCATTCATGATTCTTTGAAGGAAAGAAAATATCCTTTAATGACTGAGAAATTGACTAAAGAAGATATCTCTGCCTTTGTTGAAAAATATAAGAATGGTGCGATTAAGCCAATCATAAAATCTGAGGATGTTCCAAAAGACCAAAATTCGAACATTTATAAATTGGTCGGTTCTTCTCATGATCAATTTGCCTTGGATGAAAAGAAAGATGTCTTAGTTAGATATTATCATCCATCTTCTAACTCTGTTGATCTATCTCTTGTGTTCAAACAAGCTGCTGATCTTTTCTCAAAAGAATCAAATTTGAAGGATAAATTGTTGGTTGCCGATATGGATATGACAACCAACGACGTTATTTCTGTTGATATTACAGAAATTCCAACCGTCGTTTTATTCCCAGCTGGTAAGGATTCAAAGCCTGTACACTTCAGAAGCAATAAAGATTTGAAAACTTTGATGAATTTCATTCAAGAAAATTCCAAGAATGGTATTCCAAGTAAAAACATATTCGATGCTTATGAGCAACGTATTTCTGCTGAAAGATCAGCCAGTTTAGAAGCTGAAAGAAAGGCAGAAGAGGAGAGAAAAGCTGAAGCTGAAAGAAAAGCTGAAGCTGAAAGAAAGGCAGAAGCTGAAAAAAAGGCAAATGAACAAAAAGAAGCTCAAAACCAACAGGCTGCTGCTCGTGATGAATTGTAATCTATCTAATTAGATTGTCTTTACCTTTCATCCCACTCGATTATTAGAACGATATCATCCAAAATTAATATATGAATTTAATGATAATATCCAAGTCCATCTCATTTTTTACCTTACCAATTCCAAATTTTTACTAATAAATTTATTTCAAATCATGACATATTGAAATTTTGACAATTAAATAATTATTTATATAGTTTATAAACCAACTCAAACGTATATTAAATTGGCAATTTCAATTGTTTAATCTTGAGTCAACTTCATTCATCATCATATTTGAGTTACTGTCATCATTCAGAAACATCAAGACATCCATACACCACATTTTTTAGCCCCTGCCCCATCAAATTGAAGCCTTTAAAAGACGATTTATTTTAATGATTTTAACATTTAAAAGTGGCAAATGATAGAAGATTATTGCTAATTACAGTCGATAACAAAGGACAAAAAGGTCCATTCACGTATATATCGAGGTCTGTTGATAGTATAATTTATGTTACATTTTAGTAATGGCATTATACACACCTCCTGAAAAGTCAGATAATTCAGGTCAAGCATCAACCAGTACTAAGAAAGGTAATGAAGGTGATGATTTAGATGATTCAAAAAGATTTTTTGTACGGCCTAGTATTGGTCTTAAGATGTGGGGACCTTTGGTTCCAGCTTCTGACAATCGAGCTGGGTTATGGACGTTAATCGGTTTGCAGACTGGTATTGGCGTTCTCTGTATGATAAGATTTAGACAATTGCGCAAATTAAATACTATCTCTAAGAATGTAATTAAAAAAGATATCGCTGAAATTCCTAGTTTGAATAGGTTTTCACAAAGTCATGGTACTGTCTATGTTCCAAAGCCTATGATGGAGATGTCAGGCAACACTGCTGCCTCTCCTAATTCTGCAGCAATTTCGAATAGTGGTGCAACTACTATAAGCAACATTGAAACTCAAAATATTTCAAATAATAATTCTAATACAATTGACACTGGTAGTAATGATAGTAATAATAAGAATAATAATATAGCAGCCTCTAATGCTGAAACTAATACTAATTCGCCTGCTATGGCTGCTTCAACAACTTTACCAATAAATACAGCAGCATATAGCTCATTGAATGTCGTTTCACAAGGTTTAAATAACAAGGGTTTTCAAGGATCTGAAGGCAAATGGAGATATTCATCTTCAAGATCTTCAAGATTTGGGAATTTTAAAAGCTTTATGTTCTTTTTAGCTGGTTCGGTGGTTTTATTTCAGTCATTTCTTGAAGCAGCTAGAATGACTCTTCTTAAATATGATCCTTGGAGAGAAGAAGCTAAAAGTGTACGTGAGAAGAAATTTTTTAATGATATTATCCTATTTTATCATGAAGGTATAGATCCCACCAAGATTAAGGTCAAAGATGCAGCTAGTGGCAATGCCCTATCAACAAATATTCCACAAGTTAAACAAAGTGTCGCTCTGGTAAGGGCGCAGGCGGAAGCTGAAAATCCAATAATTAAATGGTATGGTCCATTGGATTATAAACCAATGTCCTTTAATGATTTCCTAGATAGACTGGAGTTTCAGTTAGATATGAGGGTGTCGCTAGATAATAGACGTTCAACTGCGGTATCAAAGAGTTTCACATCTCAATTTAAACACACAGAGGAAGAATTGGATTCCTTGATAAATAATAATGAGAAGAATAGGCAGTTAACTCTAGAAGGTAAACTCAGCCCACCAAAGAATAATAGTGTTCCAGAATTCGATGTCATTAAAGAAAATACAAAAGATGGAACTATACCATTGCGTGGAATTGTTTTCCAGCATGAACAAACTTCACCTGATGATATAGATTTAGAAGAAACATGGTCATTATATAACCCATGGATGAACCTTGCATTGGATACTTCTTTAAGTATCAAGTTTTTGCCTACTGTAATGACCCAAGATGAGATTGAAGGAAATTCAAATGATACCAAAAACAATGAAAACATACAGAACATCAAAAATAATGATGACGACGATCTAGACACACACGACACGTCAAAAAATAGCTCCTCCTCATCGTCGTCATCAGCAACAGAAGAACCTGAAACGACTCAACCATAACGGGTCTATGAAGAAGAAGAATTATTAGTGCCTCAACTTTTTCACAATGAAATAAAGTATCGTTTATTAAGGGGAATAACCAGAACCATAACCACTGAACCACTGAACCACTGAATAAGATTATATTCTCTCAAGAACATTTGGAACAATTCTCACCGGTTTACATCTCGAATACCTCAAACAATAAAAATACATGCATTGACTTCAGACGTTAATTATCATTTAATTGACTCAAGTGAGTTCCCATTATTTTTCAACTTTAATGGGATTCACTCATCACACAACTCTCATGAACACCAACTATATTTGTATATATATATATCTATATATCTAAAATTTAAAGGTATTTTGCATGCGTAGCATGTAATCTGTATGTCGAATTTAAAATCATATTAGCAAAACCAATTCGTTATAATAAAATATGGGTAACTAGAAAGATAATCCTATCTTGTCATTATGCCATTTTTATTAATGATTTCAGCATCCTTGTATTTTGCATTATAATAAATAAATGTAATAGAGTTATTTGAAAAAGTCTTAGGGCATCGTTAAAATACTAATTTAGAGTAAACTTATCATCACATATGATGGGGTTAAACCCTCGTAAATCTGTGAACTGAGTGTCAGTTTAATTGGTGACATTTCCTTTGCTGTGTTCATTCGGTTGGGCTTTAATCCTGAAGTCTGTCAATTTACCCGGATTTAGAAAGGATATGGATCTTGAAGTATTGCTAAGAAAGTATAACCCATCTTGATTAAAAGAATCTACATTTCCAACAAGATAACTTACTTAGATCCCATCAATTGTAGGATAAGCATACCCATCCATCAGTTCTTTTGTTTATTATTGGGAGTATTGATTGATTGTACCAATATATAAGCACAATGTTGAGCTTTATATTTTTCCTTTATGCATTATGCATAAGATGTACTTTGGTAAAGGCAGTCTTCTTTGATGAAGCATTTGTCAATGATTGGCAATTACAGAATATTGGTGATTACTCCTGTGTTGTGTCTGATTTTGATGATGACCAGTTAATTGTTTTTTCTGATTTTGAGGGAAAGACCATGTTATCAATCGTCAATGAAACTGATGGTTCTCCAATGACTAGATTACAATTAGATGTGAAAATTGTTGACGTTATGAGAAATGAGAATGATAAAACTATTATCATGGAAGATTCCAATGGTGAATATATGACTTTTAATGCTATTTTAGGGTTTGGCCCAATAGCTGATGGATTTGTGAAAACTTCATTTAGATCTTCATGCGTTCCGAATTTGGAATCAATTAAGGTTACCAAGGACCAATTGCAAGTAATTGACAAGGATTCCCATTTAAGTTTATTTTCTTCTAAATTACCGAAGGATTACACTTCTGTCAAGTTTCTTGAAACAGATCATGCTGGTATTTTGAAAGTAATCTATGAAATGAAACCATCCCAATACCAATTTCAATCGTTTGTAGATGGAGAATTGAGTTGTACGTGGGAAAAAGATGAATCCTTAAATGATATTACTTCCTATGCATTTGTTGATATTCCAGACACTTCTGATATTGAAGCATCAATGGAATTACTAGAAGAGAGTAAGTTTGATAACCCATTGGATGCTTATATTTATAGAATAACCACCAATATCGATAGATTCAGAAAATTCTTAGCTGTGCATAATTACTCTCCAGGTGATATCCTTACAGGTATATTGTTTAATGATAGAATTGGAAATGTGGAGGAAAAATTAAGTAAAAAGGAAATTCAATTTGGGTTATCCAAGCTATTAGTCGTTGGTACTTCTAACGGTAAATTGGCAGGTTTGAGCGTTAAAAATGGAGAAGTTAAATGGTCATTGGACACTAAATTTGGTGAAATTATCCAGATCAGATGGTCTGAATCATCCAATAGCTTATTGGTCGTGTATAAGAATGGTTCCTATTCCATTTACAGTATTATTGATTACCTACAACCAATTTTAGAGAAGACCCATAAATTACAAAAATCAATCAAGGATATTCATTATTTAGATGGGACCGACAGTTACTATATTACCTATGATAATGATGAAAAGTCTATTGTGAAATTTGAAGAATCAGAAGAGGCAAACACATCTTCATTGTTTATAATGGATCATGATGAGAAGCATTTATTAGGATATTCTGTAGGGGAAAAATCAGACTTCACCCCAACTTGGAAACTAAGAACTGAAGAAAATGAAGAAATTGTAGCATTTGCGTCAAAGGATATCTCTCCTATTGCCAATATTGGTACTATACTGGGTAATAGAACCGTTCTTTACAAATATTTATACCCAAATTTGGCAAGTTATGCAGTAGTTAATAAAGACTTGAAGGAATTGTATATTAATGTTATCGATACTATAAGTGGTGAATTACTGTACACTCAAGTTCACAGTGATAATGTCGATGTTTCCTTCCCAATAAATATGGTCTTCTCTGAGAACTGGATAGTATTCAGTTATTTCAGTGTTGACCCTATTCCAGAACAAAAATTGGCTGTAATTGAGTTATATGAATCTATTACTCCTGATGTAAGAGTATCCGGTGGAGATACTGAATTCAGTTCGTTAAATGGTAGTCCACTTCCAGAAGCTATTACTAAATCTTATTTCTTCCCAGAAATGATTAAAAAGATGTCAGTCAGTAATACTAAATATGGTATTTCTAGCAAAGCATTGATTGTAGAATTAGAAAATGGCCAGATTTCTTATATTCCTAAATTGATAATAAGCGCCAGAAGGAAGGAAGAAGAAGATATGACTGATGATGAAAAGAATGAATTCATGTTAATTCCATACTCGAATATTATCCCAGTAAGTGATGAGTATGTCATTAGTCATAAAAGAAAACTAATATTTGGTAAGAATTCTGAAATAGTATCCATTCCAACTAATCTGGAATCAACAACAATTGTGTGTGATATTGGACATGATGTTTTCTGTACTAAGATTTCCCCATCTACTCAATTCGATGTCATGAGCCCAAGCTTTGAAAAGGGTAAATTGTTGTTTACTATCTTTGTGATGGGTGCATTACTTTTGGTTTTACGTCCAAAGGTTAATATGAAGAAATTGAAAGCCGTCTGGATGGTTAGAGATTGATCGTTTAATTAATCAAAGGTAAAGTCCCATCATGTGGGTATAATCATTATTGTCATGAACATTTTTTAGTTAAATAAATCAGAGGAACAAGGTAAGTAGTCCATTCTATCTTGGCTCATTTCTCTTGATGAATAAGGGTATATAAACTAATATGTACTAGTATCTATGAAAATATATTAGCATTATTATTGGATATTTTTGAGACCTCATAAACATTTTTTAACATGTGATTAACGAGTTCTTAAAGAGTCACATTTCAGATATCGGGATCAAATTGAATTGAGATGTCGATATATTAAATATTTTAGCCTTTAAAGGAACATTAAAGATTGTTTTAAGGATATTGCTAGTTCCAATTTAAGGAAGTTCAGTAAGAGTTTTGTCAATTGAACAGCCATAATAATATGGCATCTACAAATGAACTTGCGATTAATAATTACCATCAGTTCTTGAAGGGCAATTCAGACTTCAAGATCGTGTATGGATTGAAAGAAGTTGGCCCTTCCAAAAGGCTGTTGGTTCTAGATTCATCATTCAATCCACCACATCTAGGGCACTATGAACTATTAAAAAAAACTATTGAATTTTATAACGATTCAAATAATCATGTTCTCTTATTATTGTCAGTTAACAACGCTGATAAAGCTCCCAAACCTGCAAGTTTTGAGAACAGATTACAAATGATTAGTATACTGAATAATATATTGAAATCAGAAGGTATTGAATCGAGTGTGGGAGTTACAACACATGCCAAATTTGTTGATAAGAATGATGCAATTAGGGATTCAGGTTTCTTCAATAATGATATAGTCTTTTTAGTAGGATTTGATACAATCACCAGGATATTTGATTCAAAATACTATACTCCTCTGCTACCAGCAGAAGCATTGAGCCATTTTATGGAATGCACAGAAATATGCTGTTTAGCCAGGGCTGATTCTATTTCAATTGAGAAACAATACATGTACCCAACTGAAATTGAAAAGGGAATATTTGAACCTAATATTCCATCTAGTTGGGGTCATAAAATACATATTCTACATAATGAAAAACAATACAGTAATATATCTTCTTCTAACATAAGGTTAGAGATTAAAGATGGCATAGATCTGGATACTCTTTCAACAGATATGCCTTTGCCAATTATTGAATATCTCAAAAACAATGATGAATGCATATTTTAGAAATTCTATTTCTATTTATCTAATTATAACTGATCATATTTACTTTCTGGACGTGAATATTCTTTGAGTTGTAGGTTTTAAGTTATCGAAAAAATCTTGGAAGAAATCCTCAAAGGAGTTGAATTGGTCAACATCTGGAATAGCCAAACTTGGTGTACTTTTACCTTCAGGACCAGCAGTATTCGAGTGATATGAAATCTCACTTTCAGGAGAAGCAGCCCCGCTGTAATCGACCCTATTGTTATTAAATGAAGTAGCTGTGGATAATTCAGCCGTGCTACTAGATATTAATTTACTATTTAATGGTGGGAAGTTGGTCAAACTAACTCTTCTTTTACTAGTGTCTATAATTGATTTTATAATCTTACCAACACTGTCAGTAGCATCATTTTTCTTTTCACCAATTGTATTTAGATGCCAGTATACTCTTGTACACATACTCAAAACCAATTGCCTTTCATCTTGATCAAACCAATGTAAAAAATCGCATAACGTCAAACAAGCATAAACTAATTGATGAGTTGTAAAAATTGGTGCACCTTTGATTAGAGATGGTGGTAATCTTAAAAATCCATGAAGTAAAGAAAATGAATGATCTTTTAAAGTCTTTAATGTACTATTCAAAAATCTTGGAGTATTCTGCATATCAGTCAGAAATTCTGAAATAAAGGACCTACAAATCATGATATGGTAATAATCGAAAGTGAATAATAAAACACCACCACCATCCTTTGCTAAAAGCTCTTCCCAATTTTTTAACCAATAATCCAACTCAGGAAAGATAAGTATTTCAGAACTATTATTAGCTTTTTCAGGTTCTGTCTTCTCTTTTTCAATAAACCTTTCTTTAACTTCTCTATAATAACCTCTAAACTTTAAGAAAATTTTATTAACGGTATCGCCTAAATTAATTTCACTGATTTTGATGTCATCTGCAAAGTTTGCCTTAGGATATTTGGCAGTTAGATTATTCAATTCCATCAAATTCTTGTCCATCTCAGAGACATTCCCATAACTAATTGCATATTCGAGGAAGGTTGCCGTTAATGAATTTAAAATTCTTAAATGATATAAGTCATCGGCAGTATAATCTTCATCAACAAGAACTCTATGTTTTATCTGATGGAAATCTACCACATTTAGCATGCTATGGATTGCAAAATTACTCAAAACCAATGAGTTGAACTTTAGTTGTCTATGATGTTTAGTTTTCCTCGAAATGTGGAACATACAACAGTAAAGAATTGCTTCTATATCAAAGTCCGTTAGTCTCTCGAACATTGTCAATGTATTGGTGAGAAGTGTCTCCACTAGTGGGTATAATGTTTCCTGTTCATCGGCGTATTTATCATTTTCATCAAAGCTCATTGCGATAATCGTGAAAACACTAGTAATAAACAAATGGTTTCTAGCATATTCATCGTCGATTTCCTTTATACCTCCAGGAATAATCCAAAAATGTGATCTCACTAGGAAATCTCTCGCCAGATTATGGCATAGTTGCTTATTCTTCTCGTAAAATTTAAGAAACTCTACTCTCGCAACAACAAATGGTCGTTGCTGTCTTGCTATTACATCATCTTCAGATTTTGCTGCTGTGGGAAACAATCTTTCATCTATATCAGTTATTAATTTCAATGGAGGTTCTTTTAATTTAATACCGTCAAATGTCTGTTCGTTATCATCAGAATCAGTACTATATCCCTCTCCAGATGACTTGTCAGATTCTTGGTTAAATTCATTCTTGTTTATTGAAGTATTGCTCATACTACCGAACTGTAATGGTTTATCCATTGTATTCAATTGGATCATTGATTGTAATGCAACATCTTTTGCATTAGTAGCAGCAGATGTTGAGCCTTGTAAAAGCATCAGTACCAATTCAATTTTTCCTTCTAAACTACTGAACTTTTCCTCCAGTCTATTCAGCCTATTTGTTAACGTATGTGTTAAAGGGTTTAATACAGGCACTTGCTCCTTAGCTGTATCTCTAACTTTTCTCTCAGAACCGTTTTTAACTATATTTTTAGCAATGGATGCAATAGAGGTTACAGGGAAGGTTGCAACTTTCGAAGAATCTTCTATAGCGGCTAAAATTTCACTTTCTCGTTCTTTAGTCAATGAACAGACCAATTGCAACATATTACAACGGTGGCATTTGCCAACCAGTGGCTCGAAATCACATCTAGTTTTAAATTTCCTACAAACATCGCAACTAAATGTTTTCCTCTTCTTTCGAGGTCTCTTTGAAATATGGCGATTCTCCAAACTCTGTTCCACTGGTCTTTCGGGAGTCTTGGCTATCTTATGATTCTTAGAACTATTGGTATTCACTGGATCATTGTCAATTTCTATTACTTCAACAGCTTTAGCATTTTGGTTCGTTTCATCTGTTGGGCCTATATTGGAATTTCCCCCAGTGATATCGGAGTCGACAATAGCGTTGATGCTACACATACCTCACAACCAAATATGCTCACACTACCTCCAATGGCTAACAATACACGTTGCTCGACTGATGTAGTCACTAGAACACTCTGTTTTTATAATGGTCGTTGTTTGAGTTGATCATTTTATTTATATATATATTGAAATTTCGATGAGCTCTTACTTTCGAATTTAAACTACCAGGCGAAAACAAACATATCTCCGACGGAGATGTTTTGGAGTAAAGTGGGATTGCAAAGAGAAGTGACAGGTAGATCAAATGATGAGAGGTGACAGTAATTAGATGATTATTGACATTAGTTGTTATTATATATAAATATATATGTTTGGTGGAGTTGGCATTAAATCAATCAATTTTGAGCTATATATGTAGATATATATTTTGTTCAGAGCTATATGGTTCAATTATTTGGATGGGGAGGTTAGGAATAAAATGAGGGAAATGGAAAGGAAATGAACTACAAACCAACTGATATTATCGAATAAAAATACTTCATTATTATGCATTAGGTCTTTGATGCGTTATAGGGTCTAGATTGCTATGTTTGATGTTATAGTAACGGCTCCTACGACTAATATCCATAAAAGTACTGACATTTGTGATATTGTTTTCATTGAACTGCTGTTTGATACGCTGGAGCCATAGCTGTTTTTCTTTTCTGGCACTACTTCAGTTTCGGTGACCACTTCACTTCCCTGGATAACATCACCGTTTTCGTTAACACTTATTGATTTCTGTTTCCTTCCAGATGTACAATTTATCTTACCCCCTCTAATAATGGAACGTCCACTGATTGGAGTGGTCCATTTGCTACAATCTAGTGTTTCGGAATTACTATTAATATATGCACTACCTTTTACTAATTTCAGTTCTGGGAAATCTGTATCTTGGAAACGACCTTCGAAGAAGATAGCACCACCTATTTGCTTTAATGTTGGTAGGAAGTCTAGCGTCTCTAACCTTTCATTATTACTTATCATGAGGCCACCTTGAATATTGGTTACACCACTGAAGTTGACAGATTTAAGGTTTTGATTATCAATAATACCAAGAGTACCACCTACAGCAGTTAATGTTGGAATTTCTAATTCAGTGAATAAGTTCTCAATGAATTCCATCGAACTGGCAACACGCTCTAACTTTGGGAAATAAACAGATGAGGTATCTCTAACTGTTATATTTTCAGCAAATTCTAGTTCAGGCATTTCCAATTGCATTTCCTTTGCATTTGCATGAATGGTAAATTGTGTTTTAACTTGCTTCAAATTTGTTCTTATTATTTCCAAGAATCTATTATTATTAATATTGAATATTTCTAATTCATAAATCTTATCGAACCCTTCTATTTCTGAGAGTGAAGTATCAGATATTACTATCGATTCCAAGTTTTCGATGTTGTCATTAAGTGACACGGTGTTTAAAATCGGTACAACTTTCCAGTCAATAGCTTTAACTTTAGTCATTATTCCAACGTCTAGCAATACCAATGATGTTAAACTATGTAAAGAGAAGGTTCCACCAACTTCTTTCAACGCCGGGGCAATGATTCTAACAATTTCTGGACTATCTTCAATTAATAAATCTCCTGTAATCTTTTCAATACTTCCCAGGTTAACCTCCTGACTATCATAATCTATAATATGAACAGTTCCCTTCACAGTGGGACATTGTGCTTGTAAATCGAATAAATCTTGTTTGGATTGTATAACATGTTTGGCTTCTCTGCAATAAGCAGAGAGAGATGGATCACTATCATAATTATTAGGTAAAAATTCCAATACATCTTCGATTTCTAAATTAGATCCATGTTCAAGTATATATGCAGTATATTTTGTTTCATTTACCATTCTTTTTTGCAAAGAATTCTCATTATCTTTAGACTCAAAGGATAGTGGATCACTCCTAGAGTTTTCGAAAATGTTTTGGGAAATAACTTGGGCATTTAAGTTCTCTTGATCATCAAATTCTAAAGCTATAGCGGTAGCAATTGTGGACAACAAGAGAATTGGTAACTTCATTTATTCTGATAGGGAACGTGGAAAAGATGATGATTTGCCTCTTAGTTGGTCGCTATTCAAAACTAATAGTGTTGGTGTGGTATCAGTTACTGTTATTGTTGTTATATGGTGTATTTGGTAAGCGATGTATTTATAACTGTTGAAACGGTGTCGATTATTATTGCTGACACAAAGGTTTTGGCTCAATATGATTTGGCGCTACCATACACTACTAGTCAGTATTTTGTAAATATGTAAGAACAAATAGTTGATGACAGTGACAATAAAAATAACAATAACAATAGCAATAACAACATGTCTATAAACCTATTAACTGTCAAATAAATAAACCAGGGTCTATTATTAATATTACTCAAGAAGTTTGAGTGGCAGGTTATTATTGTTTATTTATTAGTAATTTGTAATCTTTCTTCTTTCCCTGGATTAAAGATCTGGACTTCTAGTAATTGTAATATATATCCATATATACATATACAATATATATATATATAAACTATGATGTTATCTATATACAAAGAAAATAATTACTTACTCAAATATTGTTTAATTGAGTTGATCCTGAGTGAAATTTCTTCTATAAACACTTCACTAAACCCAGGTATTTTCGATTCTGTTGTAGTAAAGTTATCCATCATGTTGTCTACATACATTCTAGTTTCATTGTCATGAGCCCTCTCATGCATTCTATTAAAACTGTATGATATTACATTCTTTAAGTAATCAAATTCTTTCAAGTCACATATTCCTTGAGTGTTACAGATTGGATCAACATCCATAGGAGTTTCGAACTCATTTGCTTCTCTTTGGTTTTCGATTTGCTGTTTGTTCTCACTATATTTCCTAAACGATGGTGTAGTTTGAGCTGTAATTGGTGAATCTGTTTGACAATTATTCTGTCTGTATGGACTCTCCATATTTAAAGAAGGGATTGATGGGCTTTTATCTGTCTTTATGGACCTTGGAGAAAGTTCGATTGAGTTTTGTAATGGTTGTGTTGGTGGTAATTTCTGGATTTTTTTAATAGATCGTACTGAATTGAAATCCCAAGGAATTTCGTTATTGGCCTCGTTGTAAAGTTTCTCTTGCAACTGAAATTTTGGAGCTTTTGAATAATTATTTTGAACTTTCCTTCTTTTAACAAAATCTATATCACTTTTCAGATCGTTAATTTCAGTATTGGTAACAAACTCATTTGTTAGGAGCATTTCAGCAGATGGTCTCAAATTAGGATCTTTTACTAAACAAGCAGCAACAAATCCCTTAGCAACATCAGAATATTGACCGTGTAACTTTGGTGGTTTCCTCCTAGGCAAGGACACCATCACTTTCATTGGATCGCATTTTGATAGTGGTGGTAAACCTTTTAGTAATTCGTAAACAGTAATACCAAGTGACCAAATATCTGCTTTCTCATTATATCCGTTGCTTTCTTTGTTTACAACTTCTGGAGCCATCCAATATGGGGTACCAACAAATGTTCCTCTTTTCATAGTAGCCCTAATTTGACCACTCACTCCAAAGTCTCCTAATTTTACTTTACCTTCATCGGTCAACAAGATATTAGCAGCTTTAATATCTCTATGAATCTTTTTTTGATCATGTAAATATTTCAAACCCTTTAGGACTTCTCTGGTGATAAAGCCAACTTTATTCTCAGGCAATCCATTGATGTATACGGTCTTGATTAAATCAGAACACGCACCACCACCACAGTATTCCATAACTATCCACATCGAAACATCTTCAATCATGGTGGTGATGTAGTTTGTGATATATGGAGAACGCAATTCAGCCAAGAAAAAAATTTCTTGCGCCAGTAAATCTATATCTTCTTCAGTATGCTCCAAATTGACTACCTTCACAGCAACAATAGCACCATTGGTCTTATCAAATGCTTTGTAGACATCACCAAAATTTCCTCTTCCTACACATTCTTGTATAGAATATATCGATGAAGGTTGGGTGTAATTGTATATTTTGTTATTCATCTCAATTGAATATAAATTAGTATACCAAAATAAATGATTAAAATTTATGAAACCTAATGTCAAATAATATCTAGCCAAAAATAAATTGAATTAGAGATAAAAATAGAATAAATAGTACAAATGTATAGGTAAGCAGCTTAAAACAAAGCAGTTCAATAAAGCTAATCAATAATTAGTAAGATTAAACTAGTTAGCAGGAAATATATAATGAAAATAAAATGGTGTCTATTTCTTTGAAAAAAAAAAAATTATTTATATATGAATTAAATTTAGCTTATTATTCTCTAATAGGTTTCTTAAATGTTGTCCTCACTCGACTTTATCAATTATTATCCTTCAAAACAATATATCTCGAAGTTTTTTGCCAGTTTATACTTAAGAAGATACATCAACATTTCAAAAAAACAGTTAAAAACTCTTCGCAATTCATCTTTGAAGCTGGTTTCCATTAAATGTAAGATACACTTCTGACCAATGAGTCTTATCCACAAAAGAACAAAGCTCAATCTGTGACAGCTGTCAATGATGTAACCTCAACACTTCAATATTCCAAATGCAATCCTCCACTAGTACAACTATTCATATTTATACTCTTGTAGAGTCTGAGTTATTGTCAACCAGCTTTTACAACCAAATTTAGAGACTGTTATATCAATTTAAAGATGAGAGTGACACCGTATTCCTTTCCATCTCTCCCTCTGGGACTGTGATTACGACAGTAGAACAGTTGATGTAATCTAAATTTTACCAAATTAATGTTACAACTAATCAAGTTTAATTCGAACACAATTGGGATATATAGTTGACAAGTGTCTGATCCTATCTCTTATCTTAATTGGTGACATCCTAGTTGATCCAAGCTTTTCTTTCCAATTTATGTTTTGTTCTTTGAAATTTCATTTTGGGATGACTTATGGCAACGTATAATATGATCCAGTTATTTTCCAGTATGTGATATTTCGAAATTGGCTATTTAAGCAATCGAATCAATATATATAGCAGATGAATAAGCGATGAGATGAGATGAGATGAGATGAACTTTTCAATAGAGATTAGTTGGTAAAGAGGTTTATAGATTAAGCTTAAAGTTGTCTTGAGATGGATTTGTTGGGTGATATTGTGGAAAAGGACGTTGAAGAGACTCCAACGGCTGAAATTAGTGAAAACACTAGAGAGTTGAGTAAAAATGGGTTCCCAGAATTATACAAACCAGAAAAAATATCATCATGGAAACAACGTTTAAGGGCTAAGGCTGCTATGAAAAGAAGTGGTGAGGATAATTCAAATGAGAGGGTTCGAGCTAAACCTGCTGAAAGAGCTGTGGTTGCAGAGGACAATGAGGAAAAACGTACTGAAGCTCAATCTATTCATATGGAAAATTTAAATACTATTAATAATATGTCTGATGAACAGATTATGCAAGAGAAGAGAGAACTTTTTGAATCGATGAATCCAAAATTAATTCAAAAATTGTTGGCTAATATTAATAAAAGGTCAGGTAAGGATGGAGAAAGTGCGCCATTGTTTGCAGAAATAGAGGGAGCACCAGGTACCTGGGTTGGTGGTACTAACGATCCAAATGATTTAAGACCTATGAGTGATGACATGGTTGATAAGGCATTGGGGGTTGAGAAACTTTCAATCAAAGAAGAAGAAAAGCCTAATGTTGACATTGTTGAGAAAGAAGTTGAAATTAAAGAATCATTGGAATTCGATGATATTGATGATGTAGCTCCCTTGGATTATCAAATGGCTCAGAGTATTGATCATATGGCCAATGAGAATCTATTTAAGGATGTTCATTTTATCAAATATGTGAATCCAAATGAAGAGAATGAGAAAGAAGTTGAAAAGCTGGATTTAAATGATCCAAATTTTGATGTGAAATTACATGAGAAGTTTTTCCCAGATTTACCAAAAGATGTAGATAAGTTAGAATGGATGAAACCAATATCAGACGATGAAGAACAAACAAAAACCATGATTGACGACGTTTCACAATTAAGATTTGATTTTAAAGGTGATTTAGTACCACCTTCAAGAGAAATCACCTCAACTACGCATTCCGGCTTACATCATCACTCAGACGACCCACAATTAGCAGGGTACACAATTCCAGAACTAGCAAGGCTAACCAGATCTACGTTCCCGCAACAAAGATCAATCTCAATCAAAATCCTAGGAAGAATTCTCTATAAAACTGGGAAACAGACATATTATCAACTAGTACCTGAAATTGACTCCGAAACTTATAGTGAACATGGTAGTATAAAAGAAGTTATGAATAAGATATATTCCATGATTTGGGACCTGATAAAAGATTGTGAAATCATAGAATCACTTCAAGATGCAGCAAACCCAAAGAGAACTAGCCATTTGACTGTAAGAAATTACGCTATAGAATCATTATGGCTGTGGAAACAAGGAGGTGGTGACTTCAGAAAAGAAAATAAACCATCATCCACAACAGATTAAACCAAACTTCATACACTAAACACATCCATAACCAATACATATATATATATATATACAATTTGTAACCATATCTACTGCAAATATAGTCATTTTACATACAGATGCATCTTCCATATGGTTTCTTATGCCCCTTCCCACAGTAAAAGCGAAAGATATCGCATGCGTAACTAAAGACATATAAAATATCTCAACTTGATGAGATTGAAGAACAGATTACAAGAGTTTGGAAGAGTTTAGTGTTGGATATAGGTAGGTAAAGGGAACCAGGATAGCTTGTTTGGGTTTAAGAAGATTTTATATATCATTGTCCTTTCGTTTGGTTGATTTTGGTTTAGTATAGCAAGTAAGATCTGGGGATTACGTACACTCTTTGCTAGACACAATCTAGGTAAGGAAGAGGTTGCTTTTAAATATGGGGAAAGCTTTAGAAAAAACTGATTCAGTGACGGTGGAGGTGGTTGGTGATAGAAATCTGTCTATGGATGAGATCAGTGTTGATGTCAGAGAGGGCTCTCATGAGGAAGTATATGTAGGGTTTGAAGATGAGTCCTGGTTGAAGAGGTTTGCCGATGAGCATTTGATGCCAAATCTGGGGTTAGTCCTCCTTTCAGGTGCATACCTGTTTAACTCAATAATGGTGGTTTCTACCAAGGTCATGGAGACAGATCCTGATAAACTGAAAGAGGATAGAATCAAGCCTTTGCAGATTTTAGTCGTTAGAATGGTAATAACCTATATTGGAACTTTGATATATATGTATTGGAAACGTGATGTTATAGAACATGTTCCCTTTGGACCTCCAGAGTTGAGGAAATGGTTGTTGTTGAGAGGATGTGTAGGTTTCTTTGGTGTTTTTGGGATGTACTTTTCCTTGATGTATTTGACTATTAGTGATGCAGTGCTGATAACTTTTCTATCGCCATCTTTAACTATCATCTTAGCATGGTTAATTTTGCGTGAAAAAATCACTAGATTCGAAGTAATGGGTTCTATCATATCTTTATTTGGTGTTGTACTAATTGTGCGTCCTTGCTTTTTGTTTGGTGCTAGAGTAAACTTATCTCAAATAAATGATCATGTTGAAACTTCTAATCCACAAGAGCGTCTAGTTGCTACCTTAGTCGCATTATTAGGTGTTATTGGTGCTAGTTGTGTTTATATTATTATCAGATTCATCGGCAATAGGGCACATGCAATTATGAGTGTTAGTTACTTCTCTCTAGTAACAACAGTAGTCTCGTTAGTTGGGATACTGACAATTCCTTCCATTAGATTTCAAATCCCTTCTTCTTTGAAAGAATGGTTGCTATTTGGTAACCTGGGTATATGTGGATTTATATTCCAACTGTTATTAACGATGGGTATCCAAAGAGAACGTGCTGGGAGAGGCTCCTTGATGCAATACGTTCAATTAATATATGCTATCTTTTGGGACGTGTCTATATGGAAGAGATGGCCTAGTTTCTGGTCCTGGTGTGGGATGGTCCTTATCGTGGGGAGCACAATCTGGGTAGTAAATATTAAGAACTCTCTTGCTGCACAAAAAGATACTCTACATATGCAAGATCTAGAAAACATTGCATCCCGAGGTGATTCGCTAGAACTGGAAGATCTATCAGATTGAAATACCAACAACCAAAAAAAATAAAAAGAACAGATCCTACATATATATTCTCCCATCAACTACTGTTAATTTTCAACCCTTAATTACTTCTTATATTTATTGATCTGATACCCATTCACTATGATACAAAATTTTGCATTACTACACATTTCATCAATTCTTCTTCATCTTTAATATACCTTTTTTTTATCTGGAATTCTTACAACACACATACACATTCGTTAGATAATCTTAGATAGATCAGGTTGGGTCACCCATTGCAGCCTCACTAATCGACTTTTATATACTTTTAATCAATTTCTATAACCATCTTTATATACTGAAACTTTAATATATCCAGTACTACTGATTAAAATAAGGCCTTACACGAAATTTCAAATCATATTTAAGCAGACACCAAACAAACAAACAAACAAACAAACTAGATTGAGGAAAGCATTAGGAAATAGATGTATAAAGGTTACAGAGGCTGCACTAGTCGATAGAGAAGGTTAATAGTTTGTATTTGGTACTTTTCATGGTGAGATATGGAGACTCAAGCAGTAAAAACAATTCGAGATGAGCTAAGAGAACTTGAAAATACAGTTGCACAAGCATCTGATATGGTTTTATCAGAGCAAGATCATAGAAATGCTTCAGCTATTAGAGAGATGACCCAGAGTGTTATTGCTATGAGTAAAGAAAATAGTTTAATATCTGTGAGTAATGAGATTGATTACAATGAAGAAATTGGTAATTTGGCAATTGACCCTAGTTTAATTGATGAAAAGATTAAACAATCTAATAATTTTGTCGAACTTTTGAAATTGACACATTTAGAGCAAGAGGCATTGGATTACTTTCTTAGGTATACTATATCTTCTACAAATACGTTGGAATTAGAGTCTACGTCAGATCCAAAATTTGTTTCATTGGAAAATGAGGTTACAGAATTAGAGAATAAGACGTTGACTGAACATAGAGATAAAATCCAAGAGGCTAAGAAAGATATTTCAGATAAGAGTAAGGATCTGGCCAATAAACAGGACCAGATAAACGAATTATGTCTTGGAGCAGCAAATTCGGTCGATGAATGCTGGAAGATGCTGAATGAATTAGAAGATATTCATTCGCAAAGAGATAATGACGTGAAGGAGACCCTGTCACAAGATACAACAACTACAAGTGATCTAATAGAAGAGACTTATAAGGAGTGGAGCTCATTGCAGACATCTTTGACAGAATTAAATAATAGTAAAGATGAATTAGATCAACTGATAGCGTTCAAAAATGAAAAACATAAAGATAATGATTCCACTAAAATAAGAAATGCAAATATAAAGAATAAAACTATCACCGAAAATGTAAAGATGCTTAAATTACTAATTAACTTTTGGGAATCTAATTTCATTGTCCCTGGAAGTAAGAAATCCAAATTGTCAAACCTAGAGGTTTATCCACAGACAAAGAAGTTTCAATTTAAGTGTGCAGAACAATACACAGTAATAATCCAACTGAATCAAAATGGTGGATCAATTAAAAGTATAGAGATATTTGAAAATGACGGTAAGTCTGTGCAAGAAAACAAGAATTTGAGTTCACTAATCTTGAACAAATATAAGAATCCATTATCATCATACCCAATATTCCAAGTGATTAATGACATCGTGGAGGAGTTGAAATAGTTATGATAAATGTAATAGATATAAATATAAGTACATACAGAAACCTCGTGATATGGTATATAGCGATATATGGTATATAAATTAAATAAACTAAAGATTGTAATATTAAATTATTTTTATAATATCATGGGATGATTATAATTAAATTCTTCATCTTATAGGTATAAAATCCATGCAATAAATTATTCAACTACACTTAGGAATGCGCCCATGGCTCCTAAATAGCCCTCATGTTTTAGAAAGAATGCTTGTTTAGTGCCTTCAGACCAGAAATTGATGGCATAGCTTAAGGTGTTCATGGTAGTTAGGTGACCTCTTATATAAGAACCACCAAAGTAGATATTTTGTACATTATGAATTTTGGCCTGTAAATATGCAACTTGACCAATATTATTTGATATAGCGTATAATAGGCTTTTGCAAATATCTGCATTGTTGAATCTATCTGATTTTCTTTCTTTAATGTCCTCAGTTGAAGTTGTAAGGCTTATCGTAGTATCATCTTCATTTTCTTTAGTATTATCAATTGATCTTTTCTGGAATACCTTTGCAAAAGAGCTAGCTATATTTGTAGATTTTAATCCAATATTATTGTAATCTGAACCATATATGTCACCAACTAACATATCTACCTTGGTATTGTCGCCTTTTTGAGCCCAATCTAGCATTTCATCATAATTTCTTGCACCTGTAATTAGTGAAAGTAGGCCCCAAAGGGTTCCACCACCTAGAGAAGAACCACCGATACGTTTAAATGAATTTGGACTGTCAGCTTTTAATATTGAAACACCTGAGCCTATGTTGACTAATAGGTATGGGTATATTACATCTTCTTCTGGAGGAGCATGTGGTAAGACGATATTCTGGATACCTGACTGATCATTATAAGTGAAAATTTCGTCAGGAATTTCATGGATGACCATATTTAAACCTTTAATTAGACATTCCATCTCATCGAACCTTGAGAGACTTTTAATGTTTGGAAACTCATTTTGTATTAATTCATAAAACTTGAATGCACCACCACCAGTACCTATTATTTGAGTAGACTTGTAATCATTATAATTATACTGTTTGACAATTGAATGTAACAATGCAATGAATTCATGGATTCTTTCAGTCTCCACAGTTTCAAATATCAATTTGTTTGAATCCAATGGTGAGAACACAACTTTTGCCAATGATCCACCAATATCTATAGCTATAGTGAAGATTCTCTTTGAGTAATTACATGAATAATCTATGATGTTTGTCATCTGAGTCATCTGTAGTTTAGAAACACTGGTTGGTCGATAAATATATAAATGTAGATGTAGATGTATTGGTATAGGTATGGGTACGGGTACAGGTACAGGCAATACCTTGCGAATCACGATTCTTCGGCGAATGGACACTGGGAAATGGAATTCAGATTATTATATATTGCTTCCGTGCTTTATCTACCTCTAGAAGCTATTTCAATAACTATGTGAATCAGTTTTAACCAAATGCTTAACGATGATAGTCGAATGCAAAAATACCTGAAACCAGGAAGAAAAATCAGAACAAACTTTAAATTTGACAACGAACTGTCTAGATGATCTGAAGCCCTTCAAAACTAAATCAAAAACCCTTTGGATCGGTTACATATCATTAAAAAAGTAATAATATCCAAACTGGGCCCCCCCATATCAAGCAAGGCAATCAAATCTGGTTTAGCTTTAACGATTCGAATCAATCCAGATGAATCAAATCTCGTTAAAGAATATCAAAACTCGAAAGTCAATGATGGAGTGAATAGGGAACGAGACGAACCAACTCACTGGACAGAAACTGAACGTCTTGAGAATTACAAAGAAGGGTATATTAATGACACCAACACTTCCAATAGATAAACCATTATATAAGATACATTTAAGTTACATTTGAAGAGCACTACCTCAAAGGATCAAGATTATTTTAAGTTTCCAATTAGACATAATGCGAAGTTAAGGTTTGGCAGTTGTCTATCTCAGTCCTTGGACAATCGCAACTCGAGAACCTGGGGGAAAGAAATCTCACTTCAATTCAATTCAATTCAATTGATGAATCAAGCAAAAGGACAATCCCTTCTAATGATTTTAAATACTCTTTCTTTATATGTATTTGCATTCGAACCTTGTTGCTGATCTAAAGCTGATTGATTGATGGTTCTGTTGCTCATCTCGATATCAAAAATTTTTCACTTTTTCGACATGTGAAACTTTTTTGAGATGAGGTGAAAAATTTTTGATATTTTAACGATTGAACTGAACTGGTTTTGAAGGTATTAAAAGAGTGAGTTAAATTCGATGATTTGAAGGTGTTGTTGTTGTTGTTTTTTGCATTGGATGTTGGGCAAGTTAGGGTGATTAGCCACTGTGGTAATTATATTGTTTTTTTTGGTTTAAAAAATGGTTTCCAAGAACGTTTTAGAGTTGGTCGAGGAGAAATACGATCAGGCTTTGAAAAATGGTAATTTGATCTTCACTGAAACTAGTATTGATAAGTTAAAGGATGGAGAAACTGGGATGAAGTATCATGTTAGGTATACCCCTAGTTTGAATAAGAAGCCTGTGTCTGGTGAGGGTGAGAGCGAGGGGAAGAAGAATCCTTTTGAAAACCCAGAAAAGGAGTTGATTGTGTTGGATGATGTTAATGGGGATTCTAAATTTCGTTTCTTGTTGAACAAATATCCAGTTGTTAAAAACCATACTTTGTTGGTCACCAGTGAGTTTCAAAGTCAAAACTCTGCTTTGTCTCCTTCCGAATTGATCACTGCCTATAGATTGATTAATAGAATGGATGATGAAGATGAAGGTAGAAGAAATATGATGTTTTACAATTCAGGTTCTTTAAGTGGTTCTTCCCAAGATCACAAGCATTTGCAATTCATTCCTTTGCCAAGCAATTTCATCACTTTACAAGATTCTCTGTGTTCAGGTAAAAGTCATTATTTGCCAACCTCAAGAGAGGAACCATTACAAAATGAAAAAGTTTCTTTTGCTCATTTCACAGTACCTTTACCAGAATCATCTGATGATGTCGATGAAGATTTGTTAGCTATGTGTTACTTCTCTTTGTTGCAGAGATCATTCACTTTTTTCCAAGATTGGGCTGCTGAAAAACCAGAATTACAAGGTAATACTAGTTATAACCTTTTAATGACTAAAAGATGGATGTGTATCGTCCCTCGTTCAAGCACTACTTCAAAATCTTTGTCTTTGAATTTCAACGCTACTGCGTACGCTGGTTTGATCTTAGTCAAGGATCAAGAAGTCCTAGATAAAATTAAAGGGGATGCTCACATCTTAGATACTGCTCTATTGGAATGTGGATTCCCTTCCACTGCTGGTCAAAAAACCAACGAATACGACTATTAGATAAGGTTACCCATTTAATGATTACGCTCCCTTTTTATTTTTATTTTTGTTTTTATTTGATTTGATTTCATTTCATTTCATTTGCTTGAGCTAATCAACCCATCTAATAATATATTGATAGATTTTATAAAGATTTTATTTGACCTCTGACGTATTTATCTCGTCCACATATATGTACTTTGTAGAATTGATCCCTGAAATAAAGCTTTATATGTAGGCTACTATAATGAATGATTTATGTTGAGATTATATCCTTTTCTGATCCTAGTAAAACATAATTCAAAAATCTTGTACAATCGAACAATTAAGTTCTCACTATAATTTAAAAATAATATTTTTTTTTCTTGTATATGCTATTTAACATTATATTTATATATATATAATAACCCTAGTATAATATTGTATAAATTGTGACACTTCAATTGTCTTTTGAAAATAAACTCATAAATGCAGTTAATCTTGATCTCCTCTTATTGTGTTTGTTCTTATTCGTCTTGTTGATGACTACAACCGTATCACTCACACTTCTAGCCTCCGGCATGCTATCCTTCTGTAACACTGAGGATACGACTTTATTATGTGAGATTATATCATCTGAATCCAGTTGATCATCTATCTTCAATGAATCAAATTTTTGGACAAAATCTTTTATAGATGTACCAACAGATGACAAGTCAACTGTATCTCCTGGTTCACCTAACAATAATTCTTCAGATAAAGGTGCAAAAAGTTTTTCAGGATCCATCTCATCACTGCTGATGGTTTCATCAGGATCCTTTTTCTCTAAATTAACGTTTGATGTGTTGTTTTCATAATAATCACCTTCTTTCGAGGAATTGAAAGCTGAGTCACTGCCAGTATATGGAATATCATATATTTTACTTTCAAAATTAAATGTATTAGAATTAGACATCGCATTTTTCTGTTGGTAAGAATGAAATGCTGGACTGGAGTTTGGCTTAGAAACATTTGTAAATGGTTTTACATTCCTATAACCGTATGAAATTGGTGAAGCTGGTGTCGAAATCTGTTTAGATGGGGTATGAGCCAACGATGCAGGGGTGATAACAAAACTTGAAGCTAATGAAGAATTCGATGTCTGTTGTTTCAATGTTTGGGACTGTACACTTGAAGATACTGAATTTATAGGTAACTGTCTAGTATATGAACGCTGTTTTTGTCTATTAATTTTCAATGAATTATAAGCGTTCGATTTACCAGCAATGAAAGATGTATTATTATTAGTATTAGTATTATTAGTAGTACTAGTATTAGTATTGTTGTTATTGTTGTTGTTGTTATTATTATTATTATTATTATTATTATTATCGTTGTTATTATAATTATTATTCACATTAAGTTGTGGTTGTGTTTTATCACTGAATTGTATTGTCCTCGATTGTATTGGAGACCCATCATTTGCAATATTTCTTATATGCTGAGATGTATGAACAGTAGAGGGTCTCACTGGTGATAGTAAAGCTGGTAAAAAATTATCATTAACTTTACTGCTACTTGACTTAGATTCTACATCTGAAGTTTCCTCTTCCTCTATGCATTCTTTAGGGATCTGCATACTCTTTGCGGTCATTAGTACTTCTAAATCAGCAGGAGCAGATTCGGTTCTCCTGTGAGATCTAAACGAACGAGGTTTTGTCTTTAAAGCATCATCTAGATTAATAATAGCATCTGGCACACCTTGGAAAGGTGATGAAAACTTAGGTTCTTCGCTCGCAAAGAACCTTGGGCTTTGATAAGAAATCTGAGACGTCGAATTAAATTGTGGTACTTGTGAGAAACTTAGTATTTCGTCATCGGGAAATTTAGAATTTGATAAAACTAATTTTGGAGGTTCTATCTTGGGAGATGAACATTGTAATTGTTGAGCAGAACCATTTGGCGGCTGTTTCAAGAATTCGAAATCACCAGAAATTGCAAAAGATCTCTTGTGCTTATGTCCTCTCCTAGATCGTGTTGGAGTGCCGTCTGCCAATAAATTATTTGGAACAGTTAAATTTTGAGTATCTATCATACTGTATATCAATGAATTTTCTTGTTCAATCAAATAGGGGACCCAGAACTTAAAGTAAAACTAAAACTAAAACTGAAACTTAATATTTAAAACTTAAAACTTAAACCTGAAGTTAAAAAAAAAAAAAAGAAAGTTTGGAAGATAATGAAGGACAATAGTTGGAATGTAATAAGTTTCAGGTACGAAGTATATAATCTCCCTGATATAGAGATAAAATGAACGACTTGACTTCTACTTTGACTTTAACTTTTATCTATGATAACAACCTATCCAATAGAATCGAATAGATGTTACGTGCAGAAACAAAAGGAAAGGAAAGGAAAGAATGTATTAACTCACTAGCGAATGACTTTATAGTATTATACTTGACAAAAAATGTGATGCTACCAGATAACGTCCTGAAACCTCCTCCTAATCTAGATAACCTTGTCTCACGTTATAATACTATTTGAATATTTGGCGTTTTTATATTTGAACCCTGGTCTCGTAACCAAAACTTAACATAAAATCGTGTAAAAAAAATCCTAAAACCCCCCTACAAAAATGGATCCTCTATCTAATCAACAATACAATAACCACAATCACAGTGGTATTCGTAACCTTGGATAACCTATTGGAACTAATATCCCTCAAACCTTTAAATGAAATGCTCTTTATAAAGATAACTGAAACTGAAAATTTTGACCATTTTTTCATTGAGGTTTATCAGATATCGATGAAAAATTAAAGGTCTTTTGATAAGGTGAAAAAAAAGAAGTGTTGATATCATCACCAGTTCTGATTCAAGCCAAGTTGTCGATTGGGATAGGATAATAAGGTATTTGAGTGATCCTATTGTTTAATTTGGAGAGGTTTGGTTACCTTTTGTTTTGGAGGAGGAAAAAAAATGGCGTTTAAAGGTAGATTGGCTGCTTTATATGGTTCATTAGATGAGATCAATGAAAAATTATCTATTAATGATACTCATATAGTTTTGAGTGGTGGTGATGGGGTCGTTTTGCAACAGAGATGGATTGGTAGTGTCGATGTTGATGGTGTGGATTTGGATTTCCAAGGTAGGATTACTTGGAGAGGTCCTGACACTCACTGTATTGATGAAAGTAATGTCATTGAACCTAAGCTAGCAAAGGGACTGACTGTTTATGTAGATAGAAATAGTGGTGGTAAATCTGAAAGAAGCAGTGGAGGGTTAAAAGGTTATCCGTTGGTGGATTCTGTGGTTTACAAGTCTTATCATGAGGATGGGGAAGAATTTAGAATTAAGGATTTCTTACCTGACTCGGTAGATTTGGGATTTGTCGATTGGGATAAGTCTAAAGATTATGATATTTCGATTACAAACTCTACTATTCAAATTGTTGAATATTCTAGATTGATTGGGAACGATACGTTTACTTACGGTAAGTTGAGTGGTACTGATAAAGTAGAAGCAGGTCTTTTTTATGCAGATGCTCAAGACGAGCAAGATATCAACTTAACAGGTGTAAGGTGTACTTGGGATGATGATGATAACCAATTAGAAGGTTGTCAAAAGACAATGTTATTTTATAACCCTGCTCATATCAACTTGGCAGACAAGATTGGTGATGATACTAATCAACAGATCTTAGATATAGAATCCCCAATTGGCTTGCATCCAAAATTATTGATAGATTTAAGAAATCAAACTAATTCTGGGAAAAACTGTAAATATTTTCTATATTCACAATTGCCTTTGCAATTATTTGTTGATAAATTCCAATCGGATCCAGTGGTGCTATTTGGTGAACATGATTTGGAATTACCAGATTACAAACTAAAATCATCATGGGGTTCAGAAGTATTGTTTGCATTAGAAAACGATAAATTAAATGAAATTACATTGCATTCAAGATATGTTGAACCTGTAGAAGGTGGTGGTTATTTAAACGTGGGTTTCAATCCAGCTGTTTTCCTTGCATGTGATTCAGGTAACGATAACATTAAGCAAAATCCATTTTACTCAAAAGGTTTAGGTTTTGAATCGTTTTTCACTGATGATACCATCTTTAAGCATATTGCAAATAAAGATATTACGGTTCCAATTCCAAGACCAGATACAGAAGTGTATCAGACTGTGACAACGATTACATCTGTTTGTCTCATAGTATCTATGATTTATCTTTTTAGAAAACTATTCGGCAGAGTTGAACCCTCTGTCAAGTCAGAGACAAAGGAAAATTCAGAAAAATAATACATCTATATTAAATTCAACTGAAGACCCTCTATAGTAATGAATAATCGATTTTATAAGTATTTTGCTATGTTACACGAGTTATCTATTAATTGTAAATGCACTAAATATATTATTTCTTCTTCTTGTGATGCTTCTTGGCGATACGTTTCAAAGCTCTTTGTTCGTTCTTCATAACACCATCAACCATCTTATATTTACCTTTAATACCCTTTGGTCTACCAGCAAGACCCTTGTTTTTACCGCTAGCAACAACCAAGGTAACCTTAGGTTTACTAGATTGTTTCTTAGTAACCTTACGCATCAACTTGGCAATTTCATCGGCCTTATCCTTTTCAGATTTATCGCTGTTATCATTAATCAAACCAGCCTTCTTCTTAATTCTTTCTAGACGAGCAACAGCACGCATCTTCTTTCTGGCTTTAGCTTCAGCAACCTTCTTAATTGGACGAGCATTCAAAGCTTTTATCTTTTCTTTGATGGCCATAGCTGCTTCCTTGGTAATAGGTCTGTTAATTTTAGAGTGTTGTCTTTCATCTTCAGTAAACCAATCTGGTAAGGTATCACTGTCTCTGAAAGAATATCTGTTGAAACCTTCATTGACTAAATCATGTTTTGTTCTTTGGCCTAATGCCAATTGATGTGCAAGAGTCATGGCCTCTACAGTCGCTATGTCTATATCCTTAGAGTGTTTTTCTTGTACAGTTTGTTTCTTTTCTTCTTCAGAATCATAGTCTGAATCGAATTCCTCTTCTTGAGTAGTGTTAGGAACAATCTCGAAATCGGAATCGGAATCGGAACCTGAATCTGAATCTGAATCTGATTCGGATTCTGCTTCTCTTTCTTTCGCGGTTTCTTTGGATTTGTTAGTATCAAGTCTTCTCTTTTTGTTAACATGAGATAAATCGCCAACTGATTCAGAATCAACTTCGCCCTTAGTACTTAAAGTAAGGTCAGCGGAGACATTGTCAAAAATTGGATCATTGAAAAGCATTCTGGCTTTGTTACTTAATTTTTTATCACCAGATTGACCCTTAATTCTACTTATTAGGTTATTAATGGCTTCATCATCATCTGAATCTGAAATGTCAGATCCTTCTTCAATGTAATCTTTCTCTTCTTCTTTTTCTTCTGTATCAGCTTTATTAGAAAAACCTTCCCATTCCTCTTCGTTGTCACCACCACGAGCTTGTTTAGCTCTGAATTTAGCATCTCTTGCACCCTTTCTTTCTTTATATTCATCGTACATGGCATCTAATTCTGCTTCTAAATCGTCAGCTTCATCAGCAATGTTTTTGTCTTTAATTATTTTTTCATCGATGTGGATATCGTTATCCCTAGATAATTCATCTTCTGTAAAGATCATTCTTTTCTTACCCTTTGCAAGCTTGTCAAGGATACCAGTCTTTTCTGCAGACTTCAGATTGAATAAAGATTCTCTACCTAATTCAGCAGCTTCGATACCAATATCAGTTGGAGTCAACATATTCATTTGCATTCTGGTAATTTCTTTTTGTTTAGTTTCATTCTTCTTTCTCTTTTCACGTTTTTGTTTCAATCTTTGCTTTTCTTGCATATCATTCAACTCTTTTTCAATTTGTTCTTCTTCATTTAGTGGAGTGACATCAATTGCTTCCTTTTCTTCATCTTTATCTAAATCTAATAATTCTCTTGATGCTTTTCTCCATCTTAAGATCATTTTAAAGTCTTTTTTACCCAAGACTTTTAAATCTTCAATACAAAGCAAAAATTCTGGAGTGGTCTGTTTTAACTTCTTAATAATTTTCCATTCATGATCTTCTTTATCGATAATGAACTTATTCATTTCACCTAACATAGTGATAGGGTCTTCAGTTTTAACGAATTCCATAATTGGAGTTTCGTGGTATAACAAATGATCACCTTCTTCGTAACCTTGTCTTTTTCTAACTTTCTTTTCTGGATTGTAAATTTTAGATTCCATATTTTGAGGACCATCTGGTAATTCTTCGAAAACTTCTTTAGGGTCTAATAATCTTGGATCTAATCTTTTTGGAGCTTTAAAGTTCTTACAAACGACAAAAATTTCTGCAGAGACGTTTCTCGAAGCAGGTGGTTTAGTGGCTTCGACTTTATCGAACAACTGTTGGAAAACCCAAATCAACTTATTATAATCTTTAGATCTGAAAATCTTAGTGACAAAAGTACCACCAACAACTAAATTTTCAACGGCTAATTTTAAAGCCTGCAAAGTTAATTGAGATTGAGTGAAAGCATCTTGAACCCAACCCAAACCGACATTAGGAGCACCATCGTGCAAAACAGTATCAGCCTTCCAAGTCTTCATATAACCTCTCAATTTAGATCTACAATCTTCGGTGGTAATATCACTTTGAAATGTAATGACATTTGGCATAGGCTTCATTGGAACAATATCAACACCAATAATCAAAGAGTTCACCGGACATAACTTGGAAGCAACTTGACACCAGGAACCTGGAGCAGCACATAAATCAATAACAACCTTAGATTTCTCTAGAAAATGACCATACTTCTCATTAATTTGAATAACTTTGAAAGATGAACGAGCACGATAACCTTTTTCCTTAGCAAGGTAATAGTACTTGTCTAAACGACCTTTACTATTCTTTTTCTGAGTTTTACCCATTTCTAAACCTCGTCAAAGATATTGATGCCTCTTGTAGAATTAAAATGAACTAAAATCAAAACCTAAAGAGAACAAATAGAACAAATACTACTCTTAAACTACAAATACTTACATCTTTAAATCTGACATCTTTTCAGCTCATCGCATAAATTTTTCATATTTCATTAAAATTTTTTTTTCCACATAATGTTACCCGGTGTTGATATTTTCACCATTGCGCTCTAAAGCTTTATATCGACATTAAAAGTGCGGATTTCTGGTACCATCCATCTTCAGTATGGTGAAGGTGATATTTATATATGGATATATGTATATATTAGAAGAGATAGTGACTGTCTATGGGTGTCAGTAAATGATGTTTTGATGTTTTTGGAATAGGAAAGTGTGAATGGGATGGGAAAGATGGATTGTACTGTTTGTTCTTGTTTGGATGATTATTGTAGATTTCTTGCTGCATTAGTGGGTGTTCTTTTCAATGGATATAGATGTCTGACAGTGAAGATATGGTGAGTGAAAAAATATATATATATATAATACTTATATGTACATATAAAACGACTATGTCACTAGCTTGATTAAATATTGATAATTAGAGATCAAGGCATTGAATGGATGTGATGTTGGCTAGTTTGGTTTTCTATGTACGTCTTGTTTGTTATTTTTTTGAATTGGCTTAGATTCCATCTGTGCTAGTAATGATTAGGTGTTGTGCTTGACCTTGTCGCTAGAATTCTGATTTGTAAGTAAATGGTAAATAGTTGAATTATAGATATATTTAGTACTATGGGGTCTGTGTGTTTTTATTATTATAGTTTGGTTTATTTCAAGTTTTTCCTCAAATGCATGGTGATAAGTTGATACATACAATACAAAAGAGATAGCATATAAAGAGAAGAGTGTCTGACTTTGGTACCAGAATTGTTCCATTTACAATTTATATATTGTTTTCAATGATTCAGTTGGATTTTTCATCCAATTGAGCCTTGTTTTAGCTCTTTTTATTAGGAATTATGTCAGTTTTGACCCCTTTCGTGGAAAAACGTTAAGAATTAATGGGCATAGGCTAACTTATAAACAGATCTGATACGTTTATATAATTTTTCAGTTCTAAATTATATACTGAACTATTTTTTTTCTTAGGATTTAGGTCTCTTTATACCGTTTATCAATATATCTTCTTCGAATTCTGCTATGACTAATCCTTATCTACCACCATCTAAAAACAAGGGGCTTGGAGAAAGTTGAAGAAAAAACTGTCTTGAACAACTTTAAATCATCGTTGGTGAAACAAGATGATACCTAGAGTATAACAGGACTCATAAGTGAGCTTCTTTGCTCTTTTAAAGGTCTAATCTTTGAATCCAAAGTTACCGTTGCAATATACAGTGCAAAACATGGGAATATGGACAATTAACTATACATATTAGACAAAACCCTAAAACAACCATACACTAAGTTGCCTTAGCATGATCTTTAGAATAATTTTATGTATGTTCTTGATCTAATAGTTGGCTCTATTTAGTAGGCATCTAGGAGATATACGTAAATTCATCTCTATTTAGAAGTGTCAACCTATCTTGAATAACAGATAATCGAAGTACGACCACATGGAATCTTAAATAACTAGCTACTAGTATCTAGCTAAACTAGTTCAACATTTTATTCCATTTGGGAGTTAACTTTTTGGCATATTGTTAAAAAGATTTTATTTTTATTCTGTCACATAAGCCAAACCTATAAGATCTAGGCATTAAACCAATGCCAGATTAAACAAACAATCAAGATAATTTTGTAAAGGGCTCAAAACATCTTTGGATAACTTATCCAATCAATATACTCTCTGTAATTCTAAGATTTTTTGTTTTACAGTCCTTAATAAGTGATTCGATAGTATATTAAACTTTAAGCAGTGCCAAAATGTGTAATTTCCATAAGGGTCAGCTAATATCAAAGAATGACAAATAATGTATTGGATTTAAATTTTGTTATTCAATATATATGAACGAAGAAAAAATTGAAGTTCTTGGTACTAAGGTGAACCCTTGCTGACATCTCCATTAATTAAGCTCCTCTGCAATATAACCTTGGCGTGTTCAATTTAGCACTAATGCATTTTTAAATATTATGCAACTGCGACACTATTAGACTTATTTTTTAGATATTTCTAACTCTAACTGCTAAATGTTATATATCTGTCACTTTCTATTTCCCATTAACAATTAAAGGAAGAAGCTACATATAATAACTGTTATCTTTCAATACTCAAGACTTGATTCTTTAACTTGCAATTGCTTTATAAGATAATCTTATTAATTAAGCATAATAATCCAACCTTTGGTTTAGGTAATCACAAATAACCAAGAGGTTAATATATTTTATTTCGACTGTAAATAAGATTCCTTTATCAGCGACAGTAATCTTCTGGTATTATTCTTAAACCAGAGAGAGTGGAAAATTAATTACGTTATTCAAATACTTGATCAAGTGTAATTTAAATTTCTTAATCCAAGTGGATCTATAGCTAAATATTAGCTACATTGCCCATATTTTGTTGTAATTTATGTGTGTTCCTAGCGAAGAAACTGGAGAAGTCTATGGTTTCCATTGTTATTTAACGGCATAAAAAGGAATTGGGATTAATATAATGAAATAGTAATACTAAATATAGTTCTTACTAGTCGGATTTGAATTTATCTTCTTTTGATAAGAACTTAAAAATATTAAGGTTTTATGTTTTGTTTTTGAAACTTACATCATATCAATAGTATAAAAAGGATTTACCAAAATTTCTACAAAATATAAAATTAAAAATAAATACTTGATAACAAATATGTCATATTTTAACTGTCAACACATACCAGGTTTCCTAGATTCCTTTGATGCCATTTCCAATTAAGTAATAAATTCAAGCAACCGGGATATCTTAACTAATAACCCAATATGTCAGAAATGGTAGATTAAGACTTCTAATAATTCGTCACTGTCTTCGTAAAATCTCAACATGAAGTAGAGACAAGTGTAACTTTACCTTGAGTAATTTAAACCTTGAAGTACCCAAAGTATTCCCAATCATATTGTGAGTTAAAGAATTTAAATATAAAATTATTATAAAATATGAATATACGTTTTTAAATATGCAAAATATCTAATTAACTAATGATTAAATTTCCATTAATTGTCATGAATATAGGGGTATCGATAGCTTCCAGTAAATTTATTGAACCTTTTGGATTGGGCTCTTTGGTCTTAAATTTTCAATATCGGATTTAGTTGGGATATGAGTACCAATCCTAGCAATTTCATTTTTATATCTAGCAGGATTGAAATTATCCAAGATGACATCGGGACTCATAATGACCCAACCTTGTCTTAATCTCACAGGAACGTCTAAACCAGTTCTTGAAGGAATAATATGTAATCTTTTAGTGGCAGTAGAGAAATTTTCAGCTACTTTATATAAATGGGAAGGTACTGCACCATCACGAGTTTGTTTAGTTTCAATACTTAAATCAGTGTCTACATTACAATGAATTAAATGACCATCCGTAGATCTTCTTACTGTACCAGTAATACACATCCAACAATGCCATTGCATTTTTTCGAATAGTGTAGTATCATCTTGATCTAAACCTGGGTAGAATGGTGAATTTTTATCCACAGGAACAAACACTAATTCTTCACTTCTTCTAAATTTCTTAGCCCATAATTCGTTATTCATTAATCTTGTCAATTCATTTATCTTTTGAGCACTAGCCCAAATAAATAGAAACCCAGGCTTTGATACCAATTTATCCAAGGGTAATTGAGTCAAAAGTGGATAAATAAATTGATTGTCAGTCAAACAACCGATCATAACTACATCAAAGGTTAATTTTTCCTTTTGGATCCAACTATTCAAAGTTGGCACCATTTGATCAATATTAACTTTGCAACCAAATGGAGTTGTAGCATACTGTGCTATCTGCTTCTCTTTCATTTGAAATAATTTTTGCAATTTTGGATAACCTTCAACAGTGTTACTTATATTTGAAACATGTTTTTGAGGCAAAGAGCCAGTATGAATATAGTTATTTGAATAATCGTTGGTATGGAATTTTTTACTTGGCTTAGTATTTAAACTTTTTGATTTACGATCAGTATCATTTTCTGAATACAATTCTTCTCTAAACATCTTGTCTCGTAACTCAATAAGGGTTCACCCAAGCAATCTCAAATAGTGTCTTACTCAAACAGCAGTATAACAAAAAATAATAACCAATCTTAACTTAAATCAAGATAAGTGGGCCTGTCAGTATGTCAATACAAAATATCAAAACCTAATTTTGATATTTAATCTTCTCCTAGTATGATACTGTTATCAGTAAATGAAAATATAAACTATAAGATACATAACAATTGTGATAGATGAACATTAATAATTTTAAATTACGGTGTCGCTCTTATATATATCTATATATCTATATATCTGATGATTGTATTCTAGATGGATGCGTTACAGCTACCATTTTTTCATCATGATACAGGTAGAGATACATACTATTTCACTGTATAGCGAACCGACCGAATTTAAGGTTTGTTTCGGAAAGGGCCTTATAAGGTAAGGATTTGGTTTTGATATGAAACAGAGGTTAAGAGAGCAGACTAGAGGTTGAGATATTGGTGAAGTATTTGGTTGTGGTTGTGGTTTTTGTTGTTGTGATGGTTTCAAGAGTTGAAACAATTAGAAGTAAATATTAGGAAATCTAATTGTAAGATGAGATGCACGTTGGTAGGAGTATGCAGGATTTTGGGGGAGAATTTCAGAGTAAAACAGTAGTAATGTACATTTCATAAACACATGTTGGTATGTAGAATTTATTTAATTTATGTAATTATAAAAAATTCAACTTAATTTAGGTCGTATAATATATATTTTTCAACAAATTTTTCGATGTCTCTCAATGTTGATGTTTTTAATCGAACCCAAGTTACTTTGAGTCAATCAAATCCGAATCATGTTCTTTTTAATATGTGGATGGGATTTGGTTGAGTTAATGAAAGTTCAAATTAATTTGGACCAAATCATTGAAGTGAAATGCTGATAATAGTAACGACCTCCCAGATGAATGATATAAATAGCAAAGCACTTTTACGTACAGGAAGAAGTTTGGAAAAGTATAATAGTTTTTGATAATAAGGTTATAATGAACCCTATTTCCTACATGTGTGTGTTATAGTAAATAATTGCGTGCTTGCATGCCTTGATAATAATAAAAGTTTGTTAGTTTTATTTTTATTTGATTTTTTCAATAGATTTGTAAATATTTTATAATTTTTTCCCTTTTTATATTAATCATAAAAGTATATTGGAAAATTAAAGAAAAAAACAGTAAAAAAATAATAATAAGAGAATATAATAGTGCCCACCTAACCTGTAATATAACCGATCCTCTTCATGACTATATTGATAATAATATGACGATGACAAATAATAATAATAATAAAAATAAAAATATATGTGAAATTTTAGTCCCTGTAGTATCTTCCCATCTCCAGCTCTTCGATAATAGATTCGATGACTTCATCGTCGTCATCCTCTTCCATCATTTCAACTGCGTTATATTTGATCATATCCCAGCGTATCCAGAATGAGATACAATCATTTAAGTTTTCAGATAAATAAAATTGATCCAGATCATTTTTAGCTTTTACCAGTCTTAGTTTCAAAGATTGTAGTTTCATTGAATCTGGTAATTTTGAAATGGTTCTTAGATCGTTGCCACTATCAGTTTCATACTCCGTTAGGTTGGTAGCTTCTGATTTATAGCCACTTAATTCATCATCTGTTGAGAAATCGTCATCCAAATCAGAGATGTTTAAAGGTTTAAAGTTGTGGTTATGGCTTGATAGTGAAGGTATAATATTTACAGTGGCACTGCTATTAGTTTCAGTATCATCGATATTGTAATTATTTTCGTTATTGTTGTTGTTGTTCATTATATTATTATTCGGTGATAGGTTATTCGCTTTAATTTGAAGAGGGTCGTTATTATACACCAAATTTTCTGCAGTTGAAGTAGCATTGCAGTATCTACCCCAAACCTCGTCGATACATTGTACGATGTAATCGAAACACCTTTCTCTTGCAATTAGGTCATGTTTTAGTAGAGTGTTTGGGATGACATTTTTCTTTACAGTAAAAGAATTCGACCTTCTAAAGATCTTTGAATTGTTATTTGTAGTAGTTGTAGTGATGTAGTTATTATTGTTGCTATCACTTGTACTTGAACTATTTTTTGTAATATCTATGTCGTTGTTGTTAAACTTGTCCTGACAAGTTTTATAAACGGTAGAAAAGCTTACAGTTGAAGAACATCTTTTTTTACAGTGATCAAAATTTATATCGATATCTGAACAATTACGTTTAATAGACAAAACCATTTTCAAATATATATGTATTTCCCACGCAAAATTATCGAATAGTGAAAAGAACAAACCACGAAGGCAGGTTTAAATTGAAATTGAAATTGTATTTGAAGTGGTAAACTAAACTGTAAAAAAACTGAGTAGTTCACAAGTCACAACAGTGCAATCTGTCAATAAAACCAAATTAAAAAAAATAAAAAGAAGTATTAAAACGAACTCTTATTTTATTTTTTAATGCAGACGAATCAAAGCCAAACTGGTCAGTAAATAACGTATTAGTAAGGTCTGGTATGCGGTATGTGGTATGATATGGTACGGTACGGTATGGTATGGTATAGTATATACCGATGTTCTGATGACAGTTTTAACTTTGAATAAAAAGCAAACTGAATAGAGAGAGAGAGACAGAAGGACTGACAAGAACAACTCAAAGTTTAAATCAGTCAGTAGCAACAATAGGATATATTTAACTCTGGTAGTCTAAACTCGAACCAAACCAAACCAACTCTTACAAGAAAGGAAACCCACAAGCAAAGAATCGAAAGCTAACTAAGCTGAATCGTCACTGTCACTGTCACTTCCAGGTGCTAGATAGTATATGCTATCATATCATATCATATCATATCATATCATATCATATCATATGATAGCATATCATAGCATACAGAACATACCAGTTTGTTGAGATGTCTGTTTCGACAAAAAACATCAAAAAACAACAAAAAGTGGTCGAAAGTTGGGAAGCTCGGACAGTTTGGGAGAAGTTGGTATAAATAGCGAACGGGAGGTCAGGTGGGTGCGCGGTGTGTGATTGGTTGGTTGGGCTGGTGGAGGACGGGTAACCGTGTTTTCCGGACAACAGACTCATTGGTCTGAGACGAGGATAGGTGGGTCGAGAGAGAGATAAAGTGAGAGGTATGGTGAGAGGTGTGGTGAGAGTGAGTTGTTTTAAAAGAGCTGGTGGTCGTTGGCTAGTATGGGTGTGTCTCTTGCATGGATTAGTGTTTGGGAGAGGTGTGACGAACTGGTGTGGCGTGGTGAGCTCTAGTTATGGGGGGCGGGGAGAGTATTTTAAATCGCAATCACGTGGATGTCACGTTTTACAGTGCCGTGGCATATGTTTATGTAATTGTGTACGCGCGCACGTGATCACAGTCATTGTGCACGTGAAATATACTATGTTACGGTATGATATGGTGATCTCTGTGTCCCCATCTCTCTCTCTCTCGCTTCCTCCCCCCATCAGTCCATCTGACCCAAAATGACTCTCTCGTCGTCGATCCAATATCATTTCCTTATTTAACAGCTTCTATAAAAAGACGGTGCTTCTCGGACTACTTTCTCAGCTGTCCACTACTTTCAAACTCAATTGGCATCCAGATCTACATCTACATCTACATTTCATACACGCACACATACACTAGTAACTTCTATTTATCTCTACTCTATTCAACTCTACTATTCCACACACACACACACTCTCTCTCTACCTTATCTCACACATTAACAAATTAATTATGGCATCATTGGGTTGGGAGGATATAGTTTTGGATGGTCTAGAAGGAATCTGTAGTTTATTCGATAGCATTTACTTCATAAAAACTTTGGGTATCATCACAGATAAAAGCTTCCTCTATAGAAAAATCATTCAAAATAATTTCTCTTTAAAACTATGGTTGGCTACACTTTTACTGATTATTAAAAAATTAGTAGTCAAGCTGTTTCAAAACTATAAAATCTTGAGATTTTTGAAAATTGAATTGAAACAGCATATCAACAACAACAACAACAACAACAAAAATAATCACATCAATAGCATCCTATTGGAAAAACTAAACAAGAAAATCAACCAACATTATAACTTCATTAAATTAAATTTATTAGATTTAATACAAAATCTCTTGTATTGTGCTATAGTCATCATTGAATTATTGAAATTAAAAATTTCAAAAAAATCAAAGTTTATTTTAGAACTATTAGCAAATTCAATTACAATTGTAAAACATATTTAATCAATATACACTACTTCGTTTATTCATTTATTGTTAAAGGAAGAGGAAAAAAGATATTAACAAAACTCATCATGCATAAATAGAAATAATTTAATAAACATTCATTTTTAATAATTATTATTACTATTCTTCCTCATTTATTTACATTTCTTAAATAAATAAACAAACTATATCATACATCGCTAACAATTCAATTCAAACCCATCTCTTTCAAGAATGCTGAATTATTAGGTTCTCTACCCAAAAATTCTTCCAAATTATCATTAACTTCATAGATACCTCCACGAGATAAAATAATATCTCTGTATTCGACACCACTCTTGCTGTTTAATGGATCAGCTGCAAATTTAGTATAATACATATCGGTAGCGAATACTTCCGCCCACATATATCCATAGTAACCTGCAGAATATGCACCGGACATAATATGTCCAAAAGAGTCATAGCCTTTGCTCATCTCATCACCATTCTCAACCAAACAAATTTGTTCTCTTAATCCATTCCACAATTCTAATAGATTTAATTTGCTAACATCTTCCGCAGTATGAACTTCCATGTCAAACGTACTAAAATGTAATTGTCTTAATGCAAATAATGCTCCATTAACATGCTTGGTAGAAACCAATGACTCAATTAATGATTCAGGAATCTTTTCACCAGTCTTGTAATGCTTGGATAATGAAATCAATTCGTTCTTGTTCCAAGTCCAGAATTCTAACATTTGTGATGGGGCTTCGACAAAATCCCATGGAACAGATCCTGGACCATTCAGTCTCGAGCATCTGTTGGCACCTACCAAATCATGGATACCGTGTCCCAACTCATGGAAAAATGTAGTCAACTCATTATGCTTCAATAATGATGGCTTGTCAGAAGTAGGTTTAGAAAAATTACAAACTAAAGCGGTGACTGGGTATGATCTTTTATCATTTTCATCTACATAAGATGATGAAATACCAAAATTGGCAGCATGACCATATTTACCATCTCTTGGATGTAAATCGAAGTAAATCCAACCAATAAATTCTGGAGCATCTGGATTATCCATTTTCCATACAGACAATTGTTTGACATCTTCATGCCAGACATTTCTCTTTGCAGGATCAGTTTCTTCAACAAATTTTAATTTCATGACAGTTTCATAAATCTTCAACATACCATCGATGGAAGATTCGATAGGGTAATATTCTGAAATTTTTTCTAAATCGACATTAAAATTATCCTTCAAATACTTGTTATCATAATAACGATGGTCCCAGATATAATAATGGTTGTCATAAGGTAGGTTCAATTCTTTCATATCTTTTTCTTTTAATTGTTTTAAAATTTCAATTTCTTTTAAACCCAGTGGTCTTAGCTTTGTCTTCAAATCATCTAAGAAATTGAATACAGTTTCTTCGTTTTTGGCCATTTTCATTTCCAAATTATAGTTTGCATAATTTGAATAATCTAAGACAGTGGATAAATCATTTCTTAATTTCAAAGTATCAACAAAAAGGGCTTCATTTTCAGGAACTTTATTCTGATCAGCATTGAAGGCCAACTTTCTTGTATTTGGGTTTTTAGCAGATTTTAAAACTGGTAGAATATCTGGATATTTAAAAGTGACCTTAAACTTTTCTTCCCCAGTTTTTTCATCTTTAAATTTCTCGAATTGTTCCATGACGGCATCAGAAACACCATCTAATTCTTCTTTAGTGAAGGCAATGAATTCCTTTTGTTCACCTAAATTCTTGGAGAAATTTAAAGAATTGGAGGCAATCTTCTTTTGAATATCTTTCACAATTTCTCTTTTCTCATCAGATAAGTTCAAACCTGAACGAATGAAATCTTTGTGACATTTTTCAATAAATCTATATGATTCGTAGTTCTTAGAGTCGGATTTTTCATTAAATTCTGAATTATCCTTAACATCAGTCCAAATCTTATCAAATTGAATGAATAAATCTTTTCTTAAAGAAGCTTCAATTTCAAAATTTTGAATCAGTTCAGTGGCCTTCATGGAAGAATCTCTAATATCCTTATCAGCAGAGACATGTTGTAAAAAGGTCAATTGGTTAATCAATGGACTAACTTTATTTTCATGGTTCATGTAAGGGACAATAAAGTTTTCGACCGTAGGACTACTGATGGCTGCCAAATTATCAAAGATACGATTAGAATCTTTAATTAGAGATTCCGCATCCTTAACAATACCCTCAGGGGTCCAATTCCAAGTAGGAGCAGGTTGAGGAGCAATTAATAACGAAGAATTTGTCATTGTTGAGTATTTTAAAATTGTAAAAGCAATGGCAGGAACAGCAAAAAAGGATACAATTCTAGTTTTCCTGTTTTTCAAAGTTTTACCACTGATAATTGAATTTGAATTTTTATTTGAATTTCTTAGGCCAGTAGTAATGGCTTTGAACATTCAGATATTAACTTTTTAATTTTTTTTGGGAGGGGAGACTCTCAATACTAACAGTTACTTTATATATGGAGTAGATTAGTGAGAAAAAGTGCAATTAACCCAATTCAATCAAGTATTGCTGGTTAGATAGGTTCGAATTAAATAAAAAGGAAAAGAGAGAAATTACAATAACCAATTAAATAATTAAAATATGTACAACACATCAACTTGCCATATCTGTCTGTGTCAAGTTTTCTTTTTTATAATTTTTAGTTCGCTTTTTCCTCTTCGAATATCACATTGCGTGCTAAGAGTTGGTATAACGTATATTGTATATGGAATAAGGTATAAGGTATATAGTAGTTAAGAGTAGAATAAGTAAGTGGTCGACTTAATTAATCTTTATAACACTTTAGCATGTTGCTGAGAGGGAGGAAATGATGAAACTGCAGTCGATGATGAAGCTACAGATAGATCTTAAGGGAAGGATATTTTTGTTGCTTAGTTGATAAGAAATTGGTAAGCCGAGGCGTTTCAGAATCTTGATTATTTAATTAGGCAACAGTGTGTCATACTTTCATATCGCAACACCATCTTGATTACGATTTCCTGGCACCGTATATTCTCTCTCTTTTGGGCTGGACTGTACTGGACTGTTCTGAGTTATAAGAATGGTTGAGTCATACATAGCTTAGTGGAATTCTTATGTAGACCCTCTTTTTCCATAAACCACAGGAGCCAGTGATTTGGCTGCTCTTGTAATAGGTTTGGCTTGTTTATTGTATTGTTGAGTTTCAACTGGCTCAATTAGATAGATTTTAGATGATTAGGATGTATATGTTCTCTCCCCTCCCAATATGAGTGTCTGACGGTGGGACTGACTTGTCTTTGCAACGGTAGCCTCATCCCAATTAGTTACCCTCCTATTGTGTCACGTGCTATGAAATCCGATCCATTCTTTCCCCCTTTCTTTCCTGTAGTCACGTGATGCTCTTTTTGGGCCCAGATTTGGGAATCCAAATAACCAACCAACAGCAAATTAAAAAAAATCATTCGAACTGGAGAACAAGATTGGTTGGTCTAGACTGAACTGTTAAATTAACAGATTGGTATTTGAGAGTACGTTTTTTTATATCAGCTTGCTGTTGAATTATAAGTTCAATTTTAAAATCTCATCTATTTATCCAATTCTCCAAGTGTGTTTTACATCATTGGCAATTTTGCTTCAAGACTAGAAAGTAGGATAAAAAAAAAAAATTTTTTTAATAAACTATTGTTAAGCCTTATTTCATTACTGATTTAACCAAAATAATACAAGATACTCATTCTGATTTAGTTATTTCCTTTGGTTACATTCAATCTTTTTATTTGCATCTGTTATCAAACATATTTTTACATATTCATAGGTTTTGTCCCTTCCAATTATTTGTCAACTTAATAATGTCTCAACAATCTCAAGAATTACAGATCACTTCTGCTCCAACCAGATCTATCTTAAATGATAAATGGGATGTAGTGTTATCCAATTTTTTGGTTAAGACTAGTTTAGGTTTTGGTGCTGGTGTCCTAGCCTCTGTTATACTATTTAAACGTCGTGCCTTCCCTGTTTGGTTAGGTATCGGTTTCGGTATCGGTAGAGGTTACTCTGAAGGTGACGCCATATTCCGTTCTGCTGCAGGTTTAAGAAAGTCTACTGTTTAAGATTAAGATCTTTGTCTTGAATGTATGTCCTCATTCTTATCATTAACTTCATTGGAATGTTTTTTGTCCCTTCCCCCCCCCCTTCTTCGAAAACTTTTCAGTATGTTTTTTTTTAAATATCTGTATATATATATATATTCTTTGAATTATTGAAGTCTAAATTTAAATAATTAATATAAATAATTATGTCAACACAACATATCTAGGTTTCTCAACGTCCTGACATTTATATCTAAATTTATATTTACTTTACCCTTTGCCTTGTATATTGCTTAACAGAATGACCGATATCCTGTAATAATTCTGGTGATATTACCATAATGCTACCTTGTTGTTTTATATGTTTTTTCTCTTTAAATAATTACTCTATAATGAAAATCCTGTCATCAATTCGATTTGCTTTAACATACTGTCATCAGTTTCCTTTTTGGAAGCTTCTATTTTTGCAATGGTTTCACGATCTTTAACGTTATCCTGTTGTAATTTCTGAGATTCTAATGCACGTTCTTTATTGCCCTCTGATTGACCATTTCTCGTCTCATTATTCAGTTGTAATATATCCGATGGCAATATACCTTCTTTATTAATCTTTTCCATCTTTATCTTATTCCTCTTCTTTTCGGATTGAGATATCACGTTCTTTCTCTTGCTCTTCTTACCAACATTTCCCTTCTTTCTCATAGAAACACTACTCTTTGCCATCTTAGCTAGCCTTATAATCTGCTACACTTTCCAAAAATATTACAGACAACAATATCAAAAGCAAGAACAACCTTATATGATGTCTTATCTCATCTCATCTCATCTCATCTCATCTCATCTCATCTGTTTTATACAAATTGTACATATTTCATATTAGCCTAGCTTACATTAATTAATTTTTTTTTTCCACTTCACTCCCACAGCGTTTAACTTAATGAAAAAGTGAAAATTTTCAATTTTATCTCACCTCATCTCATCTCATATTAACTTTATAATGATTTAAAGATGAGTTATGTATGAATTAATTGATCTGTTATTTATTGGATTGGTTTAAGATTTTTGTTTGTTGAATACTAATCTGATTTGTCTCTTAAGTTTGGTGTAGCATTACAGGGCACTAATAATTATTACAGAGAAAGGTGAAAACTGAATATTATAATTGAAATTTTACCTTATAAGCAACAATGGTCTCTACTCATAATAAGGATAAACCTTGGGATACTGAAGATATAGATAAATGGAAGGTTGAAGAGTTTAAACCAGAGGATAATGCTTCAGGTTTACCATTTGCGGAAGAGTCCAGTTTTATGACTTTATTCCCAAAATATAGAGAAATATATTTGAAGTCTGTATGGAATGACGTGACGAAAGCTTTAGATAAACGTCATATTGCCTGTACCTTGGATTTAGTTGAAGGTTCTATGACTGTCAAGACTACTAGAAAGACTTTTGATCCATATGCAATTTTAAAAGCCAGAGATTTGATCAAGTTATTAGCAAGATCAGTCCCATTCCCCCAAGCTATAAAAATATTAGAAGATGATATGGCTTGTGATGTTATTAAGATTGGTAATTTTGTTACTAATAAAGAAAGATTCGTTAAAAGAAGACAACGTCTGGTTGGTCCAAACGGTAACACTTTGAAAGCTTTAGAATTATTGACTAAATGTTATATTTTAGTTCAAGGTAACACTGTTAGTTGCATGGGTCCATTTAAGGGTTTAAAAGAAATTAGAAGAGTCGTTGAAGATTGTATGAAAAATGTGCATCCGATTTATCATATTAAAGAATTAATGATCAAAAGAGAGTTGGCTAAAAGACCAGAATTGGCTGATGAAGATTGGTCAAGATTTCTACCAATGTTCAAAAAGAGAAACGTTGCCCGTAAGAAGGCTGCTAAACCTAAGAAAGAAAAGAAGGTCTACACTCCATTCCCACCTGCTCAACAACCTAGAAAGGTTGATTTGGAAATTGAAAGTGGTGAATACTTCCTAAGTAAGAAGGAAAAGGAAGTTAAACGTCTACAGGAACGTAGAGAAGAACAATCTCAGAAACAAATAGAGAAGGAGAAAGAAAGAAGTAAAGACTATGTGGCTCCAATGGAAGAAGAATATAAAAGTACAATAACCAAATCTTCCAAAAAACGCAGCATCTCTACTTCTGATGATTCTTCAAAATCAAAAAAGAGTAAGAAAGAATAATTTTAAATATGTAATATATATATAATTCATAACTTCAAAACTTCATAACTTGACAAAAATAAATACACTCATTAATTAAGGTTAACAAAATAGCAAATATTTGAATTTTTTATTGAATGAGAGCATATAGTTCAATTGATTTTATTACTAATGTGTTATTCATTCCATTACCAAAATTGGACATTAGCAAGTGATGAAATTTTTAGCTTTGATTAATTTTGATCTCAGAATCTGTTTCTTAAAATCTTGTTGTTGGCGTTATATATTCAAAATATATCTAACAGGTTCTTTCAAAGTACGTATTGCTTAAAACCACTTCTTAGAGCTAAACCAATTCTCCGGTCAATATAAGGTGAATAATTAGTTTATAGTCACTTAATATTCAATAATAAATGGAAAATTGACCTCTCAGATTATTATCTTTTAATTTTATAACCATTTTTTGATTTATTAAGACTTATATTTAATGTTTTGTTTTTAATAGTGAAGTTAAGTAGTTCAAACGAAGTTAGATATTTGTTAGAAAAGATTAACTTACAACTAAAATAATAACATAATGATAAATTAAACATATAATAAAAAAGGATCAAATATGAGGTCTTTTAACCTATAATAATTCTTATTTTCTAGGAATAGGATTTTTCCCCAATTTCATATTACAAAACACTGAAACTGTTATATAATACACACTTATTTAAATGCTTCAGACATAGGTTACTCAGATCATCAAATATTTTATCAAGGTTTAACAAGAAACTGTTTAAAATTACATTCTAAGTATTCTTACCGCTATACATATTTACAGTCCTTTTTTGGACTAAGTATTAAACAAACTTTTATTATTAAGTTTTGTAGCATATACGCTAATGGTATATATTACATGCTAAGTTCACTCCTACACAGAAAATTTATTTAATTGACTAACTTCCATTATAGTATAATTAGGATAATACAAGATAATCACTGACTCTATAAAGTAATATTATTGGCAATAAGATCAACGTATATTATATATTGAAATAAATGTGATTAGTGAAATGCAAGTTAGGAACATTGTAGCTAATAATCAAGATTTCCTAAAAAAATACAATTACAAGTAAAATAATGGGGCAAATAAATTAAACATGAAATATATATCCTCAATTTAGTTCCAACATATAATTATAAATTGGAAATGGGAAATACCAAACAATTAGTATTGAATAAAAAATTATTATTAGAATAATGTCTCAGTTATACAATATATATATGCTGTAGCACCAACTCAAAAATGCAACTCTAAACAACTAACTTAATGAATTCTATCTATATATATAGACAATAATCGAGCAACAGAACTAATTATCATCTTATATAGGACCATTCAGATCTTATATCATATACTATCATATACTATCATAGTACTATATACTTATCCTAGTACTATAATCCAATTTAAAGTTCCTGCACATGAAAAAAGAGAAAAGAGCTAATTTTACCAGAAGCATTACTAAGATAACTTACATATATTTCTAATATCCAATGAGTAGTGTTTCGGTTTAGATAATTGGGTTTATTACCTTCTTTTTGTTTTCCTGTTTTCTTTTCACTACTATATAGTACTGGGATAAGTATATAGTACTGGGATAAGTATATAGTACTGGGATAAGTATATAGTAATAAGACCAACAGGTTTAAAATACAGTTTATTGAAATTGTAAAAAGATTTTGATAGCTTGGTTGTATTTATACTAGGATATCTTCTTGTTAATTTTAATTTCTTTTGTTTTAATTTATTTGTTTGATATTCTATGTTTCTAGTTGTGGATTAAATATAAAGGAATTGTCAATAATAGAATACATGTTGAAAAGAAAGAACTTCCATTAAAACTGAACCATCGAAAATGAAATAATCTTTTAGTGGACAAGATCAAATGATGAGGACTATTATATTTCTTATCTTATATTTGTATCCTTTTCGCTCTAGTACTATATACTGTTACCTGGTCATTATGCGACTTCGTAATAAAACTAGAAGTAAAAGAAAATAGTCTATGATCCTATACTATCCAAAATAAAAGCTTTTATATAATATATAGTTATAATTTATCTATATCTCAATTCTATCGACTTCAGTTATTTAAAGCTGTCGGTCTTATTACTATATACTTACTCTAGTACTATATACTTACTCTAGTACTATATACTTACTCTAGTACTATATACTTACTCTAGTACTATATACTTACTCTAGTACTATATAATTATTCTAGTACTATATAATTATTCTAGTACTATATACTTACTCTAGTACTATATAGCGACTTCTAGTCAATAAGATGAAAAGTAAAATAATGCTTAACTTTGGTAGCCCAAATATCTAATTTTTATTATATACTTATTCTAGTACTATATACTTATCCTAATACTATATGCTTATCCTAATACTATATGCTTATCCTAATATGAAGTTAAAGTAAAAAATATAATTTTTGTTCTAATAATCATACATTTATTAACTAACTGTTAACAATACTGGTGCTATCTCATTGATGTGAAAGATATTATCAATAATTTTCATAATACTATATACTTATTCTAGTACTATATGCTTATCCCAGTACTATATTCTAATATAGCTTACAGAATCTTTAACTCATCCCGACGCGTAACCTTTAAATTTAAGATCTATAATACAAAATTTACGCGTATCAAATAAAAAAAATGGTAGTATTAATAAAGTATATCAGCAACAACAATTAATCATAAGCCATACTATTTGAGTTATAGGAACAGTACTGAAACTGATACATAGGCCATATCAAGGACTATGGACTTTGTATTTGATGGGTTAGATGCTCTTAAGGGCAAAAAGAGGACTACTTATAAGAAAGTTACAGATGGTGATGTAGAAGATGAACCAAAAATTTCAGAATTTAATATAGAATTGCCAGGTCTTGGTCAAAGTATTTTGTTTAATAATTCAAAATTAAAACAAATTAGAAATAGATTAGAAGGCAATAATAACGATAGTGAGAATGATAGTTCACAAGCAGAAACCCAAGTAATAGCTGATACTCAAATAATTTCAAATTTATACGAAGGTGGTGAAGATTTAGAAGAAAAAGAAGAGAGACGATTCTTACAGAGAACTCAAATAGTAGAAGATCATACACAAATTATCGATGCTTCAGTTACATATAGCAGTAAGACAATTGAGTCTAATAAAATGGACAACACTCAAAAATATATTAACGCCTCTGATTCAGAACCTACACAAATTCAAATATCGAAAGTAGATAAATTATTAAAAATTACAGATAATCTTGATAGCCAGAAGAAAGTACTTGATACTACTTTAGAAACTCAGGAGTTGGAGACACAATATGGCAAGACTCAAGTCGATAAGACTCAAGTTGATAAGACGCAAGTTGATAAGACACAGATTTTTCCAACACTAGTTGCAGACGATGAAATTAAACATTCTTCTACAGCAGTACAAACAGTAGATGATAATACTCACTCGAATAGTGAATTAAAGATCAATGAAATTGAAAGGCAGCTCGATGAAGAAGATCAGATATTAAAAGAAAAATCAATGGGTACAGAATATAAAAGAAATATAGCTCCTGTCATGTCCAAGGTTAAATTTTCAAAAAATGATTTTTTAGAACATTTTGATTCGAGTTCATCTGAAGAAGATGAAGAAGGCGTAGTAAAACTGTCTTCAACAGAACCTGAAACGGCGGCAATGAATCTGGAAAATTCTCTACCTCAATTTTCAAAGGAGTCTAAATTTATTGGTTTAAGCAATTATGAGAATATTTTAAAGAAGGATATAAACAAGCAAAATTGTATCGAGTTTTCTGATAGTGAAGATGAAACAGAAGTAACATCCAAAGTGTCTCGTGCATCTAAGGCTACGATTTTAAGCATTAAAGCAAATTTATCACGTCATAAACCGGCTCAAAGTTCAATAAATAACAAAAATGCTTTGGGGAACTTATTTAGCGATTTGAAGAAAGCTACAAAAGCTCAAATTCTTGATCATAAAAAGGAAATTATGGAACAGAAGGGTTATAAAATGGAAGAAATAGAAAAGGAGAAAGAAATTGTAGAAAATTTACTTGAACAAGAGATTGAAAGAAACCGAAAGATCAGAATACGTGAGAAACAGAAAGAGGAATTGAAAAAAAGGAAACAGAGAATTGAGAATGGTGATCAAGAGGAAGATTTTGCAATTAGTGCCAATGAACTATCTGATTCTGAAGTCCCAGAAAGCGACAATGATGGAGAAGTAATGTCTTCAAATGAAGAAGCGAGCGACAGTGATGATGAATTGAGAACTCAGCTAGATGCTTCAACTGGAATTGAAAAAGAAACCGAACAAGATGCCAGTAGAGATAGTGAGAAAGATAGTGAAAGAGATATTGATGAGGAAAATATTTTAAATATCAAAAATAGAAAATCGAAAAAGATTCATGTAGTAAGTGAGTCAGATTCAGATTCAGATTCAGGAGAAAATTCTGTCCAGGTGGAAGCAAACCACCAACCTAGCTTAAATACTATTAATTTGGGTCATTATGGTGATAATTTATCCCAAGAAAATAACAATGAAAGAAATAATATCGATTCTGATGAGTCAGAAGATGAAGAATTATACAAGGAGATGGTTAAAAAGGAAATTGACAGGAGGAGAGATCAAGAGAGGAAACAAAGGCAAAAACTTCGTGAGCTAAAGGACAAGGGAATAACTGATATGTTTGAAGTGGAGGCTGAAGAATCAGAAGATGAATGGCATGGTATTGGTGGTGTTGATGGAGAGTTATCTGATGAATACGACTCAGAAGTTGAAAAGATGATCGATGATTATAGTAAAGAGAATTTTAACGCTGGTGAAATTCGTGAAAAGTTGGCCGCAGAGAACAAGGACATGGATCTGAAAATGGTTAATAGGATATTAAATGACATAAAAAATGGTGGTTTTAGGAAGAGAAGAAATGCTCTAGAAATTGAACTGAGTGATGATGAAGATGATGATTTGAAGGCATATAGAGCTAAAAGAAGGCAATTAATGAAAGAAAAACGCCTTGAAACTGATCATAACAAAAAGCTTATGACAAATAAAAAGTCACACGCATTTTTAGAATCCATGGTTGATGATATAGTAGAAGTGAAGAATCCATTCGACGAAAGAGACGATAATATTATGGATGATACCCCAGAGACAGATGCAGAAGGAGATGTAAATTCTAATGAACTGTTAAATAAGAAGAAAAAGTTTATTCTTTCAGAAGCATTCGTGCAAAAAAGCCTTTCCTTCCTAAGCAGCAGCAGAAACTTAGAGGAATTCGAAATGAATAACAACCTAGCTAAGGAACAGCACAGTCATGCTGCAACTGATATGTTTGCCCTGAAAAGCCATTGTTCTATTAAATCTCTAGAATCATTACCAGGTTCCCACAACAATTCAATTTCCTCAAAGTTGGATTTATTACATGAAGAAATAGTAAGCACACCGTTCAGTGGATTAAAACAAACTTCAGTTATCAAATCTTTCAGTTCCAGCATTGACATAGATTCTAAATTTAAAGACGGGAATAAGACTGTTAAAGTTTCAAAATCATACAGGACTGTTGGCAGTGCTAAGGCCTCTATCACATACTTAGGAAAAGCAAGAAAACTAGTTCCTCCAAAGAAAAAGGAACATAAGCCACATTCACATAAATCAAAAACTGCATCTGCATCTAGATTATTTGACGAACAAGATAATAGTTTTGAACAATAAATAATTATAAAGGTAATATAGATATATTCCGTTAAGTTATATATAATTACATTCTTTTGACCTTGAATATATTTTATGCTAAGTTATTACTAAATACAAAATTTTAAATATGGTATATTATGCTAAGTCTAATTCTGTGTTCAAGGCGTCATGGAGCTCTTGAAATGAAACGGTATTTGAAAAAGTAGGTTCATATATTGTAGGCGAACAAAACATGGAGCCATTAGGTCCAATAGTCATTGTTGAATAATTGGCTTTATTATAACTTAATGACGATATTTGTTTTTTTCTTTGTGATCCAAAATGTTTTGCCGTGGTATTATTTTCTTGTTTAGACCCAACCTCAGAACTTGCAATCAAAGGGAAATTAAATATATTCCATTTGTTAAAAAAAGATGTAGAACTATTTGATTCTTTCTTATTATTAATTATGTTTCCCCTATTTGAATTTTGAACATCATTTTTAATGCTGTACATAGATAAAATATCTTTTGAAGTTGTTGAATTTGATAGGTTAGGCTTATAGAAATCATCAGCCTTAACGTCTGTATTGGAGGCTGTCGTATCATAATTCGTTGACGTAGTTGTTGTCGATACAGAACGAAAAGGTCCTATTTGAAATCTTTTTGATATGCTAATTGGCCGAATTTTGGTGGATAATATGCTTTCATGAGAATTGTATCTTCTTAAGGGTTTTAAATTGTTTTTCTGATCATCAATGATTTCGAGAGGCTCGTCCATAGTCAGAGATGACGATGATATTACTGTTTCTTGATCAGAAATATTTGTTATATCATTTTCGTTTGTATCTATATCAAATAGTGATATTGATAAACGCTGTGTATTCTTGAATGTTGAATCATAAACTGAATCAATTTTTGATTTTTTTGGTTTAATACTTCTCTTCGAATTCAAACCAGTATCATATGATTTGGCTTGCCTTAAATGATGATTCATTGGGGGACTACTTTGTTCGTTACGAAGAGGGGACCCTGGCAAAGATATTACACTATTGATATTTAGATCAGTCACTTCTTCAACATCAAACGTTACAGTTTTCTTATTCTGTTCTTTTAATGATTTATTCCTTTTCAACGAAATTTTTAATGGCTTTGGCTGAAATGAACCAATCGAGCTAGATCTCGAAGATGAGCTTTTTGATGAGGAGCACCTTCTTCTTGAACTAGCCAAAACGTTCAATTTTCGTGTAATATCTTGGAACTCAAAAATAAGGTCTTCGATATCACTTTGCCCATTCATATTAACTTTTGAGGGTGATACATACTTTATAGTATTAGTTCTTGATTTTTTTTTAGTATTTAGCTTATCTCTAACGTTTTGTGATCTAATATACAACGAATTCAATTGAGACATGTATAAATTATAAGTATCTGTAACTTTTTCCAAATCATTTTCATCGTGATTATCATCACTTTCTGCCCATTGTTGTTGTCTTTGAATCCACAAATCCAATTGAAGTATTGCCTCTTGCGACCTGACTAATAATCTTTCTGAAAGATCATCTATATTAGAATAAGGCATCTAAAATTTCTTGATGTTTATCTTATGCTTTTCAATTGTTCTGGTATTATCTTGGATTTCTCAATGCAATATATATTTCTTTCTTTAATTGCGTTCGTGATTGTAATTGTTATCGAAGTAGTAGTAATAATAATAACAAAAATAAAAAGAAGAGGGACTATATGCTGATGCTGTTAAATGAATTTTTGTCAAAATGCCTTTATCTACGAATCTCAATCTATTTGAGCCTTTAGCCGTTGTTCAGTATGTACTAACAAATGTCCTATTTAACCTGTTAACCATACGATCAATATATCGACGTATATCTAATCGTCTCCTGATCAAGATTAACTATACAAACAATAAACAAATAAAAAAAATGCTGTCTTTGCTAATAGCAATCATAAAATTTTACGATCTACTTTTTTACTTCCCACCCCAACTTCTTCTAAACTACAATTGGTTGCATTTCAAGGTAATGAGTCTCTTGATATTACAATTATCTATTGCAATTACACTATATCTTATCCTATTCTTGATTTTTTTGCAAAGTTTCCTCGCATATATAAGTTTTTTTTCGATTTTTGTTGTCATTTTTGATCAAATGGGAAAAAACTTTAATTCTTTTCGAAAAGCCAAACAAAAAGATAAAAAAAAATAAGATAAGTTAATTTAAGTATTCATCGTTAACAATGATCCAGTCTCGAAACAAAAGAAACAAGAAAATGTTGTGATAGCAAAGTTTCTTTTTCTATGTTTTTAGGATTTCGGACCAAAAATTCTTTTCTTTTTTTCTTTTCATTTGGAAAATGATACTGGTTGAGGTGGAAATACATCTCCACCTTTTGCGCTCTTATTCTCGTTTTTCGAATTGAAAAGGCAGGTGGAAAATAAACTCCACCTATTTGTTGTTATCGCATAATCTAGAGAAAAGGTACTAATTTGTTTAGAATCGATTAACATCAGTACTTGAAAACAAACACTTGTATTTAGTTCTTATATGTTTTTAGGTATGTAATGTTACAAACGGATCGAATATCTGATAACTTTAACGGAGAGAGAGGCATGCAGTTATCAGACACAGATAAGAATTTGGTTTGCTTTTTTAATTCTTTTTGTCTTAAAAATAATTAATTATCTAGGTTAGGGTCGCAAAAGTTACATTGTTTCCATAGCGGGATAACAGAAAAAAATTAGAGGATGGTAGTTGACGAAGAGCCAATGTCATTCAAGTAACAATGGGGCAATTCAACAAAAAAGATAAAAAAAAATTCATTATTAAACATACTTACATGGATATATATATATATATATATATATATATATACATATATCTTGTTTCTTGATTATCAGATTAGTTTATCTTTTTTTAGATTTTTCTTAAGACGATCGTTTTCATTACTCTTTCTAGTAGATTTATAGGTAGCAGACTTCAATAAAAACCAATCACGCCTATCTATTTACGTAGATATCAGTACAAAATATAGTTATATATTTATAATGTCGTTAGTTTATAACAAGACTCCACTATTAAAACATTTTTTTCCTGGTAAGAACCTACCACAATTCTATCTAAAGTACGAGAGTTTACAACCAAGTGGTAGCTTTAAAAGTAGAGGTATTGGTAATTTAATATTAAAAAATGCTATAAGGATAAAAAAAATAAATGTTAAAAAACCATATGTCTTCTCGAGTTCCGGTGGAAATGCAGGTTTAGCAGCTGCCACTGCTTCCCAAAGATTATCTTTGCCTTGTACTGTTGTGGTTCCAACTGCGACAAAAGAAAGGATGGTTCAAAAAATTAGAGCTACTGGTGCAAATGTTATAATAAAAGGTAATCATTGGAAAGAAGCAGATAATTTCTTGAAACAAAATATTATGAATGAAATCAATAAAGATAAAATTGAGCCTATTTATGTCCATCCTTTTGACAATCCGCTTATTTGGGAAGGCCATTCTACTATGGTAGATGAAATAATGGAAACATTTTCCCAACAAAAATTTAATATAAAAAATTTAAAAGCAATTGTATGTAGTGTTGGTGGAGGTGGTTTATATAATGGCATAATCCAAGGGTTAGAAAAATATAATCTAGCTGATAAAATACCTGTTGTTGGCGTAGAGACTCAAGGATGTCATGTATTCAATACTTCCTTGAAACTAAATAAGCCAGTAGAATTCACTAAAATTTCAACAATTGCAACATCTTTGGGTACAGCTAATATTTCCAATCAAATGTTTGATTATGCCAAAAAATATAATACAAAATCAGTTGTTGTAGAAGATAAAGATGTTGTAGAAACATGTTTGAAATTTACTCATGACCACAATATGGTAATAGAACCCGCCTGTGGAGCTGCAATCCATTTGGGTTACCACACGGATCTTCTGGAGACTGCATTAGGAACTAAACTAACATGTGATGATGCAGTGTTAATCGTCGCTTGTGGCGGTTCATCAAATACAGTAAAGGAGTTAGAAACTGCATTATTAGAATTAAACTTAAAAAGTCAAAAAGCATCTCCTACAATTCCAAGTTTCATAGATATTTAATAATTCAATGACATTTCAATTAAACAACTTTAAATGATTATTTTATGATTTTCAATTTTGCATATACAAGATTAAACTATACATAACAATTATACATATATCATTCATAATACAACCATTAATAACAGTGATTAAACCTTCAAATAAATATTTCTTAAATCGTCATTTATAAATGTCTTCTTTAATTTGTAATCTTTTATTAATAATTTTAATACATTGTCTTACCTAATTAATGCTATATCCCCAAGTTCAAAGTTTTATTTCAAAATTTCCGATCTTAGATATTTGTCCTAACCAATATTAAATTTTCACAATGTCAGTTTTCCGAGTTTTTTGTCCGGACAAAAGTTAGGACATTTCGGCTAGTAAAAAATAAAATAAAATTCTATAATGACGCCAGTATGACACTCTGACACATAAACAGTATCATTTAAATAATAATTTTAATGAAATAAACAATATTTAAATATTCCCAATTGTATAATTATAATAGTATAATGTAACATGACAAATTCTAAATGCCTTTCAATTGGAATAACAGAGTCTAATGTAATAAAGATTGATGCTTTATATATTGTTCTAATAATTGACATATATCCAATTGCATGCATGTGTCACAGTGGCTAACTGGTCATCAAAACTGCAATAAAAAGTTGAAATTATGAGTTACTATATAAAATTGAAGGATAAGAGTTTTGTAAAACAAGAAGAGGACTTTCTAAATAGTACAGTTCATTGCAAGAAGAATCTTGAGTTAATGGTTGATGATTTTGTTGGGGAAGGATTAAATATTGGTCTAGGAAATATAATGAAGGAAGTAAGGAGGATTTTATTGGATGAAGAGCAGAGGGATTACATTCAAGCAAATGGAATTGGAGGGGAGATCAGTGAAAGTTGTGGGTCTCAAGAAGTAGTGAAGGTGATTCGAAAGCATTGTAGGTTGTTAAAAGGAGCTACGGACAAAGGAACACTTGAAGTTTTCCAGCAAGAGATAGGAGAACGATTATTTCGAGAGGTAGTTGAGATGATCAAAAACAGTGTAATTAGTACGGATGGAGCAGTTTATTTAATCAGTGATTTGAACTATTACTTTGAGTTTGTTAGTAGTGAACTTCGACAAAGGCGATTGGAGCCGCTATTTGGAGGACTTAAAAGTGTGGGACAGATATTTATTGTATCAGGAAAGGATTCGAAGGATCTGGGAAAGATGATAGGAGAGGTTGGTATGTTTGGTGGAATATTTAGTCAAGAAGAGATATATGAGTTTGTGCAACGTCGAGAGGACTGGGTAAAGGTTCGAAAGGAGGTTGAGAAGGCAATGTATGGATTTGGAGCAAAAGATTGTTCTGTTATGTAAAGAATGATATAATAGAGTGAGAATAGATATTTGTAAGTGTGATTTAAAGTAAAGAGTAATATATAGTAGTGGAGTAAGTATATGGTAGTGGAGTAAGTATATAGTACTAGAGTAAGTATATGGTACTGGAGTAAGTATATGGTACTAGGATAATATGAAGTGGATTTTAAGTAAGAAATAAATATATAATACTGAGATAAGTATATAGTACTAGGATAAGTATATAGTACTAGGATAAGAATATACTACTAAAATAAGAATATAGTGCTGGGATAAGTATATAGTACTAGGATAAGCATATACTACTAAAATAAGTATATAGTACTAGGATAAGCATATAGAGCTTGGATAAATATATAGTACTAGAATGAGAATATAGCACTAGGATAATATGAAGTGGATTTTAATTAAAAAATAATTATATAGAGCTGGGATAAATATATAGTACTGGAATAAGTATATAGTACTAGAATAAGAATATAGTGCTGGGATAAGTATATAGTACTAGGATAAGCATATAATACTGAGTTAAGTATATAGTACTAGAATAAGAATATAGTTCTGGGATAATATGAAGTGGATTTTAATCAAAAAATAATTATATAGTACTAGGATAAGAATATAGTACTGGAATAAAAAGATACTACTGTAATAAAAAGATACTATTAGAACAGTTTGATATATGTTTTAATTAATCTATATGTGATACATCCCAGTCCATTCTAAAAAAGTATATAAATGATGCATTAAATAACATCTATGGCAAACATCCAAATGAAAGCACCACGAATATGACTGAAGAAGACATTGAATTCTTGGAACTTACTTTAGAATCATTACAGAATGCTTGCAAAGATATACTCTCATTGAATGTATGTGTTGTGTTTTAATTCTTTTTTGTATATTTACTAACAAGAATAACAACAGATTTATAACGAATCCTCGAGTGACCATCGAAAAAAGTTTTTACCAAAGGAAGCACGTTTGTTTTTGGAACGAGTGTTTGAGAAGAAGCAGTCTTTAAATTCAAAAGAACGGGATGCTATAGCCAAAAAGTGTGGTCTAACTCCTCTACAAGTCAGAGTTTGGGTATGTATTTTTGTATTAGGTGTTCTTGTTATCTTGTTATTTATGCTTTTTCTGTTTTTAATTCTTGTAATAATCGAGATACTTCTGGTGATATTGTAATGGATTTTTCCTTTCTTCTTCTATTTGAAACCCAGTTCTTTATTTGTACTTTTGATAAAGATGTTATTTTCATCAATTCTGAAATACTTTTATCATCTAGGTATGGATTCTCAACGTTTTGAATGTACCAACGTTCTAATAATTTAACATTTTGTTTAGGAAGTCTATGTCCTCTGTAAGATTTAATATTCATTTTTTTCTTATTCATCATATCCTGTGTAACAATATTAAAGACAAATTCATTTCTGTCATTAGAGTCGGAAGAAGAAGGTGAAGTTAATTCTTCTTCACTATTTTCTTTACTAGTTTGAGATTCATAATTTTCATTTGCCATTCGTAAGCTCTTTACCATAATCGATAATGTAGTAGATAATTGATATGTTGTTCTGACTAGCATTATCTCATCATTGTCTAATTTTTCATTTTTAACAACAGTAGTTAAGAATAATAATATTCTTTGTAACTCAAGATGGTCTTCCTGTTCTAAACCTGAAGTGTTGCCTGGTATCTTCGAACACAATGAGGTGAGTTTGTCATTGATTTGTTGTAATTTATCTTTTAAATTTTCTTGATGAGATGGATTTAGTAAAATGTTGATTGGGATCTTATTCATGATTGTAGCTTAATGATTTAGTTTTTGGTTTTTATTGTTTAGTCGAAATATGAATATGAACATGAATTTTAATATTATTATCAATACCTTAAATAATCATCGTCTTTATATATAAATCATAGATCAAGTTATGTTTCAAATATGATTAATCAGTTGATTCTTAAAGCGGTAAGTCTTGTGGGGCCTTTTGATTTGGTCGCTTATGTTATGTACGGGTGCTATGTTTCAGATTTAAAAGATGAAACATTAATGTAAATATTTACATCAAATATATTATACAGATCAATGAGATTAATGATAATATATGAATATATATATAAGAACACATCAAAACTTCATGTGTAAAATGGTTGATACAAAATCTACAACAAAGTAAAAAATAATAGTATATTATTCTCTATATATCTTAACCCAAGAAAGAAAAATCAAAAAACCATAACAATGTCTACTAAATCAAGATCATGGACTTCTCAACCATTATTCAAAGTCAAATTGAACAAAAGTAATAAAATAGAGAAGCAAAAGAAAAAGGGAATTGCTATAAATAAGCTTGCTAATTCAGCTGGTAAACTTTCTCAAAAAGCAAATGTTAATGTATTCATAACAAACTCATTAGTGACAAAAATACCTTTCCCTCCAAGTAGTCTCCTTTTGGGTATTGATGAGGAAACCAAGAAAATGAAATCTAAGAAAACTTCTATTAATATACAAAACGACACAAATATACTTAACTTCTCTTCCAGCTGGGATGAAGATGATTTATTTCTCTCTGATACAGAGACTGAATATGATTTATTAAGTACAAGCCCAAACAGTGTAATAGAGGTTGATACTTCATCTAAAAAGAGCTTAAATGGGTTTATGGCTTTTAGAGCATACAACTCACAATTTGGATATGGGCTGAAGCAAGAAATACTTTCTTCACTTTTGTCAGAAGCATGGCATTCTGATCCAGAACAACAGAAAAAATGGACCGTTTTATCGCAGCAATTTAATTTTGTCAAGCCCAAGTGTGGGTTTGTGGAGTGGGTAGGGCAAACATATGAGCGGGAGATGATGTGGTGTAATTAGATACGTGCGTGCTTTTTCAAAAAATGTTGCATTTCGTCAGTATCGACATCTTGTGGATCCTCGGAGGAAATGGCCTGCAACAATCCATCAAGCATAGCATCAACTTTATGCTCGTCAATTTTTAAACACAGAGACAAGACTCTTCTAAACTTGCTTTCTAAATCTGTCTGTTTTCGCTTTATGCTTTCCAACGTATCCTCTAGCTCCTCTTCGTCCTTCTTATATGCTTCAATACGCTCTCTCATCTCCTTTATACCTAGTTTACTATCTTCTATATTTACCTCTTTATGTTCATATATTTTATCCTTTTCAATTCCTTTTTGATATTTTCTGACTGGTATGGCGGTTGGCCGCCATACTCTTATTATTCCAAATTTTTATCATACACCTATTGATTGCAATTTGTTGTTGAATGTTGTTTATAGATTTATTTGCCTTTGAAGTATTCTGAAACCTATTTAGAGTTTCTATTTAAGGTCAAAATTTAGAGTAGATGTGTGAGTTATTGACCTGTCTTGGTATCATTCTATTTTGAAATGGCTCCCATTATATACTGTTAAATATTTATGCCATCAATACAGCAAAAGAATGAATATATTTCTAAAATTATGATTATATGTGCAAAAGTTGGTGTGTAACGTTTCATATAATTGTTATGATTCTATTAAACAATGAAATTTGTGTGTCATTTCCAATTTTGTTACACTTATTAATGTCAGCGTGTTTTTGGCATCGCGTCGCGCCTTAGTTTTGACGGCTCCGCGTCACTAGAAGGGGACACTGACATATGTCATTTATTATATATGCTTGTGGTGTAGGGAAGGAGAGTATTTAATGTATGGTAATATGACCATATGCATGAACAAGTTGGTGTCAGTTAGGCTTCTTTAAATATTTCTATATAATTGAATATTTAATAATATTTGATACTAGACATATTGTTCAAATTTTTAGTACCAGATACATCATTTTGATATTGCCTTTTTCAAGCCTAGATTCTCCAGGGTTTGAAAATGATTATGCCCGTGCACATGCTATTTTAATACCAATTAATGTTTAATCCAAAGAGATTCCATGTGATATAAGTTTTATTACTAAATAATTACTAGAAATCTGTGAGCTTTTATGTCTAGTATTCCTTTTATGTCATTCCTTGATAGATTCTGAGATTTGTTTCGATTATTCTGGCTATTGACATGCCTAAGGAGAAATAAATCGAGTTTGAGATAATTTGAATGCATGGAAATGCATAGGTTATGAGAGTTGTTAGTATTTAAGCTTTTTTATCCGAAATTTTGAGATATGAAGCTATTTCAACAAAATTTCTTAAAATAAGTTACAATGGAGTTTACAAGTAATAAGTTACAAACAATAGCGACCCAGTTCTTGCTTGTATAAGCAATTAGGGGATAAAATTTTGTGCACATTTAGATTAAAAATGATTTAATTCATAGTTTCATACAAGACTCAAATAAATTGGATGAATATCTAACGTAGTTCAAAAGATTTTAAAAAGTCCACTTTAAATTATAATTTGTCCAACGTGTCTGTTATACTTATCCTTGGATGCATATAACTTTTTATTTTAAATTCTATATTTTCTTTTTATTAAAAGTATTAATATTTACCAAACGCTTACCTAAAATTCAAGTACAAATCTAAGAATTATTTAAATTCGAGGTAATAGTCTGACATTTAATTATACATAAAAATTCAATAGTTTAATCTGATTCCTATGTACCCGTTCAAATATATATTTAATATCTGAATAATTATTTTGATGATTTTATTTAAGACGATTTTTAAGTTATAATAATATGTGTTTCTCAGTGATGATTTATAAATGTGTTGGAAAATGGTAAGCATTAGAAGCTAAACCAACAAAACAGCAAAGCAGCAAAACAGCAAAGCAGAAAACCAGCAAAGCAGAAAACCATCAAAGAACCATCTAATTAGAACAATTAGATGTATTCCTTAAGCTATATAAAGGGATAGGTTTTTATCTTAATGAAACTATTCCTACCCTCTATCTATACTTATATAATACTGTATAATATAGTATAAGAATTAGCGTCCCAATAATATAGCTTACAATAATGAATAAACAAATGAATGACAACCTCGAAACTGTTATTCGCTCCTTCTCTGTTTCGAACCTCCGCCAGCAGAATGAACTAAATAAATATATATTAATATTTTAGACAGATGATATTTAAATTTTCCAAAATATCATACCATTTTATATGTTTAGAACCAATTCCATAATCTTAGTATTTTTAACCAATTATATTAATTATTCCTTTGCACTTCACTTCCAATGATTCAATTGCTGTTTATACTTACTTTTTATAACCAGATATTATTAATAATGTTAACAATCTATTGGATTAGTAATATTAGATTGCACATTGTTGTTGAAATAAATACAATTTATTACGTCATAACAATATCCTATAAATCTATAGGTATATTCCCTATATTTTAGGTTACAACAGTCCCACTTCATGTTTTACATATTTTTCTAAAAAATAAATTTGACATTTAATGGAGGAATTAAAAATTGAATTAGAAGTTTGTTTGCATTCTTCAACTTTAAGCGAATTGAAATAAACGAATTCGCTTTTATGTAGATCAAACCAATGCTAAATAAGTGCTCTATAAATAGCCAATACTGTTTTTTGTTGTATACTTAAATGAAGATAGTACTAATATCTCTTCTCAATATTACTTTCGAGTTCTTTATTCCTATATCAGGAATTGATATTGCTAGTTCAATATTTAAAAAAAATTGTCTTAAATGCCCCTGATTTCACATTAACTGTTGGAAGAAATTCAATGATGCTAGTCAAACCAGGCTCATGATAATTATTATCTCAAAGATATACAGAGTGTATTGTTTTTTGAAATAGGTCAGATTAGTAACATCATAAGTAAGGTACTCAATTTTGTTTATCCAATGCGCCAAATTTTTTTATTATTAAAAATAAATAAATAAAATAATATTAATCTAACTCTTTACCTTGTAAATTCATATGAAAAATGACTTTACTCATTTTTCATATGAAATTTCACATTATTTCACATTATTTCGCAACCTTATGGATACTTATTCATCATATTAAAGTGATATGCAAACAAACAACACTAAGAGTAGTATAAAAGGGAAATGAAGATTTTTTCTTATAATATTTTGTATGTTTATCTCACCTTAAGTAATAAAAATAAATTATCATAATTTTTGTTATATGTATTATCATAATGATATTACTTACAGCTTTAGTATTTTGACCCGTTTTTGATCTATTTTATCTATGTATGTGGCATTCAATAATTGAAAAACCCCCCTCAAATTGAAGTATATCAGCAACATCATAATTAATATTGTTTAGCAGTAAAAGTTATATAGCATTCAAAATAAGATATAGTAGAAATTAGCGTGATATGTATTAATTTATCTTAAAGTTATTACATACGTAAAGGCTACCCGATTTACGTGTGGTATTGTCCTATTTATTGTATCATAGAAATTGAAAGTTGCCATGCGCGAGATATGATTTCAGTAGTATCAAAAATACCACAAATATCAATGCGGTTTATTTCTCATACTTCA